TAGGTGAGGCCCGATAGTATATATACTTATAGGGCTTTTAATATACTTTAGGAAAGTAATATATAGTATAATTACTTAGCTACTAGTAGTAATAACAAGGCCTAAGTACTATAATAGTAGATAATACTATTATTTTAGGAATACCTCTTTATATTTATTATCTTAACTACTGGATATAGACTTACTATTATTTTCTAATATATCTATTAACTGGGCTATAGTACTATAAACAGCCCAGCAGTTAAATCTGTACAAAGCGAGATCCTAAAAAAACTCATTTTAGTGTAAAAGGTTAAAATGGGCTTACTTGCTTACAGCTACACCTAGAAGTACCCGGTCCCACTTATACTATTATGAAAGTTAGTATAGGGTAGGCTAGCTAGGAGTAACTCGAATATTATTTTCATTTATAATCTATTGTTAGTTTAGTAATATAAGTAAGGCCTTTTACTTTAATATTTTAAAGAAGATATAGAGCTATATCTTCCTTTTCCTAATATTTCTTCTATAAATAGTTTAACATATCTTAAAAGTACTTATTCTTAATTATATAATTACTAATATATTTTAAACTTCTAAACTAATTACTTTATTTATTTAATAAATATATATTATTATTATTGCTCTTATTACACTCGGTACTAAGTATATGCGGTCCTTCAACTAGTATATCGGTGGGAAAAACTATGCCGAAGCTGGATGAAAACCCCCGTATCTCCGCTACAGCTCCACCGCTACATTGTAGCACCATCTCCTCGAAAGGGCTTACCCACCCTTCGAGGTTAAAGTAATAAAATGAAAATAAAAGGAAATAGTAAAGGAAGGAGAGGGAAAGTAGGCTCCTATTATATGACCAGCCCTTAAGGTTCTTATAGGGGGGGGGGGGGGGAGGGGGAGGGAGGGTAGTATATATTCTACCCTCTACCCTCCTTTCCTTTCTTCCTTCTTTCCCTATTATAACTAATAACCAATTTAGTAAATACCTCCCTTCCCCTACCCCCCCTCCTATTAACTATAGTAGCTTTATAGCAGTCTATAATAAATATTTAGTAATATTATAATAGCTGCTCTATATATCGGCTCTACTTTACCCCTAGGCTATAATAAGCTGGTCTAAGCTAATAAATTTAAGAAAGTAGTCTAGACTTCTAATACTAAGAACTATATTAGAGAGTAAGTCTTCTAGGGAATAGCTATAGTACTACTATTAACTGTTTCTAATATCTTTTATAATATTACCTACCTATACTATAATATTAGCCTATCTAAATAGTACCCTATCTCTAGTAATATAGAGAATATTAAATATACTATTAAAGCAGCTATTCTATATATATATATAGTTAAATATAAGTTTTAATCTCCTTTTATAGGCCTATTATAGTACTGCTATTAACCTACTATATATAACTAGATCTCCTCCATTTACTCCTATAATTTATATTATAAAGGCTGGAAGATAGAAGTATACCTCCCTAACATCCTTACTACATTCTCTCTATAAATATATAAATCCTTTACCTTCCTAACTTTCGTTAATAGTATCAAAGCTCGGAAGGAGGTATATAGTATATTATTAAAGAAGGTTCTTTATACTTCTACTATAGAGTACTTTCATACCTACTACTCTATATTCTTATAGGCCTATATCGTTTAATACTACTATACTATATATAATAAAGACCTACTTACTATAAATACTATATACCTCTAATCCTTTAGCTTTAATATTACCTTTCCTATAGTTTTTAATACCTTTATAGAGGATTATCTATAATAATATCCTTTAGTTAAGGTAGATACTATTACTAGCTTTAATACTTCTACTACTCCCTTATCTACTCCTTCTAATAGTACTACTATAGTTAATCTATAGCCTATCCTTAACCGATTTAATAAGTTCGGTATAACCTTTAGCTCTATAATATTAGAGTTTAATACTATTAAGGTTATTAACAAGAAGCTTATAGCTATTAATAAGAAGCTTATCTACCTTATCTCTAGGATTATAGCCTAGATAGGCTCTTTACTAACTCTCTTTAAGTCCTTTATAGTATCTCTACTAACCGATTTTTAGGTATATCTAATCTAGGGCTCTAACCTTAATAACTTTATAAAGAAGTATACCTAGAATACTTTTAATATCTATCTAAATAGCTAGCCTCTAGAGGAGAAGATAGATAAACTTCCTCCCTAGAAGTAAGCCTATAAGGATAATATAGTAGAGGTTATAGAGGAGGGTACTAAAGTAGATATAGAGGAGGAGGTAAATAAGTAGAGGTAGAGAGAGAGATAGAGGGGTAGTATATATATATAGGTTAATACTAGAGCTCCTTATTATAGGCTCTCTATAACCTTACTATAGGGAATCCTAGTTAAATAAGATATTTCCCCCTACTATATTATTATCTATAAATATAACTTTATCTCTAGTACTCCTCTACTACTCCGCTTCGGTCTTACCTATCCTCCCCTCCGCTATCTCTCTCTCTAGCTCTAGCGCCAGTCGGAACTCGTTAAATCGACTAAGGTCCAGCACCCATCCAAATACTCGATCCGCCTTATCAGTAATATCTAGCTACTCTAGCAGCTCTTCGTAGTTGTCGGACTACGGCTGGGATCTCTCTACGGTCTCGCTACAGTCTAGAACTAGGTGTTCAACCGTCTCTCTAGCCTCTCTGTAGCGGTATAGCAGCGTCACTACATCTGGGACTCTTTGTAAATTAATAAATATATAGAAATGTAGGTAGAGTATCTAAATTAGATATTATCTTAATAATATATTATAATAAGATAATAGTTGTATTTAAACTTAGAATTACTACTCTATCCCTAATGTACTTTATTAATAACCTAGATTAGTAATATTTATAGTATTTAAATTAGAGGAAGGAATATTCAAGGTTATTTAAGCATTTAAATAGTAGTTAGACTCTTAAATCATTAGGTAAATAAGATACTAGAGTAGAGCTTAAGAATCAAGAAACATATAATTTTATAATAGTAATATATTTAAGTGGTAGTTATTTAGTTTTCTTATATTATACTTATTATATCCTCGAGTAAATATTAATATAATCTAAGAACTCCCTCTAAGATCAAGTTAAACTATCCTTTAATATTCTTGGATTATATTTAGATATTTATATAATTTCTTATATTATATTTCTCTACTGTCCTTAGAATAATATTCGAGTATCTATGTTAATATAGGAATATACGTCGTATTATAAAGTATAAACTGTTAACCTTTATAATTATTACTTTATGTAGATTAAACTACTAGATGAAAGACACATATATTAGTATATGTCTCTAATATATTAGAAGGTTCTCTAGGTTTATTTATAATATTACCTCGATATAAAATAGAAAGCCTTAAGAGAACTTATAAATCTTAGTATATTTAACTTATAGCTCTTAGAATAATATAAATATACTCTAATATATATAGTAATCCTCTCTATAATTGTAGTGTATTGAATATATTCTACCTTTTATTTATATTAGGAATATTAACTCTTTTATAGTAGAGTTAACGTTCTCTAAAGGAGATGAGAAGCTATATATTAGATTGGTATTTAGTATTTCTAAAGTATATAGATTAGTATAGCTAGTTATATCCTATTAATCTTACTTATAATATTAATAGTCTATAGAAAACAAGATACCTTAGAATGTAATCTTTATAATAATAGGTAATCTTATAATATAGCATTGTAATAAAAGGATTAACTAACTACTAGGTGGATAGATATAGTTATAGCTGTAGAAATAGGACTTACTTCTATATATGTTAATAAATAACAGAAGTAGTTGCTGTCCTCTAAATTATAGGATCCTAGATTCTATAGAAACAAATATAAAAACTCAACTAAAACTAAAATTATACTATAAGTCATATTCTAGTTAGAGTAATTAGTACCTGGTACTATATTTGAATATCTAAATACCTTCTATAATTTTATATAATAGTATTAAAATATAATTAACATTAATAATATATAGAACAATAGATTATAATTATAAAGATATACCTCTCATTTATAACAGTTGAAAAGTCTTGTTAAAAATAAGTAAATAATATTTAACTTGTAAACTACTTTATTTATATATAATAAAGTAGGATAATAGCTAGAGATACTCCTAAATTTATAACTAAGGCTTTGAATACTTTATTATATTAAACTATATATATAGCAAACAGGTAATGAATAACCTTGTCTGTAAACTAAACTGCTAGACCAACTGTTAAGATACTAAGTTAAGAAATTGCTGGAATTGTCGCGCTCAGGGAAAGGGTCGCAACACTATTAAATGTAATTAACAATATGTCGGGCCCTCTAGTAGGCACCTTCAGTCATGCACTCAGACAGTTCATAATTGCACGGCGAGACAGCGTTGTCAAAAAGTGGTGATTTTTCTGTTTGTCTTGCTTGTCTCCCTCAAAAGGGGAGGCCTAGAGTAGCCCTATTATATACTCGGAAAATGCAGCGTGCAAACGGAAACGGAAAAATAAAAGATATCCTCGCCCTAGATATATACATCTAATCTCCTCTACAAATGAGCGTTTTACACTAGTTTAATAGTATTAGAAATGACTACTTTCTATATAAATAAATGTATTATACCTAGCAAAAGATAATATAAAGATTGAAAACCTTTACAATATGATAATTTAGAAAGTAAAGTTTATAAAAACATTTCCCTGATCTATTATTACTTACTTGGTGCCTATAATATTAAATTTAATATAACTAGTATCATTAATACTAACTAAATGCTAGACCTTTCAGCATATAGTTAAATATTATATTAGAGAGAAGCTTATAATACTAAAGGACAGGCAATTTATGAGTAATAATTAATTTAATTACTATTTAAGATCTTCTTATATACTAAGCTCCTTATATATTAGGATTAATAAGAGCTAATCCTAAGGGACCTTGTCTAGAATTAAGATTTAGTTATATATTTAACCTTATGCTGTTAATTAAAGCTGGGGTTTTCACTACCTTATCTTCTCTATCCTCTTATACTATATAAAGTCTATATATATTTAGTACCTAAATATAGAATAATAAATGTTCTTAGAGCTTCTATATCTAATTTATAATTAGTTTAATAGTATATAACCCTACTATTATAATACTCAGGACTATTTCTATATAACCTATAGAAAATGTCAATTTATATGTACTTACACTATATAAGCTACAATGTATATACTACAACTCCCAATTCTGTACTTTTATTGTCTCCTGAAATCTCATTAGCTAGTTTGAGGTTTCTGTAGACCTTCCGAGGCCTTTATCCACTCTACCTGAGACTGCCAATGCCCTCTCGTCCGCCGCGAGTTCGATAGGCAACCTTGCGTATTCAGCGTGCTCTCTTGCCCCTATGGATGTTGCTTCGTAAACTAGCCCTGGGGTGTCCACCACCCCAAACAGGTTCTTTCAAGAAGGATCGTCAGCAATATGAATCGCATAAGCAACAAAAATAAATAACAGCGTACCCTAGATACTGTGGGGATCTTTCTTATCCAACCGGCAGCCCTCGATGGGTCTGCCCATGCAAGCACGATATATTCCTCATCCGACAGGCTCATAAACGACATGGCGAACGAGTCGGACTTGGTAGTGAGCTCCCTGGAGGATGCGATGCGGCGGACGTCCATGGGACTAGAGTTGAGGTTAGAAACCTGGAAGACGTGGCCCTTGTCGTTGACCATGACCAACTCTTTCCCCGAAGGCGAAAAAGCAGCACACTGTACGCGGTTTCCCAGCTTGCTGTGACGGCCAGACATATCCGTTCGAATTTCGCTCCTGTATCCATCCTGCGGCTGGATCAACACCGGAGTACCCGATTGAGTCCATGTGGTGATGCAGACCAAATTCTCCTCGCCGTCGAGCCCTGGACGAAATAATGCCGAGGATACGCCGTTATCTTCCGACTCGTGAAGTGGGACTGGGTACCGGCACGTGGTGAGCTCCTGGAAGGCGTGAAATGGAAAACGCCACGAGTACGTCTGGATTAGGCCAGTTTTGGGGTTTCGAGTGCTCGCGAGCAGCACTAAACCGTCGTTGGAAAAGGTCAGGGTGTCTACAGACGGGCACCCTCGGCAATTTTGGTGGAGGACGGCATGCAGGCGGTCTTCTCGGGGCTGATCAGGGTTCCTTGCGTTGAAAAAGCGAACAGTCGCGTTCTCGAACCCGACCACCACATAATTCTCTTGTTTATCAATCGCAATGCTCTTGCACCAAAGAGAGGATGGTATTCGGTACTCGACGACAGGCTCGGTTGGTTGTGATAGGCTCACGATCCGTAGCTACAGCGCGCATGTCAGTCTACGCCCAAGAGACAGGGCGCTTGCGATAGAGGGCAAGGAGGAGTATATGGGTGCATGCGTATCGTACCGTCAGTCGCTGGTCCCTGGTCCCAATGATGTAAGCTAGACGCATCCTTGCTACGGCCGCAAGGATGCAGGTGCTCTCCGACATGATCGCCCTCACCATGGTCGGCGGTGATGTGCTAACATCCCATACGTGAATTAGAAGTTGCGTCCAGAATAGAGCGAGTGCCGAGCTGTGGGAAAGATGAACGTTGATGTTTTTCGAGTGCTTCCCTCTGATATGGCCCTTCTGTGCGCTAAGCAAACCAGAGAGAGATATCTCTTCCAGTCTCTGGGCCTCCAAAGCCGTCGACGAGAGCGAACTCGAGTCACCAGAGGCTCCCGCTGGGGCTTTCTTCGACCCAGTGAACTTTAACTTCCACCTGGATTTCCCCTTCTCGACCGACGTGGCGAGGGGAATTGTTCGAGGGGTATGGATTGAAGGGGTTTCGTCTACCCCCATCTGCCTGCGAAGGGCCGGCGAATCGCGCGAGAAGGGTGGCGGGTCTGTCAAAAAGCTAGCATCCAAATGCGCGAAAGTATGCTCCATTTCCTCCAGAGCCTTCTTCCCATGATTAAGCGATACGTCGGGGCGTGAAGGCTCGCTCCGGAGATGTCTAGGTGGCTGATAAGGGGACGAGGATTCAGGAGATATGGGGCCTAGGTAACCGGTACTGCCTGTATCACCCAGCATCGGGCTTGGTGGTTCTGGCTTTGTAGGATGGGACGGTCCATGTGACTCGGGCTGGCGGGGCTTTTCGTGTGAGATGTTCGGCACGTTGCTGCCGTAACCAGGAGTGAATAGGCCGCCTGTTTCGGTTTGTTTTGGCGGCCCTAACTGGAACTGTGTTGGTAGGTGCCGCTCCACGTTGATGGTGTCGGCATCCGGGCGAAGGGACTCCACCAATTCCCAGGTTTGCCGCACCGTCGGGACCTCGCGGGCGATGGTGACGGCCTCGCTGCAAGTCACGCATGTTGAGTTTTGCGGAAGACGAATCTCGGCCGTGGTCACGGGGTCCAACTTGAAAGAAAACGAAGGAAATAAACATGTTAGTCGGCAGGAGAGCTGTGCTAGTTCGAAAGCCGGGGACAAAACGTACCGGAAGCTGGATGCCCAATGATCTGAGCTGGGAAGCCCCGGTAAGATGGCATCCAGGACAATTCACCACGTAGAGGCCGGGTCGGGTGGGAGCGAAGGAGCCGCCGGGGTCATCTTGGAGCAAGAGATTTCTCACGATCTGCGAGACGTTGTGCACCATCTCTCTGTCGCTGACACGATGGGTGATCTGGCGCTCCTTGAGCTTCGTACCGAGGCTGTCCAAGGCGTCCAGCTCACACTCATCTACTCGAGACCCGAAAGCGTCGCGGCGGGAAAGGTCGAGCGTATCGGGGAGGATGATGCGGAAGGGGGTACTGAACGCCGCGACCATCTCTACCCTGGACAAGTGAGGGGGTGTGCGCAAGTTGTCGAGGGCCGTCAGAACCGCGTTCCGGGCCCTAGCAGACGACGCCTGGAGACGCATATCCCGTGTTTCTCCGTTTGCCGCATATTGAATAGATGCGGCGATGACGAACTGCGACACGTCACGCAGGGCCAGGAATTGGGCCAGCCAGTTACCAAACCCATTCGGGGGAGCTAGCTCGGAGACTGAAGCTGTTTGTAAACAGGGTGGGAGGGGATACTGGGCAAGTGTTAGCCCATCATCATTGGCCACTTGAAAAGGGGAAACGATGCGGTGTGCATGGGTGGTCCGTACCAGTTCTGAGGTCAAAGGGGGGAGTTCCGATCGAAACCTCGAGGGCAGAGCGAGGGCATCGGGGTCGATATGCAGCTGGCCAGTCACCTCCTTGCACACCTCTAGCAGAAACGACTTAGGGCCCGGGTAGCTGTCAAAGACCCGCTCTAAGGTTCCGTGGATACGCGCGAAACGCTCACGTCGATCCCTCGTGCGCTGGTTCGCGGGAGCTTTCGGGTGAAGGGTGAGGACGCGGAGGGCGGAGAGAAGGAACTCGGCCAAGTACCTGTCGCGTAGTTGCCGGTGTTCCCAAAGATACTCGCGACCCTCGGCGACGGTCTGGAGGGCGAGCTCAACGGACCGCAAAGCGACCTCCCAGCTAACAAGGAAGCCGAGGTACCATCCGACATGGGTTGTGTCGGACGGAATAGTCAAGCGCTGGAGGTCGAAAATGGCCTTGAGCTGGGCGAGCAAGGTGATAACCAGGTGCTGGTAAGCGTCCCGATCAGCGGCGCCAGCGTATATCTTCTCGAGCGAGAAGCGGCCCAACAGCTCCAGCACAATGTCATCAACGTCGCTTCGCAGGGCGAGGAGTCGCCAGGTGTTGACCAGGCGCAGGAAGAGCGAAGACGGTGTCGGCGCGGCCATGGTGTGCGACACCGTTCGGGGCGGCGCCCCCGCGATCTCGCCGTCCAGTAGTAAGTTGCAGGAGATACTTACTTACTGGCGGTGCCGTCTCGCGGGCGGTGCGGGGGTGCGGGGCGCCGCCAGTGAGAAACTCACGGGCTCGGCGTCCGCCAGCCTCTCTCACCTCCGGCTTCTTCTATCTCTTTTCTTGTATCTGATTCTCCCCGTCTAGTTAATATTCCATATGGCGATGCGGGTGTCGACCCTTGGTGGGGCGACCAGGTCAGTCGGGCTGTCGAGGAACCGCAATAGGTAACGAGGGACCGCGATAGGCACGAGGTTAAAGGGGCGTTCAGTGAGAAGGAACTTGAATTGCCGGAATGTGTGAAGTTAGGGGAATGTAATCGTGCGCGTGCCTGGGAGCGGCTAACCCTGCCGAGTTTCGCAGCGATGCGGCTTGCACCCTCAAAACTCCCACTCCATCCCTTCAGGTACCCCTTCCACCCCCCCCCCCCCCCCCACCTCTCTCTCCTCACGTCCGGTGGGAATGATATTCAAGCAAGTGGCAGGGCCCAGCAGACTATCTGAGAATATTGCTCCGCCGTCTCTCAGCCGCTCGGGTTTGGTCATTGGCCGACGTGGCTGAGTTGCAACGTTGGCTCGCGGCGTGCGACAGGACACAATGCGCGACGATATGGCTCTGTACGCGAGGACATTGGCATTTGATGCGCGATCAGTGGCTGAGCCTTGCGGGATCCAGAAAGCCATTATCTCCCAGTGCCGCGTGGTTACGTGCAGGTGCGGTTGCATTCTGGGTACGGTGCGAATTCACTGTCCTAAAGTTGGCTGGCGCCAACGCTCTTCATGCCTGCACTGGAGCCGACAGGCTGAGCCAAGCTTTTGTTTAAACTCATGTTACACAGTGGCGGGGTTGGGCAACCAGTCTGAGCTTTAAAGGAACGTTTATGGGACAGAAAAGATGTCGAGGTGACATTTGTGCGGGGCGGACTTGGAAAAGGCCCAGTGATGTTCTTCCTCTTTGAGCAGCTTTCCCGTTTTCTTGATGTCGGACAAGCGAGGAGCAGCTCTCGGTGCCTAGTTATTTTACGCCATATCTTGAGATGAATGGTGCGGGCATGCGCATCGGTTACCGCACATGACCCGTCTTGTCTCTGCGGAAAGCAACTGCATTATTTCCCCCGACCTACCTAGGGAGGGTTGGTTCGACACCCGAGTGACCCTACCCCTTCACCGCGCCTTGGGGTGGTGCGTTGATTGAGAGTCGAGGTCCCGGGAATGCCACGAGTGTCGTAAAACAGCCAACCCGTGTCGATATTACTTTGGTACACTTTTACAGGCTACTCACCGTGTTGATGCCGGACTGTAGAAAAGGTGGCTGGCTTGCCTGCGCCTCCTAGCGTACCTAAGGTGAACACTCCTTCCCCTCGCAATCCTCACCCCCTCAAGCCACACTATACTAGCGCTTCACCCACCGCAAAAGACAAGGCGTGTGGTAAGAATGGGCCATTGTTCGGCCGACCCATCCTTCGGCGAGTAGCACACGGCATGGGACTACACACCGGCAGCCTGCCGAGGAGGGTAGCAGCAGTGGCTCGTCACACTCGGGGGCTGGATACCAGGGGCGGGGAACCGAGCTGAAGACGGCAATCAACCACGTCCCGCACGGCTGGGCAGACTGTGCAGAGGGACCTCGACCTCTGATTAGCTATTATTTTTACCCGTGGCCGATCGCGATGCACCGCAGCAAGGTTGGTGGTGAGGCAATGTCGCGAGGAAGCCGGGTTACGGTGCTGGAACTATTATCCTCTCCAATATACATAATCCTCTCTCCCGGAGACCCCCCTCCACTCCACCCCGCTTGCCCTGCTGCTGCTGGGTGACCAGCTTTGCTCGCGTTCAAGGCGAGACCGTTTTTTAAACACCGCGATACTGCCAGTGATACGCAAGCCCCGTCAACAAAATGGATTACGAGAAGCCAGAAGCCATAAACCCGCAAGTGTACCAGCATGTAGGCCATCAAAGCCCACAGCCCGATGGCGAGGCCACGCTCCACGGCTTCGACGAACCCGTAGTTCCGGAGGACAAGCGCGAGTTCCGTAGCGACAGTCTTTGGTATGGCTCCCATATGAAGCGCGCTACCTACCTTGCCCGGCCTAGGCTTGACGATGGCATTTTTACTAACCTGGGCATGATTACGCAACAACAGGCGGGTACTTCACGAGCGTCATATCAATGTAAGCGCAACAGCAACTCCCCGACTTGGAGGCGAGTGCACTGACGTGATGCCGTCCCATTCAAGATGATCGCCTTTTCAGGGTAAGTCATGGTCAAGCCAATTAGTTCATTGACCCCGTAGGTGTTGATCGACATCTGCTAACATGCCGTCGCCAGGACAATTGGAAACGGTACTATCCATACGCCGGACCGAGAGTCGGTAGAGCTTCTTCTGATGTACCACCCATACAGGTCTATTTCTCGGGAGCGGAAGATCGCTGGCCAGTGCCGGACCGGGCGGCGCTGTTGTGGCCTACATTCTCATGGGAACGGGTGAGTAACCGGTGAAGTGGTTGGATTGTTTGGCCACGTAGGGGGGTAATATCACTGACCTTCTCACCCTACTAGTCATTTCGTCGGTGATCAGTTGCTTGGGCGAGATGACCGCGCTGATGCCTGTCAATGCCCCGGTTATGGAATTCCCCCGTCGCTTCATCAGTCGCGGCGTCGGTTTCGCCGTCGGCTGGATCTACTGGTTGGGAGTCTCGATTCCACCGACACCATGCGCTCGCTAACCTATGTCTCGTCGAAAGGTTCGCATATGCCGTCCTCGCAGGACAGCAACTAGTCGCCCTCTCAAACGCTATCAAGTTCCGGTACGACGACGGGAAAACATTCCTGAGCTGGGAAACCGGCGAACGGGTGGATAATGCCGTGTGGATCTCGGTATTCCTGGTCCTAGTCGTGACGTTCAATATGTTTCCAGTCCGAGTACGTATTCTAACCCCGGTACTAGAGTGCACTGACACCGCTGCATGCTGACTGGTGATTGCCTGGAGGTGTTCGGGGAGCTTGAGTATGTTTTCGGATGTTTCAAGCTTATGTTCATCGTCATGCTCATCATGGTATGTCATCACTCATCTCAGGCAGTGCCGACCAGAGTATTTTCTAACGAAGCCTGGGACACCAGATGATGTTCTTTTTGTCTATCGTTCAACGTTAGTCCTGCTAGTTCCCGTGTATGAGACTATAGTACTGATGGGACCCCCAACAGCCCGCGGGGATGCGTACCACACGGAGCCACTGGGCACACGTTGTACGTGACTGCTGGTGTCGCAACATGTATGTGCCGTCACTAACTGTCGTCAAGATTGGAATACCCCGTATTCATTCTTCAACCCGGCCTACATCGCCAAGGACGAGAACCTTGAGACCACCCACATTATTACCGGCTCCCTCGGAACCCTTATTGGTGTTTGGTACGTCAAATATCTTCCCTTTGCCAGCGTCTCTGCTTACCAACTGCCCATCGTTCGGTTACAGGACAACATTTACCAGCGTCCTATTCTCGTATATTGGGATGGACATTGTTGCCGCCACCGCCGCAGAGAGCCGAGCACTAGCCGACGTGGAAAGTATGAAAATGGCGGCTCGGAAGATCAACCTGCGCGTCATCACGCTCTACGCCATTGCTATGCTAACGGCTTCGTTCGTCGTACCGATGGATCATCCATTCATCAACGGCAAAGCGTCATCTGTGAGCGCCCGCTCGGTTTTCATCATCGCAGTCGTGGAGGCGGGCATGCCAAACGCTGCTCATTTTTTCAACGCCGTCTTTTGCTTCTCGGCCTTTACCTGCGCCATCAACTCCATGTATATTGCCACGAGGGTTCTGCATACGCTCGCCTTGCGCGGACAGACCGGGCCGGAATTCATCACAAAGCGTTTACGAGCCTGTAGATCCGGCGTGCCCGTCAGGGCCGTCCTAGTTACCGGCGCCCTGATGATGGTGGCTTACATGGGGCGTTCCGGCGCTCCCGGTGCGGTAGGTGGTGTTCCCCGTTCCGTTCTACGGATGGATCACGGCTAACTCGTAGCAATAGCGACTCGACGAGCTCGCAAATAACAGCACGGTTTCGTGCCTCGTTGTTTACGCCACCATATGCGCGACCTACCTATACTTCTTCCGAACGTAAGCTCGTCACGCCATGACATGCCGCGGAATATCTGACGAATCGTGCTACTAGACTCGAGGACGCTAAGTTGTACGGGAATGCGTCTGAATCCCAAGCGGCTAGTTATGACCGCGACCATCCGTTGTATCCATACAAGTCCCACGGCCAGTGGCTGAAAGGCTGCTACGGCATGGTGGCTTGTATTATCTTGATTCTGTTCAACGGTGTGGCCGCCTTCCTCGAGCCGTTCAATGTGCGCAAGTTTGTGTCGGCATACATCAGCGTAAGTCTGGGTCCGAACCCCAACTCCTCTTTTGAGCCACCCTCCCTCCACCCGCCCCATCGGCATGCCACGGGCTAAGCACGTATCACTCCTACAGCTACCGACATTCCTACTTCTCATCTTGGGGTACAACCTCCGGAAGCACGGCTTGAGGTTCTCTGACTGGTGGACTGACAAGTCCGGCGACCTAAGCAACACTGTGCAGGCAACCAGTCCGAAACGCAAAGGCAGGCTCGAATTCCCGGACGTTGGGTTTACGCGAGAGAACATGTCCACTTTCTTGGAGTGGATTTGGGTATGGATGAAATAGAGCGTTGGAGTCCACCATCTTCCTGTTTGTGTGTTTTTGATTAGATTTGACTGTAGAAATCACACTGCCTACCTGGGTATTTAGAGAGGTGTTGTGTGTCTGTTTCCATTCTCGCCAATATTGCGTTTGACTACTTCGTGATTCGCCTTGCCGTCGTCCGATGACTACCGCGAATACGATGTGTAATTTTCCCCAAGCAACCTAGGTTGTGCTACCAGGTAGCTCGCTTCTAGATCGAGGGGATCACGATGCCTACGTGTACATGTATCCGAATGACGAAATACGACCGCGTTTGTAATTCATCCCATGTATATCGGGGTACCAGTGTCCACCCTAATGTCCAAATTTCATAAATCACGACCGATTACATGTAGTCGAGCAAGTACAACCAGAATCGAGTCCACACGGTACAGCGTGTACTTGATTTTCCGACAGCAATGTTGCGAGTAGGATGGGTGCGTGACCAAAAAACGAAGACCATAGTCAGCCTCCGAGCCGTTGTCAGGCTATTTATTATTCTTACAAGCAAGGTTTTTATGGAACTACCGACAGGCTACTCGGTTTTGGTTGATGCCGACTAAGACCTGGGCTTTCCTTGATACCTCCTCTATATACTAGGTACGGCTTGATTACTCCGATACCAACTTATTAATGGTTGTATTTAGGGTGATAGGATAATAACCCAAGGCTGAAGGAAGCCTCTCCTATACCATGATTTAAACCATGGTTTTGTTTGTAACCCGAGCACACGACAAGATACTCATATTTGATAACCAAGCGCAACCGTGGATTCGAGACTGGACTGGCTAAAAGCTGACAGCTCAGAGGCCCCCAAAAACGCCCTGGCTTCATTTGCCAGGGAAGTCGTTCGGCGGGCGAGAACAAGGTGTATGACTAGACGTCAAGGGCTATCGGAATAACAAATGGCTCGCTGGCATGGACTATTCCACTAGCCGGAGAGAAGCGAGGCTTGCTGTAGTACATGGACCGAACACAGCATCAATATGCGCTGCGACGTACAAAACAGACATGCCCATCTCTAAACGGAAAACGCCCCCAAGATGCAGTGTACCCCTCAGCAATTTTGTATTATACAGGCCAGTGTCACCGCTCTCTTCCATCATGGGCGACCAATCTTTCATGCCCCTTCACAATGAAGTTTTGACCCTTGCCAACTTTCAGAGGAGCATCTTGCGAGGGTCTTCAATGTACTCCTTGATCTTCACCAGGAACTGCGTGGCCTCCCTGCCATCTAGCAGGCGATGGTCGTACGTGAGGGCAATGTACATCATGGGCCGCACCTCCGCCTTGCCGTTGACGGCGACGGCGCGGTCCTTGATGGCGTGGAGGCCGAGAACCGCGCTCTGGGGGAGGTTGATGATGGGGGTTCCTAGTAGGGAGCCGAACACACCCCCGTTGCTGATGGTGAAAGTACCGCCAGCCATGTCCTCAATGGTGAGCTTGCCGTCACGAGCCTGTTGCACCACGATCAGAGGCGATATCGCAGGACGGGAGTGGGGATGTAGTTACATACCTTCTTGCCCATGTCGGCGATGGACTTCTCAATGTCAACTAGGTCTAGAGACTCGACGTTGCGCACAACCGGGGTGACGAGACCCTTCTCGGTCGCAACGGCAACGCTGATGTCAACATAATCCCTGTAGACGATGGTGTCGCCGCCGTTGGGGCCCTCAATCGACGCGTTGACGACTGGGATATCACGCATGGCAAGCACACAAGCGCGGGAGAAGGCACTCATGAAGCCTAGCTTCACGCCAGTCTTCTTCAAGACCTCATCCTTGTACTTGCTGCGGAACTCCATCAGCGCCGACATGTCGACCTCGTTGAAGGTCGTCAGGGACGCCGCTGTGTTCTGGGACTGCTTGAGGCGCTCCGCGATGCGGAGACGCATCCGGTTCATCTTGACCTACATAACCTGTTAGCGCGCAGCGCGCAGCGGGAGGACGTGTTAACGACCTACCCTCCTTTCATCGCGGCTGCCCAGAGTGGCGGGTGCCTCGGCGGCCGCCTTTGCGGGTTTGCTCGGCTGCTTCGGCGCGGTAGGCTCCTCCTTCGGGGGTGCGGGTGGTGCAGCTGGTCTCGTTTCCTGCGGCTTGGATTCCGGGGCTTTATCTTGTTCCGGTCGGGTCTCGGGTGTCGCCTCGTTGGGTGCCTCCTTCGCTTCCGTCGCAGCAGGCTTATCACCCGACGGCGCACCGCCGAGCTCGATGCGCACCAAGTCCTGACCCACGGTAACGGTATCTTCCTCATTCGCTAAGTACTCCTTGATGACGCCAGCTTCTGGGGCGTTCACGGCAACATCGATCTAGCATAGCACAGCGCGTGAGTCTCTCGATACGTCCTGGAACGAACGTAACCGTGCATACCTTGTCGGTCTCGATCGTGGCAATCTCCTCATCTTGCTCGACGAAGTCGCCAATAGACTTGTTCCACTGTTTTAAAGTGCCTTCACTGATCGACTCGGCCATCGTTGGCACCTTGACGATCTTGTCGGCGTAGGTTCGCACATGTTGGAACTGCACAGGGAGCTGACGGAGTGCCGAGTGCGGGTTGGAGAGCGTGAGTCTGGGAGCGGCGCGGGCCGCAAGCCGGAGTCCTCGATACAGCATGATGGCGGTGTTTGAGCAGGGTCTGGTGTTGCGCACAGCGATTGCGGGAATTCGAGGTTGCGGCGGAACGGGTCGGCTTCGGCTTCAGGATCTGCAGTAGCGTCGATAACTAGCTCGTATTGGGCAAAGCGCAAACAAAATCACGTTTAAGGAGACGAGAAGCAGGGAAAGGCGAAGCACAATTGATCTGGTTGATACAAAAGGAAAACGGATAAACAAAAGGCAGCAGTGCGTCTGAATGCGCCGTTTACAGAACCGAGGGGAGAAAAAAATAGCCACAGGAGCTTGTTGGCGGAAACAGAATCCCAGCCTCAAATCGTGTCAGGGTTGCGGGGAGCTGGGAGCGGCGCTGCCGACGCCATTGAGCATCCGCCGCACCAACTGGTCTGGTGACCTCAGCCTGCAGCCGCTTGGACACAGGGATTCAGGTACCTTGCCGAGCGTGCCAAGGCAAGGAAGGGTATCCGGCTACCGCAGGGCTCGGCAGTCTGGAACGGAACGCCGGTGGGCGTTGGAAGTGAGCAAGGGAAGTGCTGCCTCAGGCCTCAAGTCTGGGCCTCAACGGGACGACCTTGCGTTGGGACTAAACTTGATCCGCTCCGGTCCCACAATTAAACCTTGAACTGACGGCGGGGGCCATGGCCATTTCTTGGCGTCTGTTGCATCCTCAGGCAGAAAGTGTATCGGGAGCTCTTCCAATCCACTTCGACAATTGAGCTCAACGCAGACCAAGCAAGCACTTGAAAAGTCGCGACACGAGCCCAACTATCACCGGTGTCGCCCCGCAATTCGACCGGCACCGGCACGGATCGGTATTTGGGAGTGACAATTGATATTCAACACGGCCATCGAAGGGCCTTGGAACGCCGCAAGAGGGCCTGTCGCGGGAGAACATAGCAGAAATCACGCCGCCCACCATGTCGTCGAGGCAGGCTGCACTGTCAGTGACACACCCATACCAGGATTCGACGGCCGAACTTTGCTGACGCCCAACCCAGGTCGCTCTACCGCCGCTCTTTGAAGCTCGCCCTGGACTGGTCGGTACAGCGCCATCTCTGGCGTGGCCAGGCGCTTTACATCCGCTCGCTGTTCGAGAAGAACCGGGACGTCAGCGATCCGAGATTGCAACGGGTGCGCAGCTGCACCTTTTTCGACGAGTGAACATCAAGTTAGAGGAGGCTGACATGGAAGACGCGCAGGCACTACTCAAGGAGACGGAGAAGTTGCTGGAGAAGTGGAAGCATCCGGACCCTTACGTCCATCCGACGGCCCCAGGAGGTGCGCATTTGAATGATTGCGCCTTGAACCAACACTTTATAGAGCTAACAAACCCTTGCAGGATCCAAGTATGAAAGGAACCTTCAGGCACCTCATTTGGATCGTGAGTTACACCCCCACCACAAATCATCTGTGCTACCAGCTGACATGCGTTTCCCAAAGCCCCGCCGCCGCTCAAGTTCTAATGAAACTGGTCTGAAACGGAGATGGATTGTACATATGATTTCAGAAGCATTGTGAAATAGAATATCGAGGTACTATCTGGTCCAGAGCTATCTGACAGCGATCCCGCCATGACGCTGCTACGTCCCATCCTGTTCGCAGAGATGGGTGGAATCGAGATGGAGCTGTGCCATGAGTGCCCCTAGGATGGGATTTTGGCGCGTTCATGTCGAAAGGTCAGGCGCGTTACAATTGGAACCAATATTGGATGTTCAGAGGATATTCTCATTCATAACCATGACCATGCCCATCATGGATTAATGTACAGCCCAAACACGCGAAAAAGCAACCGATGACCCGAGACCGTGACCCCAATATCATGAACCCAGCGTGCCGACCAGAAAGAAAAAAGCAAACAACACAGCCACAAAAATTAAAGCTCCTGAGACAAGGTCTTGCCAGCCTTGCCACCAGTCTTCTTGGGCAGGAGGTCTGAAGCAAAATGTTAGAGATGTACCAGGAGGCGGTCTGGAGAGAAAACATACTCTGGTGGATGTTGGGCAGGACACCGCCTTGGGCGATGGTGACGTGTCCGAGAAGCTTGTTCAGCTCCTCATCGTTCCTGATGGCGAGTTGCAGATGGCGAGGGATGATACGGGTCTTCTTGTTATCGCGAGCAGCGTTGCCAGCCAGCTCCAGGATTTCGGCGGCCAGGTACTCGAGGACAGCGGCCAGGTAGACGGGAGCGCCGGCACCGACACGCTGAGCGTAGTTGCCCTTCCGGAGGAGACGGTGGACACGGCCGACGGGGAACGCGAGACCAGCCTTCGAAGAACGACTATCAAACGAAATATTAGCCAACTGTAGGATGACAAACGCGCCGAGTAACCAAGGCCGGGTTCCTGGGAACCAAGACCAGGACAGGACGCGAGCGCATGTCAAAGGACACTTACGACTGCGCGTTCTTGGAACCGCTCGCCTTGCCACCGGATTTGCCGCCGCCAGTCATGTTGATGGTTTGTTTCGTGAAAAAAATTCGCGTGGAAGGATGTGTGATTGATAGCGAGAGAAATCTCGATGCGTGGATACAGTAATTGATGAGAGAGCTGAAGTTTGTGGATTGGGGGTTGGAAGAAGTTGAGCTGCGGTGGGGGATGTGCGAATTAAGTAGTTTTCGCGTCAGGGTGCGAGATCACGGATCACTCGCGCCTTTCTCAGGTTGTTGATCGCAGCTGTTGGAGCTAGTCCCGAAATGGTTGTGTGCATCGGGGCGCGATTACTCGCGGCATGGAAGAAAACTGGAGCGAGCGATACAGGGTCCACATGATTGGTTGGGTGTGGGGCGGATCTGACGTGCTCCGCCTGAAACCTTTTAAGATCAATGCCCCCAACGCGAACTGGCCCATGGGCGAGAAAATAATCCTGCACCAGAACCATTTTTTTTTTTAGTCGGGTCCCGCTCCCAAGCACAACAAGGTCGAGCAAGCATGGTTGATTTGATCCCAGCAGAAGCGCAATCACGACCACGTCCCTTTTCCACCTCTCCGGTTCGACAAATATTGTTGGCTGACTGATTTTGATTCAGTTGCTTCATCAACTTGCCCAGTTCGACTTTGTAGGTGATGCAAAGACCGGTTTTGCTCCCGGGTTCATGTCATCTTCTGGCTCGCCAGTTAGGGCCATCCTGGAGGCTGTTTAGTTACCAGGGATCCCGTTGACGAGCCGACTCGCCTCATCACTGTTGTTTAAGACAACCCTTGGCTTGGCACGTCCAATGCGTCTCCCAGTCATCTTGGTGTGATGAGTGAAGCCTTCTGCAACCCCTTTCGTGGGGTCCTGGCACTCGCGGAACCTTGTTTCGGGCTTTGATCCTCCACATTTTTGGTCGTCGCTTTGAGCACGGCTAATTCACTGATTTCATATGTCGAAGGCTCTATAGGGCCTTTAAGATACAGTGCCTTGTACTTTGCATCTGACATCGGTACTCGGCCTCTAGTCAAGAAATTTACAAAATGGAGGGATGTTGAGCCCATGACACCGATATTGAGTGAACCTCATCCTGCAGGACAGAACTGGGGTCTTCTCCCGCCCCGGGATCGGTACGAGGCGGGGCCGGAGTGCTTCGGGTACCACTCCATGCGGCTCTTCCCGATATCAGTGCTTATTTGCCTGCGTCTGCCATGCGTCACCGGGCCTGGTGGCTGTTCCCCAGGTCTTGGGAGCGTATGGAAATGTGTTTGAACTCCCGACGACCAATCAGGCTGGGAGGTTCTCCATGGGGATTATAAGGCTGATGGTGTTGACCCTCCTTCGGCGTCGAGTTTGACTGGGGGGGGGGGGGGGATATCCCCTGCGATTCTTTGGGAGCCCCTACCTTTCCTCCGCCGTGATCTCACCAACAGGGAAAGGCGGAGGTAGTGTACAGAAATACACAGTACAAGTAAGTAACTTAAAGGACGAATGTTGATCCTGCCGAATCAACGAGGCGAGAACGAGACGGGGCTTCACTCCCGCACTGCGATGCTACCAGTGATGTTACGAGAGGACGATGATATCGCTGAATCCTCGAGGGGTTTGCATGAGATTTCGGGGGCAGAGTGTTCGGCACTTCGCAGGATATAGCACATATGCTCTGCTTCACAAGCACGTTGGTGGTCAAATCGTCTACGCCGGACGACAACGGTGGGTGACCCTTGAGCTTTGGTTGTTTCACTCCAATGCAAGACTGGGGAAGGATTAACATTGTGTGTTTGGGGGCTTGCCCCTTCTTCTCGTGATAATTAGTGAGGGGACTTCAGAAGCGCGGGAGGCCATCTGTTGTGCATTCTGGGTGGCGTGGCGAGGGACGGATGCGGGGACCCGTTTGAGCATGCTGATTCTCAACCCACCATCGCGAGAAAGTTGGCATTCTTGGGAACGGTTACTTTCGACCTCGAAGAGTAGCCAGATTGGGACGTGTTGTGGCGCTTGGGCCATCGCGTCACCTCATGTCATTCTTTGTGCCGTCCCCAGAAGGGTGTATTTTTCGCCAAATCACGTCGCCGGCAGGAAGGTCCCCACTTTTCGCGCGGTCACCCCCAAATCAGCAGAGCCACTCCTGACAGGCGCGTCCAGCTACAAAAAGCCCAGTCCCCCTCGCCAACTGCAATTCTTCCTGCATCCACCAACTTTCTTTCGCAACATCCACGTCAACACGATCGTCAAATTCATCCAAGACTTCTAGTCGCATCGCATACTTTTCATCGTCAATCCAATCCTCAAACATTCAAAATGCCCCCCAAGGCCGCCGACAAGAAGCCCGCCTCCAAGGCCCCGGCTACCGCCTCCAAGGCTCCCGAGAAGAAGGATGCCGGCAAGAAGACCGCGCCTTCGGGCGACAAGAAGAAGCGGACCAAGGCCCGCAAGGAGACTTACTCCTCCTACATCTACAAGGGTGAGTTTTGGTGCACTGACGCGATTGCACGCGTCGAGCCAACTCCAAGCCCGGCTCGCTCCACTCGATGGGTCACTGACAGCTCCCAGTCCTCAAGCAGGTCCACCCCGACACCGGTATCTCCAACCGTGCCATGTCCATCCTGAACTCGTTCGTCAACGGTCAGTATTGTTCTGTCTCGCCGCATGCATTGGCTGCCTTCTAACGCGTTGATCAGACATCTTCGAGCGGGTTGCCACTGAGGCTTCCAAGCTTGCTGCCTACAACAAGAAGTCGACGATTTCCTCGCGCGAGATCCAGACATCCGTCCGCCTCATCCTTCCCGGTGAGCTGGCCAAGCACGCCGTGTCGGAAGGCACCAAGGCCGTCACCAAGTACTCGTCCAGCACGAAATAAACGACGGACTCGGGTTTTGCTTTTCTCGTTTTTCTCTTAGGGCACAGGGATTGCTTGGCATTTGGGAGTCATGACGAGGCTGGCCAAGGCACACACGCCCTTTGGAGTCTCTTAATGCAACGCGTTACGGATGGTCTGCTTTTTGGGGGCAATGTTTTCATGGTTATGGGGTTTGCGGTTGTACAATACATGCCTTGATATCAGGGTTTCGGGCGAAATGAAATCGTGCATATGACCAACCACCCGGTTCCAATCCTGCCGCTTGTGATCGTGCTACTAATGCTTGCAACCACGCCCAGCACATTGCGATGCGCGCTTCGCCAAAGTAACAATCTCTGTCAGTTGGGTTTCGAATCGCGTTCGTGCGGTGGGACGACGAACGGAGATTCTTCAAAACCAGCTACAACCATACATAGGTATATACAGTAATGTTGGGGTTGATCAGGCTATCCGAGGCCGGCCTTGGAACGCTTCATGACTTGTGCCACGGGCTCCAATATGCCCTGGTTGTCCAGCGCGCCGAGAGACATGCCCTTGCTCCAGCCCATCTTCTCTAACATGTTGCGTCCCTTGTTCTCTTGGCCAAGCTCGGGGACCGAGCCCCCCACGATTTCTCCCTCCCGGAGTGCGAGTGCCTTGTGCCCGGACCGTTCTCGACCCGCGTTTCTGGGGAATTCGGTCCTGGGGCCCTTAACGTCGACACGGTGGAAGTATTTACGGTGAATGTGCGATGCCGCTCTGTTGACATGACTGGTTGCCTCTTCAGCCCCAGTCGACGTGTACCGGAAGGTTCGGTTCGTCCGGTAAAGTACGGGACGGCGTTGGTCGCCTTTCCCAATGGATTGCGACTTAACATTGAATTTGTTCGCAAGCTCGTGGAGGATCTTCCGTGCTTGCTTGTCGAGCGGGGGGAAGTCGAGACTGGGTATTGTTAGTTTTGATGCAGCGGCAGCAAAAAGCCAAGAAGTTCTTACCGTTCCGCCGAGCTGAGAAGGAAGGAAGTTAACTCAAGTTTCATATCATCCAACTTCATGCCTGACAGATACTTGACACGCAGGTCATCAGGATCGGTGTTTTTCCCCAACAGCCCCTGGGCACGAAGAGCTTCACGTGCCAACTTGCGGCTCTTCTTTCGTTCACGGTCTCGATGATATCCAGTGTTCAAGATCGCCTCGATATCCGAGTCAGACACATCAAAGTTGGGGGCTTGCTTGCTGCGCCGTTTGCGCGTCTGCCCGGTGAGTTGGCCCCAGTCGGCAAGATCCAAACTGTCGAGCGCGTCCGCAACCTGGGTAGCACTGGCGGGTTCACGTAAACCACGGCTCGGGCCTGCGTTGGCCGGGCGTTTTCCGCGTGCCTTTTTATCATTGACATTGCCAAATGAGCTTGTGAAAAGCAGAAGGTCGTCGCTACCCATGCCAAGATCTTCTTGTTTGGCTAGAAGTCGGGCAAGTGTCTCGTCGTCCATATCTGCTTCCATGTCTTTCTGGCCGTCATCACTCATAACGTCGTCCACATCGGCATCGCTCAGGTCAGAGCTTCGAGACCCCTCCCCTTCATTGTTTTGTGCATTGTCGTCTATTGGTGACTTGTCGTTGCCAGATCCGAAATCAACCGCATCATCGTCGCCGCCAAGGTCTCGTCGGCCAGCGGTGGACTGGAATTGACTCGGAGGGTAGTCATTGTCCGAGTCTGCGGCCATGTTGGCGATGTAATCAGCCAATATCGCGTCCTCGTCTTCGTTTACCACGACATTCGAAGCCTGCGAACGCTTATGCCGAGACCGTGACCGCGTACGGGAAGACCGAGATTGATGTGTAACGGCCTGAGAAACCGAATTCTTTGAACCACCGCCCATAGTTGCTTTGGGTTTGTGCTCCGTCAACTTCACGGAGGGTGCGGTTACAGAGTCGGAGCCGATGATCTTGTTTTTCTCAGCGGCTTTATGACCACTCGTGGCACGACCTTTGAAGAGAATGATCTCCTCGCTTGAATCGGATCCAGAGAACGAAGACCTTGGGCTTGGGATCTTTGGAGGCGGGAAGGTGTGATCGATCATGGGCTCATCCTCTGCAAGATCAAAGAAAAACAAATCTGCAGTTTCGTTTACTTGCGTCTCTGACGGTTGGACTAGCTCATCAATTGACGGTTGTTGTGCTAGAAGCTCGGTCAACGAGGGCTGTCCAATGGTTTCGAGTGTGGTTTCGATAGCGGTTTCGGCATGAATGGCCCCTGTGTTAGTATTCTCAACATTCTTCACCTCGGCGGCGGCGGCAGCGGCCCCTATGGGATCCCCCAAAGGCTCCTCGGGAATGTCGGAGGCTGGCGTATCGTCAGATGGCCTTTCTTCCTTGAGAGGCTCAACAACCCCGGCGCTCACAAATGTGACGGGCTTCTGCCGAAGATGGGCATCTCCCGAGGGCCAGGCTGAAGAGAACTGATGGGATGCCGTGTGCTTCGCCTCATCTTTCATTGAAAATCCTATTCACAGTCAGGCATCCGAGGTTGATTAGCGGGGGCGGGACCTTGACCTACCGTTTGACTGAAGGCCCGTATTGGCAGTTACGGGCAAGAAGTCTCGCAACTTGCCTCGAGGTGCTGTAGGCCGACCACGTGGGGCCTTGGCTCCCGAAGGCCATTTGCCCCTTTTGGGCGGCATGGCCGTGTAGTTTTGGACCAAACGGCCAGATACAAAATGGCCGGTTGGAACTTGCTGATTTGGTTGTGTTTTGTAGGGTTGGTTTCTGCAAACCGGGCGGCTCGGTTGATCACAGAGCTGCGAGCAGAACGACACCACCGCCGGGAGATGCGTTTTGGTTTTCGCAAGATAGGCGTGACAGGCCTGGGGTTGTTGGTAGGTGGTGGCTAAAACTCGAAGTATGTGTTTGACCAGCGACCTTGGCCGGGGGAGTCACCCACTCACCCCCGGCTGGTCCACAAATGTGAGGGTTAGGGTTACACTTCGCAAAGGCGACTTTTGACAGAGCAGACAACCCCAAAGCAAAGCCGGGAAATGGTGCAACAGTACGGATAACCAGCATAGTAGTGTAAAAAGAACATTTATTTTTGAAGAGAAAACCGCCGAGACCTGTTTCCTGCAATATCACCATGAGTTCCACTTGGGTGCGGCCACTGTCGGTTCTTGGGCGAAGCAAGACCAAGGCTGGATAAGCTCGATAAGGTTCTCGGCCGGGTGATCGACCGGGGTGGGGAGGCAGCGGAAGCCTTGGTGGAGTGGCGGATTCCCTTCGTGAGGTAAGGAGTGGAGAGGTGGGGCCGGGAGCATATGACATACCCAGCCGCGCAGCCTCCAAGACCATTCCATCCGGTTTACCATCTTCTTAACCTTCTTCGAAACGTACACTCCAACGATTCGATTCTCACGTCTGGCATCTTTGCGCTCGGGTCCCTCAAATCCCGCATTCACAACGCAAGATATTTCTTTACTTACGCTACGGCCAATAATACCGTCGAAAGCGTGATCGTCTTGTACAAGCCATCCCGCGTTTGGTGAACTCCGCCGTCCTTCAAACGGCCGCATGCGGCTTCACCATTCCCTCATCCTCCGCGTCCGTTCATTACACCTCGTTAGAAGTTCACCCAAAGTCGGAAAACGCTGTATTCAATGACCCCACATCGGCAAGGAAACAACGGCTGGCAGTCCGCCGCCTCGGGCGCGTCTCCCGGGCTAGCGAATGCGATGGAGGTCGCGATGGCGGTTGGTGCAGAAGCCAGCCGCGTAAGTCGCCGCATATTGCAGAAGATATGGGACCCGGAGCCAATCAACGACCGGGACTCCAACGAACCGGTCTGGTGTCTCGGCCGCTCGTACACACTTGCCGCAAATGTATCTGGAACACCATCCCCGCCCACCACCGGCACCCCGCCCGCCGACCGCACAACTACGGCGACAACGGCTGCACCAGCTCCAATTGTGGCCCCTAATCCAAGCAATCAGCAGGTTCTCGACACACCGCCCGATTCACTCGCAAGCAGCTTCGATTCGTCGCTCGCATACGAATATCCCAGCCAAGACAGTGGCTGGCCTCCCGCCTTTCTAGATGACTTCGAATCTCGGATATGGATGACTTACCGGACCGGGTTCGAGACAATCCCAAGGTCCACGGACCCTAAGGCGGCTTCGACATTGTCCTTCGCAATGCGCCTCAAGACCTCGTTTGGGGACCAGACGGGGTTTTCATCCGACACAGGTTGGGGGTGCATGATTAGGTCAGGCCAGAGCCTGTTAGCCAACGCGCTGTTGATTTCACGGCTGGGACGCGGTGAGCTGCCATATACTCCCTCTCCGAAGCTCTGGACTAATTAGCGGCTGCTAGATTGGAGGCGGACCACCGACCCTGGCGCCGAGCGCGAGATCCTGGCGTTATTTGCGGACGACTCCCGCGCCCCGTACTCCTTACAGAATTTCGTAAAACACGGAGCGGTTGCCTGTGGGAAATACCCTGGAGAGTGGTTCGGGCCATCAGCGACAGCGCGCTGCATCCGGTAGGCCATACCACGCTAAGGCGCCTTGGAGCGAGGACGAGGCACCGCTAACGATATATAGAGCTCTGGCGGACCAACACCGGAGCCCGTTGCGGATATACTCGACAGGTGATCTCCCTGATGTCTATGAAGACAGCTTCCTGGCTACTGCTAAGCCTGATGGCGAGACATTCCATCCGACCTTGATCTTAGTATGCACGAGACTGGGCATTGACAAGATCAACCAAGTGTATGAGCAAGCTTTGATTTCTACTTTACAGATGGAACAGTCGATCGGTATTGCAGGGTGAGCAATGTTCCCTACCCTAGAACCCTTGTCTTTTTTGCTAATCTACTTTAGGGGACGCCCTTCGTCCTCACATTATTTCGTTGGTGTCCAGAGGCAGTGGCTATTCTACCTCGACCCTCACCATCCCAGGCCAACCCTCCGGTATCGCGAGAACCCCAATGACTATACGGCAGAAGAGCTAGACTCCTGCCACACTCGGCGGCTCCGATCTCTTCACGTTGAGGATATGGACCCTAGCATGCTGATCGGGTTCCTAATACAGGACGAGGATGACTGGGATATGTGGAAGAGTGCCGTGAAGCACGTGCAGGGAAAATCCATCATCACCGTTTCACCCCATGACCCGGCGCGGGGTATGGGCGCGGCCCGAGCTGAGGCCATTGACGAAGTGGAAACTCTGAGTGACGACGACGATGCGGACACAGTTCTTGAACAATAAGGCTATCCGGCATGCGCACGCCGGATATACCGGCTGCCTGGCACTGTACGGATGTGTTGCTTCGTTGTTTGGTTAACCGCGCTCGCCAAGGTTGAGGCGTTTGTTAGTCCTCAGAGGCATGGCTAAACGGCGATCGCATCGCGTTGCCCGGTAGGCCCAGCAGCAGCAGGACTGCGAGTTCCAGCACGGCGACACGCTCTTTCCTTAAAGCCGGGCTGCCGGGTAAACACAGTATGGCTTATCATACCTGTGGCGACGCATATGTGTTGTCGACTATGCTTTAGGTGGCAAGGGTCATACTCGGCGCAACGCTGCTGCGCGGTCATCGACTCCGCTTCTTCTTGTCCGCCTTGACGTTGGAAGCAGGAACAGGGGCTGCGTGATTGAGGTCCTTGATATGGTCGAAGAGCTTGGACCGGGATGTGAAGGTCTCTTTGCATTTGGCACATTTATGCTGGACTTTGGCGTCAGGAGTCGGTTTGGTTTGTGTACACTCGGAAGCACGGTATTGTGACTTACAGAATTGGATGATCCAAGCTCGGCGGCCTGCCGGGCAGCCTTCTTTTCCCGCTTCAACTTGGCTTTGCCGACTTTTTTGCCTTCCTCCTTTTCATTGTCGCCCGTCAAACCATCCAGGCTGGCAACTGCAGAGTGCACAGCGTCGGATGTGCTATCTCCCGTACTTGCCGCCGTCGTCCCCCCACCGCCCGCATTTAGAATGCGGTCTTCGACGGCTGACCGCGGTGCGTATTCGTCGTCCTCTGTGTCTGACTTGAAAGGTGTGCCTTTGTCCGCGCCTTCTTCTATGCTGCCTGGTATTTGGGGTCCCTCCTTGCCCTCTTCGGCATGCTCTATCTGAGTGGCTGCATCACTCTCAAGGGCACCAACCTCTTCTGCCTCAATCCCCTGATGGGCAGTTGACGCCGAGGAAACCTGTCCTAATCCCTCCAAATCGAAATTCGCGTTTTCCTTTTTCATTCGCCGCTGTAAACTTTGCACTGCCTTGATGTGCTTTTTACTCTTTTCGTGCGCTTCGAATTGGTTCTCGCTCTTGAACGTTTTGTTGCACACGACACATTCGATCTCCTCAACCTCTTCCTCTTCCTCCGACATCGAGAACTCGTCGTGGTCTGCATCACCGTCCCTAGACTGTGCCCAGTCTGGGACGACGTATTCGGCGAGCTTCTCCTGGTTCGCGGCGCGCGACCGTGCTGCTTGGGCGGCGGCTGAGTTCCGCAGCACTTGTTGCCTTTCGGCTTCGGACTGCGTGTTAGGTACATAACGGGGGTCTCGCTTTTTGACGAACGCAACCAGAGACAGTACGGCATCGTTGAACTCCCTAATCCCCTCGTCACGAAATTTCTTGTTTTCCTTCTCCATCAGGCGGCGGACGCGACGATCAGGGGCTTCTTGAAGTCGATATTTGTCTCTCCAACTGAACGTCTTCCTAGTTGAGAAACCCGACCACACATTGTAAAAACGCTTTGTGACCGCATTGTAATCATCCCTGGCTTTACCGAACGGCGGATACTCCGTCGACGCGACACCCGCCCAGTCACAGGCAGCGGTCTCCTCCGCAGCTAGCTGGTCGAAAAACTCGTTCAGAATCCCAAAGAAACCCATCGAGCTGTCATCCATAGGCACGCTCGAGTTGAATCGGCTCATCAGGGCGAATATGGCATTGGCCGAGGTATGGCCGTTCCCAGGATCCGTGGGTGCGGTTCCAGCAACATCCTCCTCACCGCTGAGGATGGCATCGCGGTGGGAGTCGTACCAGGCACGCTCCTGGGCATCGGATAATATCTCATACGCAGTTTGTACTTCGGCGAATCGTCTGGTCGCGTTCTCGGTGTCGTTGAAGTTGCGGTCTGGATGCAGCTCTAGGGCCTTTTTCTTATATGCTCGGCGGATCCTGGCCACGGGCCACGGTTAGCAGTTGGCTACTTGAGATGTATAACCGGAGACCATGGAAGGCTACGGAAAAAGTTGGACGACTCACTCTTCATCGGATGCCTCTCGGTCCACCCCGAGCAGCTCGTAATAGCACGTCTTGCGCTCAACTGCGACCTGGTTACCACCGCCCCGCGGGGCTGACTGCTCGGCTCCCATCCCACCGAGCCTTTAGGGCGCCTATCAACCCGTCGTGGTCGGGAAAATATGGTTCTCGGTTTCGCGTTTCTGTTTTCGCGTTTCTGTGTGAGGCTGGCCGGCAGGAGATGCCCCCTAACATCCGGTCGGGCAGGAACTCGGGGCGGCCGGTGTGGCGCATTCATCTCGAGGGAGTCACTGTGGGGTTCATGAGGAAAAATTGAAGTGGGGGCGGGGGGGAGTGGGGGAGGTGGAGAGGCGCGCACGACGTGACGTGCGGTGGGGTTGCAGGAACCGTATTTTACCGTACGGTACCACAGTACATGATCCGTTGACCCACGAGGCTTTTTGTCGCCGGTGGGAAGAGCGAGGCCAAGGCTGCATGATAACCGACTAAGTAAGGAGTCACGCGACAGCGGTCATCAGGTTTCGCCCATCATGAGGACAGCGAGTGATCCGATTACGTACCGAGCCACGCTGACCAAGGGCCTAGACCAGTACAAAACCGGCTGTGGGGCCGCGTTCCTGATGTAAAAAGAAGCCCAGGGGAACAGACCGAAGGCACTTACTCCAGTAACCGTTAGGTAACGGAAGCCTCTGACCATATTCTACGCGTGAAGACGGCGCCAATTCCTTGTCGAACAACTTGGTTCATTCTGAGCCATTTTCTCGCCTCCTCACATTTGACGACGAGCCAGGCTGTTTGGGCTTCATCCTCGACCATCCTAACAAGCAGGCTTTTTTTTCCCCATCCCGCTTAAGCTCGTAATACATGTACTCGCTTCCCGTCATGCACAGGCGTCTTTCCGGGCTTGAACCAGTTTGGTCGTTTGTGTTCCCGATCCTGTTACCATGAAATTCGGTCACGCCTTCCAGGAGGCTTTAGCCGCCGATAGCTACCCGCAACATTGGGTAGAAAAAGCCATCCCCTACCGCCAGCTCAAAAAGATACTAGGGAAGGTTCGAGAGGAGCTCATAAAAAAAGGCTACGACCCAGACACGCTCCACCAGCTCCTGACCGACCGTAACGCCGAATACCGACTCGAGACAGATGCCTTTCATCTACTACGGCCAAGGCTTGTTGTGCGCCCAAGTCTCTCGTTAGAACACGCCGCGGTAGCGGGATCTCCGAGCGAGAGTCCCCTAGAGCCAGATGGTGCTAACGCTCCTCGCCCGCCCGAGCGAGGCCAGGGCCACGAGAGCTATGAAGCCGACGAGTGGGTTAAGATCCCTTTGAGTTCAGATGTTCGGTTCTTCGGTCTCCTGCAGACCGATGTCACGCAGCTCGACACACTCCAGGACGAGGAGCGGCAGTCGATGAACGACAAGATCAAGAATTTGGGGTCCGAAATTGCCGAAGTAGCCAAGCCGCGCAAGGGCATGTTGAATCTATCCAAGTCGGACCTTTACCGCTGGCGCGAGATCTTTGAGCTCTATCTAGCTGCGCAGGTATTCTTCTCGACGTATGAAGTCGCGGGGGGGTTGCGGAAAAGCGAGAAAGCGCAAAAGCAACTTGTCTGGTTCCAGGACGAGGTCAACAAACGGCAGCTTCCGCAAAAATTCAAGATCGAGTCGAGCACTGCCGCGTATGCCCAATTCCTGGCTTTGAACGCAACTCTGTTGCAAAACCTGCAGTTTCAAGAGTTGAACCAGACGGCCGTCATCAAGATCATCAAGAGTGAGTGGGAGACCTGCGACCACACATTGCTGCGCATGACCTTACTAATCAGCTGCTCAGAATTTGACAAGCGGACATCACTGGGGGTGAAGGGGACGTTTCCGAAAGTGATGTACTCTGCCAACTTCATATCCGAAACTATTTCCAAGGATATCTGCGCCCAACTAGCTCGCGAGGTGGTCAGTCTCGTTCCACAGGTCGTTGACTATTCGTGCACAATATGTGAGTACCATATGCCACAAAACACCCAATCTTAGGCTGCACGGCCACTCGCACCACGTATGACTGGAACCCAGGGCTGACAATCGTGTCTTAGGCCTTTCCCTCTGCTGGCTGCCTATCCGACTCGACTGCAAGCACTTGTTCTGTATCCGCTGCATGATTAAGATGCAGAACCAGAACAAACGGTACTGCCCACTCTGCCGGGCTGACGTTGTTCAAAACGCAAACGAGAGTATGCCTCCTTTCCCTGAGCTCTCAGTGGCATCTACTGACCTTGACCGCCAGCCCACATCGACGACCAACTCGTGCGATACCTTGAGCGATGGTTTCCCAAGGAGACCAAAGAGAAACAGGTATACAATGAGATTGAACGACGCAGGGAGTTGTTCGGGGATATTTACGTCGGGGACAGGGACCCTGCTCCATGTACTGTGATGTAAACCTTCTGGCCACGGTGAGCGTGGCGGTTCTTTCAGCGTTGACTTGCGCGCCCGTCAACAGAGGCACCACAAGCAGCGAATAATTTAATCCTTAATTTCCTCGTATCGATCACTGTCCATTGGTTTCCACCCCTTCGCCGGCTGCCCTCAGTGCGGCCTTGAATACGTCCACAATTTGTTCGGTCTCTTCCAGGCCAACGCTGATGCGGATCAAGTCGCGCTCCACTCCAAACTCTTCAGCCCAGTCGAGCTCTTGGTAGTGTGCCAGCAGCACGTAGGGGGAGGCGAGGGTGAAGTTGGTGCCGAGACTTGGGCCCTTGGCCGTCTCAACCGCGTCGTAGAACGCCACAGCTTGCTCGTGCCGAAGGAAAACGACGGATAGGAGGCCGCCGTATCCTCCGTTCGGCAACTTGCATGCCTCGTAGTTGGCCTTGGTCTTGTTGTACTTGGGATAGAAGATATTCTTGACCAGCGGGCTGTCCCTGAGCACGTCGCAGATGGCATCGGCGTTGGCGTTGATCCGGTCAATACGGGAGACGAAGTCGCGGCTGTTGCGCTCCATGAACATGACGTCCTCGGGCCAATACGTGTCCTCGTAACTGGTTCGCGCCCACTCTTTCAGCGCTATATAGTACCGGCTGTTGGGGTTGAAGATGGCGCTGCCCCCCATGACGTTGCAGTCGCCCGAGAAGATCTTGGTCAGGCTGCTGGCGACGATGTCGGCGAAGGGGAGCACGTTTACGTTGGCAAATGTGCCGATTGTTTCGTCTACCACGACCGCAAAGTCGTACTTGTCGGCAAGCTGCCGGATACGGGCCAGGTTTGGACACGCCAGCAAGGGGTTGCCGGGGAACTCGCAGAAGAGCGCTAGGAACCGCTCGCCACCCTCGAGACGCTTTTCGAGGTCGTCGAGATCTGATTCCGAGCCATGTCCGTAGAATACGGCCCCGGGGCCGAACTTCTCGAGAATCTTAAAAGTATCTACGTAGGAGAAGCCGAAGTTAACGCTCTTTAAGCTACCACGGGCGCCGAACAGGGCGCGGTGGGTGTTGAAGATGGCACTCATGCCACAAGGGAAGAGGTAGATGTCATCCTCCCTGAGGTTGACGACACCTCGCGAGTTGGACTCCATCTCGTCGTCGGGGGCAGGCGCAGTGGTGAGCTCGCTGTCACTCCGGAGGGCACCCGCAATTCGTCTCTTGATGGCGGATTTGGCGGGCTGCACGAAGGAGATGTCGAGATTCCGACCAAAGCGCTCCTCCAGAAATCGTGAGGTTTCCTGGATCTCAGGTGCCGCCGCTGGGCCTCGGTCTGGACTGGGCTTCTGCGAGAGAGTTGCTTTCGTGGTGTCGATGGACGCCGGTCGCTGGTAGCGCCTGGGGCCTCTGCATGGCTTCGGGCTCGCGGCAGCTGGAGTTGTGGCCCCTTCATCTAGATGAAGTAGGCCATCTTTGAAGAGGGTGTGGCAAAACTCGGCTCTGCGGCTGGAGACACCATCGCCCGTGTGTTGCCAGAACTGCTTGAGGAAAGGGAAGGCCTCCTGGGAGCATAGGACGGCAGAGATGACCGGAGAGAGTGACTCCAAAGCCTCGGGGATCGACTCTGTCGTATTCAATACAAGGTTGACGGTGTCGAGTGAGGCGGCGACGGCCGGGGGGGCGTGCTCATTTACAAAGCGTACACAACGAGCAGCGATCTGGCGTGTTGGAAACAGAAAGGCCTTAGAATCCTTGGTCCCAAATCTCGCTGCGATATCTGCGGCAAAAGCCTGGATGCTCCTGTGGATAAAAAAGCTGACTAGAGTGTCAGTCGAGCAGGAGGGGGCAAGAGAGTCGAGACGGATGGTAGACTCACCGAGGATAGCCGGTTGACATTTGGCCAACAACCCAGTCCTCACCCTCCTCATAGCCGATGTTGGACTTCCATGTCGGCAGGGAGACGCTCACAGCCTGCGCAGCTACCGTCAGCTACAAAATGACCATGTGTGCAGCGCAGCTGGGCCAACCCATTCAGGAGGAAAGGGGGCTTGGGCTGGCTTACATGAGCTGTATGCGGGGGGATTGACGCCCCAAGATCGAAATCGGGCATTGCCAAATAAATACAAGATAAAGCACGACTCGATACCCAAATATTCACGCTTTGTTTTCTCTCGCTTTGCGTCCTTGAGAGGTTCGCTGAGCAACACCCCGCAGTTTGTCGTCAGAAAGAGCGGGCGCCTGATGGTCGGGGGGTGGGTGGGTAGGGAGGTACCCGGTGGTTGTTGACTCACTGTTACCGACTCGGCCAAGTTCGGGACTTTCGGGGATAGTTCTTGAGGTTAGGTACAGGTTAGGTACTTGGGAGGGGTTTCAGTCCCCGAGTGTCACGCTGTCCTGCCGCCCACGCTCACGTTCTTCACTAGGTTGTTGCTGCCACATCCGCGTTGCGCGGGTGAGTTGCGAGTGGTTTGAAGCGACGGCAAAGTACCCGAGCAAGACATTCCGACTATCGGAGGTGGAAGAGGTTGCTGGTGGACAAAATATGGGGACGGCAGCCTGTCAGGTACCGCCAAATCTCCGATTCGAGAACCACCACACAAGATATTGCTTTGCCACTTCTCGGTCATAGCACCCATGATGCACGATACAAAACTCTCGACGAGAACATGCTCGATGGGAGCCGCGATCCTGCGACGCCAAGCATAGGTAGGTAGGTACCTAGGCACGGAGGGAGGTATCTAAGAATTTGCGGGCTCGGATGGAGCTACGATGTAGAATAACATGACTAACGGCAAAGCAGGCATATTGTCAAAGGTACATACCATGGTATCTCGGGTATCGTAAGCATGCGGCATGCGGCACGTTGCAGGCACTCGAAACGTGGGGTATTTAGTCAGATGTTTAATAAAAGGTCGCGGCCAGGGCCCGCCTCTGACGATGAGCGAACGGCTCTCCCGGATGACCCGAAACCACAATGAGTGGCTTAAGACACTCCTCTTCGACATTCCAACAGCAAAATCCACACAATTTCTGACTACCGAGGTATATGAGTAACACGGAAAACCATCACCCAATAGTGACCACCAGATTGCTCTGTCATAATCCAAGTCTCATCGCCGGATCACTCTACCTCCTCTCGATCATTCCCGTACTGTATGTACATACACTGAAATAATGGGTGGCAAGGAAAGCCCCCTCTTGAAACAATCGCCCCGTTGACCATAAAAAAACACAAGGAACCAAAACGCATTTTCCTGGTATATACACCACCACAACGTCGCTCAATAGTGCGGTCGCCCACTCCTCCGGCTCCCAACACAGCTAATACTGTCGCTCGGCGCGATACTGTCCGCGTCGTCGTCATCGTCATCGTCGTCGTCACCTTCCCACTTGGAATGACTGCCCGCGTAGCTCTCTGGTAAGGGGATATGGCGAGCCGACACGTAGGTAGGCGGCCTGCTCGACGGAAGCGGGCCGTCGTGGGCCGAGGGGTAGGCTGGCGCCCTGCTATCAGGATAGGGCATGTCGCGGGGCGAGAGGTACGCGGGGGGCCGGCTGTCGGGGAGGGGGAGGTCGCGCGTTGATATGTAGGTGGGCGATCGGCTGTCGGGGAGAGGGACGTGGCGGGCCGAAGAGTAGCTGTCTCCTCGGCTGTAGCTCCGGGGGCGGCCGGCCATTTTGTACGTCATCGTCGTCGTTGTCACGCGGCTGCCGGACCTCGAGTGCGAGCTCACCTGCGCCGGTGCGCCGTAGGGGTCAGATGGGACCCCGCGGACCGTGCTGTTGGACCGCTGGCTCTTGGCCGAGACGTAGCTGTCCCGGTCGGGGGTATCGTATGTGTAACTGCGGTGCACTATCGGGGGGTGCCTCGAGCCCTTCGAGCTCGCATAACTATGATACTCGGCTTCGGCCCCGCTGTAGGGGTCCCTGTAACTCGCCGACTCACTGCGAGGCCGCGCAGAAGAGGTCCGCGGCCGGGATGATGGGTGACGACCCCGTGAGTCATCGTAGGCGTCGTCCACCTCCCTGCTCCGCGGCGCATCGGCTTGGCTGTACCGCGCGATGTACTCGGGCGGAGGGCGGCGATAATCCGACGTAGGGGGATAGCGGACCTTATCGACGGCACGTTCCACTTCGACGTACCGGGGCTCGCGATCCGAATACCCGTCGTACTTTTCCGGAAAGGTCGATCGGCGTGAGAAAGATGGCATGTCGTAATCGTGCCGGGCGTCCCGAGGCTTGTCGCTCTTGACGATGTTGTAGGTGAATGCGGCTCCGGCAGCAACACCGAGGAGGGTTCCGACGACGGCACCGGCGCTTAGGCCGTTGGAGTTCTCTCGCGCGGATGCGGCGGGTTCGTAAACTGAGGACCCGGCGGTGACGCTCCGCCTGATTCCGGGGTGAGGTTGGTCGTCGTCGTCGTCGTCGTCGTCGGGATACTGGGCGTAGGACCGACGGGAGACGGTGCGAACAGATGCGCCAGATGTGGAGCTGGGGCCGGCGGGTGAAGCGACGGACGAGCTCGCGACGTCGTAGTTCCAGCCCAGGATGCGGCTTGCTTCGTCGCTGGTTGACTTGGTGTGGCGGACGGTCGAGCCGTTGTATTGCGAGGGGTAATTTGGTGGCGGTTGATAGACAATTTCCATCATGTTACCGACAAAGTCAGTTATAAGCACCCGGGTGCCGCCACCGCTGGTGTCTCTCCGTTGCGCGGACGCGCCACCGCCAGCAGCGTAACTCTCGCCCGGGTGGCGGGGCTGCGTGTCCCGGGCGTCGGGATTGGCCCGCAGGGCAAACTCGTAGGAGGAGTCGGCCGCGGCCGCCGAAGGAGCGCTCAACGCAATGCGTGAAGTCCTCAGGGGCCGATCTCTGCTCGAGATCACCTGCCTGATCTGGAAGATAGGGGCGGTTCGGGAAGCGTTTCCGTATGTGATGGAAGGGAAATGCCCGTCTTCGGTGGACAGGTAACGCAGGCCAAGGGGGCGTATGACGGCCGAGTAGAAAGACGAGGAGGAGGGGAGGTGGTCAACCTCCAAGAAGGGAAGCATTGGTACAATATAATTACGCCCAGACGCGCCGGCTAGAGGCAGGAGTTGCCTTGGGCGGAGCGTAGCAGTGCGGTCTTGTCGCACAGGGAGTCGGGGACAGGCACAAGCGGCCACGAAGACGACTCGACACCAGCGCTCGAGATAGCCCAAAAGAGATTCTCAGGGCAGTGTGGCGTGACGAGGCGAGCTGGCCGGGGTTCTCTCGACGGCTGAGATCCAAGCAAGCAAACGCCACGGGGCCGAGCCTCACGTAGCCCAGCTGGTGGAATGGGGGTGGGGTGAGGAATAAACACCTTCCCTCGGCCTGCTTGCTGTCGGAAAGCGTTAATCAAGCCGTGCCGCTTGTTTGCACACAACTGGCTTTGGAGAAACGCAAATCAGTCGCATCGGGAGTCACTCGAGCACCAGTCAAACTCTGTGCATTCGTTTGTTGAACCAAGGACAGCGTTAGGGAATTATGGAGAAGGGGCAGGCAGCTTGGCCGTGTGCCAGGCGAAAACGGTGCTGCCCAACTTGGGACTCGAGGAGGCCGGGCTGACACCTGGCCCCGCAGCGGTTGGAGTCCAACGAGAGAGGACGTGACATGGGAGGCCGATGGGGCGACCGAATGGCAAGCATGAAGTTGATCGCTGCGACCGGTTTGACACCGAAGCCACATCCCTCAGCGTCTTGGTGTCCCAGATAGATCCCCTGACCGCCAGCACTTCAAAGGGAAGCCGAGGAAAGTTGAGGCTCGTCAACTTTGATCTTCAACCCCTGACGCACACACAGACATACACGCGGTCTAAATCGGATCGGGCGCCGGGTAAGCGGTAAAACGGGCGCCGGGCTCGCCCTGCTGTGCTGAGCCAGCGGGCTCAGCCGGTCGGCTGTGGTCCCTGTCCTGAAAAAGTCGGGGGTGGCTGAGGGGGAAGTGCCTCGCGGCTGCATGTCCCTGGACGCCTGGATGATTGTCCATGTGCAAAGACAAAAAGGAGCACATCCACTGATCTGAACTCGCGCAGCCTGCCACGTCGAGCAGTCTCCAATTTTCCGGATTTCCGATGGGGCCGCCTCGTGAACTGCTGTGACCGGGGGCCCCTCCCAGCGCCCGCCCTGTCCCAAGCTGCAAAACGGTTCGATCCGAGTGGTCAACCCACCGTGTTGGAAGTTGCTCACGTTCGTTAACAGAGATGGTGGGATGTTTGCTCAATCCTTCCACACCTCCCGGAGAAAGGCCCTTGGTCACCTTGTGGTGAGGAGACCGTGAAGGGGCCCGCTGAATGGTGGTCGTTTGTTGTTGTCCAGATTACGAAGTCCATCGTTCGCCATTGGAGATGGAGAGGGAGGCGGGGTGGGCCTCGGGAGCACAAACCCCTGCCCAAGCGCTTCTTCTCCCGTTTTAATTGGCCCTATGCGTGCCTGAGAGGCCGCCTTCTCGAGGGCGAGTTTTGCCAGTGAACCCGAACTACGCAGGACCGTGACCTTTGTGAGAACGGAGGGCAGCATTCACGGCAACGACGAGGGGAAGTCGTCCAAGAAGTAGATTATTACACAGCACACAGAACTCGGGGAGCAGGATTGGCCCAATTCGAATCGCATTCATCACCCCCAATCTCTCGACCCAGACCAGACATCGGCCTAATCTGTCGACTCAGACAAAGCTCGTCTCGGAATCCGGCCCGCTGCAACTCGGTTTCCGGGCCCATTGTCCTTGGACCACACCCAGGCTCGTCCGCAGCTCCTGGCTTCTGGCCCTGCACGAGAGACCACTCCCCAAGTCCCAGAGCCGAGGCTGGATGGATGGTCACTGCGTGCCTGTCGGATGGTCCTGTAGGTCAGCTCGTTACATCAAGCATCTTGAAGAGAGGAATGAAAATTATGTAGTGTGAAAAAGTGGTATGAAAAAAAGAAAAAAAAAAAGGGGAAGACACAGGCCAAGTTGAAGTGGCAGTGTGTAGACGACGAAAGCGTCTTGGGTTCCGTTGTTGAATGCCCCATGTTTTGGTTGCAAAAACACCGACAGCTCAAGCACAGATGACCCAAGTTCCGGAAGACAAAGGTCGTTAACCGCGATGTTGTATCGCGGAACAGACACAATGCAACCGCAGCCCCCTGAATCAAGATAGGGAGCCGACAGATCTTTCCATCCCATCCCCAATCCTTGTCGGTATCATTAGGTTGAGGGCCAGCCCGACGACCGGCCACAGCAGCCTCGTAGCCATTGCGTTGTGGCGTGGCGTCCGCCTCAGAGGATGTCCCAGCTGTCCTCAGCGGCATGGCAGAACTTGCTGCAGGCAACGCTCGCCGAAAGGCTGAAGTTGCTGATCGAAATCTTTTCGTCCACGTAGGCGTCGGCGAAATTGTCCGCGCCCTTGGCCATGGCACCCACGAAGACGCAAATGCTCTCGTCCGTTCCGAGCGTGTCGATGTAATCGCGCACCCGCACCATCGGCGCGTCAAAGCTGAGCGTGATCTTCCGGCAGTTGGGGGGGAGATGGTCGGTGATGGGGTTCTGAATCACTTTCAGGAGCTTTTCCTGCGAGTTGGTGCCCTTGATGGAGAGACGGTGGAGGAGCTGGACCATCAGGCCGGCGAAGCGCTTGAATGTCCGGGGAATGCGGACCGACGGCGAGACTTCGATGAGCACGCCCTTGGCGGTCTGAATGTAGATCTGCAGTTTTCCGGACTTGTTTATCGGGGAATCGAGGAGGGTGAGCAGGCACTGATATGCGTAGTCAGGTGTCAGTAGCAGCACAGCCCAGATCGGAGGGAGCGACGGCTCATTCAAACCTGGTGTGTGATGTCCGGGCGCGCGTCGCTAATGTCCCTGTTCATCTTGCGCATGACGCCGATGTGCTCGTCGCTGTTGAGCAGCGAGTACTTCTCCTCCCTTTGGACACCCATGCGGCTAACTCCGCCGTGCGATGCCTTGTAGGTTTCGAGGCTGGCATTGGACAAGACAACAATCAGTCGCTTCGAGTCCTTGTCGGTTGGTGGGATTGGGGCATGTTGCTCGGCCACCAGTTGCGGCAGCTCCGGAGGCGGGAGTGATTGGGTTCCTGCCATGTTGTCGATCGAGTCAGAGGCCTGTGTGTTTCTGCAGGTGCGGGGGTAAGGTTTGCAGGCGAGTTGAACATGCGAAGGGGAGATGTGATGCGAGGCAAGTGTTTTTGACACTTTCGCCCAAGCGGCCGGAAAGCGGGGTCCGTTGGTCGGGTGGGAATTTTTTTCCCTCCACAGTTTAAGGTATCCGAGTCCCACCGGCAAGCACAAGGAAAGGAAGGGGTATTGATCCCAAAGAGGCCGAGGAGAGGTTTCAACCGTCAAAAGGAGGCCTTGAACTAAATGTTTGCACCGTTTTGGCAACGGGAGAATGTTAGAAATGGGATGAGTGTGATTCTTGACTTACTCGGCCGCTTGCCTGCCCGGTATTCTGGTGACGACGACATGATTGCTGAAGTGTAACGTGGAATATGGACAAAAAATTGCCTACACGTCCGGGGTCTCAGATTTAAGTTTGACAAAAGCCTAAAAAACTTTCGGACAAAATGGAGGTGATTAGAAAGATTTGATTGTCGGGTGCTAAGGGAATAGGGGCAGCTGCTTTAAAAAGAGCGAGGAAGGCAGATGGGCGAGCGAAACAAGACTTTCGCTTAACCAGGGACGCCGGGCAGTTTTCGGTTAGAACCCGCTTACCCCGAGTTGGGTGCGCCCGAGCTCTGAGCAACGTTATCGGGGTCCGAAGGTGCAGCCTGCAGGCTGGCGGCGCCGCACTCCCTTCGTCAATTCCCTCCATGTCGCCGAACTCTCATCGTCCCGTCACGGCGCGAACCACCCTCGAAATCAAACCCTGCCATGCGGGCTCTCCGAAATCTCCGGGATCTCCGGGCGCTCCGGGCAAATAGATGCATGCTTACGTTCCATGCTGATGACAAGAGCCCTGCATAAACTGACGACGGAAGCATCGGCGTCGGGCTGTTTTCGTCCAAGCAAGCCAGCCTCAGCAATTGACAGGAGAAGGGCCCGCAAACTCCCCGCTAGTTTCCGAAACTCCAGCTATCGACCTACCGATCCGTCTATACCCGAAGAGTTCCGACGAAATCGCGGACGTTGACTTTATCAATCTGATATAACTACTTGGTATGGGTCACCCGCCGCCAGGAACATCCCCCCGGAGTTACCTATGCAGACCATGTAGGAAGGAGGGGGGATACCGAGTTAGGAATACAGACAGGTCTGTCATCTTTCAACTGTGTACGCACCAACCCCATGGCCACCGGGGGCCTGTTTCAGTTCCACCTCATCTCGACATCGGCTCAGCAATTCGGCCGAAACCTGACGGTCTGCGGGGCCGCATTTCGGGCCTCCGCCGACACCGCGGCCGATGCTCGTGTCTGCCGATGCTACCAGCCCAGGTTAAAGAAATGCGTCAACCAATACAACACCCATCCTCCCCGCCTTTGCCTCGTTCAATCATGCGGGACATCGTTCACCTGACCCTCAACTGCTCTCTCCGACTGCCAGCCTCCGCGATCACCGCTTCGTGAGCGGCCGAGCTTGACGGGGCAATGTTACGCTCGTTCCTGGCTCGGGCCGAGGCGGCCGGTACTTGTCACATCGTGTGTTATCGGCACAACTCTGAGGTTATTTCTGGCCTCGCTTTCAGGCTTCGGCCATAGGGCCGCGACGGGCGTTGTGCCGTACTTGCCCCCTTGTACGCGCACTTCCCACGCAAGCGCGGATATATCGCCGACGTCTGATCTTCTGAATGCAGATGGTGGCCATATTGCCCCCCTTTACCTTCCTCTCCCGCAGTGAAAGAGGGGGTCAGATTTACCATGCATCAGCTTGTGCTCTGTGACATCCCCCTCGATCAGCGTTTCGAGGAGTTACGATGTCTGAGATAGTAAAGTAAGGCATCATGTAAAAAGTCGAGCTCAACCTGGCAACCAATATAACAACCCATGCCCGAGGTGCAATCATGGGTTCTTTACTTACCCCTAGTCGTTCTTTCATCTTCCCTCCTGGTTCTCCCACAACACAGCCCTTTTTCTATCTTCGATTTCTAAATCAGGGGTCACCGCGCTGTGCGTGGCTCTTCCTCTAACTTACGACACTCCCCTGTAGAGTGGAAACGCAGCCTAAGCCTTTCATGCCGGTGCGGCACGATGAGGACCCAAGGGCTTCTTTTCCTCTGTTCCCTAGCCCTCGTGCAGGCACAGGGCGATAATCAAACACCTACGCTCGACCCGGATGTTATCCAGGTCGGATCCTCCACGGATGGTTCAGGGTCTCTGGGCGCGAATGAGGACCAGGCCCTGTCGTTGACTTCCGAAAACAATTTCATCAACTTTTGCAAGGGACAAACGCTCACTAATGGCCTACAAATCACGGAAGGGTCGTGCAACGGCATTGGTACGTAACGCTGAGCACAGGGTGGGCGAGACTGCTAATGGTTTGGCAGTGATGGGTCAGATTCCTTCCATCAACAACATGATTTCTGTGGTGATCACAAATCCGCAGAGCGGCGACGACATCGAATCTGGCCAGGATTTTGATATCGAGGTCCAGACGTCAAACTTGGAAGCTGGATCCTTCACCAATGCCGCGGCGACCTACTACGCTGCACCGCAGCAATTGGATGGTGGTAACATTGTCGGCCATCTTCATGTCACCGTGCAGGACACGGGCGCGGACCTGAATCCGACCCAACCCCTAGACCCAACCGAATTTGCCTTCTTCAAGGGCATCAACGATGCTGGTGACGGCCAGGGAAGGCTCTCAGCGGCTGTGACCGGCGGATTGCCAGCGGGAAACTATCGGCTCTGCACTATGACCTCGGCGGCAAACCACCAACCTGTCATCATGCCTGTGGCTCAGCGAGGATCCCAGGACGACTGCGTCAGGTTCACCGTTTCTGGTAATGTTGACACTGTCAACCCTGCGGCTAGCGATGGCGAGAATGGGCTGGCGGCGGCGGACTTAATTGCTGAAGCCGTAGCTCTCGGTCCTGGTGCTCCTGATCCAGGCGGCAACAACGACGGGGGTAACGGAGGAGACGGCGGAGACGAAGGAGGCGGAGAAGATGGGGGCGGTGACAACAACGGCGGAGACGAAGGAGGCGGAGAAGATGGGGGCGGTGACAACAACGGCGGAGGCAACAACGGTGGAGGGGGTAACAACGGCGGAGGCAACAACGGTGGAGGGGGTAACAGCGGCGGAGGGAACAACGGCGGTGGTGGTGGCGGTAACGGGGGTAACGGAGGGAACAACGGCGGCGGTGGTGCTGGTGGTGGTAACGGGGGTAACGGGGGGAACAACGGCGGAGGGAACAATGGTGGTGGCGGTGGTGGTGGCGGTGGTGGTGGCGGTAACGGGGGTAACGGAGGGAATAACGGTGGAGGGGGAAACAATGGCGGAGGGGGTAACAATGGCGGAGGGGGTAACAACGGTGGCGGCGGTAACGGGGGAGGGAACAATGGCGGAGGTAATAATGGCGGAGGTGACGACAATGAGGGGGAGGATGAGAACGGTGGTGGGAATAACAACGACGGTGGAGGTAATAATGGCGGAGGAAACAACGGCCGTGGCGGTAGGGGGGGCAACGGGGGGAACAATAATGGCGGCAATGGCAATGGCAATAGGGGCGGCGACGATGACGAAGGCGATGATAACGGACAGAACAACGGTGGTGGCCGCGGGAAGGGAAAGGGTGACGAGACGGGCCCCGGAGCCTCTTCAACCCCTGGGGGCTCAGAGACAGTCTCCGAGACGGACTCGCCTTCAGAAACGCCGCGAGCAGCGAGAGTAAAAGGGCGGATGGAGCGTCTTGCACGTCTCTCACGGCGGCGGCGATTCATAGCATGAGGAAACAGGCGCTGGGAAATGTGGTAAGGTGACAACCTGGAAGGTAAACTCAGGTACCGATTGTACGCATCGATGGTGAATGAATGGGGTGGTGCCCTGGGATGTTCTCGAATTATTAATTACTTCAGTGTCTTTTTTTTCTTTTCTGTTTTAGACGTAAATATATACACATCTCTACATGTACATATGTATGAAGTGTGCATTGTACGCCTAGGCTCCGCTAGTAGTGCGTTGATGGGGTAGCATGCTCGGTGTGCGCTTCGTTCCAGCGCCGCTCTGTACGCTGCACTTGGTAAGCAGAAGGGTTACATCAATGGAACTAACCTGTAGTTATTGGTAGGCATATCGACGGGATGATGAAGGAGTTCCCCAATGGATGACTGACCGGTGGGGGGAGCACGGCGACACAGCCATGCGTGACACGGTCCCGCGCGTCCCACTTGCCCTTTCCGAGTTTCAACGTGAGCCTGGGAGTGAATGGCGAAGACCTGGCGGATGGAAGGAGGGGTCCCTGGGCCACGTCATACGTCATTCGCCATTGAACCGGCGGCTTGGCCCAGGTTCTTGGAACCGCTGATTTACCAAGTTCGTCCCTCTCTTTTTCGTCTGCTGGTCCCTTATATTTACGATTCCGGTCCCTCATTGTTTCGACCCTTCCTACCCCGGTTGGTTTGCTGTGGTCATCTGTACTTCGTATCGCTTGCAACTTCCAACCAGGACGCTGCCCCGTTTACATAGTAGATTTATCAATATTTCTTGGTCTCTCTTTTGGCCGAGATTGAATCAGCGCCCCTCTTGCCAGCCAAGCGCAAGGACCCCAGTTGTTTTCCGTAAACGGAGACTCCGCCAAGAAGCGGCCCCAATCCGCCAACAACGACATCACCACACACCGTTGCCCGCCTGGCCTTCGAGCCCTCCCTAGCAATATTTCTTTTACTGTCCTTCCTTTCAAACAGCCTTCCGTGTCTCATGTCGGTGGCCTGACAAGAACACCACCACTCGACCCCAGTGGCATGCCGGGAAGGAGTCACTATTATCCCTAAGAAGACTGTGTGTTCCTACCAGGTCTTATGCGACGGTACCGTGTATTGCCGCTCAATGACACGAGATCTAACACTCTACTTCAAGGCGAGCGAGCGCGAACTATTACCTGAGCGCCATCCGCGCGTCGTACCTCCCTAGGCCATGTCGACGGTCAAGGGCGCCATCGCTTCCACGCCCCAGCCGAACGGGCACGACCGAACGAGCTACTCCCTCCATCCACAAGCCCAACAGACGTACCATTTGTCTCCTACTGATTCCGAGGCGCTCTCCAATTCCGTCGCAAACCCACAGAGCGATCATGGCGACCATCTGATTGCCCCTGCCTCCACGCGACCCGCCAGGTTTAATGAGGAGTGGGACGCCAGCCAGCGTGGAAGTTCCGTTATCGATGACCAAGGGCTCGGAACCATGCAACGGCCCACGTCTTATTCTGGCCATGCGAGCGGTGTTATTGGAGATGGGTCGTCTTTGTCTCGTGGCAATACCCTCAAGAAGAAGGCATCAATCCGAAGGAGCGCGAGCTTGAAACGTAGCGGGAGCCGCCGGAGCATGAAAGCAGGGAGCGTCAGGAGCCTGGCTCTTCAATCTACAACGGATCAGGATGAGATGCATAGCGCGTTCTACTGCCCAGTTCCAACCGCAGCGAACCCGACCGAAGTACTCGCGAATCGGTTTCAAGGTCCGTCCCTGTGCGCTCCTTGGGTCTGCCTTTCCCTTGTGTGTATGTAATAACTGACATATGTCGCTGGCAGCGTGGCGGAAGACGCTCAAAGACCTCATAACCTACTTCAGGGAAATCCAAACACACTACGAACACCGGGCGAAGTCGCTTATAAAATTAGCAAACGTGTTGAACAACACTGCTACTCCACCTGGTTTTCTTTCATCCGGCGGCCTGGACGATGCATTGCAGATACTGAGAGGCTACAACAAGCAGGCGATCGCAGAGGCCACCAAGGCCAGGGAAATTGAGGAGGATGTGATCTTGGCCCTCACCGGGCTGCGAAGTGATCTTCACCAAAAGATCAAGGAGATCAAGAACTTGTCGGGTGACTTCAAGAACTCGGTTGATAAGGAGATGGAGAGCACACGCAAGGCTGTCAATCAGCTCCAAGAAGCGCTCGGACAGAGTGAGCTGGATCCGTCTCTGACCATGGGTAAACAAGACCCCTATATCCTACGGCTCGCCGTGGACCGGCAACTCGAAAGGCAAATCGACGAGGAGAACTATCTGCATCAGGTACGTACACTCCGCGAGGCACTGTTACGGTTGAACATGGGGATGGCTGACGGCGCCCAGGCCTATCTGAATCTGGAGAACTCGGGAAACGAGCTCGAGTCCATTGTCGTCGGCGAGATCCAAAAGGCATACAACGCGTACGCTGGTATCCTCAAACGAGAGTCAGATGCTGCCTACAATACAATCGAGGAGCTCCGTGCCGGCCCCGTGTCCATGCCCAAGGATACGGAGTGGACCTCATTCATTCAGAGGGATGACCGTTTCGTGAATCCTGAGCTCCCCATGCGGTTGGCGGAATCCATTCATTATCCCGGTCGCGATCATTATGCCTGCCAGGAGATACGAGCGGGGCTTCTAGAGCGAAAGAGCAAGTACCTGAAGAGTTACACGCCCGGATGGTGAGTCCACAGCCTCGAAATATAGGGATGCTCAACAACTAACGTGGCAAGGTATGTTCTCTCTCCTACTCATCTTCATGAGTACAAATCGGCAGATAAGACGCAAGCGCCCCTTATGTCGCTCTACCTCCCCGACCAGAAACTAGGATCCCACTCCGCCGATGGCAGCTCGTCGAATAAGTTTGTCCTCAAGGGGCGACAGACCGGAGCGATGCACCGTGGCCATAAATGGGTCTTTCGTGCGGAAAGCCATGACACCATGATGGCTTGGTACGAGGACATTAAGAATGTGACGGAGCAGACGCTCGAGGAGCGCAGTAACCTTGTGCGCGCCAATAGCCGGAGCATCAGCCGGTCTTCACAGCGGTCGTCCGTCAGCAGCGACGGCGTTGATGACGACGAGGAACCACCCTTCACAGCTACCGTTGCCTCGGTTAACCAACAGTCAAGGCAAGACGGCCTCTCGCGACGTCCCTCGGGTGGGCGGTTCCCATCCGATCTCCAGGTGAACGCACAAAGGGGCCTACAAGTCCCCGTTTCACCTCTTAGCGCGAGCTCCGGATACGGCGAAAGTCTCAACCACTATGATCCCTTCATGACAACTGCCCCCGCAGGAAGTGACCCTGGGCAACAACCGCAGGGCCTGCAGAATCCCAGCCAGTCACGCGGAACCGAGCCGGGTAACTTCCAGCGCCCTACTGCCATGGATGGCTCTATTGGTGGGCCAGTGCAGTTCCCCAACACCTCAGCGGCTACGACTGCGTCTCAAAGGCGAAGCTTGCAGGCGCCCGCCATGGCAGGCCACTTGACTTCCACAAGACAAACCGCATCACCGGTCGACAGAGAATACGATTCTCAAACGTGGGCCGAACCAGTGCCCATCCCGCTTCCACATCCGCACCAACAACTGTCGCCGACTAGGGTTGGCGGAGGCGGTGAGGTCTACGACTCTCAAGGCATCACGAATTTGAACGGCGCCCGCAATGGCAACAACATGGAGCCTCAGATGTCTCGTGACAGGGAAAAGGTGGTATCCCAAATGGGTGATCATATCATCGGCAATGAGATTTCTACGAGGCCTGGTGGTGCGGCCCGAGCTGATAGCGCTCAGACGATTTCGCACCTCCATATTCCGGGCCAGTACCCTAGAGGATCAAATGCCGGATTGTGAACTGCGCGTTCTGAAATGGGGGTTTAGGCGGCTTGCCACATGCCTTGATCACCTATGGTACCCTGGGTTCATGACCGATAAATCAAGTTCCTCATTCTAGCCACTGTCTTTTTCTCTGCGCCGTCGTTACCAACTGGGGTGTATCACATAGCACGCGAGGGAAACAGGCCGTCAATGTGGTATGACAGGCCTTTGGCTGGTCACAAGCTACTTAGTGTCGCGGCGGCGTCATGGTCGTCACGGGCCACTGAGGCTCATTAAACTGGAAGTTTTCGTCCACATCGGGGACTAAAACCACCCCGAGATTGATCTGCTTCTTTCTCTACGAGTTCGGCAGCCTAGAAGCTAAGGAATGGGGCAGATGAACACTGGGAGTTCATCAAACGGCATCCGATTCTGGTCTGGTGCACCGTGACATGTACGACGTAGATCTGGTCCAGTTTTACTATGAAATACAGCAAAAAAAACCCAAAGCCTGCCAATAACGCCTGTGTAGCCAGTCCAAGCAGCCACCATGACAACCCCGACCTGACGTTTTGGCTCCGCTCGAAAATGAGACTAATACCCGCCCAGTGGAGCACGGTACCTCGTAGTGATACAGAGCCCGCATCCACCTCCGGCATTGGAGAGCGCGGTGATGAATGCAACAGATTAGAATCTTCCCCGACCACCGCCCCGACCGCCACCCCGCGAGAAACCACCTCTGCCGCCCCGCGGCGCACCCCCACGGCCACCTCCAAAACCGCCGCCGAAACCACCACCACCGAAGCCACCGCCGCCTCGTGACCCGCCGAAACCTCCCCGGCCGCCTCCCCTGCCTCCGCCACGCGAGAAACCACCGCCCGGCCCTCCGCGTCCACCGCGGGCTGCGCCGCCACGGCTGGGCTTCCTGACCTTGCTAACAGTGCCCGGCGGGGGCTTGGGCTTCGGAAGAAACCTCTCGAGAGGCAGCAGCTTCTCGCCCGCAATGTAGAACTTGTCGCCGTACTTGAACGAAGTCGCCTGGATGCCCTCGGAGGGCTTGATGGTGAAATAGACTTGGTTGATGGGTCCAAGGACCTCGTCGACCTTGCCGACTGCTGTCTATTGGATTTGGTCAGATTTGAAACAAAGAGAGGGGTTTGAACGAGGGGGCACACCTTGTTCTCGAGGTATATCGGCGCATTGAAGTGCGGGACCTTGGGGTTCGTCGACTCGATCACCATCTCGCCCTCGCAGGCGTGGATGAACTTGCCCATCTCCAGAACGGTGGCGGGAGGGCCCATGTCACGCTGCTGAAACCCGCCGCGTCCTGCATTTCCGTTGTCAGTTTCCATACATTTTATTTTCGGTTTTCACCTCGAATTGAATTTTCGGCTTACCTCCTCCTCGTCCACCTCCAAAACCGCCGCCACCAAAACCACCGCCACCGCGGCCCCGGGGTGCTCCTCTAAATGACATTGCGACTGAATTCCCGCCGTGAGAGTTGTGCTGACGGTGAATTTCGAGACTTGCTGGTCGCTTGTGTCGTCAATTGGGGACCGGATTGTCTGGAGCGAGGTTCCGGCTCGATAATATTTTTTTGGCCCCAGCTTCAAAAGCGGTCAAACCTTTTTGCCGGGGCGGTCCCACTTGCACCCCACGCCCGGGCCGCCTTGGAACACTGTTTGGTCTTATAAATATGCACTGTGGTATGCACCGTGAGGGGTGGCGCTAACGGTGTTGAGTGGCCTCTTCCAGGCACCCGGACGGCTGCCAAAAACAGCAGTGGCCAGATTGCTTCGATGGACTCGGGAAAGTCCAGCGTGGACAAAAAGAACAACCTCCTTACGATGGTCATGGTGATTTAGACTGTACAGCGTGTCCTCCAACATTGGGCCAACGTCTGACAATCACTTTTCTGGCAAACCATAATCTCGGCCTGGGGCTGCTGCCTTTGCTCACGTAGCCGATCCTGCATTAAGCAGCCGCGCTTAAACACCCACGGGCATCGCCTTTCTGATCCTCTCTTGCCTGCCTTCCACACTCGGTCAACAAATCGTAACGCCTTTTTCCTTTTCCCTTCCCGTTTCGTCACCTGCGCCAAAATGCTGGTCCGCCTCTCAACGTTGGCGCTCGCTGCCACCATTTTATCAGCGCCATCTCTGGTGACTTGTCTGTCGCCGTCCGACATTCCTGCCGATACCCCGGTTTCCAGGCTCTTAGCCTCAGCGCAGACTCACCTGTCGAGGGGTGAAACCGGCGATGCGCTCGTGTATTACGATGCCGCCATTGCGAGGGATCCGACGAACTACCTGACCTTCTTCAAGCGCGCGACCACCTACCTCTCACTGGGCCGCACGTCGCAAGCCACCGACGACTTCCAAAAAGTGTTGTCGCTCCAGCCCGGCTTCGAGGGCGCGCACGTGCAGCTGGGTAAGCTGAAGGCCCGCTTCGGCGATTGGGACCTGGCGAAGGAACACTACCAGCAAGCGAAGAAAACGGAGGAGCTCGCAAGCCTCGAGGAGGCCAAGGGCGCGGCAACGCTCGCCGAGGCGGCCGCAAACTCGGAGAATTGGGAGGAATGCATCAAGCAGGCCGATGATGCCATCTTAACGGCGAATCGCGCACTATCGCTGCGGGAGCTGCGCGCGAGGTGCGCGTTCGAACGGGGGGCAATGGAGAGGGGCATCGGCGACCTCCAGCACATCTTACAGATGAAGCCCGGCGACACGTCGCCGCACGTTAAGATTTCGGCTATTCAATTCTACGCCCTAGGCGAGTTGCAGGACGGCATGACCTCCATCCGGAAGTGCCTGCACTCTGACCCAGACTCCAAGGAGTGCAAGCGGTTGTTGAAGACGGAGAAGCAGGTGGATAAGGTGATACAGAAGGTTACCAAAGCGCTAGAAAAGAACCAGCACATGACGGCGGTGCGACAACTCGTCCCATCCGGGGATGACGAGGGGTTGATTCGGGAGGTTAAGGACCAGGTGCAGTTATTGAGAGAGGAAGGCACAATTCCTCGGGCAGCGGGAAATGTTTTAGTTGCGACGCTGGTTGAAATGGCTTGCCAGGCTTACTATGAGGTAAGTTCACCCTTTGCGCTGTTGTTCATTCAGATGGTGTCTCTAATCCCCATAACAGTCAAACAGCAAAAAGGCCAAGGAATACTGTGAAGAATCCTTTGAACACGACGAGAACTCGTTTTACGGCCTACTTTACCGCGCTAAACACCTTCTCGGCGCGGAAGAGTTCGAAGCCAGCATCAACACCCTGCGCAAGGCTGCCGAAGCCCACCCTGGCAGGGAGGACGTCATCAACCCGCTTATGCAAAACGCGCAGGTCGCGCTCAAGCGCAGCAAGAATAAGGATTACTACAAGGTACTGGGCGTCGCGCACGACGCCGACGAGCGCCAAATCAAATCGGCCTACCGCAAGCTATCCAAGGTACACCACCCGGACAAGGCGGCCAAGCAGGGACTCACCAAAGAGGAAGCCGAGAAGAAGATGGCGACCATCAACGAGGCGTACGAGGTGCTCAGCAACCCGGAGCTGCGCGCGCGGTTCGACCGCGGCGACGACCCCAACTCGCACGAGCAGCCGCAACATCACGGCAACCCGTTCGGCGGAGGCCATCCGTTCATGTTCCAGCAGGGCGGCGGAGGTGGTGGCGGCCAGCAATTTCAGTTCAACTTCAGGGGGTCTGGGTTCCCATTCGGAGCGTAATCTTATTTTTACTGTTTTATTCATTCTTCTGTTTGCACCAAGAAAGGGAGTTTAGGTGTTAGATGGGGGTGCGGGAAGAGCTCACCCACCCGTAAGGCTTCCTGTAAGGAAACAGCAGTATCTAGGCATAGCCCGTCCAGCCAGGTAGGGCGAGGTTGTACTTTCGTGTAGGAGAAAAGTGACCGTCTGGAGGGTGAGAATAAGGTGGGTCGTTTGCTTGTCTTTTGTTACCAGACAGCGCGAGATTATAGGGTAGCCGAAAGTATGTACAAACGCAGCAACTCAGGGGGCCCGTCGGTCGTCGTGAACGGACGGTTGTCCCAACACTGAACACCACATCACTTCCCTCGCATGATCTGATAAGCAAGAAATGTGTCCTTTTCCGAAGGACTTGCTCCATGTTTACCTTTCTCGGCCCGCTCGCCGTCCGATGTAACGGTAGGCATCCTTCGGCTCAAGTTAGCCCAGGCTCAAACTCTCCTTTGGCGTTTTGCAACGCCAACGCTGACACGCATAAGTGAATCCGGTTGTGGTCAGGGCTGGTTTGATGAATCGGAAATGGTATGTGAACTCGCCACTGCGGGCAGGCAGGCAGCCCATGTCCAGATTGGTATTTCGCAGAAACGCCCCCTTCAAAATCTAACCCACCGGGCGCGAGACAACAAGAGATTATGTACACAGTGCTGAGCTCCAGCACACAGCGCTAGCCTTTTCTCACCGGCCAGGTGCTTGAGGGCCCAAAGCGTATCGTCTCGACCTCGAAATCGCAATAAAGCGAGGATGATGTATTGCATCACTTTCGTGGATGGATCCATTTGTCCTGCCTGCGAGATCTCTCCAAAGGTCAGCATCGGCCTGGGGTGGGTTAAGGCGTTTGGTGGCGCGCGGGTACCCTTGATTGATTTAAGCCACCACATTTCTGCCGTTCCGTCATGACGCCGACTTGGACGCCGACTTGGTATTCTGGTGGATGAAGTAGGCCCTACGGTCGCAGCATGGTCAGCATTACGGCTCAGGCCTGGAAGACTTTTCGGGAACACCCACTTCGACGCCTCATAGGCGGACCAGCAAATGGCTGTGCTGGGCATGGTCGTCAAGACCCTCGGCCGCACGCCCTTGAAAAAGCCACGGGCGCCCTCTCTTTGGTACAATAACCGGCAGCCGGCCATGAAACCATTGACTGTCCTGAGTTCGGTATCCGCTGCACTACCCCGCGTCTGGAGCATCGTCTTGATCACGTCCATGGGCGTCGTGAGCGCGGCAGCAAAGCCTCCCGCTACCGCCCCCGCCAGACAGTGCGTCACGGGATCGTAATTCTTGCTCGGATTCATCGAGGTCGAGATGGACTCGTAGGCTAGGAACTGGAGCGCCGTGAAGGGGACGGTCATGGAAAGGGTTGTCGGGTAGGAGACGTAAAAAGCAGCAAGACCCTCCTGCCTGTAGACGTATTTCGCGCAGTCGAGCATGGAGCGGTACATCTTCGCCGAGTTCTGGATCTGCATTCTTTGCTTGATGACTGCTCAGAGGTGTTCAGCAACGAGCTAGTGAGGGGTAGGCATTGTGAGCGAACGTACCGTCAAAGGGGTTCATCAACGCATCGCTGGCAATCGTTGCGCATGCGCCGCTGGTCGCGGCGGCGAGAGGGTGGTGGACACCGGCTTGGTTTCCGCCCATAACATGTTTGACAGCTTCATAAGTCGCGAAATAGACAGCGTGGGCAGGGCCCGCCCCAACGATCACGCTGGACATCCCCCGCCATAAACTCAAGACCCCCTCGGCCTTCGCCATCCGGTATGTGGCTTGCATCACTCCCGTCCCGACATTGGTGGAGGAGGGGTTGAGGAGCTGCATGCGTGTCTGCGCGTCACGGTGGAACTGGTCAGCGGCGCTGTCACATCGGCTGGCGGGAACGTTGGTATGGTAAGGATGCAGCGCCTGCTCACCTTGATCGCATCGATGGGGTACACTACATCCTGTCAGCGCCCGCCTGTGAGGAGGTGAGGGTGTCGAGATTTGGGTGTCAGCATTGAATGGAGGGGAACTCACTTGCGCAGTGCTCGGCGATACCGGCGAAAGCACCGGCCGTCATGTTCTGCAGCAACGAGAAGTTGGGTGGGAGCGATTCATAACTGCAGTCGTGTCAGCACTCCATCGTCTTCCCCAATATGCCGTCTGATCGATGGTCGGGAAAGGCAGGGCGGCAACGCACTCGTAGTCCTCCACGGGCTCGGCATTTGGCTGAGCCATTGGGGAAGCCACGGCTCCCGGCGCGCCTACGTCGAGAGCCAGGGTGAAGGTGGGCGTTGTCGTGGGGAGAAGATTGGCGGGGGGGGGGTGCGCGACCAAGCTTCTGCGGAGAGACACCGAGTGGCGCAATGTCGGGAGAAGCGAAGTTCTTTTTGGAGTTGCTGTCACCACGAACCGCCGAACGACTTCAAGCCCGCTGTTCTAACCGCTAATGTCTTGGCGGATAGGTACCAAGTACGGTGCGCTCAAGATAAGTGCCTGGCCCGGAGTTGATAGCTGTGTCCTGCCGTCGCGCAAAACGGGGAGGGGCGCAAAATCGATATTCTGGTCGAGGATGGTGTTGAGGCTGCGACGATGCACAAACAAGCTCCGAATTTTTCTATGACCGTTGTCGGCTCTGTTCTAAGAGCGCCCAGAAAAAATTGGGCCTGTTCGGTCACGGAGGTCGGGGAATTGAGCACCTCCCAGAGTAGGGGTGGCGGGCGGCAAGAAAGCATTGGTCGCCCCGCAGCCCAGGAATTTAGTGGCTCCTTTGGTGGGCTCGACACCGGAGATGCCCCGACTGATCCGTTTTAGCGTCCGCGTTGCGAGTTGAGCCCTCGGTAAAACAACCTTGCAGCTTTCTTATCAGATCCGTTGCGGGGCTCCGCCTCCGCCGGGGCCGAAAGGTGGCCGACCATTTCTCCGAGGCACAAACGAAATCAACGCAGCGCGGAAATGTTTGGGCTCATCTTATCTGTTGGCTATCTCACAAATCACCGGGAAAGGTGCTGACTGGATGACTTAATGCCGCGCGTCCATGAATTGTGTACCAAATAGGTGTCATTGTCTTCCCAAAGGCCGGCAAAGCCGTGTTGCCAAGCTGACAACCTCTTTCTTCGTGGCGGGGACCAGCAAGTCCCACAGGACCACGCGGCAGGGAGGAGGGAGGCTGAGACGGATGGAGGCGTCATGTTTCCGGGAAGGCTCGCAGCGCCGGTTCCGTTCACCACTTGGCCGGTGCGGCCCGCTTCACTTTGAAAAAAGGCGCAAGTACGAATACGTATTCAGTGTCAATAAGCTCATAACTCCCGTCTGTAATGCGTCACGCCGCCATGGCTTACTCATCGCACTCCTCCCGGCCTGCGATTTAGTTGCGCTTGGTTGAACTGATAAATCATGTGAACAACCCCGGCTTCTGGTGGTCGGCTAGCTTCCGCGGCGCTGTTCTCCCTACTGAGCGTTCGGGTGGGTGATGTCTGCCACGCCGATTCGTCGAGAGCACCCCCGCTTTCGTATGCTTCCTCATAATCACGTTGCCTCCCAGCATCACTGACCTCGCCATCGTCCTCGAAAGCTTCTTCGATGATGCCCTGGTGGCCCCCACCACGTTGATGGCGAGGCGTGTGTATACTTCTGCCGGAAGGGAGCGTATTCGGTGGATGGTGGTGTGGATCAAGTAAGATGGACGCCATGGGTGATGGCTGTGGCATGGCAGCGCCGTACCGCGCTTCCCTGCTTGAACCTCCACCCCTTGTCCGTTCCCGGCCCATCTTTGAGGTTTGGAGATCGGTTGCAGGCGGCGGCGAGTTTATACTAGGCCACGCTGGCGGCGGATGGAACTGATTCCGAGCCCCCGGCGGGAGATGCGATGCCGCCCCCGTCCGTGGGTTAAGGGCGAAGTTGCCGTAGTTGCCCATGAAACCATAGTAAGAAGCCTCCATCTTCCCGTGCTTCGTTGAGTAGTAATCGTCTCGGACGTCCGCGTCCCTGCCGTCTTTGCTGCCCTTTCCTTTACCGACCCCCTTCTTGAAGTCGAATTCAGCGAAGGTGCAGACGTAACCGAGCCCGTCAACGTGAATGGTAAACTCCCGGAAGAAGTCAATTATGTGGTCGCTGGACCTAGGGAGGCTAAACAACAAAACATAGGGGATGCTGAGGATGCTCAAGATCTCCTCGAAGAAAATGACCACTTTGGGCTTGTAGAGCTCAGAGAACTCCTGCTTGATGTCAAAGCTATGGAGCCTGTCCTTCCAGTGGTCCGGCTCATAATGAGTATATTGAATGACGTTCCGCATAGCGAACTCGGGATCGAAAACCGAATTCTCTTCCGATGTGCTGCCCCGAGCGGCTGCCCAAATAGCTCCGAACACGGCCGCGTAGAAGACAACGTTCTTGTCAGGCGTGATTTCAAAGTGCATGAACAACTCGGAGTCGATGATGGAGGCAAGCCCGAGCACGGTAGCGAGAGAACCCGAAATGAAAGCCACGGTCCAGGCGACCATCTCCGTCTTGGCTTTGGGGAACTGATCGATGTAGTGACTCGCAAATGGATGGGACATGCCGAGCCGTTTCCGGAATAAGTGAGGTAGTTCATTGAACTCTCGAAATTTCCACTCGGCGAGGGGCGTGTATGTTCGTGCTGCTAAGGCAGACGGGGTCTTGTGGAATTCCTGCGAAACGTAATCAGCGGCTACACTCTTCCTAACGTGATGAAACTACGTACATGGAAATACATGAGAAAGTAGACGACAAGAAGGTAGGTGGCCAAGAAGGGCGAGAGGAAGAGGACCATGGTCCCGGTAAACAGGAATCGACCGCGAAGCTTCGAGCTGAGTTCGGCTCGGCGCTCTGAGCGGATAAAATCCTGGTTGACTTGACTTTTCTCGTCGAAAACAAAGTCAACGATACTGAACATGAGGAGCCACTCCATGGTGCGAGAGAAGAACTGCCGATTGTGTAGAAAGGGCACAGGGATCGTCAGATTTAGGACATCCTTGTTGATCAACGCAATCAAATAATTTTCTCGTCTCATGAGGCGATTGGCAATGTCCGATGCGTCGAGCCTCTCCTTGGACTGGCTGCCAAGCCACTGTCGCTGGGTTGCTGTCAATGTCGTTGCTGTCTTGGGGTTGTGGTCCCGTAGTGCCATAATACGGGCCACTACCTCCTGCCACGTAATTGTTTGCATGTCTTGGTCGGGGATGTTGAGGAGGTGGAGGTAGAACTCGCGGATGTTGCGTAGCCGCCCGAGATCTAAGAGGTATTGGATCGACTTCCAAATGAAGTAGAAGGCAAACATCCACAGGCCGAAGCTCCAAACGCCAGACATGTTCTTGGTGCACTGGGGCACGAGTACCTGGGAAAGCCTCTGGCTACTGTGAAACTTGCTGTAGTCCAGGCACTGAGAGAGAAATGTCAGATAGAAAGCGATGAAGGCAACATTGCTGTGGCGCGTTAGCTCCAAGTCCAAAGACCGCTAGCCTCGCCACTTACACAAGATGCAGGCCCCGTTCTACCAAGATACACCACATGCCATTGCCGACATAGTAATCGTAGACTTCCTTGATGAAGTTGTCGAGATTTGAGACGTTAGCCCATCTCCACTCAGCCTTCTTCTTGGCGTTCCCCGACACCATCCCGGCAAACACCGACGTTGGTAGATGGTTGTCTCGCCGTGGTGGCCCAAAAACACCATCGTCGTGGAGTCGCTGCTGTGCCTGGATCGTCTCCCCTTGGGTGCGAGCACTTGATGGCCCTGGGACAGGGGCCGGCTGCTTCCCTCTCTTCTTTTTCGACTGTCGGGCGTCCAAGCCCACTTCTTCGCACTCCACCAGCAGCGAGGCCGGAACGTCATTGTCCCCTTCATCTTCTTGCGATACCCATGCAGACCGCTCATCCCTGCGTAGTCGACTGTCTGGTTGACCGCGGCTTCTTGGGGTTGGGCTGGAGACCCCACCCGCAGTGGTGCGGCTATCTTCAACCCCGAGACCTTCGGCGTTCTCTAGATCGTAATCATGGAAGTCATGGCTCAAGTTTTCCTCGTCTAATAGACCCGCCCGGGCTTCCGTGTCCCCTTCCTGGTCTCGAAGGTCCTGATAAAATGACCGGCCCTGCCTTGTTGACGTGGGCTTCGAAAAAGGGTTGGACGTCATAACGGGCTAGCCTCAAGGTACGGCTCCGCTTGCGGCGTTCGGCGGCATCGAAGAGGATGTGATAATGACGAATGTTTGGTCTTGGTCGGAAGACTGATCGGCCGCTCTCAAGGGTGATGGTTGGATGTCGGGGGGTTTCGACCAGCTAATCGATCCTGTTGGGACGAAGAAGACTTTTAGTTACGGGGGATTCGAAATGGCACCGGGCAAAGGCGTTGATAGTTTTGGTCAGGAGGTGCTGCCCTTAGGCGGGCTGTTCGTTGAAAGAAGGGTGCATCTAAGGCTGCTGGCAGCTGGTCTTGGCTGCCTACCCAGTGTCTGGTTCAGGTGACTGCAGCGGATGACAGAATGACGAGGGGCGGCCCGAGCTTCAAATGTCCTCACGAACTCGCACCCGTTTTGGCAGGCGGTGTGCCCGGACATGACTTGCCAAGACGCGCTTGTTGACCCTCGCACGTGGCTTGTAAAATACTGTACAGACGTACAGACTGTGGTAATCTATACTGTGTCGAATCAGTAAATACACACGGTGCAAATTCGAGACTCGTACCCGATCGTGTAACGACTTGGCTCGCGGATGTCACCCCGACTACCCAAACCGTGGCTGCAACAAAACCGCTGAGGATAAAACCGAAACAGGGGCAAGGCCAGCACTACGGCACTATGCAAGCTACAACGGATTGATCAACATCCTGATCATAGCATACGCGAAATGTCCTCCAGCCCTGGGCCTCTCTCACCGCAGAGCACAACGGCCCCGTCGTCTCTGGCGGCGAAGGTCGCAAACCCTCTCTCCTCCAAGGTTTCAACGGTGCTCTCGTCATCTTATGCGGATACTGAGTTTCGGGATGCGCTTGCGCTCTTAGACGAGCGTGGTGTCCAAAACACGGCAGAGACACGGCGTCAGCTGCGTTTGGACCTGCAGAAAGAGGTTATTGACAGCAATGGCGAGATCATCGATGAGTTCGCCAAAGTCGCCGAGGTATGCCAGGATAATGCACGGCAAATACCATTGTTTACTTGACGTATCGAGCTGACTATGATGTTAGCAACTCCGACGGATTGGTACCACCATTAGCAGGCTGAATGAGACCTTCAACGAGATGAAGACACAGATCGGCTCTGCTCAGAAGGCCACTTCGTCAACCCTGACGGAGGCTTCTCAGCTCATGGTCCAGCGGCGCCAGGTCGAGCAAAAGCAAGCCTTGCTTAGTGCCTTCAATGCCAACTTTGTGCTGTCTGAGGACGAGACGGCCGCGTTGACGCTGACCTCGGAGCCTGTCGACGACCTCTTCTTCGCTGCCCTCACCAAAGCAAAGCGCATAAGCAAGGATTGCGAGATTCTCCTCGGTTTTGAGAACCAGACGTTGGGGCTCGAGATTATGGAGCAGACCTCCAAGAACCTCAATCTAGGCTTCCAGAAGCTGTACAAGTGGGTTCAGAGAGAGTTCAAAACCCTCAATCTAGAGAACCCTCAGATCGGCTCGTCTATCCGCCATGCGCTTCGCGTGTTGGCCGAGCGACCCAGCCTATTTCAGAACTGCCTTGACTTCTTTGCTGAGGCGCGAGAGCATGTGCTATCTAAATCCTTTCAGACGGCTTTGACTGGCAGTTCTCCGTCCGGAATCCAGGACCGGTCGGTCAAGCCCATCGAGCTCGTGGCGCATGATACCCTGAGATACGTCGGGGACATGCTTGCCTGGACACACTCAGCTGCTGTCGGTGAACGGGAAGCCCTTGAGGGTTTGTTCATCGGGGAGGGTGACGAGATTGCGAAGGGGATCCAGGCTGGGCGGGACAACGAGATATGGCGGCTTGTTGCCGAAGACGGCGAGGGTTCGGATGCTTTCGACGCCGTGGAGACCTTGAATGAGCTAGTCGACCGTGACATGTCGGGGGCGGCACGCTTGCTTCGGCAACGAGTCGAGCAAGTGATCCAAACCAACGAGGAAACGATACTGGCCTACAAGCTCGCAAACCTACTCAATTTCTACAAGGGCACCTTCTCGAGGTTACTCAGTCCGGAGTCGGCTCTCGTGGAGACACTAGGTGCGCTCGAATCCGAAGCGCTCCGGCAGTTCCGCTCTCTAGCTCGAGACCACGTCGCGGCGATCCAGGGCGACTTCCAGCATACGCCTGCCGACTTGCGCCCTCCCGAGTTCTTGCTCGGCGCCTTGGAACAGTTGATGGCCATCATGAAAACGTACGAAACATCGTTCACATCCTCGAGCGATCGGGAAGAAGAATTCGAGCCTGTACTAGCGGAGGCATTCGACCCGTTCATCTCCGGATCCGCCAACATGGCCAGGCCACTGCGCGCCCCGTCGAACTCCATCTTCCTCATCAACTGTCTACTGACTGCCGAGAGGAGCCTTTCCCAGTTTGATTTTACGCAGCGTCGCGCCGCCCGACTGCAGGCGCAAATCCAGGAGGAGAGAGCACGCTTAGTCGAGACGCAGTATCAGTTCTTCCGGCGCGAGTCCGGTTTGCATGCTCTGATCGTGCAGCTGGAGCCACTTGGAGAGGGCAAGGAGGACGTGCAGAAAGCACTGTTGCTCGAGTCTGTCCAACCACCGGCGCTCTCGCAGGCGAGCCAGATGCTAGACGACTTCCTACCGTCGGCATTGATGGATGCGGTGGAGAATTTGAAGAACCTCCAAGATTCGAGGTTGGTTCAGGGTATTACTGAAGAAGCAGCCGAGAAATTCTGTGTCGATTTTGAGCACGTTGAGGAAATGCTCATACTCGTGGATGAGGCGAGCGAACAAGAGCAGAGCGAACCGGACGACTTCCAAAGTCTCCGAGCCCTATTCCCTCGGACATCGGGGGAGATCCGTGTCTTACTGTCATAGAATTTAGCATAACTCGAACTATTTCAAGCCGTGTTGACATCCGCGCGCTCCCTTCAAACAGCTCGCCCAGTTACACATTCGTCTATATAAGCGTTGAATTATGGTGTCACGCTGTGTTCCAGGTTGCTTACAGGAGTGTGCCCCGCAGTTCCCGGGGGGTTCTCGGGGTCGGGGGGTTGAGAGAACAACCCCCCTGCCGACGTCACAGCCCCGCCTTCTGCCGCTTTCCGTCATCTTGACCGCTAACAATAGGCTCCATAGGTACCAGGTTGTGACGGAAATACACCCACGTAACTCTTGTATTCCGAGACACAAGTGACATGGAACAGCGTTCATGTGCCAACTGCACTGGGCGCCGTGAACGATTCCCGACCCGGCGGTTTTACAGTTTTGTGACGGTCGCACCGGCTTGAACCTCAAATTCGAACGCAACGGCAGTCGTCAGGTTCTCCGCTCGTTGGTTTGGTCCCGATTAAACCCGCTCGTCGGTCGTGCAAAGCCACGCCGGAATGTCCACGCCCGACGAGAAGCACCATGTTCGGTAACAGGACCGCGACGGCCGCGTCCATTCTGCAGAAGACATACGATGAGAGCTACCTGACGTGCTCGACTGCCGTCTACTATGAGAGCCAGGTATGAACCCTCCAGGCCTTTGCGCCACTCACCGGCGGCCAGAAACGCAGAGGCTGACTTCACAACGCGTAGGGAAACGAAGGCGAGGCTATGCGATGCTGGCGACAGGCCCTCGAGCAGATATACGACCATAATGCCAACAGAGTTCTCCCCAACTTCACACCGCGTTCCGAGACCGAGAAGGCCCTGGTAGACAGCATCCGCCAACTGGAGCTGCAGTGTAAAGAACGGATTGATCTCCTCGAAGCCCTCCGCCTGTCCCGCGCCGAGACTGTCCAATACGTCGGGCCCTCATCTCAGCACCAAGTGGACCAAGCGTATTCTGAACCGCACGATACTGTGATGCCCAAACAAGAAGAACAGGGATGGATAGGGAACGGAACTATTCCCGCTGTCACCTACACTGAACTGGCAAAACCAGACCTGCTCAGGCGAAAGTCTGCTCATACAAGGGTACCTTCCTCCCAGAAGGTTGCTGCCGGGGAGAGCGGGGCGCCGACCGATGATGTTGCATCATCTTCACCATCACGGAAACCCGTCGGTTCCGGCTCCCCACAGCTCTCCCCGGAGAAGAAGGCGTCCCGTGCATCCAGCCCAGAGAGGCATACAATGCGCACCACCCTACGCTCGAGTCGACTTGGAGAGAAGCTCACCAAGACAACTCTGCGACGACCACAGCAGAAACCAGCAGACGCGCCCGGTGCCGGGAAAGCTGCCGTATTGGCATGGGGTTTGCTCGGCCAGCGAGATGCAGCTGATCAGGGCCCAGCGGATGGTCAAGAGCTGTCACGCCCAGTCTCCAACGTGCCAGCCGCGTCCGATTCACCGCGCAAAAGCTCGGAATCGCTGTACAAGACATGGGACAGCAACTCCAGGAGGCTCACCACCCCCCGAACTCGGAGCCCGGTGAAGCCATCCGACCGGAGGGTGAGTGCTGATCTGACGGATTCACGGCAGGTTGAGGGTTACCCCTTCCCTCGGCCTTCGCCTGTATCTGTGAGCGCGGCGTCTAGTGCCCTGAACTCGCTCGCGCTGAGGGAGAACCACGAGCGAAAGTCCCCAGTTCGGGAACAAACACCCCGACAGCGGACAGCCGCCCCACAAACGCCACAGACGAGGAAGCCAAGAGAGTTCTCAGATGCAGACCCAGGCTTTTCGGACGCGTCAAGGAATCTACCTATAGGTAGGAAGACGTCATCGGATTCCGCTATGGTTTCACGGCGAACAACCTCGAGAGTGAACTCCGCAACGAGGGTCAAGCCTGCCCGGACTCCATCTAGTAAAAGCATCACTACGACACCAGTGGGGAGTAGGAGAAGAGAGAACAGGGTAGGGCTGGCTTCCTCCCCACCAACTGGTGACCTTTCTTCCTCGTCGTCCGACAATCGAGTAAAGTCTTCGAGGCACAAACGTAGCAGCGGTCAGCAAAGAGAGGCCTCCGTAATCGCCGATTCCCTGGCTGAGCTCTCTGATAGCTCAACAGAAGACGAGCAAACGAAAGCCGCAAAGTCGTGGAAAAGGCGGAAGGCTGCAGTCCTCAAGCAGCTTCCACCAGGTGTCGATCAACATGCGGCGAAGCAGATACTGAACGAGATTATCGTCCAAGGTGACGAAGTTCATTGGACTGATATCGCCGGCCTAGAAATAGCCAAAAATGCCCTGCGAGAGACGGTCGTCTATCCTTTTCTCCGACCGGACCTTTTCATGGGCCTGCGCGAGCCCGCCCGGGGTATGCTACTCTTCGGGCCGCCGGGCACAGGCAAGACAATGTTAGCCCGCGCCGTCGCAACCGAGTCCAAGTCAACCTTCTTTTCCATCTCAGCCAGCAGTCTTACCAGCAAGTACCTGGGAGAGTCTGAAAAGCTTGTCCGTGCCCTCTTCGCATTGGCCAAAGTGTTTGCGCCGAGTATCATTTTCGTCGACGAGATCGATTCCCTCCTATCTCAGCGGTCGGGATCGGGTGAACACGAGGCCACGCGGAGAATCAAGACCGAGTTTTTGATCCAGTGGAGCGATCTTCAGCGCGCGGCGGCCGGGAGAGAGGTGGGGGAAAAGGACAAGGAGCGTGGGGACGCGAATAGGGTGCTTGTTCTTGCAGCCACGAACCTGCCGTGGGCAATTGACGAGGCAGCGAGGAGGAGGTTCGTGAGGCGCCAGTATATACCGTTGCCAGAGGCCGAGACGCGAGCAGTTCAGCTCAAGACGCTACTGAAGCAGCAAAAACACACACTGAGTGATGCCGACATCGACACTCTTGTGGGCATGACTGATGGTAAGGACTTATTTCCCGGTATGCTCTGTCCATCGCCATCTAACTTACATTTTCAGGGTTCTCGGGCTCAGATATTACGGCACTGGCCAAGGACGCAGCGATGGGTCCGCTGCGGTCTCTCGGGGAGGCGTTACTGCACATGACCATGGATGAAATACGGCCCATGGAAGTATCAGACTTCGTGTCTAGTCTGACCACTATCAGGCCCAGCGTGAGCAAAACAGGTCTCAAGGAATACGAGGATTGGGCAAGGGAGTTTGGGGAAAGGGGCGGATAGGGGCTACCATGAAGCATATGCAAGGACTTCCTCCATATATACCTACCTAGGTTTTGGTTGCATGGGCGCTTAACAGAGTAAAGCGAAATACATAAGGGCGAGTACCAGTACATGTGCCCAGGGGTCGTACTGGGAACCGGGGGGGGGGGGGGGGGGGGGGGGGTTTCCAAACGTGGGGTAGAGTAACCCAGAGTTGCGTAGAAGTTTTGTTCCTCCTACATGAGTAAGAGTTTCGCAGGAGGTCTAGTGAATGAGATTCTCCAACTAAACACTCGGCAATGGTATTTTTGCCCTGCGATATGGCCTGTTGATACAGATACGTGGGGCCCTCTGCCCCCTCGGTTTTGTACACAGTTATCGTTTCCATCCTTCTGGACGAAACGCACCCGGAATATCCACACCCTCATCTCGCGTACCCCTCAACGTGCCCTCATTGTCGCGCCTCCGCCGCGGCATCTCCAGCCTCTTTCCCCTCGAAACTAAGCCCCATTAACCTCGCGCGTAGCGCAAACTCCTTCTTCGCCTTCCTCAGTAACAGCTCGGTAACGCCCATCTGGTTCTGGACCCGCTCCGCCATCTTGTTGATGCTGCGCCGCTCGTCCTTGACCGCCCGCTGGGCCTCGCGCTCGGCGATCCGCTCCGCCTCGGTCGGGATCGGCGCGCGGGCTTGGATGGGCACGCCCGACCCGGGCGCGATGATGTGCTTAACCACGTGCCGCTTGTCCTTGGAGACGCGCCAGCCGGGGGTGATGGCGACGACGTCGCCGAGGCGGAGGGAGTTGTTGGGGTCGTGGACAAGGTGGGTTTTGGGGTCTTTGAAGAACTGGAGGTGGGTGACGGGTTTCGTTAGGCCGGGCTCGAGAGAATAGCGAGAAGAGGGGGGGGTACTGGTGTTCAGGCAGGAGATGCGAGACGTACCTTTTTGAGAAAGTTATTCCATTTTAGCCCGCCCACCCGCACCTTCACCGTTTTATCCATCAACCCCGCGGTTATCACTACGCCATGGAGCTCTCGAAAGGTCCTAGCTGCCGTTTTGGCTGCGCTGGTTGCGGTTTGTGCCATGGTGGGCAGCTTGGTTTCCGGGAGGTTGCGCCCAGAGGTGTGGAGGCCGGAAGACAATGGAACGGCGCTTTAATGAGTCGTCTCGTCGGTCAATTGATTTAGGGGCTCGGGATTCGGAAGTGTTGGATGTGGGCGTGGTGGATTGCCGGAGTCGCAGTGCTTTGAACGGCACCAAAAATTTGGCGTGCCACCGAAGCCCGGTCCCGGGTTCCTTCGCTAAAAGTGGGCCTCTGCATCGGTGGAGATCCGACCCGGCCTTGCGGACCCGGGGGGTCTGGAGAACACATAAATTACCTTTGTCCATGTAAAACGAGAATATGCCCTCGATATACACTGAATTCCCTAGAATAGGTACAAGTAATAATGATTATATGCGGTCAACCTCTTCCCTCCACAACACAACCTGTCAAACGCCTGCGATGCCCGATGCCTCGTTCTTGGCCCCTCTTGTGTGCCCCATCCAGTCCGTAGAAGTTGAGCCGTCCCCAATACATCCTCTATCGCCCATAGGATTCTCTAATCGGTTGAGGTTCATACCAATCCTGCCAACGGCCCAACTAAACGCCATCAATACCATTAAACAATACACAAACAAAGGGTATTGATCCAATCCGTCCAACATGCGGTTTCGCAGAGTATTCAAATACAAACAAAGTAGCCGATGGCGGAGCGGCCAAGCCGTTCTCAGCCACGGTTCAAGACACAGGAGTGGCGGAATCGGACGCCGGCAACGACTCGCTCGTTGCTCGAGCGTCACCCCCAGTCGCAGGCAAAAGCCTCGCTTTCCTTCTAGGTGGAGGAATCTTGGGTGGGAGTTTCTTTTGCCCGTCCCCGCTCCCGTTCCCGTTCTTGTTGGCATGAGCATTGGCCAGCGCCGAATGAACAATAGGTGCCCCGTGACGGTGTTTGGGCACCTCCGGCAGAGACATCTTTGTCCTCAAGGTCCTCGGCGGCGGTGGTTTCGGTCTGGGCGGGCTACCCTCAGTAGGAGTACGCACATCCGTGTCTTTCGAGTCCGGCCCCATCCCCAACCTCCGACTCGGCGTCTTGATGCCTGGCTTCTCGGTTACGTTCGCGACAACGCTCACCGAGCTACCGGTTTGTGAGTGCGCCAGACTCCCTACTGGACTCATGTCCGGCGTCTCCGCCTCCTCCTCGGCCAACCATGGCGTCTTCGCGACACGTTCAAGTAAGCGCAGCGTTGTGGGCTCGGGCGGCATGAAATGGGCGCTGCCTGTACCACGTAATATCTCGAGTAGGCCGAGAATCTGATCCCGTTTGTAGTGAGGGGGATGGCTGAGTTGTGTGTGGGAGAGGAGTGGAGCTAGTACCCTCAAGTACGTATGTCGCAGCATATTCGCCTCGGAAGGTAAATCCAAAAGATTGCGAATGATAACATCCAGCAGGACTCGGAGGTCGTTGAGATAGAAGTACTCGTACGTCGCTGTGGTGGTAAATAGAAGGTACAATAACTTGAGAATGAGCAGTTGTTGCGAGGTCTCCGTTTCTCGGTTCAGGAGCAGGATGATGTTCTCGCCAAAGGTGCGGAATGACGGGCCATGAACACTGAGTACCTTGACAACCCTGTTTGTCACAAGTACGGCCGGAGAGCTAGGGTCCACTGCTGCCGAGGTAGAGGCGACCATGTACTGCTCGTTCAGGACCAGCTGTTACAATGGTCAGCACGAATATTCAGGGACAGGAGGAGGGGGCAAAGACAAACCAGAACTCGAATCACCGGGTAATGGTATGGGTCGCTGGCATCGTCGGACAGGGCCTCGGTGAGCTGGAACAGGTACATGACGAAGCTATCGTCAACCTGTAGAAGGTCCTCGGGGCGTAGATGTTCAATACGTGACATCTCGTACATCAATTCCAATAGAAGCCGATGCAGACGACCATCTCTACCCCCACAGTTCTTGATGAGCTCGAGCAACCGGACGAAACACCCTTCCTGTATCATGACCCGAAATGTATCCTCTTTCGTCCGACCGGCGAGTAGAAGAAAGTTGGCGTATACATGAAGTTGGGCGAACTCGTCCTCCTGCAGAAGGCTGTAGATGAGCTGCGTCCGGACATAGCTGCAGTTGCTGCTGAAAATTGGGCTCTCCAGGAGCATTTCTGAGCAACGGGCGACATCGTCTTCGCTTTCGAGGTACTCGTCCCGGGCCTTGGAGACCAGATCGAGCCATGATCGTAGGGCCTCATCGAGCTGCTCGGGCGTCGCACACGCCGAGGATACAACGCCGTTCAGAGCTATAAGGAGGCAATTATCAGCGCGCCTGTTAGACAAATCACGGTCGCAATGTATCCAGGACTCACCATCCCAGAATTGCTGCTCGCTCCCGGCAGACCAAGAACCATCGGAGTCGGTCATGTTCTCAGACGAACGGCACCAGCGCAGAGCACAGAATATCGGGCATCACGTTCGCGGACGGCACAATCCAACAGGTGTGTCGACCGTGTCTTTTGTTGTGAAATCAGAATTCCGGGTGACTCGGCCATCCGGTGAAAATCGCAACTTGGTGTGCCGGGTATGTTGTCTGCCGGTCAATCTGCCTTGCGGGTTGGAGGGGTCGCGGTCGCAGTTGTTGCTTGCTCGGCGACGGAAAGGACGCCTCGGCGTCTGTCCTGTTCAGGCGGGTTCCGTATGCACGGGCCATTACCCCACAAAACACGAAATGACGTCGGGGAGGCTGCGGTGTGACATTTTCTGAATGGTGATGTGCTGTGAGACCACTGTTTTCTCCCCACGTAACCGTTCGTATGTTACATACTCGTATATGAACAGTGTAATCTGACACCGCGTGACGATCAGACGGTTGAACCAGCAGACGTGCCCCCTAAAGGTTGTCTTACTCTGATTTCACAACTCTAAATTGGGTATCAATTATATACGATATAGCGTATCATAGAGAAAGAAAGTTAAACAATGACCACCCACCGAGTGCTCCGTCCAAGTCTTTGAAACCCAAAAGGAAGCCGACCGGCCTTACAAAACGCCAAACCTTATATCCCTCCAGCCACATCGTACATTCACCTATCACCGTCTTCATACACCTTCGCCCTCGCCGCATATTCGCGGATATTGCTGATAACATGATCCTCGATAGCCCCCCCCTTGCCGGCCGCAATCTTCAGAATGAGCTCGTTGAGATTCTGCCTACCCAGGATGTCGACATGGTCTGCTGTGTTGGGTCCGCCCCGGGGGTTGAAGCGGTCTGGCTCGTGAGGCATTTCGACCACCGTGATCTTAACACCCGCGGGGTTATACCGCTTGATTTTCCAGCCGCTGTTGCACATGTAGCCCGTGCTCATAAGGCTAACCGTGCCGTCGCCTTCGCCCATGATCACGCCGCGGTCGACCATGCCCTGCGCCAGGCCCGTGTCGATTGTCATGTTCAGGCTGGTGAGCGAACCAAGTTCGGGGGAGCGGTAGTAGTACCCTCTTTCCGTAGGTTTTCCCACGCCATAGAAGCAATAAATCTTCAGACTCGGCGCGAGGGGGAGTCGGGTTTCCAGCGGGTTCATCCATTTCCTATGGTCGTCTTCGTTGGCCTCGACTTCGGCGGCCGTGTGTGCGACGCCCCGGGAGTAGCTTCCCTTCACTTGATCCCTATACCAATCCTCCGACGTGTCGAGCAGGTAATCCATCGCGTCATCCACTGTGAAGTTCCTGTCAGGAGTTGTCCAGTTCTGGCCAGTCCGAAAGTTCAAGAACGAGCCGTAACTATGTTCCTGGTCGGGCTGGTCATCTGGTGCCCCGTCGTGGTCACCCCAAATGGCGGTGCCTCCTATTGGCAGCATGGAGGAGATACCCGGCATGGCGCGGAAGATTTCGGCTCGCTCCGTCTTGCTCAAGAACTTCTCAAGTCCGTAAACCGCGAAAGCGTTCAGCTGCGCCGTGTCACGCATCTCGCCGGATAGGATGGCCGTAACATCCTTAAGGGCCCCCAGCATACATCCGCTAACGTTAATCCACGATTCGATGTGCCGCTCCACCCAATCTTCGCCCCCCTTACCACCGTGCTGCGAAGCGACCCAGTGGAAGAAGTAGAAGACAACTTGGCTGCCCATGCTGTGGGAGGTAAGTACGACCTTTTTTCCCTGGAGCAACACGGCCATCTCAATATGCGACTTCAGCCTCGTAAAATAATGATCTCGCTTTTCGAGATTCCGGTACGCCAGCCGCCAGTCGTATGCTGCCGTGTACGAATTTATCGGGTCGTAGCCGAGTGACGCGAGGTTCTCCAGGATTTTATTCCAGATCCAGTATCCCGTGATAAAAAAGTCGGTAGCATCGAAGCCTTGTGCGGCACGCAATTTGATCCCTGGCGGATCCAGGCCAGTCTTCTTGTCCAGCATGACATGCGCCTTCCACGTCTCCTTGTCCAGGACCAACGCACGCATCATGCTCCAGCTGCCCCATAACCGTTTCCGAAAATAGGGAAGCGAGGCGTTCGAAGTTCCCCAAGACTCGAGACCAGTGGATATTACGCCAGGGACCATGACGATGGGGTGGTGCGCCGTGAGGCCTTCAGCGCGGGCCTTGATGCCAATGGAAAAGGCGTCGTAACTCTCGAGGGAATCCCGCTCGCCGATCTGAGATGGAGAAACAAGATTAGCCCACATAGTCTTTCCGTGCTAGAAGCGCGACTTACGACTAGCTCCCGCATGTCCTTCACCAACCCCGCCGGAAGAACGTCAAAGAAACTATCCATGCTCAGCTCCCCAATCTCGGGGAAGTCTATTAAGTCATTGCTCTGAGCGAAGAAGCCCGCGGCGATAATCCCAAACAAACTGCCGAGCAAGAAAATGGCAGTGTTTCTGCGCTTGCGCGTCGTTGGCCCATGGTGGTGGACGGTCTTGATATTGCCGCCGGCCTTCTCGGGTTCGTCGGGGCTCTCATCGCGGGGCGTTGGCGTTTCGGAGGGAGGCTCGTTGCCGGGAACTCGGCGGCGTAGGGTGCTCGCCATCTTAGGGGTCCGACTGTGCGCGTATGTTTTCGATTGGAGTTTGGCAAGGCGCCCCTCGAGGCTGCTCGGTCACTTTGGCGGCTACGATCAGCCGCGGCCGCTGGTGCGAGCTACCGGCATGTGTATACCCCGTTGGAGTTGGCGTCTGTTGGCTCAGGGGCGCGGCGCAGGGACTTTCAGCCGGCCTCGCAAATGTCGTTGAGAAAATGACACCCTTGTCTGTCCGTCCTCTCCGGGGCAGGGATGGCTAATGACGTCTGTGCCCCGCGACAGCCCCCACCAAACGCGACGCTGAGAGCACCGCTGGGAATACTTGAGAGTATGTCTTCGCTAGGGGTCAACCTACGAAGCGGTAGTGACAAAAAATGTGTGTTTTTTTAATTTGATTTTCGTGGCAGAGACTGGATATCCTATTTATTTCCCTCGCATCGTACGGAGTAGTGTACTTATAAACGGCAATCAATACCTGGATCATGGGTTGAGCACTGCTGTGTCCGGCAAACGCCAGTTCGTCTTGGCGTGCGCGCGCGCCGAACACGCCCTAATTTTTTGAAAAAAGGGCCAGAAGACCAGAAATCAGTCGAACTATCTACAGCTATATCAACCAACCCACCACATACGCACACCGCGCAAATACCTTAAGCTATATATCTAAATATGTAGAATCAGAATATTGTACCCGATTAATGATGCGGATAATACGCGCTGAGATCTTGATGGTTTTAAAAACTGGTAAATTTTTGCTAAAAATCGCCAAGATCTGCCAAGCCTTGCTAAGATATCTTCGAAAAGTTCGAACAAAATCAAGAAAAACAGAAATCTATCGATACCTCAACGCGTATTATCCGCATCATCAATCAGGTACAGAATTCAGATTCTACGTATCTAGATATATTACTTGAGGTATTCGCGCGGTGCGCGCATGTCGTGGTTTGGTTGATATAGCTGTATATAGTTTTCTATCATCCTATTTTCCCCTAAAAATTGATAAAAATTAGAAAATGTTGCGCAACCCGCGCGCGCGTGCCAAGACGAATTGGCGTTTGCCGGACACAGTGAAACAACTGCAGTGGCCCACATGCATCGAACTTGACCCACTCCCGGGCTCCGGACCAATCGACTAACAGTGACTCCCAGCTTTGCATGTGAAAGTTCAACGACAGCGATCTTCGCTCTCGGCCTCGTTAAGCCGCAGCCTCGTCTCACTCATCAGCTCCGCAGCTTACACGACAAGTTTTAACCCAGCCTTTTCCATCTTATCCCTGCTCGACTACGACAGCAAATTCCAGTCCCTGGGTAACCTACCGCCATGGCCGACTCCGGCGATGCAAGGAACGACGTGGGGTCAGGGTCCCCCAAAGCAGAACTTCCGGGCGAGCTGAAGTATATTCAATACCAACATTCGCTCGAGTCGCAATACTTGCCGTCTATACGTGCCCTCATCTCAAAAGACCTAAGTGAGCCGTATAGCATTTACGTTTACCGCTACTTCCTCTACCAATGGGGCCACCTCTGCTTCATGGTTCGTCCCACTTGACCCTACTCTATGCATTGCGGCTCGTTCTAATCGCTCTCCAGGCACTTAATCCCACCGACTCTTCTCTCATAGGCGTAGTAATATGCAAGCTCGAGATGCATTCCTCCCATTCCGCACCCACGCTACGGGGCTACATCGCCATGCTCGCCGTTTGCGCTCAATACCGAGGCCACGGCGTGGCTACCGCGCTCGTCAAGATGGCTATCGATGCCATGACCAACCGCAATGCGGACGAGATTGTGCTCGAGACGGAGGAGACAAATATACCCGCGATGAGGCTGTACGAGCGGCTCGGCTTCTTGCGCTCCAAGAAACTGCACCGGTACTATCTGAACGGTAATAGCGCATACCGCCTGGTGCTGCTACTAAAGCCGACCGACATGGATGCTTCCGCGGAACTGGCGCTGGACGACGAGGACTCCACCTTGAAATAGTGGAATGGGTGTTCCTTCTCGAGACGCGACGCTATTGATTACTCGTCACGGCCCTTCCACCGGACTATCCGCACCCACGGCGGTCATCACAAATCACAACCAAATTAACGGACTTTACCCCGAATAACCGAGCTAACGGCAGCACCGATTTTGCTTCAAGTAAAGCAGCAAAACTGAAAGTTAAGTGGTCCCGATCTGGCCGTGGAGTTCGGACGGTCGCGGAGTCCGGTCTCAAGCGTACCATGGCTACCTCAAACCTCCATTGCCTTAGATAGCCGTGGTCGGCAGCGGGGAGATCTACCAAGGTATCGAGCGGTTGCAGTTTGGTAGGCCATGCTGCAAAACCCGAGCGTCGGCGTTTGACGTTTTATGAACGACGGGAGACAACCGCCTTGATATACCCAAATACCTCGTTCGATGAATACTAGCCTAGTCAGCTGCGACACTATCATGTGTGGGTAGTAGTGGCAAATAACTTACCATCGACGCCCCAATCCCCCAACTATTCCCCCCGTAAATTCCAAGTTCAGTCCAAGCATCTAAAACCATGTAAGCCACAGCCGACTGGAATATCGAATTTCCCAACTGACCTGACTTGTAGTAAATCTGCCTCCCGCTCTGCCTCACCAACTCCAACTCTCCCATCCTGTTCAATACCCTCGCCACATCATCCTTGTCCCTGAAATCGCTCGTGTAAACACACACCAGCCTCTCCTTCTTTGCCTCAACCCTCGTCTCGACCTTGGCCGAAATCCCAAGCTCATTATTTGCCGTGGCCGCCGCAATCTTCGCCCATACCTCATCTACACGCTCCGGCTCAGGGAACAACATCCACTTCCCTGTAACGACATTACACGCCGCCGCGAGATCCTGGAGATCCTCGACCGTCTCCCCCCTCTCGTTGGCGACGTCTTTTTTGAGGGCTATAAGTGCTCTGCCAGATGTTTTGGCGCTACTGGCGGTAGCCATCTGCTCGAACTCGGCAAAGAGGGCCAATCGTTCCTCACCGCCCTTGCGGAACTGGGTGAGGGCCTGACCCGGGCTGGGCGGCGCGTATGGGTTGGCAACCCAGAGCCAGTCGAGGTCGGGCCGCCGGTCGGTTTTGGAGGGCGGGAGGCGGGACAGGAAGCGTTCAATCGACTCGGAGAGCTGCCGGGCGCCGGGTTGGCCTTCATACGGGTTGTGCAGGCGACCGCTTGGTAGGGCTGGAGCAGGGTGTCTGTGAGTGGCATGCTGGAGGTGGCTTGTGACGGCGTTCCGGCGGTCCCACCATTCAACGACGTCGAACTCGTTAACACGGGCTTCGAGCGCCGAGGTGGTTCCTTCGTCGCCTGGGATGGGTTAGGCAGTTGCTTCTCTCGAGCGTTGGTCTGAGGAAATGGCATACCGTAGAAATCTGAATCCGAATCCATTATAGAGCCCCCCAGGTCCCGATTTTTCTTGGTCTGCTTGTTTGAACCCCGACAGTTTAGAAATCTGGCCGCTAGACTGGGAAGACCGTACGGTGTGCAAGAACCGGTGGAAAGTCCGGGCCTCTCGGTCCCAATCAATCGCGCAATCAAGGGCCGTTTGCAGCTGATCCGTGGCATTTGTCATTTACCACCAGTTGTATCGTACATGTTGAAAATTAAAAAAAGAAACGATCCTTTTTTGGGAAGATTTGTGTTCTCTTTCCCTTCAGATACTTTCTCGAGGTGTTGTGTTGTGTTAACCAAGGAGCTTGAGAAATGGACCAATCCGGAAAGTGAAAGGTTCCTCCAAAAGACCCCAGAAAAAGCAAGCACAACAACTTCTCATTCATAAACTCGGCTCAGCAACAACCTTCACGCGTGCCCTTGTCCTGGTCGGATCTCTTTATTAACCTCCTAGTAGGGTTCAATTTGCCCACCAAATGGCGGAAGAGGAAGAAGGGACGTTGGTTCGGTCAATCAGGTGCCAGACTCTCGACCTCCCACCCAGTTGTGTCGAGTTCTGCCCTGCATTTCCCTCATACTTTTTGGTTGGGACATACTCTCTTCAACCCGACGTGACCGAACTGAAGGACGGAGATGTCAACTTTAATACACAGGAGGATGGCCAGTTCCTTCAGCCAAAGCAGCCGCAGAACCGTAACGGCAGCATTATTGTCTTTCGGCTCGAGGATGGGGATTTGTGAGTGGGATACCAAAATTTAGTTTGAATATTTGCTAATTAAAACCCAGAATTCGTGTGCAGACGGTGCCTCAGCCCTCAGCCCTCCTCGACCTTCGGTTTAACCCTCATGATGGTCATCGTGATATCTGCGCCGTAGTCTCGAGCACTGCTACCCTTGCCTTATATAGGCTGTCCCCGGGCGAGGAAGAACCCCTGACGCACCTTAACACCATGGACATTGCGGCCATGTCCCACAATGAGATCCAGCCGACACCCGGCGAAGAGATCCTGTTCACCTCATTTGGCTGGCACCCCTCAAGGGCGGATATGATGGTCATCACCACTTCAACTGGGCATGTGTACTTTGTACAGCTAGCCACTCTTGACGGGGATTGGGAGCTGAATTCGGAGCCTATCATCACCCACACGCTTGAGGCTTGGTGTGCTGTCATTTCCTCCGTACCAACCGCTCTAATTCGGGCCGACGAGACGAAAGAGACCAAGGAGCTGTCTTTCCGGGTCTATTCAGGGGGGGACGACTCCATGTTGCGCTCCAGGACGTGTAACTGGAACGAGGGGAGCCTTGCCCAGTCTCTTCCCGCTCTTGAGTCGAGAGGTCATGATGCTGGAGTCACGGCCATCCTTCCTCTCTTCGCACAAGAAGATAACCACGAGCTCGTCGTCACCGGGAGTTATGACGAATACATTAGGCTGTTCCTAGTACCGCCCTTTGGCAGGCCGAAGAACCTGGCCGAGGGTATGCTCGGCGGCGGGGTTTGGCGATTGAACCTGATTGACCTAGACACGAACTCCTGCCCGAGCTACAGCTGGCGAGCCAGGATACTAGCTTCTTGTATGCATGCTGGTTCAAGGGTGGTTGAGCTCCTGAGAACGGCAGCTGGGGAGTACCGATTCAAGGTTCTAGGTCGTTTTGAGGAACACAAGAGCATGAACTACGGAAGCGATTTCCAACCGGGGTGGAAGAACAGGCTGTCGGTTGTGTCAACTAGCTTCTACGACAAACTGCTGTGTCTGTGGGAATTTGACATGGCTTGAGCCTGATCCTAACATGTTTCACACTTTCTTTGAACTGCTATGTCTGAAGGGACCGAATCGCCAACACAAAGGACCCCTGACTCCTGACCGAGGTGTGACGCAATCGCTCTTTCTCACCGCCTTCCAGGTTCCTCTCATGCCCAGACTGCCCCGCGCTAAGCTCAAATAGGCCCCAGAACAGTTCGCGCCCGAGCGCGCCTGACATGGTTCACAGAGAGCATGGTGGGGACCGACTTTTAATTGCCAAAGTTCCGCGATTGACTGACAAGAGACGGCGTGACAACTGGCAAGCACCAACAAACAGCGCAAATAATTTCCAGCTTGAAGAAAGCGTCGGCACTGGGCGGTCCCAGGCGTCATCTCATTCTTCCCAGTACTAAAACCTCGGTATTTCCCGTCGCACACCCTGCTCGCCAGCTGTGACTCTACATAACGAACCATCTGCACGTCCGCTGCACGGATCTCGCCAGTTCCTGCATTGCGCTGCTGCATTCCCCGATACCCACCCTATGGTTCACGATTAGACTCCTTGCTACATTCTGGTGGCCACCTCTCCCGTAGATCAACCGGTCTCTCGGCAACTCCAGCAGCCTGAGCCTTTTCAGGCTCTGGTCACGGCGACGATGCCAATGAACGGTGCAGCTGGGGCTGCCAGTACCGGCGAGGGCGGTGAGGCCGTCCTCTCCAAGATTCACGAGGCACTCAAAGTCGTCCACAGCCCGTATTCGCCCAACCAAGCGCGACAGGAAGCCCAGGCCTTTCTCGAAGATGTCAAGACCCTCGCCGAAGCACCCTCGCACGGCTTCAACCTCGCATTCAATAAACCCCAAGAGCCCATTGTCCGCCATTATGGCCTGTCGCTACTCGAGCATGCTGTGAAGCAGAATTGGGGGGACTACGGCGCCGAGCATCGGGAATACATTCGATCATGGGTTCTGCAGCTTGCCGAGACAGTTTCCACCGAAGACCCGCCATATCTGAGGAACAAGATCGCCCAGCTCTGGGTCGAGGTGGCCAAGCGTGCTTGGGTTGCCGACTGGATGGATATGGACCACCTGTTAGTCCGTATTTGGCGGGGCTCGGACTCGCCAGTTCACAAACAATTCGTCCTCCAGATCCTCGAGACGCTCTCAGACGAAATCTTTAACGGGGATGACGCTGTGGTCGCTCTCCGCGAGGGGGCCCTGAGCAAGGCATGCGTCGAGGTTTTCACCCCGGCAGCCATCCTGACCGAGGCCTTCCCCAACCGTCAAGCCGGCCCCGATGTGCGGTGCGAGGGTGACGGGTGGCTCAGTAGAATAACACAACTCATCAGCGAGTGTCTCAGCGGTGGTATCGACCAGAGTGAGGATATAAGGGCATGCGCTGTCAAGGCCCTCAACGTCCTCAACTCAGTCGTACCTTGGGCAATTCCAAAAGCATTGAATGCCGTCGGCTGTCGCCCCGTCATGTGCAGCTGCCTCGCAGCTCCTAGTGTGCCTGTGCAGAAGGTTTGCGTTCCTCCCTCGACCGTTCGATAGGTGGTTGTATTAACTATCAGAAGGCTGCCCTCGAGTCCCTTCACTCGCTATATAACCGCTCAAGCTTTACGGAAGAGGAATTCGTCGATCTCGTGGTGCCCATGTACAGCGAAGTCATGGTTGACCTTTTCAAGAGGCTGTTCGAGTGGTCAGTCGTGGACGCACAGGATATCGACGACGACAAGTACCAGTTTGCCAAGAAGTTCTCCGAGGTGAGTAACGCCCAGCCTTGAGGGTTCCTTCTTGCTTCAGGTCCCTCATTACTGACCATCGTAGACGCTTTGCTCTCTAGGAAATTACCTAGACAGGAAGTTCGGGGCCATACCTCCTCAGACTAACATTCAAGGGTTCCTCGAGCTCTTGATGCAGGCGGTGCAGAGCCAAAGCCTAGTCGTTTCGATCCCGATCCTTCTCACCTGGACACGTCTGCTATCTCATCGGTCCCTTGGTCCTGCAGCTGCTGAAATGCCCTTTATCGTCAACCTCTTAGAGCTGTGCTGCAGCCGCTTGGTTCGATATGAGAATTTCCCGGAAGACACGGAGGATCCCGTCTACGTTCTGCTCATTGAGGATACAGACACTATCCCTGAGCGACACGCCTTCCTTGGCAACTATCGACGGTACTGTTCCTCAGTCATCGAGAGCATTGTACACCTCAAAATGTCCGATGCATTCTCGCATATACTAGGCAGGGCGGAGCGTGCTTTGAACACCCTTTACGATGGGCAACCTCCCCTCAACCGTGAGTTCAATGGTTGGAGTCTGATGCTACCTAGACACTGACAGGCTGACGCGATTTAAGCTTCCAACTACTCCAAGACCTCCCTGCCTGTTTTAACCGTCGACGCCCACGCGACCGTCATCGAAGCTGCCCTTAAAGGCTACGACAAGTGGAGGACATCGCGCAACCGGACCGCCGAGGAGGTGCGTCGTCGTCTTAGTTACACAATGTCAAGCGCTAACTCGGGCCTAGAAACAGCAAGCAACGGCCGTGGAGCAGTATTTCGAGAAGTGGTGTGGTCAACTCCTCGAGATGAAGTTCGAGGTAAGGCGCTATTGTTCTTTTGTTTATTCATCGCGGTGGCTAAACGTAACCCAGGATCCTCTAATTCGAAAACGGATACTTCAACTCCTGGTAACTTTCTCAACCAGAGCCCTCGACTCAAAGCCCGCGATCATGCTTAGGGTGCTGGAGCATATCTTGATGACCTGGCCAGCCCTGCAGCCAGAACATAGGCTATTCAATGATGCGATTCGGGATCTGCAAACCGAAAGCATGGTTGAGCTGCAACGGCTGGCATCGAAAATGCCCGATCCTCTTCTTGTAAGTATTGCCCTCGCCATGAGGATAGTTGAAGCCAACTAATGGGATCCAGGACGTGTACGACCAGTTGGAGGCGAAGGTTCAGGAGATGATCGCGTCCGGGACTCTTGATGAAAAGCGCCAGGTGGCATACCAAAGCTTCCTGTTCATCATCATGTGAGTTCATATCGAAACAATAATCCCCTCACCCCTGAATCGGATCGCTCACCATGTTTTTAGTCACCGGGCTACCCACATTGACCCGGCTGTGCGTCTATCGAAGCTCACTGCGTTCATCGATCCCGTCAAGGACCAGTGGAAGAACGAGTCCTTGAAGCAGGCCTTGGGTTCTTACAATGGGTTCTGCGAGCTGTTGGGCCTCGATAAAGTCCAAAAGTACCTGGTCGAGCGCCGCGTTCATGAGAATGCTGACTGGGGCTCCACGGAACTCGACGCCGAAGGGCTAGCCCTGCAGGCTGAAATGGAACAGAGACAATCGGTAGGCTGAACCAGTTCAACACCACGACGCCTCCTTATTAACCCAGAGTTAGGCCCTACCGCTTCGGGTGACCAAGTCATTCTTGACATATTCGGTTGAGAGGATAGATAAAGACTCGCCTGCTTACCAGGCTTCTTGCACCCTTTGGCAAGATGGGTTCCAGCTCATCCTGCCAGAGCTGCTCAAGTTTCTGAGGTTGGCAATCCGAAACCGTGATGATTTCGATATAGTATTGACTCTGTCCTAGCTATGCCCACGCATCCCACAACCCAGCAAACTGGAGCTTGCTGCCGGCAGAAATGCAATCGGTAGTGGGCCGCCTCCTATCCGACCGATTTTGGCAAGCCGGTATTTCGGAGGGGAGTAAGGATGATTTCTACGCTAGAGTGCTTGGGAAGAAGAACACCCTAGAAGGGCTTGCGTCGACTATTAGAGGGACTGTTCGGTTCGTACGGGAAACATGCTACGCCGTCATATATTGTATGACGCGGCTGGACATGCAGTTCTACGGCTTCCTGGAACTTCCCGGTCCGCTGGCGAACGCATTGTTTGCGGATTCGGTCTACCTATCCTCTCACCAGGTCATCAACCTCCTCACTCTCGTGAGGTTCCTTGTCGACCACTGCCCTGTGGAGCTACGGGAGCACTTCGTACCGCCTATCCTGGCAACTTGTTTTGAGCAGATGGACGCCAAAATCAGCTCCGAGTGGGAGAAGCTCGGACAACGAGAAGCAGTTCGAGCTGCGGCAGACGAGTTGGCCGAGGAGATGAAGGCCGAGAGCATTCTCAGACAACTCACTTATTCCGCGGTACTTATGGTCGCCGATGTTCTCGATCCTGCCAGAGTCGGTAAGTCGTTATTCCCCCGTTCATTTGTCGCACCTTACATAACATCAATGCTGACCGTGAAGCAGCACCAGGGTCAGCTTCGGCGGACAAATCCGAGGACGCGGCCTCAGGCACGAAATATCCCCCGCTCCGCAAGTTTTGCCTCATGAACCCGTCTATCGCTGTACCGCTCCTAGTCTTCTGCAGTCATGCGATCCGTATGCACGATGGTAGATGCTGCGGCGTGGTGCTGCGCGTCTTCCGCTCCATTGTGCCTGAATTTAGCCCTTCAGAGCTCCCGAAGTCTATTAAAGACTCGGGCCACACAGCGCCCCTCGAGGACTTTCCGATTCCGGAGGACACGGCGAGAGAAATCCGGGAGTACATTTCCATGGAGGTGATGAGGGCGGCCATTTCCTCACTGCACGATCCCTATTTCGTCGACTCCCAAAGAGACCTGGGCGCGCTCATCGCTTATATTCTGGCCTATTACTCATCTCTGACGCCCACACCGCGGAACATACTTGTCTCCTTGCCAAACATCAAGCCAGAAGATGTGGACAGGACGATCCAGAACGTCTCTCAGCCGGGGGTGCAGTCTCGCCAGCAACGCGCGCTTGTCCTCGAACTACTCGAGGACCTGAAGGGGGTTAGCATCTCGGAGATGGGGAAGCTTACCAAGAGCCTCGGCGTAAGGCCAGGATCATCACGCGGCAGCAAGAAGTCTACTCGCAGCAAAATGGCCCAGGAATTCATGACGCCGAACGGGGGCTCGGGAACAGGCGGAGCGGCGGATGGCTCGGCAGGACGCAACAAGACCCCCGACTTGGATGGCGTGGCCGGGATGTTTAACGAAGCGGGCTAGGAGGAGAGATGGAATGGGGGGTCTTCGCGCCGCCCTGGAGTCCTCTGATGCATTTGGGGCGGGATGTTGGGGGGTACTTGTACAACAATGCGACTTCACATCGGCTTTTACTCCGCGATGTCGCGCAGAGATGGCCCGCTCATTGGAAGTGGGCGGCATCTAGCAGTTTGCTTTACTTGCGAACAAGGGATGGGGAGGGGGGCATTGCGGTAATGTCTCGAGTTAGACACGTTGATACCTTTAACTAAGTAGATGAAGTAAAGATCTAGTTCTAGGCTCTGGTCAGTGGGGTTCGAAACCTCCCAAACGGTGTGGCGGTGCTGCTTCGTGATGTGTTTCGGCTGCTATGCGTCCGAGTTACACCCCGGTCGGCGCCGTTGTCTCTGGGAAACTTGAAACTGTTCGAGCTGTTTCTTTTTACGACCTTGATAGTTACCTCGGACGTAGGCCAATTGCTCGACGGGCTGCACGCGGTTGCCGAGGCCTGTAGTGGCGGCGATCCCCCCCAAGTGCCCCTCCCCCTTTACACAGTCTAGTGAGTGCCTTGCACCTCTCCCCTAGCCCCTCATTCCCAAACACCAGGCTAGCGCTGCATGGATATCCGCGCCAAGCTCTTTGGGGAAGTGGAGGGCTTGGCCCGACTCGATGCCGGGTCGTGCTTGGCGAGTGGTCAAACTACGGAGAACAGTGGCGTGTTTGTGCTTCATTGAGCCTCTTGTTCTCGAATTTTGGTTCGCTTCATGCCGTGATTGCCACCTCCTCCTGACGGTTGAGGTAGGAGAAAGGGAAAAGGGAAAAAAAGGAAAAGGGGTGAACAAAAAGCAAGCTCAGCAACCGCTCACGCCCTCATCGGCTTCCACCGCCCCGAGGCTGCCACACTCTTCAGTTCGCCCTGCTCACTCAACCTCGGCTTCTTTTTCCGTTTTCTTTTTCGACCCCAGGAACGTTACCAAATTGTACGATAAACCACTCGCCAAGTCCCGAATACGTTTCATGCCGGTAGATGCTCGCCAGGCCGGCTCCCCTGGTTAGTTGCAGCGAAGTCAGGAACCATCTTCAGACCATCTCCAGAGTCATCACGTAGACAAGTCCATGTTGCCCTACAACATCTAGCTCTCGAGACTCAAGGCTATATACAGCTAGACATTGGACTGGGACCTAACTTTACCCATACTTGCTTCTTGCTTTCTCCCGCGAACCCAACCATGGTATACTGCGGGAAGCCCTCCAAGGGCTGCCAGATGTGCCGGACCCGACGTATCAAGGTACGCGGATCAGCAAATGAGCCTTGATTTCTCCCAAGTAGAAGATATTGACGACACTGCGTAGTGTGACGAAACGAAACCGATATGCAATCAATGCACCAAAGCACGGCGTGAATGCCCGGGTTACAAAGACGCCTTCGACCTCGTCCTCCGCAACGAGAACCTCGCCGCGAAACGTCGAGCCCTAAAGCTTAGCAACCCAAGACGCGGTGGTGCCAGTAATGCCGGCAAGAAATCCAAAGCAGCAGCCTCGTCCTCATCCTCTGCTTCATCATCCTCCTCCTCCTCCTCCTCCTCCGCGTCCTCTAATTCCCCCACAACCCCCCGATCCCTATTCACAACCATCACCCCCACCACCGCCACCAGCAGCAGCCACTTCCCGCCCACCCTTTCCCGACAGCACCAAGAACGAGTCATCATCTTCGACCAGGCGCAAGCCCTCTCCCCAACCCCGATCCACCTCGCCCCGGAGACGCTCGCGCCATGCCACTTCGTCGCCAACTTCGTGCTGGCCCCGCGGCACGACGGCACGCGCGGCTTCATGGAATACCTCGTCCCGCTGCTGGACCGGAGCGCCGCCGCCGCCGCCGCCGGCGGCAGCGGCGGAAGTGAGGCGCACCTGCTGCATGCGTTCAACGCGTGCGCCCTGGCGTCGCTGGGGAACCGGACGTCGTCGTCCTCGTCGGCTGGCGCCGCTGCCCCTGCGGGGCACAAGATGGGGCCGGTTCTGGGCGGGGCGATGCCGGGACAGGTAGGGGTGGCGGCGGGCGGGCAGCGCACGGGGGTGCTGGGGAAGGCGTTTGCTGAGTATAGCAAGGCGTTGAGGGCTACGCAGGCGGCGTTGGTGGATCCGGAGAGGTGGAAGGGGGATGGCGTGCTTGCGGCGGTTTTGTTGTTGGGGATGTTTGAGGTGAGTTTTTCTTTTCTTTTTTGGTCGTTCTTTCTTTGAATGGCTCGGTTGTTTGGACATGGGAGACAAAAGGGGTGGCTAATGAAAGGACAGAATATTACGGCTAAACAGTTGGGTAACATGGCCTGGGGATCGCATGTTGAGGGCGCCCTACAACTTGTCAAGGCCCGCGGGCGGAGCCAGCTGAAGACCAAGATCGGGGTGCAGTTGTTTATTGCTGTGAGGACGCAGCTTGTAAGTTGGTCCCGTGTCTTGCCTCGGGGGAGTTTGTGAGTCTAACCTGCCAGGTTATCCACACCCTCTCTACCGGCACCCCTCCACCCATGGGAACCGACTGGTGGTTGCAGGACGCCGTCTACGACTCAACCGCCTCCGAATGCCAGCGGCTCAGCCTCCGGACCGGCGAGCTGCGCGCTGATATAACCCGCCTTATGACCGGCGTCACTCGCACTCCGCAGAATATCGAGCTTGTTGGCGACTTGATGCGCCGTGCGCAGCGTTTGGATGAGCAGGTTGCGGCGTGGATGGACTCGGTGCCAGACACATGGCAGTTTAGGACGCTATGCTGGCAGCTCCAGAGCCTAGCCGTCCCCGGCGGCAATGACTACTACAGGGCGGAAGTGTTCCCGGGCCGGGTGGACGCATACAGCGACTTCTGGGTGGCGGGCGTGTGGAACCAGGCACGGACGACAAGGCTTGTCCTTATGTCTATCATAGTCCGCTGTGCCGCGTGGGTGTGCTCGCCCGTAGACTATCGGACGACACCCGAGTACGCCACTGCGGCAAGAGTATGTGTGGACACCATCTCGGACATCCTGGCCTCGGTGCCGTACTACCTAGGGTGGCACACCAAGAGGAAGGACTTGTTGCCAGAGGACGGATCGGCGAGCTTTGCCTACGGCGACAACTTTGGGATAAAGGGGCTTGCTGGGTATTTCCTGACCTGGCCCCTAGCCTGTATGCTAACGCAAGATTACACGACCGATGCCCGTACGTTACCCCCCCTCGCCCCACCCCCAGCCAGCTGGAAGAGAAACTGACGAGGTTTGCCAGAACGAGCATACATCAGGGGCAGGCTCAAGCACATTGGCGACGAGCTGGGGATCAAATACGCGCATATCTTGTCCCTGGTAGGTATTCCCTAGCCACCCTGTGGTTTTCGTTCGCTAACGGTGGGACCAGCTCAATGTCCGCGTCCCCTCACTGCTCATCCGCTCTGATGGCCTCCTTGCCAGACCCTACCCTATGGCACACGACTTTGAGAAGCTGATCTCGTCGGGCCGCCAGGCCTATCCGCTCCCGAAGGGGTATGCGGCCGGCCAAGAGCCACCGCAATCCCGCCAGAGCCAGGGCGGACCGGCAAGTACGTCCGGGTCCAGAACGCGGCCGGCCATGGAGAAACAGGCTGCTGTGTAACGCGGGGATGGTTATGGTTTTATTCTCCCCGGTAGGGGCGGTTGTACGGGCTTGGTCTGGTGTCTTGGATACCCCGGTTTGTCTTCTGTAAATATGTGGGATTCCACGATGTTGTAATTCCCCCGAAAGCATGAATTGTACTGCTGTTAACAAGTACTAAAACCAGGTGCTCGAGTATATATGAGCATAAAGACCCTCTCCCCGTTCGCCCCCGTTAGCCGGGGCTATGAACGGCAAGTTAACGTTAGACGCAGCAGAACTCATTTACACGCCGACGCCGACGGCGGCTGGCGGACCCGCAAATGTCTGTATTTGCCTCGACTCGTCTACCTCACTTCTTGTCTAATCAGTGATGGCCCCCATCCGGCTTCGGCTTCGTCAAGACATTCCTGCTCGTGATGTTAGTGATGCCAAATTCAGCGGGGGGACATCGAGAACACCTCTTTCATACCTCTTTCGCCTTGCGGCTTCGTCATTCTCGTTGGGACTTGAGCCAGTACCCAATTCCCACGCCTTAACGACCCAACTCTGCGTCCTGTCCAGGTACGATTCGTCTTCAATACCATGAACTTTGAGACGCACGCCGTCCCTCGTGAATGACACGTTTTCGCCCATCTGTTTGCGGGCCTGTGCCTTGATCTTGCCCATCGACACGTAGATCTGGTAGCAGACCCAACCCACCACGCTTAGGACGATGAACGTGACGATCAGGGGGAGGAGTTGCCTGTGGTTGGTGTTAGTCTGGTTCCAAAAGTGGTAACCGAGAAGCATTTCAATTGGCGAGGCGAAGCTGACCTGATTGTCGACGGCGGGGTCTGCACATGTTGCTTTCCCCAACCCATGATGATTAGGGTGAAGATGAAGATGACGCGACTCGGAGCGCAAGTAGGGTTGATGACTGGGAAGGCAAGCGCAACGGGTTCAAGTCGAGGTGTTTGGGGAAATCGTGAGCTCCGGGAATAAACTTGAGTTTATTTAATGTTGCACCTTGGGGTCGGGAAGCTGTTGGGTGCGGGCTGCCTCTCTGAAACCACCTGAAAGGTCTCAATCGGGTCGCTGCAAGTTCTGAGGGACGCAATATTGCGGCAAAAACTAACGTCGCCGTCGTGTTGGCCAGGGACATAAGACACACACACGATTTGTTGTTCCGGTCTGTCTCAAGTCAGGCTTTTATATTCCAAGATTGAATCCTCGAGAGCATGCCCGAGACGGCCGGGACTCCGAATGCCGCGCTGCGTTTGATTGTGGCCAAGATGCACTGCCGCCGACTGCCGGTTGCTGCCGCCAGCTTTGTTCAAGATTGCTCGGCTCTGGGCGCTGGGCGACAGGGAAGCCCACGCGTCGCTGCAACCAGTGATCGGCCTCATGCTCATCGATCGCCTCGGTGGTGATGCTCCACCTTCCTTGGCCGCCCTAGAATGCGGAAGGCGTTGCGGTACGAGGTCACGACGTTACGAAGACACGGCTGAACTCTCGATTTGCTGACATACTCGTTACGCGTAATTATTGTAATACCATGCATATACCGAGGCATCGCTAAATCGAGCTCTTAACAGTCTCCGCCAGCAAAGACCCTTTCCTTGGCATCAATACGCAGCCACGGTTTGAGCGCCACAGTGCGAGAAGTGACCACTCTGATAGCATTCCTGAGGCACGCCCGAGCGCTGAAAGCTGCGCTGATCAGGCCAGTCTGTCATCCCGCAGCCCCTCTATCAAAACTGGTCAAGGCCACCGCAGCAGCTCCAACCCTGTAACTCGCGCCAATCCAGAGCTTGCTCCACAGTCCGCCACCGGGCTGCCACCGACGCCATCCATCCTTCCTGCCAGCTCTCCGCCTCCAAGACCGCACACTCGGACCTGCAAGCACGCAGGTAACAGATAACGCACCACGCTTCGGCCACCCCTTTTGGTGTTGTTGACGCTGCATCGTCCGCTTTTAGTCTCGTCACGGACACGCGCTGCTGCAGCGTCGCACGGCCGAGCTCACCATGTCCGCTCCCCATGACGGCTACGGCCAGTTTCCGCCCCAGCAACCCACCGAGCAACCCCCGTACCCCGATCAAGGTTATGCGAACAACCCGGCCGACGCCCCGCCCCCGGCTGCCGGCGCACCTCACGCTGCCGACCATGGCAAGAAAAAGAAGCGCGCGTATGCTGCCGGTGCCTTCGATGTCGCCGCGGGGGGCAATGCCGCAGTAGGTGGCCAGGCGCAAGGGGGGGGCCAGTTTGGAGCTCCCGCCGCCCCGGCGTACGGAGGTTATCCGCAACCAGAGGCCCAGCCCGCTGCCTATGGCGCTCAACCTGCTGCTTACGGCGCCCAACCGCAGCAGCCGTACGGGATGCCTGCGCCGGCACCTGCCGTGGGTTACCAGGCCCCGGAGCCGTACTACCCCTCGGCCGGTGCTCCTCCGGTTCCGGGTGACGTTGGCGGTCTGGCCTCCGGCATGTCGGCCATGAATCTTGGGCCCGGGGCACAACAGCAACCGCAGCAACTCCCGCCCCAGGCGAGGGCCGGCCCCCTCAATCAGCTGTACCCGACCGATCTCCTCAACCAGCCGTTCAATGTCTCCGAGTTGGACCTCCCCCCGCCGCCTATCATCCTGCCACCGAATGTACGTTGACCCGGCTGAAGCCCGCAATATTCCTATCTAGGAAATGCTAACTTCTTGTGTAGTCCAGCGTCACGCCTTCCCCCGATGCGAACTGCCTCCCGAAATATGTGCGATCGACCGTGAACGCTGTCCCCACGACGCACTCGTTGCTCAAGAAAAGCAAGCTACCGTTGGCGCTTATTATTCAGCCCTACGCAGCTCTCCACGATTTGGACGACCCTGTTCCCGTTGTCCAGGATCAGGTCATTTCGCGCTGCCGGAGATGCAGGTCGTACATCAACCCGTTTGTTACCTTTTTGGACCACGGACACCGATGGCGCTGCAATATGTGCAACCTCACCAACGACGTGCCTCAGGCGTTTGACTGGGACGCCGCGGCCCAAAAGACCGTTGATCGTTGGCAGCGGCACGAACTGAACCACGCCGTCGTCGAATTTGTGGCCCCGCAGGAATACATGGTCCGCCCCCCGCAGCCGCTGGTCTACCTCTTCTTGTTTGATGTTAGCTATGCTGCCGTATCGACCGGCCTCCTTGCCACTAGCGCCCGCACCATTCTCGACAGTCTGAACAGGATCCCCAATGCTGATCGGCGCACCAGGCTCGGATTCATCGCCGTGGACTCCAGCTTGCACTACTTCTCGGTGCCCAAGGACGCGGATGAAAATGGCGAGACGAGCATGCTCGTAGTGAGCGACTTGGACGAGCCGTTCCTTCCAGTTCCCCAGGAGCTGCTTGTCCCCCTCACCGAGTGCCGGAACAGCATCGAGAACTTCCTCACCAAGCTTCCCGAGATGTATGCCAACAACCAGAACAATGGGTCCTGCATGGGATCTGCCCTTAGGGCTGGGCACAAGCTGATCTCACCCCTCGGTGGCAAGATCGTGGTCCTCAGCGCGTCACTCCCCAATGTGGGTTACGGCAAGCTCGAGATGCGGGAGGACAAGAAGTTACTGGGCACGTCCAAGGAAAACGGTTTGCTCCAGACTGCGAACAGTTTCTACAAGAGCTTCGCGGTCGAATGCTCCAAAAATCAGGTCTCGATCGACATGTTCCTCTTTTCGTCTCAGTATCAGGACGTAGCGTCGCTCAGCAACCTCCCGAGGTACACAGGCGGCCAGACGTGGTTCTACCCGGGATGGAACGCGGGTCGCCCCGAGGATGCTATCAAGTTCGCTTCCGAGTTCAGCGATTTCCTCTCCTCCGAGATCGGCTTAGAGGCGGTTCTCCGCGTTCGGGCAACCACCGGTCTGCGCATGAGCACATTCTACGGAAATTTCTTCAACCGGAGCTCTGACCTGTGTGCGTTCCCCGCCTTCCCTCGCGACCAGTGCTACGTGGTTGAGGTGGCCATCGACGAGAACTTGACCAAGAACGTCGTTTGCCTGCAGACAGCGGTTCTGCACACGACGTGCAACGGCGAGCGCCGCATCCGTGTGATGACGCTCGCCCTACCAACAACAACCAACCTTGCTGATATCTACGCTTCTGCCGACCAATGTGCCATCACCACGTACTACAGCCACAAGGCGGTAGAAAGGGCGCTCAGCAACGGCCTCGACTCCGCTAGGGATATGCTGCAGAGCAAGGTTACCGAACTCCTGCAGACCTTCAGGAAGGAGTTGGCCGGCGGCAGTATGGGCGGTGGGCTTCAGTTCCCATCCAACCTGCGCGGCCTCCCGGCTCTGTTCTTGGGCCTAATCAAGCACGTTGGACTGAGGAAATCGGCGCAGATCCCGTCGGATCTCAGATCTGCCGCCCTCTGTCTGCTGTCGACTCTCCCTCTCCCCCTGTTGATGCAATACATCTACCCCCGGCTATACTCGCTGCATGACATGCCCGACAACGCGGGCTATCCCGACCCGGAGACGAGCCAGATCGTGCTGCCGCCCCCCCTCAACCTGTCGTCGGAGCGGTTCGTGCCCTTCGGCCTCTACCTCATCGACGACGGGCAGACGCAGTTCCTGTGGGTCGGCCGCGACGCCGTCCCGCAGCTGCTCGTCGACGTGTTCGGCGTGAGCGACCGCGCCCAGCTGCGCGTCGGCAAGGGCGCGCTGCCGGAGCTGGACAACGACTTCAACGAGCGCGTGCGCGCCGTCGCGCTGAAGAGCCGCGACCACAAGGCAAAGGGCGTCGGGAGCATCATCGTCCCGCACCTGTATATGGTCCGCGAGGATGGCGAGCCGAGCTTGAAGCTGTGGGCGCAGACCCTCCTGGTGGAGGACCGGGCGGACCAGGGGATGAGCTACCAACAGTGGATGGGGACGCTGAGGGAGAAGGTTAGTACTTGATAGGGGTTGGTGGTTTCTGTCAAGGGTATGGTGCTGATAACTTGAACAGGTTGTTCAATAATGAAGAATGAAAATTTGGGGTAGCCCATGGGAAGTGTTTCTGTGTTTCAATGCACGAGTACTGTTTGCAGTGAATAAATAGATTTACGGATCAAGGGTCCAGAAAGAGAGGAATCGCAATATTTGCCATCGCTGTTTCCGAGTTACCAGCCTCAGCTTTGTCTTGGGGATTCTCCGGTCTTGACCACACCCGGCATCCCCTTCGGGCCTCGCTCGCTCCCTTTGACTATCCCAGTTCGTTATGCGACACCATGCCTGCCCGAGGTCCTATCTAGCATGTTTTTTTTTTTTTTTTCACCGGTGTCCCCCGTGCGACGACGAGTTGGCCAGTGAGATCCACGTCATGAGGATCGCAACGAGGTTATGCAGCCAGGTAAGAAGACCGCGGCCGTTTAAGGTCCACCGGCCATGGCGGTCGTTTCTTTTCAATGCCCAGAATAGCAACGCAGGACCCACCCGGTCGCCTCGCTGGCCTCCCCCATCAGGGGTCGGTTGCTGCGCAGGTGCGGCTCTTCGCATGCGGTCTGTGTGTGTGCGTGCTTCTCAACATCCGACGCAAAGGCCCAACGGGAAGCTGGGGACCCGGGCTGCTGGTTGTCTCGAACAGATTGAACAAGCGCAGTGCGCGAGTGCACTGCCACTGCCACGGGCACAGGGGCGCCAAAACCCTCAGCTCAGCAACCTGTCATTGGCCCCTGTGAAACCAGCCCCCGATGGGGTCTGTGTGGTTTTTCCCGACGAACCTCGAAGGGAGCTCCATCCCGTTTGTTTCCGCAGCTGTGCTGCCGGTCGCAAGTGGGTGGCCGTCCTGGCGACGGGGCCATGAGGCCATGAAACAGGAGACCCGCCCGCTACCCCATTGGCGATTTCAGGTTTGAGACAGGCGCCGAGAGGGAAGATGAGAAAGCGGGTCCCGCTTGTGCCGCGCCAGAGTTCCCAGGTCGGCTAGGGCAATGCCTGGTGTGGAAGGGGAGGGGGGCTGTCGCCTGCCTGCTCGGGCGCCTAATTCGAGAGCTCGTTGGGCCGTTTGGGAAATGTATCATGCAGGTCTGCCCTCTTAGGTTTCTTGTTCCTGTGTGGGAGGTGCTTGGTGGACCGTGGGACGGATTTGGGAGGATGCAGTGTGATCAGTGTGAAGATGGGACAGTGACGGGAAGTTCACTCCCTGCTTAGGTGACTTTGCAGCAGCTGGTCGGCGACGCTGCATGCGGGGGTTGAGCAAACCATCGAGGTGGGATTTATTCGAGATTGCGGGTGGCTTCTCCCACACGACCCGAGACGGTTGCAACTTGGAATCGACATCACGGGATGTTTCTCGGTTTGATTGTTTAAGCGCCTGGCAAACCAGTCTGTTGTCGGAAATAGGGCGATGGCATATTTTCTGAATCCGAGTCACACTGCTCTCTTCCGAAGGGAAGTCCCTTTCGTCACCCAATCACTCAGAACCTGTTGGTTCCGGAGCCGGGTACTTCGTACGTGAAGGCTCCCACTTGGCCTCGTCTCGAGGAGGGTCCAAATCAAAGTCGACAGGCAACATTTGAGAGATCAAGACCCGCCAGCTCCCGTTCAAAGATCGGTGATGAAAGCGGGGCTAAACAGCCTCTGGCCGTAACCTCGCCTTTTGGACGACCCCGACGACGGGTGGTGGTGGTGACGGCAAGCCCCAATCGGGACCTGGGTGGTGGGTGAGGAGGCCTGGGCTTCAGAGCTGCCCCCGATGGACAACTGTGGATGTGGTCGGGGCAAGGGGGGGCAGCCCATGCCCAACAGCAACATCCTAGCTGACCCACACAACCCCTGTTTCTTGTCACTCCATCTCCCCGCCAGTGAGAGGGCCAGATTCCAGGATGGGCCGCCAAACTCACCCTCCATTCTTCTACAACACGACCTCCTCTCCCCCGTCGACGAGCTTTAGCTTTCTCTGCTTGCCATCCCTTTCAAGATCCTGGTGCCGTCTCCGTGGGAAGCTCTTGATTTGCGTTTTTAATCGACGTAAACGCAACAAGCTTGCCCTCAGGTCATCCGTTCTTTTTCCCAGGTACCACGTCGCGGCCGGTTCAGCCCAGAAGCGGGGCAACCCACCTCCCCTAGTGGAATCTGTCGCTCACCTCACCTCGTCTGTCGCAAAGACACCTCCAACTTCCTTCCAACAACTGCTGTATAGTATCATTCACTAGCAGTCTTTACTGGAAGTCTCCCGCGCCGACAGCCTCAGGTACGTACGCGAATGTTTGTTTGTGAGCATCTTCCCCTTGTTGTTGTCCCTGCCCCTCTTCTCGCCAAGGACCCCTCCTCGGCACACCTGCGACACCTGCAACACGATCTAAGGACGCACGGCAACCGACTGCTCTTCCCTCGGGGTTCGTGCTACCAGGGAGTTGGGCGCTTTGGGCCCAACCGGTACAAAACCGACTGCGTCCGAGTCTCTCGGCGCAGTGCGGGCTACTCCAGTCCAGGGGAGGTGCTTGCTTGCACTTGGACGGGAATGCCCAGCAATGCAGACGAAGCGTCTGATCGCCAGTTCCCGTCATCCTATCCCACTAGCCGACATTTTTGCGCATGTTCCCCTTGGGCATCTCCCTTGTGGTATGTTCGATTGGGGCTTCCAGAAGCGCATCGACCCCTGGAATCTTGCACGGCGCTCGGCGATTGGCTCCTGATCGCCATCTTCTTGTGCCTGCTTCGCTCGCACGTCCCGTCCCGCCTTCCACGATATCGGTCCATAGCAGCAGCGACTTTCACTCCTTGGTCCGTAGACCAAGGACACCGGGATTATCATCGTTGGCCACAGTTCGCCCTAGATGACCTGCCACATGTTATTACTGCTTTTAGTTGGTAGTCCTTAGTAGCTAACTTGCAATCATTGCATCGCGACAGACAAAGACTCCGACCCAAGCCCAGCTCCACGCCGCCCTCATCTTCGTCAATCAAAGAACGACGAATAGTTCACGAGGTCCGCCTTCGCTGCTTATATAGTAGAACTCGACCTCCGTGTTACGACCATTCAGGGGAAGCATAGGTTGGCTTGACGCACCACCTTGCCTGTATCCGAAGACACACCCAACAAGAGGCGCCGCTTTTTGCTCTCGTCAGCTTGCGAACCTACGAAGGAATCAAGCGGGGGCAGTTAATTGGAGGGAGCCTGCTCAGTCGGCATTAGTTTCGGAAGGTTCAGCAACATAAAAACAGCTCGCGCAAGCTCAGCGATACCGCAACAGCCATGAGTAACGCACAGAACCGCGGGGGCGCGCGAAAGATCTCGTTCAATGTTAGCGAGCAGTATGACATTCAAGATGTCGTCGGCGAGGGCGCCTATGGAGTCGTGTGGTGAGTTCCACCCGGACAATCACTGTTTGTGCGTTCAGGATCTGACCCCGTCGACTAGCTCCGCTGTCCACAAGCCTTCCGGGCAGAAGGTCGCCATCAAGAAGATCACACCCTTCGATCACTCCATGTTCTGCCTGCGGACGCTGCGCGAAATGAAGCTGCTGCGCTACTTCAACCACGAGAACATCATCTCGATCCTCGACATCCAGAAGCCCCGGAGCTACGAAACCTTCAACGAGGTTTACCTAATCCAGGTACGGCTTTTTGTCATGCCATATGCTTCCCGGTTACTGATATCGAGATACTAGGAACTCATGGAAACCGACATGCATCGCGTCATCCGTACCCAAGAACTGTCAGATGACCACTGCCAATACTTCATCTACCAGACGTTGCGCGCCCTCAAGGCGATGCACTCGGCGAACGTGCTCCACCGAGACTTGAAGCCATCCAACTTGCTTCTCAATGCCAACTGCGACCTGAAGGTTTGCGACTTCGGTCTAGCGCGGTCCGCCGCGTCACAGGAAGACAACTCGGGTTTCATGACGGAATACGTGGCCACCCGTTGGTACCGTGCTCCTGAGATCATGTTGACATTCAAGGAGTACACCAAGGCGATCGACGTCTGGTCAGTGGGTTGCATTCTGGCCGAAATGCTCAGCGGGAAGCCTCTATTCCCTGGCAAGGACTGTACGTCTCACAAGCTCTCGAAACCAACCCCCTAAATGCTGACACTGGCGCGTAGATCACCACCAGCTCACGTTGATTCTGGACGTTCTGGGAACCCCGACGATGGAGGATTACTACGGGATCAAGTCCCGCCGTGCGCGCGAGTACATCCGGTCGCTGCCTTTCAAGAAGAAGGTGCCTTTCCGGACGCTGTTCGAGGGCACGACGGACCTGGCGCTTGATCTGCTAGAAAAGCTGCTCGCGTTCAACCCCGTCAAACGCATCACGGTAGAGGAGGCGCTTAAGCACCCCTACCTTGAGCCCTACCACGACCCGGATGATGAGCCGACCGCGCCGCCCATCCCCGAGGAGTTCTTTGACTTTGACAAGCATAAGGATAACCTCAGCAAGGAGCAGCTAAAGCAATTGATTTTCCAGGAGATCATGAGGTAGTGGGTTGATGTGGCATGGGGCTAGGTCCTCGCTTGCTCCTTTTCTGATTTGGGGTTGGCAACGTGTAGGAGATAAAGATGTGGGCGGGCAAACGGGTGCACATTGGCTGCCATGTTGAGTATTTGGGGCCTGGTCGAATGGCCTGACCCGACAGGTAGCGGTGACACTTCTCTTGCGTGGATTTATTCCTCATATTTCGGGGGGAAGGATAAGGGCTGGTTATATATGTTGAGCCGCCCCGAGTCTCTAGAAAGTCGTTGGAGTTATTACAAGCTATGCTTATTTTTCAATGCTCTTGCTCTGCTATTTGACTTGACAGGCTCGGCACCCCCTTGGCTGTTCCGTGGGTATCTCCTGACTCTGTGCTCGGAGCTCTGCGCTCATCGCCGTCACTATTCGTCTGGTCATGGTAAAAAGCAAAGTAATGAACGCCAGCTGAACCTTCCGAACACTGCCGTCTCCCCGTGCCATTTAGCCTCTGATTCCCGGGGAAAAAATGAAATAGTTTTGAGCTGAGATACTGCCTCGAGCCATCGCCAAAACGCCAACCACCCCTCCGTCCCAAGACCGACCAAACCCGGGTCAACCTTGACTAATACATTCATCCCGTCATTCAATCCAACGAACCCGCGCCATTGCCCTTTTCTAACCAAGCACTCTTATAACCGCCCCATCGCAAAAAAAACAATAAAAAAAAAACACCAACTCATCAACTCACCCACCCCACCCAACCGAGGCAAGACCCCTCCACGCCCGCACCCATCTTACGCACCAATGACCCACACCTCGATGCCGAGCACGCCGAACTTCTCGCCCTCGTCGCTCAGCGGCTCGTTGCCGAAGGTCTGGCTCGTCGAGCTCACGCCCCGCTCCAGCGAGTCGTCCAGCCAGAGGCCGTACTTGCCGTCGCCGGCGCCGAGCGAGAGGAAGTGCGCCTCGCAGAGCATGTAGTACTCGTTGATGCCCGAGTAGGGGAAGGCCTTGAAGCGGATCGGTTGCGGCGTGGGGGTGCGGGAGGGGGGTTTTTCGTTGTTGTTGTTGTGGTTGTTGTTATTGTTGTGGTGGGTGGTGTGGGTGGTGTTGTTGTTGTGTGGGCTGCCCGGGATGGTGGTTGTTCGCAGGTTGGGGTTGCTGTCGTCGTCGTCGATGAGGGAGGGTGGAGGGGGGAGGGGGGATAGCACGGAGGCGCGCCAGAGGAAGCATTCGCCTGTGCCGAAGTATTTGGGGGCCGGGTGGGGGTAGTCGGAGAGGTAGGCGCCGAAGAGCTGAATATGTCAGTCCTGGTTCGGGGCGAAAAAAAAGACAGAGGGGTATGGGGAGCAAGGGACGACACTTACACCACCGTCGCAGTCCTTCACGCACAGCACGAACCCCACCCTCACGCCTTGATACTGCGCGCACTTCTCGTACAGCGTCGCCAGACTAGCGCCGTCCTGCTCAAGGCTGTACACTAGCCGCCATTCGTCCACGATTCCCAACCGGGCCGGCACCATAATCCGTATCTCCTCCGCGACTGGCGCGGTTAGTAGCCGCGCATCCTGCGGCGTCTCCTCCGAGAACCCCAGCAGCTGCAGCGGCTCTAACGGCGGCAGGCGCATCGGAGAAGCGGTGCGGTGTGGATGGAGGAGATGGGGAGGGGTGTATACGCCGTCCACGCCGTTGCCGTGGTTGTCTTCGTGGTGGTGGTGGTGCTTGTCTCCGCCGTCGGGCTGAAATGTGTGGGCGTGGGGTAGGTCGGCCGGGTGGGGAGTCGAGGGAGAGGGTTCGGTCGAGAAGCGGCGCATGAAACCACCCCAGAGGCTGGAGACAGAGGAAGTAAGGAAGGTGGACGAGCCGGGCGAAGCGGTGCCTGGCGGGGTGACGCAGCGGGATGATGCGGGCGAGAGGTTGAGGTTTGGGGTGTGGCGCGCGCGGAGGGGCTGATTGCGGTTGGGGGCGTCGAAAGCCATGGTATTTTGCCAGTAATACACGCTGGTTTATATGTCCACGTAGGCAGCTCGGATTAGGGGAGCTTGTTTGGTTGAAGCTCCAAGTTAGGTGGGGACTTGAAGACCAGCAAGCGATGCTGGCTATCAGTGGCGCAGGTTGACGGCCATGAATTCGATGCAGTATCTGGAAAGTTGAATCAATCTGGCCTTAACCGGCTGTGGTGTTGATGCGCAAAAAGGTTGATAATCAGGGAGCGAGATCCATTCTCTTTGGTGTCTGGTGTTCGGCTTAGAGCAGTCTTGCGTCAGCCTTATAGATTGCGCACTGTGTGAGGGACACCCAAAGTGTCGACGACTCCTTGGTACCTTGGCGTGCGACGAGTTGGGCCAATCCAGGCGGCAGGTTAGGTAACCGTTAGGTAACTGAGGGGGGCCGTCAGGTACCTGTACTTGAGGATTGCATGGGCCTGGGTTCCTGCGGGGAAGCCATTGGCGAACCGTTAACTCAGACAACGCACTTCGTCACCCCCCGAATCCTGACTTTTAGGGAGGCAAGGGCTGGGTAGTATTTTCTGACTCTCACGTGCTGGATGCTATCATGCCATTAGCGCTGTCAAGTGTTCTAGACTCTTCCTATTCTAGGCTCTTGCTGTAGCGGGCAATGCCCTGCCAGACGCCCTCTGGCGTGGGCTGCTCGGCACAAACTTCGGGCTCGTACCCGAACTCCTGGATCAGATGATCGCGGGTGGTAGGCCCGATTGTAGCAATCAACGTGTTCCGGCCGGGCTGCTTAGCCTTAGCCCTCCCCGTAGTCTCGTCGAGGAGGCCCATAGCACTCAGCATGCTATCACAGCCGCTCGGGGAGAACACGACCACCCATCTCCTTGGTCGGTCTGCTGTGTCGGCAAGACGCAACTTGAAGTCTTCCCGAAAAGACTCGAGTTCCCCGGTGCCGTAGACAACCACCTCGTCCACCCGCCATCCTGCCGCCGTCAGCACCTTGGGGATAACGTCCCGCCGCTTCTCGCCCACGAGGAACAGCAACGGGGGTTTGGACTCGCGGTCCTTGTACCACTCCCCGTAATGCTCGAGGATGAAAGGGGCCAGTTTATCCCCGACCCCAGTGTGTTCGCCGAAGACCTGGAGGGGAGGCACCTGGGGCACGGCCTTCAAAGCCCTCGTGGTTGCCGGCCCGACGCTGTAGATGGGTACATCCTGGAGATGAGGCCAGTCATCTTCACCTGCGGATTGCTCACCTTAGTTATTCTATCCCACCCCGCCGAGGCTAGAGTCTCACCTCGCCTTTCCTCGACAAGCTTCGTGAAGGCCTCAACGGCGCGCTGGGACGTGAATATGAGGCCGCCGTATGCGCTACCCTCTGCCGTGCTTATCGACCTGTTTTGGAGGACACTTCGCACCTTGGCCATCCCATCGTTGCCGAACTGGTGCTTGAGCACGGGGACAAACGAGGGTTCGTAGCTGGCGCCATCGGGAGGGGCGGAAAAGAACTCCTCGTAGGCGTCACCGGGAACCGACTTGGTTTTGAGGAGCAGGATAGGCGTTTTTTGTGCCATCATTCATCCAAAGCTCAATTGGATAGGAGCGCAGCAATGTGAAGAGGTACGGGGAGTAATGATGCCCCGCAGAAAGCGACAAGCACCGATTTGGCCTACTTGAGCTTGCTTGTTATCGATAAGCTTCTTTCCTTCATTCTACACAGTACCCATCCCTGTTCGTCTGATTTCCAAGCAACCGCGAAAGTTAAGTTAATTGCCGGCCGGCATCGCCGTTCAAGAAGGCTCTCAACGTTGCGAAAACCATTCCTGCCGCATGAACGTCCGGCTGGATCCGCCAACTTCGGGGTATCACAGCGCGCTCAGATGGCAGGCGACAGCACGGGACCGCAAACTCCCAACGCGCCGGGCGCAGATGGCGCTACTGCAGGTACCGCTGCTGGGGCGCCGCCGCCGAAGTACCCCAAAGGCGTGATCCTCGGCAAGGACGGAAAACCGTAAGTCGCGGCCAGAACTCGTGTTGGGCCTTTACTGACAACGTCCCTTCCGCTCTAGCTGCCGCGCCTGCAATTCCTTTGCATCCTTTACCACCCAAAGCAAGTCCGCCCTCAAAGCCGCCGCACCAGCACCTGCGAAGGACTGCCCGCCCGACGTCGAGGTGCTCGGCCGCAGTACCTGGACCCTTCTCCACTCGATAGCAGCCACCTACCCGCCGACGCCGACGCCGAAAGAGCAATCGGATATCAAGAGCTTCATGCGCCTGTTCTCCAAGCTATACCCATGCTGGGTCTGCGCTGAGGATTTCCAGGCGTACATGCAGAAGCGGGAAGTGAAGGCGGGAAGCAGGGACGAGTTCGGGAACTGGCTATGCGAGGCGCACAACGAGGTGAACCGAAAGCTAGGAAAGCCGACGTTCGATTGTAGGAAGTGGGAGGAGAGGTGGCGGACTGGTTGGAAGGATGGGAGTTGCGACTAGGGTTGAGGGAGACAACGTACGTTCCCGCGAGTATTGCGGATCCGAACTGTAAAAGCTATGAGGGTCGGTTGGATTTAATGGCGTTGGCGTGTACACAGTAGGTGTGTCTTGGTTGGTTACGGCATTCTCCCCTTTCTCGGCCGGTCATGGCGTTTCGGGCTCATCATCTCCTCTCAGTCATAATCAAAGCATAGCGGCGGGGATAGAAAGCAATCTAGACCTAGCTTTATTTCGAGGCCCGTACTACACAGTAATCACGCGCGCGAAAAAGTCTGATCTCGAGATGCTCGCGTTGTGGCGAGTGATAAGGTGGGTGGATGGGAGGGTGGCCAGCCATTCGCGGTGTCTTGGCAGGAACTCCTCCGAGAACAGCTCCATTTATTAACACCGGCTGGCCCCGGTAGTGGGGAGGTGGTGCCCACAGCCGGCATGCCTCAGCACCGGGACGGCCGAGTAGATTACATCACAGGCGCGTCAACGAACCGCATCGAGCCACCCTTTCCGCACGCGATTGCACCTGCATCCAATGCCGACTCCAACCTGTGGTCAGTCGCTACCGGTTCTGGCCGCAGGGCCTAGAATATTTGCACCACCACCTGGGTAGTGGCCTGATGTCGACCTGCGTCACACACTGGCATGGACCCCGCTGGCAATGCCCGGGCAATGCCGCTTCCAGGGCAGGAGCGTTTTGATCGCGAGCTCAGTGACGATAAAGCTACCGAGCTCTCCGAGCTATTGTCGTCTATTCAAAGCATTCTAAAGCTTTGACTTCCATGACGCCCTCTCCTATCCAACTTACATCCTTGGTCGTTAAGCCCCCTGTTCATCGTGCATAATCGATACCGCCTACGGACATGACAGACATCAGGGAACAGGGGCTTAAGAAGCCCATTGTGGTCGCTGAGTATCTCTTCAAGAGACTCCATGAAATTGGCATCCGGTCCGTCCACGGCCTCCCCGGAGACTTTAACCTGGTAGCCCTGGACTACATCCCCAAGTCCGGGTTGCGCTGGGTGGGCAGCGTGAATGAACTCAACGCAGGTAAGTGACGTCTCATCGCGATAGTGTTGGCGGATTTGGGCTTACCAAGTACAGCCTATGCCGCCGACGGCTATGCTCGTACCAAGGGTATCTCGGCCGTCCTTACCACCTTCGGTGTGGGAGAGCTGTCGGCCATCAATGGCATCGCCGGAGCCTTCTCAGAACACGTTCCGGTCGTACACATCGTCGGCTGCCCATCCACCATCTCGCAGCACAATGGCATGCTGCTACACCACACACTCGGCAATGGTGATTTTAATGTCTTCGCCAACATGAGCTCCCAGATCTCGTGCGACATGGCTCGCCTAAACAAGCCGGCCGAGATTCCCGACCAGATCGATAATGCCCTGCGGGAGTGCTGGATCCGCAGTCGGCCCGTGTACATCATGTTGCCGACGGATATGGTCGAGAGGAAGGTTGAGGGCACCCGGCTCGACACACCCATTGACCTCACCGAACCCAAGAACGAGCCGGAGCGCGAAGACTACGTCGTAGACGTGGTCCTTAAGTACCTCCATGCGGCCAAGGCACCAGTCATTCTAGTCGACGCATGCGCGATCCGCCACAGAGTGCTCGATGAGGTGCATGCCTTGGTGGAAAAGACCCAGCTCCCGGTGTTCGTGACGCCCATGGGCAAGGGCGCTATCAACGAGAGCCACCCCTCGTACGGCGGTGTGTACGCAGGCACGGGCTCGCAACCCGAGGTCGCCGAGCGGGTCGAGTCGGCGGACCTGGTACTCTCGATTGGTGCGCTCAAGAGCGACTTCAACACGGCGGGATTCTCATACCGGACGTCACAACTGAACACAATCGACTTCCACTCGACCCACTGCACCGTACGCTACTCTGAGTACCCCAACGTGGCCATGCGCGGCGTGCTACGCAAAGTGAACGAGCGGGTCGACCTGAGCAAGCTCTGTCGGCCACCTTCGCCTGAGGTGGCCAACGAGGTGACCAAGAACAGGGACAGCTCTGAGACCATCACGCAGGCCTTTTTCTGGCCTCGCGTTGGGGAGTACCTAAAGGAGAACGACATCGTCGTGACCGAGACGGGGACTTCCAACTTTGGCATCTGGGAGACCAAGTACCCACCGGGCGTGACCGGCGTCACGCAGATCCTCTGGGGCAGCATCGGCTGGTCAGTCGGGGCCGCTCAGGGCGCTGCGCTGGCTGCGAAGGACATGGGTGCCGACCGCCGGACCATCTTGTTCGTCGGCGACGGTTCGTTCCAGCTTACCGCGCAAGAGGTGACGACCATGATGCGGCATAACCTCAAGGTTACCATGTAAGACATGCCGCCTTCCCAGATAACATGCTAGGGTACTAACTCCGCTTAGCTTCCTCATCTACAACGAGGGGTTCACCATTGAGCGCTACATCCACGGCATGAAGGCCGAGTACAACGACATCATCCGCTGGCGGTACACCGACGTGCCGACTGCGTTTGGCGGGTCAGACAAGCAGGTCCGCAAATTTGTCATCAAGACAAAGGATGAGCTCGAGAAATTGTTGACGGACAAGGAGTTCAACGAGGCTGGCGGGCTGCAGTTCGTTGAGCTGTGGATGCCCAAGGAGGACGCGCCGCGGGCGCTGAAAATTACGGCCGAAATTTCTGCGAAGAATAATGCAAAGATGAGCGATGGATAGTTTGTGTTGGTTGACGAAGAAGGGCTTTGATTTAAGTAAGGAGTTTGTTTTGGTTTCAACAGAACTTGATCAGGTTGAACAACCCTCATCGAAATCCACACTGCTCATTCATGCCTTGTTGTCTTCCTTACCAAGTTACAGTGTAATGAGTCGTGTGAGTGCACCTTCATGAACCTCCCGAGGCAGTCGTTGTGATGACGGAGGTCCCCCAAGTGTAAGATCAATAGCCAATCAGAACCGGTTAAGTTGACCCCAATACATGAATTTCATGCAAGCGACTTTGCGGCTTGGCCAAACCCTCACCAACACCAAAACAAAGCTTCAATATGACAGAAAACGGCAAGAGAAAAGACGGTCCGGGCGGCGGAGGGGACTCGCGGTCGAAGAAAAAGAAGGTATGGTTAACCCGATGGCTGTCAAGATAGATCGTGTGTCCTCCGCGAACCGCTCTCTCATGCAAAGCTATCGTGGCGTCCCCTCGCAACATGATGCCATCCTATCCCGAGTCCTTTCGGCGCCACGTTTTATCATGCGGCTTAGGCGGAATGCTCGCTTAAAGTTCTCTGCATCTGCTGACTTTTCCCCCCAATGATAGACTGGAAACGCAGGCAAATGGAAGACCTCTCACCAGCAGGCCAAGGTGCTGGCCCAGGATGCCCATCTCCAACCAGGCGACACCGGTGTTTGGGTCACCTGTGCCCGGCACCAGGAGGCTAAGGCCGCGAGGGAGATCGGGGTCCTGTTTTCGGAGGTATGCTTGCGCCCCAGAAGACTCTACTCTACTTGTGTACTTACGGAGGCTAGTACGCCGAGAAACTCTACGACATCAAATCCGTCCATGGTGCCAAACCTGATCCGGACGGCGAGGATGACGGCGCCGGAGACGACATTGAAGCGGCCATCAAAAGAGAGGTCGCCGCTCTCACTGCCAAGCCCGCCACCACTTCCGATGGGACGTCTCCCGAGGAGAGCAACCGGATGACGCCCCTGAAAATGAACGTTGACTGCCTGCTGTATGTCAAGACGCAGCCGCCTGTGGATCCTGTCGCCTTTGTGCGCAGGATATGTGAGGACGCGAGGCGCTGCGGCGAGCTGTCGGGTTTGATGAGGTGTCGCTATGTCAACCGGCTGACGCCCATCAGCGTCATGGGGAAGGCGTCGGAGAATGGGTTGGTTGAGGTTGCGAGGGAGGCGCTGGGCCCGTGGTTTGATCTGGGGGGGAAGCGGAGGACTGAGGGAGAGGTCAAGGGGGGGTTGGAGGTTAAGTCAACGGCAGAAGGGGAGTTGGCGAGTGATGGTGATGACAATAGGGACGCTGCGGAGGCCGACAGCAAGGTCCCCGGTTTTGAAGAGACGGAACCCGAGAAGAAGCCGTTCACAGTGAGTTTCGTTCCCCGCTCCATGTTCATGCTCCCTAGGTTGACACATGCCAAGTTCGCGATCCGGCCGACCATCCGCAACCACAGCAATCTGAAGCGAGACGTGGTGATCAATACGGTTGCCGGGCTCATCAACGACGATCGTCATAAAGTCAACCTCACCTCACCTGACAAGGTGATACTCATCGATATCTACCAGGTAAGCGCTGAAGTCCGTGACCCGAACGCGACTGCCCGAGCGAACTGCTAACTCCCCCCTAGTCGGTTTGCGGGATGAGTGTCGTCGACGGTGACTGGGACGAGCTTAAGCGTTACAACCTCACGGAACTCTACAGCCAAGGACGGAATGCCCCGACGACCGAAGGCTAAGCCCGGAGGGCAGTTCCTTCATTGTGAAAAGCCAACAAACAAACAGGCAATTTGCGGAAGCGTGTCTTGTTTCCGGCATCCCGGTTATTTTATACAGAGGAGGACCGAGATGTGGCCGCTACGTATCGGCACTAAGCCCTATTCCAGATAAATTTGACGAGCCGACTGGGTCCCTGGCTCCCGGTCCGCGGCGTTCCAGCGACACGGGTCTGGGCTTCCGGAATGTCAAGCATTGAGCTGGGACACCACTCCTTTCTTCGTCACACGTGGGGCATGACTGAAAGGACTTGTATGATACAAAAAGTACGAATACATAATACGAACACGTATGTAACTGACCCGAGACTCTGCACACAACGGAAATGCCATTCTCTTTCCGAGGAGAAAAGCTCGACGAGAGAATCGGCCAAGGATCACCGACCATTCCGCCATGCCACACCAAACCCATCCGCAAAATCCTGAGCTCATGGACAAAGGTGGTCAGATATCAGAGCATCGAATGCCCCACATAAGGTTTTGCGGTGTTTCTGGGAATTCGCTTAACTTTGGCCAATCACCGAATTTCCAGCTCGCTTGTTTATGCACATCGCTTCTTTCTTGGGTTCGAGAATGGCAGCAGCATGGCAGCATGACGCTCTCTCTCACAAAGTGCTTTTTTCGAAGTTGGTTGTCTGGAGATTGGTGCTCGAGACCCGTTTCAGGGTCGGGCCCTGCCGCCTTGCCCTTCTTCGCTTGCTCTTGCCTGACGTAGCTTGACCGCTGCCAGTGAAATGCAGGAGTTGCCCAGCAATTAGCCGTGCTGACCGAACTTTTCCCTCATCACCTTCCTGTTTCGACATGATGGGAGTTTTGTGTATCTCCAGATCTGGGACTCTTCGACGTCGAGACTGGCTTTTAACGGCTGCGGTACCGAGCGGCAGGATCCAACCCTGGACCTTACTCCCGTCTGGAGAACATGGGGGGATTCGCAATTCCGGATATTCCGTATTCCGCGCTGAGCGAACGAGGCCAGTTGTTGAATCGCGTGGGCCCATGGTGTATTCATGGCAGCTCAGGCAGGTAACGTTGCGGAGGTGAGCTCCACGGCGAGCGAGCACCCGCAGGCGTGATGCTCACTGCCTGTTTATTCCCGTACCTGCCGGGATCACTTACAAGACCTCCCCGGGCCTCGCTCACCCATGTCATGACAGGCAAGTAGCCCCTAGGTAGGTGGCTGCCCGTCGCCCTTGGACCCTGAAAATCAAAGGGGATGCCGGACCTCCTTCTCGCTATACGCTGTCCCTTATTCGTCCACCACATTCCTCACTCCACGAAACCTTCTCTTGGCAGACCTTCTTGCTCGGGCTCCATCATGTTCCTCGTTTTGTAATTTGCCATAACATAGAAAACAAACAGAGCCCTCGTTGGCTCCAACAGCCATGCTTATGGACTCTCGTTGTGTGCCGGCAAGTCGCTGGCCGAACTGCTTTTCTTACCTGCTTCGTCATCCTAGGCCCCTGAAGGTCTCTGCAGGGCCAGTATCAAAAGTTCTCGCAGAGGCGTCAAGCTCGCCAACGCGGCCTATCATCAGTGAGACGGACTCCGCTGCCTGATGTGTCGTGATGCCCCTGATACCATACCGGCATATCCTCATACCGGCATACCCGTGATCCTGGCCTTCTTGTTACTTGAGCTGCCAGTCTATCCGTCCGTTAACTTCACCGGCTGACATTGTCTCTGGACGGATGTTTGGGAAAGGGGTCATACCGGGGAGTGTGTGTTGATACATGTTTCCATATAGGTAAGGTTACTGTCCTCCTGAACTACCGCTAATGGTGCCTATTCTCATGTTCTTTGCATCCTAATCTCGACTTACACGTAACCGGCCAGCAGTGCTTCTTGTTTCCGCCTCGACTCGCAGCAGGCTACCCTCCTTAGAGACAGCAGAAGACAAGAGTACACCAACTTGGCTGTCCCCTTAAGCCCCACACAACATATTTGCCATTAATATCTAGCAATCGCCATCTCTCGGCTGGAGAAACACGCCCTTCTTCCGTTTCGCTTCGCCATGTGTCAAGCGCCCGCCGACGATGTTGCTAGGGGCATGCTCGGCCCAGTTGTCCCCGACGATGTCGCCCTTGAGAACCTCCAACTCGTGCCGTCTGTCCGCCCCATGAGGATATACGAAGTCCTCCTTCCTGACCGCAAAACACTGCACCTGGTCTTGCCGCCCGTCTCCATGTGGCGGCCCCTGAGAGCGGAGCAGGGCATGCTAACGTCTGAAGCCATCGCGGTGCGGTGGATCAGAGAGACTATCGCTCGGGTGACCTCCGTTGGCGAACAGAAAGAATCTTCATCCTCCTCCGCCAGTCGCAACATCACCACCTCCCTACTTCCTTTTCTACCAACACTCCTCCGCCTCGGCCGCGAGACCCACGCTCCGAACTCCTCCTTCGCCGTCTACGAACCTGTTAGCGGGACACCCCTTTCCCTCTTTTCTTCAGAGCCTGCACCGACAGCACGACGAGAAATTGACCACCAACTCGGCGCCCTCTTCCGCGATTTGAGCACTCTGACTTCGCCCACTGGCCGCTTCGGCCCCTTAGCGGCCGTTGTCGATACCGGTTCCGGCACCGGCACGTCAAAACCGCCCGCCCCCGCAGGAAAGAGACCAAGACTTCCACAACTGCTAACCGAGAGCGGGCTATCGGCCACGGGAGGCGCGGGGACATGGTCGGTGGCGTTTCACTCCATGCTGGAAGGGGTGTTACGGGATGGCGAGGACATGGCGGTCGTGGTGTCATATTCGACGATTCGGAGGCAATTTCGACGACTGGGGTACTTGCTGGACGACGTTACGACGGGGAGGCTGGTTGTCGTCGAGGGTGTAGGGAGGGGGAATGTACTGGTCGAGGAAGTGGGTGGGCAACAAGAAAAAGATGTGAAGCAGGAAAAAGAAGGAGACGATAACGGGCCAGACGGCGGGAAAAACAAGGGCAAGGCGATAGACCAGAAGGCGAGCGTAAAAAAGGAGGACGACACAGAAAAGGAGGATGTCACAGAAAAGGGGGAGGCAGGGGCGACACAGGAGAAGAACGACACACAACCACAACAAAACCTGAAGCTCACCGGCCTCCGCGATTGGAGTAGCGCCATCTTTGGCGACCCCCTCCTCGCGACCGTCTTCAGCGACCCGCACCAACCGCTCCCTTCATCCGCCTTCCTAGAAGGTTTCAACGACGAGAAGCCAAACTCCGACCGCGACTCACGGCACGCCCAACTCCCTTACCCCTTGAACCCTACCATAATAGAAAACGTCGACACAGCAGGGGTCCGGCTCCTTTTCTACCAGGTTTACCACACAGTAACGCGGATCGTGAGCGAGTTCTACCGGCCGCGGCAAGACAGCAGTGCGCGGGAGCTCGAAGCGCGGAAGAAGTTGAATGAGGTGTTGACAAAATTGGCGGAAGTTCCGGATAACACGAAGAAGAGACATCAACGGCCGAGCGGGGAGATGTCGCCCGCAAAGAGGCTCAGGGGTGCCGAGGATGAGTAATGCGGGATGCGATCAGTAACAACTGAGGGCAGTTGGGTGAATATTGTATTGTAGATACCAAAAGCCGCGAGTATGCGGACATACAAAACAAAGCGACGTTTGGCGCTGTTTGCCTGTTTATTCATCTCCAGAGTCATCTTCGTCCCTGGGCAGGGTCATTCCCATCATGCCGAGAATATTACCTGCCGGACCAGCCATACCTGCTTGACTCTTGAAGCTCTCTAGTAAGTTTTTGGCGAGGTTGTAGTCGATATCTATCGCCTCGTCGCTGCTCTCGGCCTCGGCCTCCTCTTTCTTCTTGCTAGATCCTTCTCCCTTCTCCTTGATCGTGGCCGTAGTTTTGGGTTTCGGGTCGAGCTCCAGCGCGCCGAACTTCTTGAGCTCCGACTCCATCTGCTCCGTGAGCTTGCGGACCTCTTCGTCTTCACTCTCCTCTTCCTCGTCCTCTTCATCCAGCTCCTCTTCAACCGCCTTCGCTTTCCCCTTTTCCCGACCGTCATCTTCGGCCGGAAGCCCCATCATCTCCCTCATCATCCTGCCAAACTGTTCCTCATCAAAACTAACCTCCCGATCCTCATCGTCATCACTACCCTCTTCCTCATCGCTATCATCATCCCGATCCATCTCCTCCGTCTCAGCCCCCTCAATGCCCGCCGACTCATCATTCAAAAACGCCTCGAACCGCGACACGATCTTCCGCAAGTCCGCCTGCGCCGCCGCATCCCCAAACCCACTCTCACCCGTATTCGTCTTCTTCCCCTCCAACTCGCGCTCAAAGTCCCCAAAATCGATATCCATCCACCCATCATCATCCTCCCTCCCGGCCCCCTCCCACCGCGCAATCTCCCCATCCGTCGGCAGCGCGCTGTCCCCGCCGTCCTCGACCAAATCCTCCAGCAGCAGCGCCACCTCCCGCACGACCCGGCTCGCGCTCTGGCCTGCCGTCCGCGCGAGCAGCTCGAACCCCGTCGTGAGCTTCACGCCCATCTCCAGCCGCGCTAGCGCCTTCGCGGCCTCGGGCGCCGCCTCTGCGTCAGCGGCTGACGCGGCTGACGCCTTGGCCTCGGCGGCGCGCATCGCCGGGCCCCACGCCGGCGGCGGCGCGAAGTGCTGGCTCCTGAGCTGCGCGTAGAGCACCTTGGTGAAGCGCACGCTGACCGTGACGAGGTCGGTTGGGGGGAAGGTGAGGAGGCTGCTGCTCCCCCCTTCCTGTTGTTTTGTGGACGGCGAGAGGGAGGGGGGGGAGAGGAGGGGCTTGAGCGCGCGCGGGTCCCGCAGGTAGAAGGCTTCGGTCGCCGGGGCGACGGCCTTGGGCCGCGCGTGCAGGATGTGCGCGAGTTTTCGGGGGATGGTTACGAGGGAGTGGTGGAGGGCGGTTGTGATCTGGGCGGGGTACTTTTCGAGACGGTAGAAGGATTCGGCTTCGACTAGCGGGGAGTGGATGAGGGTGGGCGGTGGTGAGGTTTTGATTGTTTTGATGGCTTCGGGGAGGGAGAGGGGCTTGGAGGTGGCGGTGGTCGTCGAGTCGGTTAGGGGGATGATGAGTAGCTTGCCGTCGTGGATCCAGACCCGGTTGGCATCGTTCTCGGGGCTGAGCCACTTGGGTGTGACTTTGGCAGCCTCGATAAGTAGAAATTCGCCGTCGCTGTCAGAGACTCGAATCCATAGTTGTGAAAATGCCTTGCTGAGTTCTCGGAGAAGGTAGACGATAAGCCATTCGTCCTCGACATTGTCTCCGTAGTGGGTGATGCCGTGGAGATAGGGGAGTCCCAGGCCTGGGTAAGACAGTCAGCTGCTACTCAGAGGTTCCTATCAAGAACCAAACAAACCCTTTTGAGTCTTTGCTTCTAGCTTAAAAGGTTCTCTCTGCCAGATGTAGTCCTTCGCCAACTCGTCCAACTTTCGGTCTGCGGCCTTGCGAACTACTTCGAGGCTAGGCAAACTGCTATCCGTCTTGTCCCCGATGACAAAGAGCATGTACTCTGCATAGTCCTCGGAAACCCTCATCCGGAACCCATCGAAGTCCTCGTCTCCAGGTCGTGGCTCGGCTGCAGTGTCCATGGTGTGAGGGTTTGTGTGTGACGGTTTGTGTGCTAGCTTTATTTTTTGATCTCGTAATACTTTCGTTTTGTCGAGGCTCGGTAAAAATAGCACTCAAAACACGAGAGTGTCGAGACTTCAATACATATTTCAGAGCAATGTGTTGAATATGTCTTGTTATTAGCACTGTTTTTTGTGACTGACCTTAGTTATCAGATGAGTGCTGCTGTGACCGTGCCACGGATAATCCTTAATGAAATGATTGAGGGGACGGAGGTATGGTTGGCTAAGATTTTAAAACCATTGACTGATAAGGTGTACCTAGGTACCTAGCGGTCTTTCATCCATTTCCTATATTGTTCAGGTTTCCTCCCAACCTTTTTACACCAGACGACTGCTTTCTCATTCACTTGACATTTTATCTTGGGCGCTGTTGTTCCATCACACCTATCGATAATGGTGGGGCCTTTCGGGCGTTTGATGGTGGGGTGAAGCGCGAAGCTTTGACCCAAGCGGGGCTCCACTGCCGGTTTAGTACTATTAAGTGGACCAGGCCAGACACCTCGACGCGTTAACGAGCGCCGATTCCAGACGCGTGCCATCTCATACGCAACTCCCAGTTATTCGGTGCGTGGGGATTCTTTCCCATTGGGTTCCGGCCTCTGTTTGCATAGACTGTTAACAGTCATATGTCAAGACTCGCGATGCCTGGGAGAACGGCTAACGGTCTTGCGGGGGAGTCTTCTCGGAAGCGCGTTCGACGCGACGATGTTGAGAATAGCGGACGAGTTGAGGTCGTCGAGGTTCAGCAGGCTCGCTCAAATCTCCGATCCGAACCGGTAAGTGACAAATCATGCGCAATTTTTTTTTTAATCTTTTTTTTATTTTCTTTTATTACTAGGGTTTTATTCTGACCATAATACAGCGAAAACGAATACGCCTCTCCGATGTCGAGGCCATTAAGAGCGAAGAGTGCTCCGTACGAGATTCCACCCCATCTGACGATGATGCAAACGAGGATGAGGCTCCCGCATTGCCCTGTTCACCCCCCAAGACACAATACGAGTTAATGCGCGACAATAACTTCGAGCATCTTCGCCACGAGATCGCTGATGACCAGCGCGCAACCCAACGACTCCGGTTCCGCCCGAGTTTGTTTGGCGAGAATGGTATCGCGGATAACGGAATCATCGAGAGCGTAACCTGCGTCAACTTTATGTGCCATGTACGCCTCCACTGCGAACTCGGACCTCTCCTCAACTTCATCGTCGGAGAAAACGGCAGCGGGAAGAGCGCCATCCTTACAGCGATCACCTTGTGCCTGGGTGGCAAGGCTAGCTCGACAAATCGCGGAGGCAGTCTGAAAAGCTTCGTCAAAGAGGGCTGCGAACGTGCCGTCCTAGCTGTCAAAATCAAGAACCAGGGTCAAGATGCCTACAAGCCTGACACCTATGGTGACTCCGTCATCGTGGAGCGCCACTTCTCCAAAACCGGAAGCAGCGGTTTCAAGGTCAAGACTGCTCTCGGTCAAACGCACTCGACCAAGAAGCAGGAGGTGGACGAACTTGTCGAGTACTTTTCCCTTCAGGTCGACAACCCACTCAACATCCTCTCCCAGGATAATGCCCGGCAATTCCTGAACTCGTCAACCAAAGTCCAGAAGTACAAGTTCTTCATCGAAGGCGTCCAGCTTCAGCAGTTAGATAACGACTACCGGCTGATCTCGGAGAGCTTGGAACAGATGGTGGCCAAGGTGCCCGACCAGGAGGAGCGTGTGAAGCACGCCAAAATCGAGTTGGACAAGGCTCAACGCATGATGAGCGAACTCGAGGGCAATCGCCAGGTCCGGAACAAACTCCGGATGTTGCGCTGGCAGTTGGCTTGGTCTCAGGTTGTCCACGAAGAGCAAGAACTTGCCAGGAGAGAAAAAGATCTCGCCGAAGCCGACATCCGCGTTACTGAAGCGCAGCAAGAGGTGGAGGCGAAGAATCAGGCTTTGGAACACGCCGTCGAGAAAGTCGGACGCGCCGAGGAGTCCTTGCAAGTCGTCAAGGAGGAGGAGGCTGAGATTCAGGAGCGGGTGGAGAAGGCCGACGGCGTGTATAGGGGGTTGAAGACGGAAATTGAGCAGCTTCATGTTGAGGAACGGGAGGCTCACCAAGCGTTGAAGGCCAAACATGAGGCCGTAAAGCAAATTGACGCCAAGATTGTCGACGAAGAAGCGGAACTCGAGGCTGCCAACGGCGGAGCCCCGGCGATAAAGATGCGAGAGCTTGATGCGGCCAACGAAGATGTCAAGCGGCTCCAGGCTGAGATTCAAGATAACAAGGATCGCGAACCGGAACTCGTCAACAAGGCAGACGAGTCAAAGACGGCCCTAGACAGGTTCGGTGACCAGATTCAGCAGAAGCGCAACGAGATCAACAATGTTGAAGCGAGAATCAAAGGCCTCGAAGAGAATCGAGGGTCGGTGTACAACGCGTACGAGGCCCAGGTTCCCAACCTCCTCAAGAGGATCGCCAGCGACAACAGTTTCGAAAATAAACCAATCGGTCCGCTAGGCACTCACGTCCAGCTGCTCAAGCCCGAGTGGTCGGGCATCCTCGAGAAGACGATCGGCATCAACCTCAACGCTTTCATCGTCACGAGCAAGCACGACGAAAAGATCCTTCGCGGGATGATGAATCAACTCAACGTTCGGAGTTGCCCCGTTTTCATTTGCAATTCGCGCCCACTTGATATCACTGGAAAAGAGCCTGATGCCGAGTACGACACTATCCTCCGGGTGCTCAAGATCGATAACCAGATGGTCCGGGATCAGCTTATCATTAACCATATGATCGAGCAGGTCATTTTGATACCCCAACGTGTGAGGGCCCAGCAAGTCATGTTTGACGGCGCGCCGCCGCGGAATGTCAAGGCTTGCTTAGCCTTCCACGACCGGAAGCGCGGCGAAGGCTTGAGGTTGGCCATGACCAACGGCAACATTTCAACCAGCCCGATCCAACCGAACCCGAATTTGAGGCCTCGGATGAAGACAGATTCGGATTCTCAGATTTCATTGTTGAAGAATACGCACCAGCAAATCGTGGCCGAGTACCAGCAGCTGAATGCTGAGAAACGCCGCCTGCAGCAAGAATCACAGCGTTGCCAGAACGCAGTGGCCCAGCTAAACAGGCTTCGAGCTGCTCTTGAACAAGAATTAATTGACACGCGCGCCAGGGTGGAGAAGATCCAGTATGCGCTAGACGGATTTGACGGGGTTGATGGGCGTCTGCAGGGCCTCAAAGACCACCGAGAGGAACTCCAAGGAGAGCTGAACCATCACGGTATCCAATACGGCACGCTTAGTGCGAAGAAGCAAGATAAAAACGCAGAAGTGGAGGCCGCCCTGAAGCAACTCAAAGAGGAAAAGTTGCACATGAAGGATTTTGAGCATCGTCTCAGCAAGGCCGAAGGGAAACTCAAGCAGGCCCGTGACTTGCGCCACCTCTGCCTCATCGAAAAGAACGACATCATCGAGAGACTGGGCGAGTACGTCGAGCAGCAGCAAAGGGCTGAGTCGAGACGGGCTAGGCAGCAAGAGGGCGTCAAGGATATGATTAAACATGCCGAGGTCGTCAACAAGGAGCGTGTTTACGTTCCTGAAGGCGAAACGTACAAGAGTATTGAGAAACAGTACGAGACGCTCAAAGCTCGGTTAGATGAGCGAGATGTCAAGCGAGGCATGACCGACGCCCAGGTTCACGCTTATTTCGCTGCGAAGAAGGGGATGTGCGACCAGGTGGTGGAGGATCTCCAGTCCATCACCCGCGTGAACGACCGCCTCCGGTATACCCTCACGCTCCGCCTCGAGAAGTGGCGCAAGTTCCAGCGTTACATCTCGTCACAGTCGCGCGCCAACTTCATCTACCTGTTGAGCGAGCGTGGCTTCCGCGGCAAACTGTTGGTCGACCACGAGCGCAAGTTTCTGGACTTGCAGGTTGAGCCGGACAAGACGGAGAGGAAGGCCGCCGGGCGGAGCACCAAGACACTCTCTGGTGGTGAGAAATCCTTTTCGTCCATCTGCCTGCTGCTGGCTATCTGGGAGGCCATGGGCTCGCCTCTGCGATGCCTGGATGAGTTTGATGTGTTCATGGATAATGTCAACCGCGCTATCAGCACAAATATGCTGGTAAGTCGATCTGAATCATATTTACTTGAGGGGCATGCTAACAAGACACTTAGATTACTGCCGCGCGCCGTTCAGTCAATCGTCAATACATCTTTATCACGCCTAATGCTATTGAGGGCCGCACCACTCTAGACAAAGATGTGAAGATTATTCGGTGAGTCAGCTAGCCGTGAGACGCACGACCATTTTTACTAATGATTCTTGTCTAGCCTTACCGATCCCCGCCAGCGGACGCTGGTCGACCACTGAAATCTTCACGTCGACTTGTGCATTTGCGCGTCCTTTCGTGGCGATTTTTCAAGCAACCTGTATTGCAACATGTACGACATCTTGTTATGACTTTTAGACCCCCAGGTCTTATTTCGGAGGTTCTTGTCGGTTGATGGGCGTTCCATGGGTGGGAAAAGGAGTTTGGTGTTGTGTTAGACGGGCAGGGCCCTCACTTGGCTGTAGTTAATACCGAGGGGGGAGCTTGTCGATATCGCTATCTAGCGAACCTGGCCCTTTGGGCAGGAGTGTTCATCACGATACTGCTTGTATGTACAGGCTTCTAGCCGATCAATCCTACACGCTGTATTCACAATAAAATGTACAAGTCTGGCTACAAACCTAGATGGGCATCGCTACGTCCCTCTCCTCTCCCTGGTACCGGCTGTGTTTCGCGAAGAACCCATCTAACTTACTTATATCCTCACCCCCTTACTCCGCAGCACATTTACCGCCGCGCTGGCGTTGAACCCCACCCATTCCCCGATGGACCGCACCGCGCCGCCCGCGCGTGCGGCCTCGTCGAGCCGGCGCCGGAGGAACGCCCGCGTCTCGCGGCACTCGGGCGACTGGTCCGTCGTCTGGAACAGCTCGGCCGCCACGTAGATGGCCGACAGCGACGCCCGCTTGGTGTACCACGTCGGGTCCACCGACACGTCGCCCGCCAGGTACAGGATCTCGTCGGCGAGCTGGGCGAGCTCCTTGGCCGAGGCTGGTATGTATGAGGGCTGGGCCATTATCGCGAGTGCCTGTGGTGTGGGGAAGTGGTTAGCGCATGTTCTAGCAACGGGTGCGTGTAAGTGGGAGCTGGGGCTGGCTGTGGGCTGTGGGTGTGGGTGTGGGGTGAACGGACTTCCTGCCACCGGCCAACGATGCCGCTCTCTACGTTCCCCCTAAGCCGCGCCCATGTCAGCGCCTCGACCCGCTCCCCGACCGTCGAGGCCCCCCCTTCCGCTACGGCATCTTTCGTCTTGCCCGCTAGGGATGTGCGCTGGGCGTAGAGGTGCCAGTGGATCAGGCTGAACACGCCGTCGGGCAGGATGGACGGGCTGATATCTAGCAGGCCGGTATCGCGGGCGCCTAGAGCGAGGGATTCGGGTGTGAATCCGTGGGAGGGGACGTGGGCGTAGGCGGCCGCGAGAAGAGCGGCTTCGGCGGGTGTGAAGGGGCCCGGGGGAGCGGGGTGGTCGTGGGAGTGGTAGGTGCGGATCGGAGCTGGGAGTTTGGGGGTTGAGGGTGGCTGATGGCGGAGGGATTGCGGTTGGAGAGGGCGATTGGAGAAGGTGGTTATGGGTCGTGCCCTGGTTATCGAGATGTTTCGGCACAGAACCGGCGGCGTCGTCGTCGTCCTACGGCAGGCGGCGGTCGGCCGGACCGGACCGAGAAGCATGCGCCGGGTCGCTGCAGCGGCAGAACAGGACATAGTAGGGGTTGGAATGTTCAATGGCCCCTTTACAACCAACTGGCTTTTCCAAGATGCCCTTTCGCAACGGAGTTTCGTTGTCGGTTGGTTGCTGTCCGATCGGATCTGCACGTGTCAATCGAGTTCCTGACGGCCCAAGATCGCGAAAGCTTTAGTGTGCTCCACCCGCCGGGCTACACCAAAATCGGCCAGGCCTTGCATCTGCCCCGCTCGGACATTTTGAGGACAGCCAGGCGACCTCCCTCCTCTTGCTTCGCGATAACTACAACCTATCTTAATCCCGAAACTCTGTCACTCCTGTGTACTAGTACTGTAGGCAGATGCGGATTCGGCACAAGGTCATCCTCTCCGAATCCGAATCCAATTCTCGCCGATTCACCAAGCTCTCAGGGTTCTCAGTGGGTCCCTTCGTTACCAGCCAATGCTTGTCTCTCAGGAGGGAGGGATGGGGTGCCATGCAGAGCTACGGATGCAGCAAGGAAACTACTGCAAGGCCGCAGTGACCCCAGGTGTGATACGTATCAGTGCCTGCGACGCCGAACGGCGCGCTGTGGTGCCCGGTGCGACGCCGAGCGAGCGAGAACGGCGGACGGCGACGCCGGGGAGGCAAGCCGCACCAACGCCAAGCCAAACTCAATGATCAATCACTGCTCGCAGCCGCGGAAGGTGCCGGCAAGCTAGAAGCGGGTGCCCAGCACCGATCAAGTCACCGCGATCGCCGGACTTTCCGGGGACTTGAGGGGTGTGCTCTCGCATCGTCCCAGACCCCACACTCCAGCCGAGCCCCGCCATTGCGTTGTCTCTGTGCTTGCAAGACAGAACGCTGAGTGTTCTCGAGGATGGCTCTACTTTGAGTGATTATGCCCTCCCTTTCATCTGTTTATGCTGACGCAGCTATGGGCGAGAAATTGACGGTTGGGAGTTGGAGAGCGACGCGAGCCCTTCGGCCTTGCTTGTGAACTCAGCTCCGCACCGAACATGAGGTGCCCCTGGGCCGCTAAACCCCTCTTCTTCGTGACCGATGTGGGCGGTCGAGGCCTCGTTTGCGCAAGGCTTGCCCTGGCTTTCACCCCGTCCGTTATTCTGCATGTGCCGTTGTATCAGCTAATTCCACCATGCATTGACCGGTCGCTCGCGCCTCTCTGGTTGGTCGGGCGTCAATAACGACAGACGAACTTGCCCACTCTCTTCCGTTGGCGGTTGATGATGGCATTTGTCGGCCTCGCTGTGAAAGGCCAGAAAGGTTGTGCCGGGCGCCTCGTTACCCCTGTCGCCCACGTTGAAGCAAGCCCGTACCTTGATGTGAATGGCCAGCTCACCCGATTGTCTTGATACCTGCCCCGCCAGAAAACATAAAATTCTCTTCGCGGTCAGGGTCGCCTGTGAGCAGCAAGGCCGCCGAGCAACCGGATTGGGCCGTCACCGCTCCCGTCTCGTTCCTCCACCTGCCGTGTCACCATTCCAAGGGGTGCGCAGACAAGCTCCAGGGTCATTCACAAACCTGAGGGCAACCCCCAACCATAGGGCAGGCCAATGCTAAACAGTGCCGCGTTTCCGAACCCGTTGGACCCCGTGTAGGATGTTGAGATGCCTGCTTTGTGTAAACCTCTCTCCATTCCTCTCGATCAAAGCATGGTTCGACTCGGCGGATTGGAGATTGCCGCAAGCCTTGCCCCCGGAGATCTGCGAGATGTGCGGAACAGGGCACTGTCGGCCTTGGCTACAAACCGAAAGTCGTTGCCGATAAGGAGAAGCGGTATCACTGAGAAATCCGACAGGAAGATAATTTTCAATGCGTTCATAAGAAGTGGGATGGAAATGCAAGATGCAGCCAGCCATGGGAAGACCGACGAAAAAACCCCTGGGGATGTCATTGGCTGACATCCACCTCTGGAACCCTGCAGCTCGTTCGTCAATTACGCGGTAACGAACGAACTCGTGTCAGCGGAGAAAGGATAACTAACCAAGCTCCAAGATATCATAAAAACTAGCTCTCAGCACATCTCGGCCGAAGAACTGAGCGCAATTGGGGAACTACTCGCTTCTTGGTCGAACAAATCTTGCGTAGTGTACATTGCATAAGCCATACGTTTTTGCTTGATCGCTGTCCAAAGATTGAAATATTCGGTATATTACAGCATTTTTTGGTGCCACTCCGTTCTGGTCTCCGTTTTCTTGCTGACTCTGATGTGGCCCATGCTCCCCACGATTCCTTCCGTCTGTTCTGGCCAACTCTCCACGCCGTGAAAAGGTCCGCCATCAGCCTGCTGCAGCCCACTTTCTTTGTGCTGCCCGCCGCACCACACACAAACCAACCTCATCCTCAATCCCGCGGTGTCATTCGTGGCCTCCACGCCTCCTCTGCCAAGTGACCCCACAGAGAAACCTCGCATCCCGGTGCCGCTTGCTGGGCCGCCGTTCGACACGCGTTCTCCCTGTTTGTCCGCCTTGCTCACCCTTGCCAGTTGCCTTGACTTGGGTTCCCGAACTGGTACGGCATTGGTCTTTTTTCGGTGGTCAGACACTGCGGCATGAAAGATTTTGCGCTGACTTCCTCTCCTGTTGCTGCCTCTCGCTAGCACTGTACCTTTGAGTCGACCAACTCTGACCGCGTTGCCTGAGCACGTACGTAGGTTCCACCGCCCGTTCTCGGTCGTGCGGCGCGTCTTCACTCTTCCTGGTTCGACTCGGACAAACGCACGCCTGCCCAACTTGGCCGGAGGCTGACCCAGATCCTAGCTCCCGTCCCTTGAAGACCATTCCCAACCTACTCCTTGGTCCGTTCCGCGAGGCCGTGTAGAGACCGTGGTCCTCAGCTGCTGCGACACCCCCCACCATACCAAACCAGGCGACATCCCAACCGGGAGCACCTGCAGTTAGACAGACGCCGGCCCTCAACACCCAATCGTCGCGTCGCCGAAATTTTCCCTCCATCAAGCGGCTAAGTTGCCAAAGAAAAAAATAAGTCGACTCCCTCCCAGCCATGGGTAAGTACGAATCGAATTGCATACTCCATCTCAAAGCCCGCTCTGCCCCTCCATCCGCCCAAAGAACCCTCTTCGCCGAAGCGAAGCTCGGGGCAACCGTTATCACGGCCATCCTTCAATGTCTCGATGACGTGTGACGGCCGTTCGTAACCCCCAGACCTACCGGTCGGCATCTCTGTCGATTCACGGCGCACGCGTCCAGCAAGTGACAGGCAGCGTTGGGTCGAGGTCTTGCGTTCGTCAAGCCTCGCTCGTCCACTTCCACTCCCCGAGCGGCGCGAGCTGTGCTGCAGTGCCTTGCGTCCCCTCCTACATGCGACCTACATGTACGGAAGTACCTTCACACAAGCAGACCCCCTTCCCCTCGGCCTTCCCTCCCTACCCTGCATGTCTTTCCCATCCTGATCCACCTTCGGATTCGTTCACCACTTCCCCCGCCGCGGCACCCCAAGTGCTACCTCCCTCAAATTGCCACTCTTCAATTGCGTTTCCCTCCCGCATTCCTCCCCTCCTCCAACCTCACACTACACTGACCTTCCTACCGACTTTCTTCCACCTTCTTCATTCCCGTCATCTTCTAACATTTCGTTTTCTCTACAGCTGATTCAGGAGACAATTATCGTCCGGTGAGTTATTTTTTTCTCTTGCATATTCTCATTCGTCATCGCCGCTGGAAGCTCAATCCGACCTCAACCTGCTCGCGATTTCTCGACATCGTCGTTCTAGCGGCGGACTGCTCTTGTCCATGTGGGCCGTGCTCCAACGGCCAAGGGCGGCTTCGTTCGCCAGGGTCAATCGGTATCCACACGCACTCGATCTCGTGGATTGGAGCTTCAATCGTCCCCGCCTTACGCCATAGGGTCTTGATCCGCGAGCAGCCCCGGCAAGCCGCCGACCCAGTCGGGCCAGCAGCCCATGACCGCTCCCCCGCCATGGAACCTGTCGAATACTGGAATACTGTTCATATTTGGGGTTATGGCACTTTACGGCTTAGCCATTTGCTAACAAGTACTAGCGTGAGAGGTCACGTTCTCCTCGCAGGGGACGTTCAAGAAGCCCGAATACTCGACGATCATATTCGCCGCGTGAACGATCGCGCAGCCAGCCCCGGAGAAGAAGCCGGTCTCCTATGACTGGACAGGGCGCACCCGCAGGAGGAACAGGCTCAGGATACAACGGGGCCCCCAATCGATCGTACGAAGACCGCTCGGTACACCGGGATCAAGCCATGAACAACATTCGCGAGACGTCGCAGCAGGACCGCCGGGTTTACGTCGGCAACCTGTCCTACGACGTAAAATGGCACCATCTCAAGGACTTTATGAGACAGGGTGGGTTTTAAGCGCCATCATCAAGCGCAGCGCAGTTTCGGAGGCTAACACACTGCCCGTCTTAGCTGGAGAGGTTCTCTATGCCGACGTGCTGCTTCTTCCTAATGGAATGTCGAAGGTGGGCGCCTATGAGTGATTTGGCTGGTTCTTTTGTGGTTCCTATTCTCTCGGTTTTTGATGGATTGTTGGATTGACGGGTTGGGACGTTGTCCGCGGTGATTTTAGGGATGCGGGTAAGTGCAACTCGTCACAACTCGACAGCTGGCGTCAGCTTTACTGACTATCTGCTTAGAATTGTGGAGTATGCCACGAGGGAGCAAGCGCAGCAAGCTGTATCGTCACTCAGCAACCAGAACCTGATGGGCAGGCTCATCTACGTCCGAGAGGTATGAAACATACTAACCAGGGAGGGGCATTGTGGCTCAACTCGACTGACATCATCACAGGATCGCGAGGCCGAGCCCAGGTTCGGTCCGCCGGGCGGCGCTGCCCGCGGCGGATTCGCCGGTCCCATGGGAGGCGGCGCTCCTTACGGCGGCGGCGGCGGCGGCGGCTTCAACCCCGGTATGGCTGCCGGTGGTGGCGGCCGTCAGATCTACGTCTCGAACGTTTGTGACATCCTTCCTTACACCTTTCCTGTCTCATCACTTGAAGTGCTGCCGTCTTAACTAACACTGAAACAGCTACCCTTCAATGTGGGTTGGCAGGACCTGAAGGACCTATTCCGCCAAGCTGGTAAGCACGCCCACCAGATTCCCATAACGTTGGACAGTCCATTAACTTGTTAACCCGGTTAGCTCGCGCAGGTGGTGTGATCCGCGCCGATGTCCATCTCGGGCCCGACGGTAGACCTAAGGGTTCCGGCATCGTAGTTTTCGAATCCCCTGAAGATGCGCGCAACGCTATTCAACAGTTCAACGGCTATGACTGGCAGGGCCGCATGCTTGAGGTCCGTGAGGATCGTTTCGCCGGCCCCGCAATGGGCGCCGGTGGTGGCTATGGCCGCGGCGGTTTTGCTGGTGGACGTGGAGGCTTCGGTGGCGGCTTTGGCCGCGGCGGATTCGGCGGAGGCCGTGGTGGCTTCGGCTATGGCGCTCGCGGTGGCTATGGCGGAGCCCCTGCCGCCGCCGGTTTCCATGATGCCGGCAACGCCTCGGTGCCCCCGAACGCGTTCACTGACCACGCCACGGGCGGTGTTGAGAAATGCGACATCATCTATGTCCGCAACGTAAGTCTCCTCATATGTGCTACCTCGCCGGCCTCCCTCTTCAGCTCGGAATTTGTCATGATTAACTGTGGCCTAGCTTCCTTGGTCGACGAGCAACGATGATCTTGTTGAACTCTTCTCCACCATCGGTAAGGTTGAGCAAGCCGAGATCCAGTACGAGCCCAGCGGCCGGTCTCGCGGCAGCGGTGTGGTCCGCTTCGACAGTGCCGACACGGCCGAGACCGCCATTGCCAAATTCCAGGGCTACCAGTACGGCGGTCGCCCTCTCGGCTTGAGCTACGTCAAGTATGTCACGCCGGGCGCCGGAGACAGCATGGATACCGATCCCCACGGCGGCCTCACTCAGGACCAAATCATGTGAAAGGATCCGATGATCCTGTCGACAGACTCACGATGAGGGTTGAACCATCCCGGTCTTAAGCAAACCTTTGGACTAAGGCAGTTGACAAGAACCTGATTGCCTAGCACGCCCATGGCAATCACCCCCAACAGCTGATGGTTCAATTCTCAAGCTCTGAGGATCCTTGCGTGGCATATTTCAACATGTCACTTGTTATCACTTTCTATTTTTTTTCCTTAGGCTCTTCGACATTTCTCATGGTTTCCTATTTATTTCCGTCTGGCGGCGCATGTCGGCGTCTCCACCGTCCCGGGATGCCAGCTACACCAAACCCCATGCGCTTGATGCTACGGTTTTTTGAGGAGGATAGTCAAGGTCCGCCAGGATGATAAAAGCGCCCCGGCGCGTTCTTCCGGTACTCGACACTCGGCACTCGGCAACCCACGATCGCAAAAAGTGCTTTAACGAAGTTTTCGCACATTGGGTTTCTGCGTTTTATTTGGCACCGCAGAAAAGGGAAATTGGAGGGCTGTTGATCCTAGAATGTATTGTCGAATAAGCATTTGATTCTCCCGTTGATGGTGGCGTTCGATGGAAGGGTGTCGGGCAGTGGTAGGCGTGTTGTTGGTAAAGGTATCGTCGTACAAGAGTGGGCTTGGGCGGCTAGTAGACTTTGGTGAGTCGCGTGCGAAGAAGCGTAGGGTTGATTCGTTTCCGGAAAGTGGTACAGGTGTGATTGGCATTGGCGTCTCGGTGCACTTGGATGGCGGCATATTGTGCGGGCACCCGGATACCCTGATGATACCCCTTACGATTAGACGGCATGCTGGCGACACACCCTATCGACATATTACTACCAACCATCGGCGGGTAGTTACTGGGTAGCTAGGGTTTATCATTTCCAATGTCGGGAATGCTACGCTCCCCGACCCAAGAGCCGTCGGCATCTACGATGAGCACGACGTCGCAGATCTCGGGGGTTCTAATGTAGCAGATAGCCACGTACGTCGATGCAATGGAACAATGGAACATTGATCATTCACCATGGGCTAACCTTGTCGGCGTTCATATGCATTGGTTCACCACGCAACGACGACCCCACCACCCCAACCTTCAATACCGACCTATTTTTAGTTCCCCTTCCTCGCTGACACCCTCCTCGCAATGTCGATTTAAAAAGTTCTCTAAAAAACAACGCAATATCAACCATGACCCAAGTAGCATCCGGAAATACGCAAAGCTTATCCAGGGTTCCCCAATACTTAGTATGTGCAGGGCCTGGACAACCTTTACCTCAACCAATGCAAAAGCTTCTCCCCCAATAACTCAGAACTCGGACGTCCTTGACAAACGGCGCGGATGTGGTTGCAATGGGGGCAGTAGTATTCTGTAATGTGTTAACTCCGCAGTTTCCCTTGGATGCTCGGGGCTTGCTGCCGGTCAAGACATGACATTGTAATGTGGCAGTTAATCCTAACCCCGGCTGTTTGGCGGTTATGGTGTATGTACCCGTGTGTCGATCAACGTATATCGTGGGTTCCAGCGGTGGGCATGTAGAGCGGTAAGGTGTTGTTTTGGGGAGTGGTGGCACTACACTGCGCCGTCCCTCCCTACTCCATTCGTGCTATGGGATATTGCTGGTGGGAACCCATCATAATATCATGACCACACTCCCTTCTCCGAAACAGTTTCCCCCCACGATGCATGACCTATGATCTCTGAGACGAACCCACATCGCCTCCAAGACATGATAGTCCTTGCTACGCCCCAGTAACTGGAAAGACCAACCTCCGCGGCCGACGTAACACTCGCCGAGAGACTCTGCTTGAAAGTCCACCACCGCGTCCGATCCCACGCCATAGACGAGGACGAAAGGCGCACAGAACAGATCCTCGCACTCCCCGGTCACACGCGCGCCGCAGCCCCGTCACCGCATTGCTGACACCCCCCACCCAACAACCCTCGACGCTCAAGCAGCAGCAGCAACCGCCGCCGCCCCGGCCCCGGCCCCGGCCCCGCCCTTCCTCTTCTTGGCCTTGGCCTTGCGCTTGGTCCGGTCGCGCGGCTTCAGCGCCGTCATGCCGGCCTTGCACACCTCGGCGTAGCGCGCGTAGAACCCTTCCAGCGCGTCCGGCTCCACCACCGTCGACAGCTTGACCTTGGCCGCCCGGTCCGCCTTGCCCTTGCCGTTGGTCGCGCGGACGAGCAGCGGGAGCGGCTGCGCCGGGTGCAGGTCCGCGAGCGGGTCGGCGGAGGAGGGGTCTGATGGGGTGGGTTGTTGGTTGGTGTTGTGTGAGACTGGAAGGGGGGGTTAGAATGGTGGGTGTTTCTGTGACCTGTGGATGGGGTGGCGTGAGATAAGGGGGGGTGGGCTTACGTCGTTTTTGGGTTAGGAAGACGGCGCCGTGGGCTTTGGTTCTGCGCGTGGTGAAGACGTCGGCGAGTTTGGTGAAGAACTGGGGGGTGTTTGTTAGCGGGATGAAGCGGGTGGGAGAGTTTGAAAAGACTGGGGTAAAAATACCTCATCATGTGTTAAGTGACCCATCTTGTTTTCATGTATTGGAAATCGAAAGCTGAGGTTGGTGTGTCGGCGATGAGGTTAAGTGAGTTCGAGGTCTGGGCACTTCATGCCTGGCATGGCGGACCCACCGACCGCGGGGAGACCCGCTTTGGTGGGATCAAGAGCTGAAGCATGTACCTCGATGGAGCGAGTCCTGGGGATACTGGACCATACAGCTTGTTGGAGAGACATTCTTTACGGGTTACTTTCTCGTACTAAATGTCATTAAGGACTCCCATCTGGGAGACTGCAGCTCAAAGCTCCGGTTCTTACGGTGGTAATGGATTCTTTCGAATACCTGCTGGACAAGACATCCGCAGTCTGCCCCACATCGACTCTATCGATAAGAAAAAGTTCACGACCAAGGGTACAGATCGCGAACACTTCCGCGATGCGCATCGAGGTGGTCGTCTGAACGATCAGTTGACGCCGCCGTTGGGAGCTTCCTCGCTCATAAACCACCGCGGCATCCATTACGAAAACCAGAGATAAGGAGCAATGCCACCACAAGGAATCAAGAAGCCAACGCTTCCGCTCCACCTCCTGAAGGAGCTGGGCGCTTCAGGTGAGGCCGTCTTTGGCAGGCCTGTATTAGGCCTCCTACTGACATATTCATAGACTCGAATTCGGGGCAAAAGCGAGGGAGCGGGATAGGAGCCGTTACATCGAGGAAGGACCGCCGCAAGGCCGAGAGACAGCAATCGCGGGTCAATCGCTCCACGGCCGGCCGGAATCACCACGCCGAGCGGTCGACTCCGAACCGTAGCACCACCACTTCACACCGAGTCGAGAAATCCGGGGTCAGGAACAAGGCCGGGAGCCGAGATGCGCCAAAACCCATCCTAAAGACACGGAGGCAAGAGCCCGAGGAGGAGGAAGAGGAAGATGACGGTGAAGATTTCGAAGGACTTGACGACGACGACGACGACGACGGGGTGGATCTCTCAGACGGAGTTCTGGACGAAGATTCTGAAGGACTCGGAGAGGATAGTGAGGATGAGGACGAAAATGGCGAAGAAGTTGTGGATCCAGCACCACAACGAAAACTCTCGAGGACCGTGAAAGAAAAGCTCGCGCAGGACGATGCCGAAATTGCGGATCTTGAAAGAAGACTCGGGTTGAAGAACCGCAAAAGTCTACCCCAATCCTTCAAGGATGACGGCCTCGGCGATCTTCTGGATGGTTTGGGTGGCAGCTTCGATGAGGAGAAACAAGACAAGCGGAAGCGCAAAGCTGAAGCAGACGACTGGTTGTCTCAAAAGAGGAGGAAGGCTGAAGCAGCGGCGGCGGCGCAAAAGCGACCACAGCCTGATCCTACCGAGAGCGACGAGGATGTTGGGGATTCAGACGAAATCGATGAAGATGAGGGTAGCTTGGACGGTGAAGATATGGGGGACGCGGACTCTGACGAGGACATGGAAGAAGACGATCAAGCGCAGAACCAAGACGACTTCGAAGGTTTTGATTCCGGAGACGAGGAGGACACACAAGAACAGCCGCAGAAGCGGGTCCGCGAGAACCCCTATGTTGCGCCTACGACAGGACAATCGGCGAAATACGTGCCTCCATCACTGCGTAAAGAGTCCGGGTCGGACTCCGAATTGTCCGCACGGGTTCGCCGGCAGACCCAAGGTTTGGTCAATAGGATAACCGAGTCCAACCTGTTGACCATCATGGCGGAGATCGAAAAGCTCTACCGAGAATACCCCCGACAACACGTTACTTCTTCGCTTGTGGACCTGCTGTTAATCCAGGTTTGCGAGCCTACCAGTTTACCCGACACACTCCTGATTCTGTCCGCCGGCTTCGCAACGGCAGCTTACATGGTTCTTGGGACGGACTTTGGAGGCCAACTAATACAAGAAGTGGTGGAACGCTTCGATAACCATTACGAAGAGGCCAAAGTTGCTGCATTGGAACGGCCGGACGTACCAAAACAAACGTCCAATCTCATCACCTTCGTCTCAGAGCTCTACACGTTTCAGCTGATTGGCCCCAATCTCGTCTTCGACTATATTCGGAGGCTCTTGGAGAACCTCTCGGAGCTCAACGCTGAGCTACTGCTCAGGATAGTCCGCATGTGCGGCCCTACCCTGCGGCACGATGACCCCATGGCGTTGAAGGACATTGTCTCCCTAATCCCGCCAGCTGTGGCCAAAGCAGGGGAGAAGAATCTCACCGTCAGAACGAAGTTCATGATCGATACTATCACTGACCTAAAGAACAACAAGATGAAAACCGGGGCGGGCGCATCGGCAGTCATCTCGGAGCACATTGTTCGAATGAAGAAGCTGTTGGGTCAGCTAAAGTCGAGGAAGGTCAAAGCCACCGAACCCATGCGTGTGGGTTTGAAGGATATCCAAGGTGCGGGCAAGGAGGGCAAGTGGTGGCTCGTTGGTGCGAGCTGGGCCGGCCGGTCGACTGGCCAAAAGCGTACGGCAAAAGCCGCTGATGTGGAGGATGACAGCAGCGACGACGAGAGCATCCTGCTTGACGACGTCGAACAAGGGCCAGACCTCGGAGAGCTGGCCAGGGAGCAGGGGATGAACACCGAAGTCCGGCGCTCGATATTCGTCTCCATCATGTCGGCCATGGACTACCAAGACGCCTATTTCCGCATCCTCAAACTACGGCTCAACCGGGAGCGGCAGCGGGAGATCCCTACAGTCATCATTCGTTGCGTCGGCGCGGAGCAGCACTACAACCCTTACTATACTCTAGTTGCCAAGCGGATGTGCTCAGAGCAGCGCGAAGTCAGGTGGGCATTCCAGGCTAGCTTGTGGAAGATGTTTGGAAGGATGGGAGAGGAAGGGTTTGGCGAGGACGAGTTGGAGGACGAGGAGGAAGATGAGGCCATGGATATGCGACGGATCGTCAACACGGCGAAGCTGTTTGGAGCCCTCGTCTCGGGCAGCAGCCTGGGGATAGTCATGCTCAAGCGTCTCAACCTGCTCTACTTGCAGAAGAAGACGCGCGACTTTGTCGAGATTATGCTCGTCAATGTGTTGCTGGAATGCCAAGCCAACGAACATCCCGAGGAGACCATCGCCAAAATATTTGGTGGTGTTGAGGGGTCCCCTGATCTGGCGAGGGGCCTACAGTACTTCCTCAAGAAGGTTGTTCGAAAGTCTGACTTGGCTGGCGGCAAGAAGAATGCGAAGCTTCTCAAGGAGGGGTGCAAGATGGCTGAGGCGGTTGTTCAAGCGGCAGTAGCTGGCGGCGAGGATGGAGCATGAGGAGGGGTAGGGGGTGTGTCCCTCTCCGGCATCTTGTGGTGTATCAACACAATAACTATTCGAGATACCCCTAGGCCCGTGCCGCTTGCATAGGAGTGCGTGTTGGTCCCGGTTTTGGTCCTCCTGCGGCACTGCGACAGCCACATTAGGATACCGGGTAGCTAGCTGTACACAATATTGTAGAAACCCTCGGCGATGCGCCCTGGTGTTGCCCCTGATCACAGCTGCCCGGGCCTTCGCTGTTCGGGACAAACTGCCAAGAGCGAAGATGTCACAGGTCACGGGTCGGTCTGAGCGTGCGGGATTTGGTGGCTTATGGGGACCCAACGAGCCTGCCATTGGGAGATCTGCTCGGGATTGAGAGGCGGGAACCTGAAATTTAGTGGCTTCGCAGCGAAGCAACCGAGCATGGAACCCCTGCCCAATCCCGGACCCGCGCTGCGCTGGCTTTGGGGAGAAGCTCACCCGACGGTTGGACGCCCGGAGCGACTGGGGACATTTTTTCAAACGCTGGGAACCCAGCTTCAGCAAACTGAGCCCCAACAAACTTCGTGACGCACCTGCCACCGCATTCCTGTCCCCTGCGCATTCCGCCTTGGGGAGTTACTTGCTTACCCTTTTTTTATTTTACCTTTCTTTGGCACCGTTGGTCGAATACACACACCCAATATGCTGTCGCAGAGATTAATAGGCCGCACCGCGGTGAGGTCGGCGTTCAAGCCGTCAGGGTACGGACCCGGCTCCATCCGCCCGGAAAATGGCTCTCGTTCGCTGACTCCTCGCTCCAGGTTGCCCTCTGTTGTTGGCGCGTTGAGATGGGGGCGGACATACGCCACCGAGGCTGGTTAGTGACTCCGAAGATGGTTGGCATTGGTCCTTGGGGCTGACTATGTGCAGAGTCGAGGGACCTCGTCATCATTGGCGGAGGTGTCGCCGGCTACGTCGCCGCCATCAAGGCCGGTCAAGAGGGCATGAAGGCAAGCTGAACAAGACATGCGGATGGCCCAGACCCGGCCAATGGCTAACGTTCCTTGAAATAAAATAGGTTACATGTATCGAGAAGCGCGGCACCCTCGGTGGGACTTGCCTCAACGTCGGCTGCATCCCCTCAAAATCGCTCCTCAACAACTCGCACTTGTACCACCAGATCCTCCACGACTCAAAACACCGCGGTATCGAGGTCGGCGACGTCAAGCTCAACCTGAAACAGCTGATGAAGGCCAAGGACCAGTCTGTTTCGGGCCTGACCAAGGGTGTCGAGTTCCTGCTCAAGAAGAACGGTGTCGAGTACATCAAGGGCGCGGGTTCGTTCCAGGACGAGCACACGGTCAAGGTCGAGCTGAACGATGGTGGCGAGACGAGTGTAACCGGCAAGAACATCCTTATCGCGACCGGTAGCGAGGTTACCCCGTTCCCCGGCCTCGAGATCGACGAGAAGACGGTTATTAGCAGCACTGGCGCCATTGCGCTTGAGACGGTGCCCAAGAAGATGACGGTCATTGGTGGTGGTATCATTGGTCTGGAGATGGCGTCGGTGTGGTCCCGCCTTGGGTCGGAGGTTACTGTGGTTGAGTTCCTTGACCAGATCGGCGGCCCGGGCATGGACACCGAGATCGCCAAGAGCATCCAGAAGATCCTCAAGAAGCAGGGCATCAACTTCAAGACGGGTACCAAGGTCCTCGGCGGCGAGAAGTCTGGTGAGGGTGTCACGATCAACGTTGACTCGGCCAAGGGAGGCAAGGAAGAGACGGTGGGTCTAGAAACGCGCCATTGGCGATGACTCTCTCTGAGGCGCTACTGACATTCGTATAGTTCGACGCCGACGTCGTCCTCGTTGCGATTGGTCGTCGCCCGTACACCAACGGCCTCGGTCTCGAGAACATCGGTCTCGAGCTTGACGAGCGTGGCCGCGTGATCATCGACTCGGAATACCGCACCAAGATCCCCCACATCCGCTGCGTCGGTGACGCCACCTTCGGGCCCATGCTTGCGCACAAGGCCGAGGAAGAGGCTGTTGCTGCTGTCGAGTACATCAAGAAGGGCTACGGTCATGTCAACTACGGCTGCATCCCCTCTGTCATGTACACCTTCCCCGAGGTCGCCTGGGTTGGCCAGTCGGAGCAGGACCTGAAGAAGGCGGGCATCAAGTACCGCGTCGGTACCTTCCCCTTCAGCGCCAACTCGCGCGCCAAGACCAACCTGGATACGGAGGGCATGGTTAAGATGCTCGCCGACCCCGAGACGGATCGCCTCCTCGGTGTCCACATCGTTGGCCCCAACGCCGGTGAGATGATTGCCGAGGGTACGCTGGCGCTCGAGTACGGTGCGTCGAGCGAGGACATCGCGCGCACCTGTCACGCGCACCCCACGCTCGCCGAGGCGTTCAAGGAGGCGGCGATGGCGACATACTCCAAGGCGATCCACTACTAAGAGGGGTAGATTGGCTTGGGGTATGGGGCGTAGTGGTTTCTTGCGTTCCTGTACTTTAGCTTGTTTTCCCTCGTAAGGCATTATTCGGTAAATGGACTCCGCCGGATAGCAAGCATCGAAAGCTGAACTTTAATCTACCGAGCAGGCGAGCGGTGAGCTTTGCGTCACGTTGTGTTAAAGGCCACTGTTTATTTGATACTGGATGGGTGTAGAAGGACATGGTAGTATCTCGTGACAAGATAGAGTTTCTTTTTTCATCTTCACTTTTCCAGTTGTTGAGTCTGAGTATAAGGGGTTGAGTGGTTGAGTGGTGTGTCGTGCTTGGTGAGGTATGACTGTGAGACGTCCACGGTTCTCTACACCCAATCAGCCAACATTTTAGGGTCGAGGAGGGCGGTGATCTCGAGGAAAAGACAAGCCGAGTAAGGCAGTGACTATTATTCAATCTTTCTCCGTCCTTTCCACCTTGATGCGAAGCTGGGAGTGCCCCTCGGCTTACATGCCACAATACATACCCTAACCCTCTCACTTCATTTTCCCCCTGTCCTAAATGAGGTTGGTTTTGTTGATCGTACCACAAACTCTGGGGGCACGTTCGAACTCGTGTGGGTCAACGGCTCGCAGCGCGGTGCGCTTGACTTTTTGGGGATGCGAGCTTGCGTACGTCGACCTCTTGGCCCTGCACTTCTTTGAGCTGCTCCGTTCATTTCTTCCCCAAACACCACACCACACTACAGTCTCCCTTCATCCACAGAAGGTGCGGCGAGGGACGCCGAGGGTAACAGCAATTCCATCGTACTGTGGAGAGTTGCAGCACCGGAATTGGCACCAAATCCGGCTCGAACTCGGAGCTTCAAAGCCTCCTCCCGGCATCCGCGGCTCCGTTAGCGTCGGCGTTGAGGAAACGGGCGGTCAACCGTTTCATTCTTGACTTACCCGTTGTTGGTGGTGTCAAGCCTCCCAATTCCGTCTCCTCAACACAACCGAAACCACTGCAATGGCTGTCTCCACGACCTCGGCTGCCGCCGGCGCCTCTCAACCAAAGGGCGGGCGCTCTTACCCCGTGATATCGAGGCGCGAGATTGAGGCACAAATCTCCGAGGGCAGAATCATCTTCATCTTGGACCGGTATGTGATCAAGGCGGACGCCTGGTGCAAGTATCACCCTGGTGGTGATAAAGCCATTATGCACATGGTGGGTAGGGACGCCACTGATGAGGTGACTATGTAAGTTCTCACTTCGATAGCCCAATTCAAACGGTGTGGAGGTATTGTGTGTGAGAGGGCGGCTGTTGACTGTGCCTAGCCTTCATTCGCTCGAAGCCCGCCGTATGATGGAAAAGTATCGTATTGGTAGGATTGAGGGTCGCTGGAAGAACTTCCTACCTCCGATTCAGGGCGGTAAATTTCGGTCGAGGGTTGGTGATGGGGAGGAGCAGGAGGAGGAGTACGATGGCGGCTTGGTCACGCTGCAGAGGAGGGAAAACCCTACGGCGTCGTCCAGCGATACTGGTTCCCGTTCGCCTTCGCCTACTTTCGACTCCGATAATGTTACCCTGGGCCCTGGTCTCCGCAACCGTAAGACGAGAATGGCGAGGTCAAACTCGGAAACATCTCTCTCGTCTGTCGACGATGCCGCTACGTCCGCACCGGCCGACGGCATGTCGCACCTTGATAAGCTCACTCGCAAGGAGATCAAGCTAGACCTTGCCAAGTATCCAACCCTCGAGCCAGAAATACAGGATGCCATCGTGGAGAAGTACCGCGACCTGCACGAACGCATCAAGGCCGAAGGTCTATACGACTGCAACTACTGGGCCTACGCCATCGAGACTTCGAGGTACTTGCTCCTCCTCGGCCTCATGCTGCTCTTCCTGAGCTGGAAGTGGTACATCCCGAGCGCTTTCTTCCTCGGCTGCCTCTGGCACCAGCTGGTATTTACGGTGCACGACGCCGGCCACTTGGGCATCACCCACAACTTCCAAGTCGACACGGTCATCGGCATTCTCATCGCCGACTTCATCGGGGGACTCTCCATCGGCTGGTGGAAGCGCAACCACAACGTGCACCACATCGTCACCAACTCGCCCGAGCACGACCCGGACATTGAGCACATGCCCTTCTTTGCCATCTCGCACCGCCTACTGGGCTCCCTGCGCTCGACCTACTACGAACACGTCATGCACTACGACGCCTTTGCCAAAGTGATGATCTCCCTACAGCACCACCTGTACTACGTCATCCTGCTCTTCGGCCGCTTCAACCTGTACCGCCTGTCCTGGATGTATATCCTCGCGGGCCAGGGCCCCAGGAAGGGGGCGGCCGCGTGGTTCCGCTGGCTGGAGCTGGCCGGGCAGATCTTCTTCTGGAGCTGGTTCGGCTACGGCGTGCTGTACCGGTGCGTCGACTCCAACTGGAACCGGCTCCTGTACGTGGTGGTCAGCCACTTCGTGACGACGCCCGTGCACGTGCAGATCACGCTGTCGCACTTCGCCATGAGCACGGCCGACCTGGGCGTCGAGGAGTCCTTCCCGCAGAAGATGCTGCGCACCACCATGGACGTCGACTGCCCGCCCTGGCTCGACTTCTTCCACGGCGGCCTGCAGTTCCAGGCCATCCACCACCTGTTCCCGCGCATCCCGAGGCACAACCTGCGCAAGACGCAGCGCCTGGTACAGGAGTTTTGCGACGACGTCGGCATCCCGTACGCGCTGTATGGGTTTGTCGATGGGAACAAGCAGGTTATTGGCCGGCTGGCCGATGTTGCGAGGCAGGCGGCCATTTTGGCAAAGTGCCAGAGTGTGATGACCGGGAGCGAGCCAGGCCATGGACATCACCACCATCACTAAGTGCTGACGATGTTGAGAGGGGGGGTTGATGTTGCGGGTGTTTGTTTGACGTGGATTATCTGTTGCGAGCGAAGATACTCCCTAGACCGGTGCTTGAATTGTGTTCGGTGGATGTACATACGGTACATGTACATACATACATGCGGTAATTACTTGTTTGTTGGGTAGGTAGCCAACCGGCCTGCCTTGGGCTGCGATTGCACTTCCTTGGGGAGGGCGGGGAGGGGCGGTCCTGATCGAACGGAGCTACAGATTTTTAATTTAAGACACGATCGTTCCCTGCGGGAAGTGAGTCAGAAGCTTTGCTTGCTTGCATCCGCCCGAGGATGGCGGTTTGGACGCACGCAGCCGACGGGTCAGGCACCCGGACCTCGTGTGTCTCCCACTGTATGACGCTGCTTGCGCGGGAACCTGCAGGAGCCGGGACCCTGGATCATCCCATGTTGTGTGTGGCATGCGGTACGACCAATGGCTGGGGGGACCACGGTCTGCAAACGCCGTGGCTGCCTTAACCGTTGTCTCGGTTTTCGACTTGCCCGTTCACTATTCGGTTGATGGGACCAAGGGGAGTGGTCGGTTTGGGGGAACTCGATGTGGATTGCGGTGAATGTCTTGCATGTCTCGACCGATATTTTCCCTCTCCCATACATGCATTCCCTGGATCATGAGACCCAAGACGGCTCGGGCGGGCTCGCAAGTGCGCTAGCTTCACCATGTGTCGACCTGACGGCACGCTATGTACGACGCCGATCTGTGTTTGCGCCCCCTGGCCGGAAACATCGGCCAACTACAGATGCGCCCAATGGCTGTTTGCCAGCATGCTGCGGTCCTTACTGCCGAGGCCGAGGGATACGTCATGGGAAAGGCCTCAAGACGGGTGGCCCGAGGCCTTCCCGCGTCTCTCCCTGTGTAGTGATCCCGTGGGTTAGGCGATGGACAAACGCATGGCTGATGGACAGCCTTGCTTTTCCCGGCTGGCGGCCCTGCCCTGTGAGCTGGCGCGTGGCTGGCTAGAGAGTTCACGACGCCTTGGACGTACCTCAGCGTAGTTGTTCACTCAATGGCTTGTACACGTGTATGGTTGAAGTATCCCCTTCCGGGACAGTCAAACCCTGACGAGCTGGGCTGGCTGACTTTCGACGGCCTTGCTCTCTGGTCACTTCTCACATGCAACTAGGGTTTGCATCGGGGGTTCCTGCCGAGACCCTTGCCCCTGTCTCCGAACGACGGTGCACGAATCGTATGCAACCGTCACTTACATGAACCCAGGAACGAACGCCCAGCGGTCCGCAGACTCGAAGGAAAGGGAGGGGTGAGGGGGAGAGGCGGCGTTGTTACCCGGTCTGTCCGTGGGTTGGATGCTGGCAGCCGTGCGTGGTCTCCCGCATCCTCATCCCGTGAGCATTGCTGAAGGTGTTATCCTACCCTGTCCGCCTTGACGCGGGAAGGTGTGGTGTTCGGTTGGGCTTCAAGAGTATCGAATCCGCTGCTGGGTCATGCCCTTCGCGGCCGTTTGCAACGACCTGTGAAGGAGGACGCTGTGTACGTATAGGTGTAAGATGTGTATATAGTCACCCTCACCCTCGAGGTGACTCGGAAACCTGGTTTGCCATTTTGTTCACTCAGTTCCATGTAGAACACAATAATCAACATCCTTGCCATTGTTCAGGTACACCACCAAGGCGCATCTCCTGTCACAAACTCTTATCGTCCAGTCCAACCGCTCCATAACATCATACCCAACATGGGCAAGAGCAAGATGGACGACGCTGCGGCTGAGCGGATCCGCAGGGCTCGCGGGGACAAGGTATGCACCCAGATACCTACCACTCAGCCAGCACCCCCTCACCATTGTCATTGCCATGGGTTCTTGGCTCACACTGTGCTCTCGTTTAGGACGCCTTTTCCAAGCGCGCGGCAGATGCGGCCCGGCGAAATGATGGCGGCCAGGACCAGCACGCCTCCTCGTCCAAGAGCGGTAGCGTCGGCAGCAAGGCTAATCGCGAGAGTGGTGCGGAGAAGAAGTGAAGTGAGACACCTACATGTGGCGAGGGGGAGATGCCACGGTGTGTGTGAGAGAGCGTGGGGTATGAGGGAACGGGGGAGGGGGAGGGGGAAGGGTGACAAGTATCACAGTTGGCGTGGGCTGGGCATGAAGTTGGGCTGGCACGGTGTATTTTTCTGCATTGGTTATTTTGCTCTTCGTTGTTGGTTTTTAGACTTGGGTCACCGGTCTACACCTTGCTAGGTTTGGGAGTAATGGGGAATTGTTATCTGATCTGTATTTTACACTGTTGAGCAAGCGGTTCTATTTTACCTCCCACATCCGCTCTCATTGCCCACCGTCGCTCCATGAGGCCGTATAATCTCCCTACTCTGTTCGCCCACCGCTTCGGTTATGGTCAGGGGGACTTTGGTTGGGCAATGGAAGTCCACGGAGACATATATCGAAAGCCTCCGACGCCCTCCTCCCCTTTCCCCGGGTTGTAGCCGGGGAAAAACTGGTTTCCCTTCTTCAGGTTATACCTGATGCGGCAGGTTTGCTCACAAGGCCTAGCCCGGTAAGTAAAAAGCTAAGCTGAGGTCATGGATTGGCACAATAAGCAACAATGCCCGAACTGATTGCAGAAGCCAAATGGCGAAACCCGCGAGAATCGTGAACGACTACCGGCTCGTCCACGCCGGCAGCCATGGGACTGACTCTGATTGGCATACAAACCATCGAGCTGCGAGCCTTTCCAGCTCAGCAGGACAGGGATCACAACCGTCACAGGCCAGGAGGCTTGCATGCCGGTGTGTCCTGCCCGGGCATACAGATTACAATACCTACATGTCAGCTGTGTAAGGAGCTGGGGTTGCTGTGTAAAGTTTACCTCAGATAAGCCTTGAGAAGGCGCTTCAAGCCGAGGTATGGGCAGTAACGTATGTATGTACCACCCGCAAGGCTCGGCGAGGATCAGCCACAACACTTTCCTATGCATGGCTACACACGCTACAGCAGCTTCGTCGGAACGTGGGCCGACTCCTAGTTGATATTCGCCAGGATGCTGCTTCTCTCCATTGGGTATGGAAAAGTGCTCTTGGTTCCGGGCGTAAGGCAGTGCATCAGGGGACAGGGTAGCGATCAGGAATCACAGGTAAACCCAGGACCGAACCTTAATAACCAGCAAGGGTTGTTTTAAGCATGCTGCAGTGTGACGCAAGATGGCGATCTGGCGTCTGGAATGGCATATTCGCAGTGCGTTTCCGATCCGATGGATGTCGGCCGTCCACAAAGTTCGTGTTCTGCGGCATCACAACCGTGGTCTGAGACGAACGGACTGGGACAGGGTAACTAATATCGAGACCATGACCGCCGTCGTCATCGAAGGGAATGGGCGGGCTCCAGGATTGCAGCTCCCCGGGTCTCCGATTCGTATTCGCCGCGGGTTTCCCAGTCGTACAGCAGAGGCATGCATTAACGATAATAATCGGCTGTTGGAACACACGTGAACAGATGTTGATGCGGGGGTTCATTGTTATTGACCAAGTGCTCAGTTTCGAAATCGGAGGTTTGATGGTGGGCAGTTGGTGAAAAGTGGAGGCCGGACCTGGGGCCGCTCGGCATTTCACTCAGCTCAGATCAACATGACGGGAGTGGAGGGTTGAGAATGGCATCCTGGATGCTGGATGAGAAACCCCCACTTTCCCTCCACAGTAACCGCCCCACCATGCCGCTCATGTGCCCCACAACGGCCGTGAGTTACCTGGCTCGCCTGGAAGCTCCGAGCTGAGTTCCCCATTCATGCCCGCATCTCGACCTGCATTCACCTCCGTCGCCGTCCCGAGCCGCGCTTCCATCTTCCGGCCTCCGCTTTGCTGCAGTCGAACTCTCATCGACCACCGGCGAGTCTACGTTTGCTCACCGTCGAGACATCAACCCCCCACCGGGCAGCCCGCGCCTCCCAGCCTACCACTCCCGACCCAACAGCCCCACCTCGGGCCGCTGGCAGCAAGCCTGCTGTAACCCCCCCTTTCCCACGCCCGCGCACGCCACGGTCGGTCAACTCGGTCAGCACGGCGTACTGCATCATCGATTCATCGACCCCATAGTGCAGCTCTTTCCTGTATTTCTCTCCAACCAGCATGTCCTACAAACCCTAGGATTCCACTTCAAGGATCAGAGCTATGGACCCTGCTGTCCAACGTGCCCTGAACGACAAGCTCTATGACAAGCGCAAGGTTGGCGCACTTGAGTGCGTCTCTCTTTACCTCCTCCGACAGCTCTGCTACTGACTCAAGCATCCCTGGGTTAGGTTAGAGCGGCTCATACGCGACCTTGTCGCCCAAAAGGACTACCCCAGGGTCGAGGCCGTGCTCGACCAGCTCTGCAATGACTTTGCCTATGCCGTCCACCAGCCTCATGCACGGAACGGAGGACTGATAGGACTGGCCGCCGCCGCTATTGCTCTGGGCTCGGTATGTTTATGTCCTTCGCGAACCTCCCTTTCCTGACCCCTCACCGCCCCTCGTAGCGTAACGCTGTTGATACTAGTCCCCCGTGCTTACCATCTGGTTGTGTCTTCTATTGTCACGCTTAGGAGCTCGCTAGGTATCTTGAAGTTATTGTACCACCGGTACTTGCCTGCTTCACGGATCAGGATGCCCGTGTTCGGTACTACGCCTGTGAGGCCATGTACAACATCGCCAAAGTGGCAAAGGGCGAGATTTTGATTTACTTCAACCACATTTTTGACGCACTCTGCAAGGTTAGTCTCCCCTCCCTAGCCTTGCCGACATCAAGTCTCACTAGCCCGATTTGGGGTTTAGCTGGGCGCCGACTCGGAGCTGTCTGTCAAAAATGGAGCCGAGTTGCTCGACCGTCTCATCAAGGATATCGTTTCGGAATCTGCCGCCACGTTTGTCTCCTCCTTAGAGCAGCCACCCCCTTACCACGAAGACGACAAAGATGCGCCTGACGACTCAGTTGAGCTACCGAGGGCGTTCTCTTTGAAGCGCTTCATTCCGCTGCTCAGGGACCGCATCTACGCCCTTAACCCCTTCACGAGGACCTTCCTAGTTGGCTGGATCATCCTCCTCGACTCTATTCCAGACCTGGAGCTCGTCACTTACCTACCCGACTTCCTTGGCGGACTATTACGCTTCTTGAGCGACTCGAACCGAGACGTCCACGTTGCCACTCAGGGTTGTTTGGACAAGTTCCTCAACGAGATCAAACGCATCGCCCGCATCAAGAAAGGCATTGCTGAGAGCAAGAGGTCGAAGGAGGGGAAGCGCAAGCGGGTCGACTCGGTAGAGAGCGGCAGCATACGGCCGCAGCTTGAAGAGGGAGACGAGTTGGACTCGGAGACGGCCGCCGACGATGACGATCTTGACAGTGAAGACGACTGGGTCCCCGGCCAGGACGTCCAGATTAACTACAAGGCCATCTTGGAGATATTGACGGCCACCCTCGATTCGCCATTAGGTAAGCAACGCAGCCCTCGCGGGGTTTCCGGGTGATCTGATGATCTGACTGATGCATATTGTAGAGGAGGATGGCTTGTTGGAGTCGCTACGTTGGATTGTCGAATTCCTCGATATATGCCCGGAGGAAGTGCTCCCCTCCACACCAAAAATACTAGCCCACCTTCTGCCCGCCATGGCTAGCGGTGTTGAACCGATCCGCCAGGCCGCAGGGAGGGTAAACACATCCCTCCTGAACTATGTTGTATCTTTATCCGACGAGGCCGAGGTGGCGATGCCGCTGCTATCACGGATACCCGCTCCTCCGCCACCGGTGGGCGAGCGGCAGGACGGGACCACGAGCGCTCGCGCTTCGCTCTCCGGCTCGAGGGATATTGAGGTACGGAGTCCCACGCCAGCTCAAGTGAAAGCTTTGCCGCGTACTCCAACTCCGAGCCTTCCTCAGCCCCAACCGCAGCCGGACCTCGATTACGCCGCCGCGGTGAACTCGCTAACTCTTTTATTTCTCAACGACCACGAGGCCACCCGGGTTGCTGCGTTGACATGGTTGATTATGTTGCATCGCAAGGCGCCGAGGAAGGTTCTCGCGTTCAATGACGGGACTTTCCCGGCACTGCTGAAGACCCTCTCAGATCCTGCCGAGGCAGTGGTTACAAAAGACCTGCAGCTGCTCTCGCAGATTTCGAGGAACAGCGAGGACGACTACTTCACAAATTTCATGGTCAGCTTGCTCCAGTTGTTTTCCACAGACCGGAAGCTCCTCGAGACGCGCGGAAACCTCATCATCCGCCAGCTCTGCACGAGCCTCAGTGCCGAGCGCATCTACCGTACCCTGGCCGACTGCATCGAAAAGGAGGAAGACGTCGAGTTTGCTAGCATTATGGTTCAAAATCTCAACAATAACTTAATCACTGCGCCGGAGCTCGCCGAGCTGAGGAAGCGGTTGCGTAACCTCGAGACTAAGGTTAGTCTCTCGCTGTCTCATGACCGTATGTTCCCTGAGCTAATACTAGGTGCAGGACGGGCAAACCTTCTTCGTCACCCTGTTTCGCTCCTGGTGCTATAATGCTGTTGCCACATTCTCTCTTTGCTTGCTGGCGCAGGCGTATGAGCAGGCTTACAACTTGCTGCAGATATTGTTGGTTCGCTCGCCCATCGTAGCTGGGTTCAATCCACTGACATCTTCCCAGCGCGGAATTGGAAATGACCGTCAATATTTTGATACAGATCGACAAGCTTGTGCAGCTCCTTGAATCGCCAGTTTTCACATGTAAGAGCGTTCCCCCCTTGAGGTGCGGTACGTCCTTCGTTGGTTGACATACGCCAGATTTGCGACTTCAACTCCTTGAACCCGAGCGGTACCCGCATCTGTACAAGTGCCTATACGGTCTCTTGATGCTCCTGCCACAGTCATCGGCCTTTGCCGCCCTCAAGAACCGGCTCAACAGCGTGAGCTCGATTGGGTACCTGCACATCACTCCTCGACCGTGAGTGTTCCCTCCACTTCTTTTTTATTTGCGGGCGACCCACGTTGAGAACCCACCCCAATCATTCGAGCCTTCAAGCAACGTATATTAGGTCATTAATGTCGTGAACAGGAACGCAACAACACCCAACGCCCCTACGTTCGACCGCCCCAACCGCCTCAAGGGCCGAGAAGAAGGTATTATCCGCTGGGGCGAACTCCTCGAAAAGTTCCGCGCCGTGCAGGAGCGTGCCCGTAGATTGCACCGCATGGGTGGTGGGGGAGATTTGGACGACCCCTCCGGCGGAGACTTGCGGCTCGGGGAGGCGGACCAGAGGGGGCAGGGACCGGATGCCGGTGGTGGAGGTACCGGGCGAGGAACGAGGGGCCCTGTGCCTACCGTCAAGGAAACGCCGCCTGCGAAACCCGAGCCAACGCCGAAGCCGAGGTCGGGACTAGGGAGACAGTTTGGGCGACTGGGAGGGGCCGTGTCTGGGCGAGGCAAGCGCGCCTAGTTTACCCCATCTGGATTTAATCGTGCTTTTGGCTTTTCGTCTTTTGCTGTGTTATGCGAGCGTCGACGTTGATTCACTCTGTTTTAGTGGTTTCATCTAGCTCTCTGACAGCGTCTATTTCTGACTAGAGATTCACGATCAGCATCGGATGCGTATCGGCGGCGTACTAGTAGAGTGCGACAACAATACCCCCTCGGGAAGCGAGACGGAACGGGCGGATATGATGGTTAGTCGGGGGAGGGGAGTCAGGGTGGCCGGGCCGCATAGTTCTTCGACTACTTCTAGCTAGACCAGACCAGACCAGACCAAAATACAGATGGACTGATCAAATGCTGGTATCCTACCACTACAATCACCACCGTCGCCACTATCACCACTACCAAACCACAACCCCCACCCCCCGTTCTCATCCTCATCCCCATCCCCATCCCCGCTCTACCTCCTCACACTCCCCCCCCTCTTCCTCGGCGTCTCCCTCTCCACCAGCCCCTCAAACACCTCGTCCCGCCGCACCGTCATCCGCCGCAGCTCCCCCCTCAACCCCTCCAGCTCCTGCCGCGCCAGCTCCGCGTCCGGCGGCAGGCCCGCAAATGCCTGCACCTGCGCGTCCAGCTCCCGCTTCGCCGCCAGCAGCGCCGCGTAGGCCTCCTCCTCCCGCCGCACGTCGGCTAGGCTGGGTGAGGGGCGGGTCCCGCCCCTGTTGTTGGTGGTGTTGTTGTTGGATGATGAGCGGGCTATGGCGGCGGCTTTGTCGCGCAGTTCGGGGATGCGCGTGGTGAGGGTCTTGATTTGGCGTTGCAGGGAGAGGTTCTGCAGGGCGAGGTCCGCGGGCGGGTGGTAGCCTGTTTCGGCGCGCGGTTGGTGCGGGGGGTTGTTAGATGATGATGATGGGGGGTTGGTCTGGTTGTTGTTGTCCTTGTTGTCGTCGGGATGGTTAGGGTGGTGCGGGTGCGGGGGTGAGGGTGGGCGGAGCTCGGCGGCGAGGTGGGCTGTTGCGGTGGCTTCGCGCGCGAGGTGGGCTGTGAGGGTGTGGATGCGGGCGGTGGTTTGCTCGAGCGTGGAGGCGGTGGTGGAGAGGGTGATGAGTTCGGCGCCGAGGCCGGCTGGCGTTGGGAGGGGGGTGTTGGTCTGTAGTGCGAGCGCCGCTAGGGCGGTGAGCGCGGTTTGGCCTTCCCGAGGGAGTGAGGCTTCGAGGGCGGCGAGGATTGCTTCCCGGGCCGAGTCGAGGGTGTTAGCGTTGGTGTTGTCCCCCCCTTTTTGGCTTGCTGATTCCTCGTGGGCGCGGAGTTGGTCGAGAGTCTCGGCCTCGAGACGGGCGATGAGGGTGCGTTCCTCATCTGCTGTTTCGTTGGCGGAGGCTAGGGCGAGCAGGACGCGCAATGTATCGGCATTGCGCTCAAACGGGGGAGGGCCGCCGTTGGGGAACTTGCGTTGCAGCCATCCATCAACATAAGACCAGTCTTTGGCGGCTGAGGCAGCCGCGCGGGCCACTGAGGGTGAGAAGATGGCGGCGTTGGGGGGTAGATGAGCCATGTTGCTCTCGTGAAGTGTGCGCGATGAAGGTGTGGATGACTGCACGACCTTATCGGAGGTTCAAATTGGGGATATATTGTTGACTTCCGGATAAGGGATCGAGATGACCACCTGATGATGATCGAGTTGGGTGAGTGGTGTTGATGGTTTGTCTCAAACTCAAACCCGAAATTAAGAAGTATAGGAACTGCGGAAAATGATGCGCATTTCCTACTACTTCAAGCATAACCTTCAGTTAGTTGAACACAGCATCTAAGATTTGGTCCTCCGTATAGTGAAGCCCCTTACTCAACTCCTGACTTAATCGTGAGAGTGACGGTTGACGGTGTAAGTTGAGTTGAACCGTTTCTGGATCCGAGCGCCCCACTGGAATGCAGCACCACCGGCTGGTGGGGCTCGATCCGGTCACTAACCCCAACCCTTACCGTTGACGTGGATGCCGAGACTTCAAAATGTGTGATGGGAGCTTCTGATTGGCGATATATCCTTGAAGTAAACAAACCCTTGCAAGGTCGTTTAAGAATGGTGCTCTTTCCGTCTGGACGCGACTTCCCCACCAATTCATACCAGATACCGATCAACCTTCACACCCAGTACTCACCCATGAATTGGCGATTTGCTCAATTTGTTAGACTAATCCCACGACGAAATATCGCTGCTTTGAAGCGCCATCCGCCACGTGTTTGTTTTCTTCGGCCCCGCGACAACTGAGTCGCGATGGTGCAACCAGACTTTGACGGCCTCGACACGCCGCGCACCAACGTGGGCGACGCGACATATCTTAGTCGCCAACCCGATTTTGACATTTCACAAGAGCTATCCTTTCAGTCCCCCTCAAAAGACGCGAACCTCCTCCAGCAGCTCCGCAACGGCGGCCGACCAAACCTCAAGACCCCACGCGGGAGTCGCGCACCCTTCAATGACCGCCGAAACCTTCCTGCTGGCCTAGGCGGCCCCGAGTTTACGCCACTGCTCAAATCTGCGACTAGGAATAGCGTGCGCCGCTATGGCGTTGGCAAGGAGAATCCGGGGCGAGCAACCCCCGGTTTCCTCGCCAAGATCGACGAATCCATGACACCCATGCCCGCAGGCGAGACCAGCATGTTCGGAGCCTCCCGCAACACCTCGTCCTTCATGGACGGCACCCCTCTCCCCGAGGTAGACAGCAGTAGTGCCGCGTCTACCCCCATGGTGATGAGGAGGCGCGAGAACGGCAAGGGCCCCTTGGAAGACGGGAATCAGCTCTCATTGCGCGAGCAAGAGAACGTCATCGACAAAATCGAAAAGGAGAACTTCGGCTTGAAGCTCAAGATTCACTTTCTGGAGGAAGCCCTGCGGAAGGCCGGCCCCGGTTTCAGCGAGGCCGCCCTTAAGGAGAACACCGAGTTGAAGGTAGACAAGGTGACCATGCAGCGCGAACTCCAGAAGTACAAGAAGCATCTCACCTCGGCCGAAAAAGACCTCGAGAGTTACCGACACCAGATTCTTGAGGTGCAGGAGAAGGCCAAGCGAAGATACGCCGACGAAAACCAGAAAGTTGAGCTTGAGCGGCTGCGGCAGCAGCTTGAGGAGAAGGACGCCGAGATCGACAACCTGCATCGGCAGCTCGAGAACCAAGACGATGGGCAGGATAAGGTGGAGAAGCTCCAGGACGACATTGGCGATTTGGAGGCGGACCTTCGGCGAAAGGACGACGTTATCACCCAACACGAAGACGAGATCGACGAGCTCAGGGAGAAGGTCGACGACGCCGAGGAGCAGCTGAAAAAAACGCAACGACGAATGGTGGAGCTCGAGGAGAAGGCCCAAGACAGCGACCGCCTCCGCGAGGCCAGAGACACAATCGACGACTTGGAAGCCAACGTGCGGCGTTTTGAGCAGCAGGTTGCCGACATGAGGGATAAGCTCCAGGAGGCTACCTCAGAAAAGGACCGTGCTGAGGCAGACCTGGAGGAGCTACAAGAGGAGATGGCTAACAAGTCAGTCGTCACCAAGGGCCTCTCTCGCCAGGTCGAAGAAAAGATTGCACGTCTGCAATCTGAAGCCGACAGGGCCCGCCAGGATTGCGCATCCCTTGAGGAGGAGCGCTCAACTCAGCAAAAGGAGATGGACGGCATGAGGGCCAAGCTCAGAGAAGCCCGTGAGGAGCGCGACTCTTCCGAATGCATTCGTCTGTCTTTGGAAGCCAGGGTAGACGAGGAAAATGGGTCTTGGCGGAAAGAGTTGGAGGATGCCAGGCGTCAACTCAAGGAGGCCAGGCTAGAGCGCGACTCAGCCGAGCATATCCGCCTAACGCTGGAATCCAAACTAGACCAAGCGCAGGCCGACCTCAACATGCGGAACGACGAGAAGGCCCTCCTCCAAACGCGCCATGATGCCCTGACCAGCGAATCCACATCCCTGCAGCGGGAGGTATCTAAGCTCAAGCAGTCTGTTGCCGAGGCCGAAGACAGCTTGGAACAAGAACGCCAGCACGCTTTGGGCATTGAGCAAGACATCCGGAACCAGTTCCGCACCGAAATCGAGCGGCTCAACGACGAAATTTCCGACCTCCAAGCAGAGTGCCGCGAGAGGGATAATCTCTACGACAACGACAGCGAAAAGTGGGAATCCGAACGCCACAATCTGGAGGTTGAGCGGGACCGTGCCGAAGAACGTGCTGCTGGTCTCCAACGCACAATCGAAAAACTACGGGACACCGAAGGGGCCTTGTCGAGCAAGGAAACAAAGCTCCAAGAGGCCCTCCAGAGCGAGGCGGAGAGGCACAAGAAGGACGAGGCCATCTTGCGGAGCCAGATCGACCAGCTGCAGCAGGACTTGAGCTCCAGGCAAGACATGTTGGAGGATCTCCGCAGCGAGTTGTCAGCCGTGAGAGACGATCTCCGCCAATCCCGGCTTGAGTGCGAGGCTCAGAGGGAGAAGGTGGAAGCACTCGAGGACGAGGTCGAGATCTTGCAGGCCACTATCGACGAGGAGTCTGAAAAAGCCCGTTTCGAACTCGACCGGGCCCAGCAAGAGTGTGATCAACTGAAGCAACAACTCGCGTCTCTCAAAACCACAGCGGATTCAGCCAGAGCATCGTCAACCGCCTCCCAGGAATCTGCTAAGCAAACCAACGAGACTGTTGCTCGCCTCAAGTTCCAGCTCTCCGAGGCTACCGAGAAGGTCGCCAAGCTTACAGAGGAGCGTCGAGCGTTGCAAGACCGGTCATCGGGCCTGGATACTGAGCTGCGCTCTGTTCGTGCCTCCCTGGAAGAAACCAAGGCTGAGCGAAACCAACTAGAGACAGAGATTGGGCGGCTCAACGAGCACGGCGAGGACACCTTCAAGTACGACCAAGAACGGATCGACCTGCGCGTTGCAAAGACCAAGCTCGAGGGTGAGCTACGCCGCCTCAGAGAAGAAAACAAGGCCCTGGCCGAGAGGCGGCGGGAGGTTGAGGAATCACTCGAGAACGAGATCGAGAAGGCTGCCGCCGAAGAGGACCGCCTGAGTGAGGAAATCCGCGAGCTTCAAGCAACAGTGCGGCAATCATCGGATAACACTGAGCTTGCGGCCCTCCGCCGGACCATCCGCGAGCTTGAGCGCCGCGTTCAGGAGTACGAGACGCAGCTGGCCGCCTCCCAGTTCCCTCTTCAAGGAGGCGAAGGAAATAGTGAGCTCTCTGAGCTTCATCGCGAGCTATCTGCCGCGAGGAAGAAGGAGATCGATCAGCTCAAACATGACGCCTCCCAGAAGGAGTCCATCAAGGGACTCAAGCGGCAGATTGCGGATCTGGAACGCAAGGCGCACGAAGCCGCCCTGGACCGTTTTGCAACTTCCCCGTCATCCCATGGGGGTTCCGCACAAAAGGCCGAGGTGTCCGAGTTACGCCATCAACTCTCCACCGCCAACCAATCCGTGCATGACTTGAAGCGGTCTCTACGTGACGTTGAGCGCAAAGCCTCCGCGTCGGCACGTGAGCTCCAGAAACATCTTGATGAGCTTGAGGACGAAAAGTTCGTGCTTGAGCAAGCTTTCGAAGATGCACAGACGGCCGCCGAAGAGTCTGCCGTAGCACACGAGGAAACGTTGAAAAAGTACAAGCAAAAAATGGAGAAATATAGGCGGGAGCGGGACGAGCTAGCCACTGCCGTGCGCGACCAGCGGAACAATAGTATGAACAGCAGTCTTAGTGAGATGCCGCTTGAGGAGCGCCGCGATTTGCACAAGATGTTGCGCGAGTCACAGCTCTCCGCAGACAAACTCGATCGCGAGCTGGGCGAACACCGCGAGGCGCTCGAGGAGCTCATGGGAGTGGAAACATCCCTCCGCAAAAAGCTGGAACGAGCTCGCAGCGAAAGGGCCACATACCGGGCTAGCGCAGAAAAGCTGCACAAGGACTTCAAGAAACTCAAGGCCGAGAAGGACAGGGCCGTTGCCGAGGCAGCCTCGGCGGCCGCCACCGCCAACGAGGAGCGTGCTCTTGTCCGAGTCTCCAAAACCGGCAAGAACGGCGTCGACACCGACGCTATCATCCGGGCCGCCGAAGCCGCCGAGAAACGGCACGAGAAAGAGATCCGCGGCATGGTGATGCAGATGGAGTGGCTCAAGGCATGCTGGGACCGCGAGGCCAAGCTGCGCAGCGACGCCGCCTACACGAAGCAATACCTGATGATGCAGATCCAGGTCCGCGATGCCTGGTACGCTTTTTCTTACTTTGCCCCTCTTATCACCGTTCCCAAATTGCTAACCACCACCCTCTCACAGCAACAAAGCCGACCTGGCAATCATCAACCGCATCCGCGCCGAGATCAAGCCGCCCTCCGCCCGATCCAACTCCTCTTCCGCCCGGCGCGACCACTACCCACTCCGGCAAAAACAAATCCAACAAACACCGCAACAACCGCAACCCGCCAAGCCACAGCAGCAGCAGCAGCAGCAGCAGCAGCAGAAGAGGCGGACCCCGCGCGCGAACCTGCGCCTCGCCCTCAACGCGGTGCGGGGGGTCGTCCGCATGCAGATCGGCGCGCGCGCCTGGGCCAAGCACGACAAGATGCGCCGCAAGCTGGCCGACTGCTACGACGGCATGCAGCGCGAGGAGCGCATCCGCGCCATGCGGGACGCGTGGCGCGCCGACGTCGCGCGCAAGACGGGCTCGCCGACTTCTTCGGTGGCGAGGAGGGTGAAGAGTGGTGGTGGTGGTGGTGGTGGTGGGATCGAATGTTGATTTTTCGGTCATCGGGTTTGGTTTGTTTTGGTTTGGCTTGTTTGTTTGTTTGCGTGCGTGGCGTATCAACCTGGCGTTTGGTGGGGAGGCCCAGTTGGTTGGTTCTTTTCTTTTCGAACTCTGGATCGAGTGGCTAGGCTGTTTTGTTTTGTTTGGGTACCGTTGGAAAGAAAGGACAGAGGAGCTCCTGCTACTCCCGTATCGGGCGACCATTGGTGTCGAGGTCAGAGCATGTTGGCTGTCGTCCTGCATGGGGTCATGATGTATGCATTCTTTATTTATTTTGGGTTGGAGTTCGGCAGGGTTGGTCGGTTGCGCGGCGCGTGGAGATACCTTGGGCATAACCACAGGTTTTGGCAAAGGGCGGAGTAGGGTCGGCTGCATGCAGCATCAGAAGCACAGTCATTGATATCAAGCTTGTTGAATTCATTTGTTTTGTTTACCGTTACTTCCGGGTCTCAGGGGCTGGTGATCTTGGCGTTCAAAAGAGACTGCTGGCTAGCATTGATATCAAAGCAATCTGTATCCATACCCGAATGCACAACTACTCCCAGAACCTCCGTAATACAGAAACACGGATAAAAAAGAACATAGGATAAAACCCAGCGTATGCATTTTCACCGCCATCTAGGTCAGCGCATAGCCCGCCCTTCTGTCCAGCACGGTACCCCGGGAGGAGCGCATGCGAGAACCGATTAAAACCCCAACCCATGACTTCCTAGGAACCTAAGACAGTGCCTCCCCACCACCTGTTCCACCCATCCATCATGTACAAGCGAGTGACTTGGCGACCTCGACGACAGAACCCGTAATATAATCATCTCATTCATACCCCCAGCCCTATCCGAACCCAGCCAACCCCGCCTTCCTATCCAGAATAAATCCCAATATCGATACGTACTCCCGAGTCAATGCAACCAAAGCAAACGGTAACGATCGGCCTCCCCACATAGTGTATGTCCTACAAAACATCACATCACAAACAAGACATTGGTGTCTGATTGCCCATGAAAGCCATCCATGACACCAACCGCGTCAGCCACATACTCTCAGGACAGAGATGCAGTGGGATGCAAGACGGGAAGAAACCTACCGAGGGGATGGCTGCACGAGAGCTGGGGCTTCTGGGTATAGCGGGTCTGCAGCTCGTCGCGGATGCTGTTGAGCAGCTGGACGTAGCTCTGCTGCGGGTTCTTCTTGAGCGCCGTGATGAAGGCCCACGACATGGCGCCGGTGGCCTGGGAGGCGATGGTCGCATCAGCTCTGTGGGGAGAGGGCGACCGTTAGCAGAGAACTAAAGCGATATGAGAACGGACGGGAGGGGGCACGAACGAGGTCTGATCGTCTTTGCTGCCCGAAAACATAACCACGTCCGCTGGCGATGTCTTGACCGCCATCGACCTAGCATAGGCATCCTCGCTGTTGCTGGCCTTCTTGAAGAAGCCCATGATGTTGTTGGCCACGCCACCAAGATCGCCGCGGCTGTAAGCAGAAACGGCGCTGAGCAGACCCTGACCGGCCTCCTTGGCAAGGTTGGGCTCCTTGAGGATGCCCTGGGTGGAGTAAATGTAGGGTAGGTCGAGCGCTGTGCCGGAGTGACACGAGTCGAAGATGGCTGTGAGGCGCACGCCCGCTTGGAGGGGGCGCACCATGATGCGGTGCATCTCGTCGTCGGTGATGTGCCCGGTGTGCCGGAAGTCGACGGGGTAAATGACCTCGTCATACCCGTCCTCCTCGTCGCCATCGAGGTCTTTTGTCTGCCCGCCGTGACCTAAAACGGAGTCAGAACCTACATTTCACCGAATCAAGGTGCCGCGCTTACCGGAGTAGTGGAAGAATAGCGAGTCGTTTGGCCGGGCGTCTTTGACAAGCCAGTGCATGGCCCTCAGGATATTCTGCTTCGTTGGCTGGCTCATTGGGTTTTGCTGGTCATCGGTAAGGATGACCATGTCCTCGCGCTTGTAGCCGAAGTTCTCCACGAGGTAGGCCGACATGTTCCTCACATCGTTGATACACCCCCGGAGCTGACCGCGCTGGTTGAAGTAGTTGATACCGATCAACAGGGCTTTCCGGCGCCCCGTACACTGCGAGTATTGAAACGCGAATTGTTGTTGGTATCCATAGTGTTGGGTCGTCGGCGGCGGTGGCGGCGGGGCGCTGTGGTTCCCGTGAACGTACGAGTTCGAGTTTACCGTTGGCATGTCTGCGGTTGTTAGTGTGTGCAATCCTCATACCTGGCAATGTCATGCTCACTTGGTCTCCCGAAGTTATTAGGGGCCGGTTGTGGGGGATGATATCCCTGGGCGGCCGGTGGCTGGTAGGGGGGTTAGCCTGCGGCGTTTCACTTTTGAGATTGTAGTCAGACGAACTTGCTGGTAGCCGCCGTAGGCCGGGCCGGGCTGTTGGTAACCATACCCGGGGCCTTGAGGCGGCGGCGCGGGCTGCTGGTAGGCATAGTTTGGAGATCTTCGCCAACAAACATCAGTCTCTCAACCTGGAAAAAAAACATGTATGCTGCGCAAGATCGGCCGAACATACGGAAAGTAACCGGCGTATTGCTGCTGTGGCGGCGGGGCGTATCCACCGGCGTTGTAGCCCGCACCAGGAAATCCAGACATATCCAGACGGATAGTCGGCGCGGCAGGATCGGACTCGGAACAAGGAGGAAGGGCCGGTCGGTCGGACGGGCGGCCGGATATGATCTCGTAGAATGGACAGACGGCGGCGTCGAGCGGCGGGAGTGGGGCGAGGCAGAGGAGAGCTAGGTATCTAGGTAATAATAACTCGGACGGAGCCGGGGTTTATAGGACGCGTTGAGTGATGGGAGCTCGTGCGGGAGCGGCGTAGCGGGCGGTGGAGGAACGTGGCAGGGCAGAATTGGGATCGGAATTCGAGAATGCCGTTCGTCTGCTCGATCAGATCGTGGAATCTACCAGAGCTTGCCGATGAGCAAAGCACAAGATGCAAGGAAAGGGAAGAAAAAAAAACAGTTGATGATGGCTTGCAGTATGGAGCAGGGCAGTGAGACATGGCAGAAAAAGCGGACGGGAACCCGACGGGGCGGTCAAGAGCCGACAAGGGCATGCGTGGGTGCGTCTTGACCAAAGATGGGTTCTCCAATGGCCCGGGAGGAGGGCGCCAGTTCGACGAAGTTACGCACCTGCAGGGGAGTTCTTGCCAGGGTGTTGGCGGCCCGCTGCCCGCGAAAATGCGATGTTCGGGGGGGCGGGATATCCAGGCACAGGTGAGAGAGAGGCCCTTGGGTATCCAGCGGTGGGGGTCCTGCTTTTGGGGCGAGAGTCTTCAGCTCGGCGTGCTCGGTGAGAGTTTGGCTAACCTGGAAAGCTCGATGGGCTTGGGTTGCAAATCGCGGGCAGCATATCGGCTCTGGGTAAGGGTGGGGTTGCCAGCACAGCCTGCCGTGATTGGATATGGAGCAGTGGGGTGAGGGGCGCCAAGCCATGTGGCCTGCGGATCCCGAACTGAAACAAGAAACCAAGATCGTCCCGTCTTTCAGCTCTTTCCCGTCGCCAAGGGACCTGAACAAGATTCTCTCAATATTAATCTCGTCCAAATCTGCGCTCGCCTGACGTTGCTTTGGGCTATCCAGCTGAGTTTCTCAGCTTCCCTCCCGTGAATTTGGCCACTTGAGCACGCTCTCATATTGCTAACTACTACCTTCCTTCCCAACCTCGGATTCGGAGTTGGGTAAATGGGGGCGAGGTTGCCGAAGACGGTCGCCGGTTCGCCGACCCCGACTATCGAAACGGCGACCATCGAGCTGGCCTTGAAACGTCACAGGCTGACAAGCCCTCAAGAAAGTTGTCGTCGGCATGTCGCCCAGGTTTGACCCAGTTACACAGCGATTAGTCGGATTTCAAGAGGTGGACATGGAGCCCGCCCAACTTGGCAGCCGAGGTTCGGCACCGTCTTCCGAGCCCAGATGTCTCTCTCTGTTGGACTGCGATGATGTAATGTTCCATACTATCAACAAAAGACGGGAGAGAGTCAGATCCAATCCCGTGGAAACAACAATGGAGGGGAGTTTTTCCGCAATCCGTGCTTACAAAACAACACAAGAGACACCACGATTGTTCACAGCCCACTGATGCAGTGGCAAAGAACTGCTGCGGAAACCGCGTCTGTCTGTATAAGTCCTGAAATAGTTAGCTCCGGAATCAGCGACAATCGTCCATTGGTCAACGACCTTGGGATTTTCGAGCGGGGCCGCTGAATCGTACCGTCAGCCATTCATGGGATTCCAAAAGAAGCATGGTTGAGAGGAGCTCGGGCCAGTATAGTTACTGGTCAACCCGTTCGAACCGCCGTCGCAGTGATTATTTTCATGATCCCTCACGTTCCTATGAACCGCAGCAGAAGTGATGGCGGATGGCAAATTCCATTCCCCTGTCTCGAGCTGTGCTAGCTGAACCGGCGTCCATAGCAGCTGGCAACCTAGGAGGCCCCCGAGCAAGTTCCCGAGCCGACGAGCCCAGCGAGCAACGTTCCCACGCCAAGTTGTTCCATCGACAACAACGGATCACGCGCCCGTCATTTTCACATCCCCTTGGCTCTGCCCCTTCTCCGGCACTGCCCCCTCGCCATTCTTGACCTGCTCCCGCATCATCCACGCCATCATGCTCCATACCAGCTGCATCGCGCGCACCCGCTCGTCCACCTTGAAGAAGTCAAACCACGGGCTCCTCCAGACCTCGAGCCTGCCCCAGCTCCGGCCGTCGCCGCCGTCCTCGACCTCCCCGGACAGAACGCCGAGCAGCCGATCCGGCACGCGCATCCTCACGATGCTCACGTGGTGCAGCACCGTGCTGATGACGAAAACGTCGTCGTAGTCAACCCCCTGAGCCCGCCCAATGGCTTCGTACCGTGTTTTCTTGTCCCACGTTGCCTTCGGCTGGCGCACCATGCGGTAGTTGTCGTACATGGGGTGGTTTCCCGATTTCTTGAGCCGCTTGACGCTCTTAGAGGATCCGCTGCCGCCGGCGGCCGAGATGACGTTGTTCCCCGTGGGGAAGGGGATACCCCCGCCAACGGGGCGGGAGGAGGGGCGCTGAGGGAGGGGCGTTGCATCACGTGCTTTGGAGGACGAGGACGGCGGCGCGCCCTCCGGCGGCGGAGCGTCCTTGTCCCCAATGGTCTGGTCCGCCCCAGAGAGCATCTCCACCTCGCGCCCGATGGGCCCGCCGGGGCCGCCACCCCAGCGCGGTTTGGTACACCACCAGGCGTTCTCACCGATAGGCTTCTCGGTGCGGCCTTCGCGAGCGCGTTGCTGAGCCGTGATCAGGGCCGCGACAACTTCCCGGGCTAGGTCTAGGATCGAATCCCGGTCTGTTTCCTGGAGCGGAGAAGCCGAGTCCACTGGTGGGAAAGACGTCGTGTGTCTGGCGCTCACGGCCGCCACTGGACCTTCGGTGATACCAGCACGGGCTGCTTCGCGAGTGTTTGGGGTCCGGAAGATGAAGGTGCACCCAGAAGAGAAGTAAGAGCTGCGTGTCGAGCCGGTGGAAGATTTGGACGTGATGTGAAGCCGTGGCTCGGTGCGGGGTGCCGACACATTGCATGTGAAGTCGTACGCTACCAGCTTGAGGAAAGCTGTGATCATGCTCTGCCGGTAATCGGCTGGCATCTGATGGCCAGCTCCAGTGCGGTAGAATTTGACGGCGTCGGAACCATTCTCCTGGGCCTTGTCGCCCTCGACTGGAGCGGGGTCATTCTCGCCATTTCCCTCTCCCACCTGGCCGTTCTTAGCCTCGGAGGCTGGATGTACCGAAGTGTCTTCCCAGAAAGCAGAAAACAGTTCTAGGTGGCGATAAAACTCATAGGTATTTCCCAAGCGGACCTGCGGCTGGCCCTTGGGGGGCGGGATTCTCCGGATAGTCCGGTAGGCCGCCTCGTTTGGAATCGAAAGCTCGCGTTTTCTGTCTAGGTATGTCTGACAGCCGGGCGAGAGGTTGCCCGTGTTCAGCCGTTTACGGGTGCTCTCATTAGTCGCATGAACCTCCTCGGTGGAAAGGGCGTGCCAAGCTTCGAAGTCCGGGATGAAGGTTGGGTCCGGGAGCAGTTGGGCTGGAGCAGCATCCGGGACCACGTGCACCCCGAGAGCTTCAAAGTGCGAGGTAGTGACCTCAGTGGGCCGGACAATGTTCTGCAGCACCGAGGTGAGTGGCTTGCCGGGCTTGTCAGAGCCATGTTCTTGGCCGTCTACAACACCATCGTCTGAGGTTTGCGGGTAGCACCGGGGTAGGTTGACTGGTGTCGGCGGTGGGACGTCCTTTGGGGGTCCCTTTGGCGCCCCTGACGCGGGAACTAGACGATCGGATTAGAACATGAATAGCTGACGAAAATGGCCAGATAATCACGGCTTTGTCGGCGCCGAGGACGATCACGCGAAACATGTACAAGAGATGGGGGAAGGGGGGAATAAAACAAATACTATGGCCCGCATAATGGGACTAACGGCACCACCCTACATGGCCAGGGAACAGGAGCCATTGCGAGGTCAAGAAACGGCAACAAAAGTCAGGATGCTCGGTGGAAGGTTATTGGCCCAGATTTGACCATCGCACAACCCAAGGAGAAAGGCTGAGTGGGGGTTATGAAGGTAGGGCCAAGTGCGAGGCGTTTAGTGAGTGATAGAGATCGGAAATTATAATAGGTGGGCAGGTAGTACGACCGAGGGGAAACATGGAATCTTGGGCCGGAGCAGGTTCACACGGTCGAAAGAACCGGCGGGGTTGGCGCTGGATACACCGAAAAGGAACGTTCCACTTACTCATAAACGAGAGGTTCCCGAACATGATGGCTTTTCCTGAAATTCGGCGGACACAGCCACGAACCAAATAAAGGTACCAGACGGCCCCAGATCAGTTGCTGAAGCAGTGCTTCTGTCCGGAACGGCCGTGCTCACGGGGAGTCGAAACGGCGAAGGGGGAGCCGAATATGCGGTGAGTGCTCACAAGGTCGAGCTTGGCCGCGGACGTCTGGGATTTACGGCTGTCTCTCTGCCTGGGCCTGGCTGCGTGTTCAACCAACACTACAGAATTGTGTCGGAGAGCAAAACAACCAACGTCGTCGACGAGAGTCTCCCGGTCGCCGTGAAGCAGGAGAAACCACGCGAGCGGATTGCGAGCGGAGCGGGGCAGGCGATGTTCGTTGGCATTGCATGCATGGACGATGTTACGGTTGGGCCGTGCACTTCCATGTTACCCCTGAAGCCCGGTCCGGAGGTGCTTCGGCGTCCGGCCGAGGACCTCCGGATGTGTGGGAATTTTGCTGTTCGTAATTCCCGTCGTGCTTTTGAGATCAAAACCTCAGATAACCGACGTGAGGTGGCAGGGAAGGTAATTTCTTCCAGTATGTACGAACATAGACATTCCATCCTTCCTCCGTCGGATATTCGTTCCACTAATGACGGCAGCCGCGACTCCTCGGCCCACTCACGGGTTTAGTTGTCGGAAGGAGCAACCTCGTCAAACAAATCCCACCTGGAAGGCTTGTGTTTCTTTCTATCTGATACTTCCCAAGCACTCAGGCAACCAACATTCCCATAGGGAGAAACGAAGGTACCAGCCAGCCCATTGGGGGTTTTGAATCTCGATTGAATGTTCTTTTTTTATGGTATGCTACCGTTTCTTCCAGCCGACGGCGCCTTGTTTCAGGCGATCGCTCAAACGTGGAAACCTCTCCCCTTTACCCCCCGAACCGGTAAAGTCCAGCAGCCCAGGTTCCTCGACGCTCAATCCCACCATTTGACCCTTCAACCGGATGACAACAAGCATCTCGAGGATTTATTCACTCGTGGATTCATCTCGAGAACAAAAGCAACAGCCAATGATGCAATTTGGTCCCCTGTTCGTCCAGTGTTGCTTATTCTGGGTCCTCGAATGTCTCGGTGTCTTCGGGTGGCTGCTGCGGGAAACCACCCACAGACAGGGATCAAATCCCCCGCACCTGTTCTGCATCAGAAGCGTCGCAGGACAGGGATCAACCCATCACGCACGAAGGCGTGCAGCCTGCAGGAACCCCTGACGAAGAGCCGCAACCGTCAAGATGGGAATCTCTTGTGGTAGTCGGCTCGGGTGGCACGTCTTCCTGAACCTGTCTAACCAATAGTGGCCCTCGCCGACCCCTGTTTTGGCCCATCAAACGACTTCCAGCGTCCATGCTGCCCTCGCACATGTCGGAGCTCGCCCGGTTAGGCTATGCTACCGTCGAGGGCTCGAAGCACTCGGAGTCGTGCTCGATGGTTCGAGTGTGCCAACCATCATGGCCTCCCTGGATCCTGAGAACGCAACCACCGTGCGTATGGTTGCCGCCAAGCCCACCTTGCGACAACGTACCCGTCTCCCATCTGTTACGTTTCCAATTCCGGATCTCCTACCCTCCCCCTCTCTCTTTTCCCGAGGGTTGGGCAGCTCGTCCGCAATTACAAACGTTTCTCGTTCAAACCTGAGTTAGGTGTTGTTCGTCTCCTTCGATAGGAGTTTTCTATTCTTTCGTTTCTTCGAGAAATCTTGATGATTTCTCAATGATTACTCGGCCCGAGTGGCCTTCATCTTCGCTTCTACTGAACCTATTTTCGTTGTATTTTTGTACCTTTCGTCCCCATCTTCTTCGTTCCGGAGCGGCTGGCTTCGCGCATCAAGGTTATCGAAGAGGGACTGAATTTGGGAGATGGCGTCAAGCGGGCTTCCATCGGGAGCCTTCCTCACCACCCTCAATGGGCGGCGATGTACGGCGGTCCCCCGCGTGGCAGCTGTATCTACGACCGTGAGCAGGGTCACTACGGTGACCACGACAAGCAGCTCGACGACCACCGTAGCAGCCGCGAGCCCGTCGGGGGGCTTAGCAGCAGCGCCGGCTGCAGACATAGATGCAGGCACCGAGGCGGCCGAGCAGACTTCAACAAGTACGACGAGCCCCTCCTCAGTTGCCACTACAAGCACTTCCTCCGGCTCGGTGCGGATTGCGCAGGCTCAGGACAGTGAGTCGGGCACTTCGGCAAGCCCACCGTCACCTTCGCCTGACGCTCTCGCAGCATCCGACGCTACTTCCCAGCCCTTCACTGCCGTTGCGGACGTAACAGCCTCGCAAGCGTCCGTGGAACAGAGCAGTCAAGCTGATGCCAGCGTAACAGCCCCGGCTGTAGCAGATACACCGGCGGCTTCGTCAGAGCCCACTCGCGCCGAGTCGTCCTCCCCTCCTGATCTAGCAGTAGGCCCGGTGGCCACGGCCCTCCTCACCACCATTGAATCGCCGCCAACGCCGACCGATCCCGTCGTCGCCGATTCAACAGGGTCAACGTCAGCAGATGCAGCCGCGAGTTCGATTCCCAACTCAAACAACAATGCGGTCCAGTCGACCGTGGCAGTAGCCGGTGGCGTCATTGGCGGTGTCGTTGCCATCAGCTTTCTCGCATTTTTCATTTGGTGGTGGAGGCGCCGGACGCAGAGGAAAAGGAGAAGCACCCTCTTGACGCCCCTCGACGTGGGCCCGTCCTATGACCGCGATGAGAAGGGCGGTTATGTGATCTCTCGTGGGAGTATCGGGCCAACCCCTGTGGCAGTAAAGGTTAAGGCTGCCCTTGGCCACAACTATAAGAGAATTCGAGGCCATATTAGGAATCGAACAGCGCCATCGGTGAACCTAGACCGGGGCACTTCTCAATTTATGGATTCCGCCACGAAGCACAGCCGGACCAACTCTGGCATCATTGGGGCCGAGCCAACAACGACAGATCGTCTTAAGGATTGGTGGTCAGGCCTGGGCAAGAAGTTCAACCGGCAGAACAACAGCGCCCAGGAGAAGCCCCAGGGCGTCACGCAGGAGAAGAAGGTGACCAGCTCACAGCCTGATTTCTTGACTCTCCTTAGCATGGATGACGGGGAGCTCGACCGCGAAGCACAGCGACGACGAGTCAGCAACGCACGAATCAACGGCCGCGCCAACTCTAGTGACAACCTCCTAGGCGGCTTAAATCTCAGCTTCGGCAACGACAACCCCTTCAGCGACGCCAACGCCATCGCTCACACCTCGGCCAAGCCGGCGCCCCTGGCGGTGAACCAAGGCAACGCAGCCAACCCCTTCAGCGACGCGAACGCCATCGCCAACCCAGCCCCCACCATGCCCAAACCAACCACCTACGTCGCCGACATCCGCCGCTCCCGCAGCAACAGCACCGTGGCTGGCCGCCAACCCAGCACAGTCTACAACTACAGCAACGCCAACCGCGACAGCGCCGGCTCCCTCCGCTCCATGGCCACAGCAACAACCACCAACCAGCGCAACAAATTCCGCTCCGACCCTTTCGACCTCGAGCGCCCCGAACTGCTCGCAGGCGGCGGTAACAAACCGGCCATGCTCCCCAACAGCCGCACGAGCAGCACAGCCGCCACCGCCGGGTCCGCCCCGTCCCCGTCCCCGGGACCAACCCAGCCAACACAGCAACAACAGACGGGGGCGACGATGATGATGATGAACCCCCCCGCGCGGGCGCGCACGCGCGCCGAGTCGTTTTCGTCCCGCTACTCCAAGTTCTCCAAGTACTCGTCCGGCGTGAGCGCCATGTCGGCCGACCGCGGCAGCAGCATGGATTGGAGCGACCCCGGCCCCGATGTCGGGCCTGGTGCCGCGGGGAGCTGGGCTACTAGTGGTGGTGGTGGTGGGGGTGGGGGTGGGAATGGGAGTGAGAGGACAAGGGCCAATGGGGGACGGTTGAGTGGGGGTAGCTTGGGCAGTTTGGGGAGTGTGGGGAAGGCTATGTGAGGATAGTGGTGGTGACTGCTGTGCGTGCTGTTGTATGGACGTGTGAGGGGTTGGCGTTGCGGTAGTTGCTTGCTTTTTGTTGGAGTTGTTTGGCCGTGGCTCCTCAGGGGAAGGGTGGGTTGTGCTATCCTTGGTTTTGGATGACAGCGCCGCTTGGCCGCGGCCTCCCTATCAAATACCGCAGGCCCGCATGTGTATAAAATACGGTACGGAGGGTTTCTGAGCGGGGGGTATCAGTTTTAGAGGTACGGCTGCCCTGTATCCTCCGCTGCCCGAGGTCTTTAGCTGATAACCGGTCAGGTTAGGTGCCGATGGGTGCCTGCTCAGGGCCCAGTAAAGGAGAGGAGGCCTCGAGGGCGGATCTCTCGTTTGAGGCCGACGTGTGATAAAAATATGAGGGTGGGGACGAGGGATGAAGGACGGATGAGGAATGAGGATACCCCGACGCTCGCTTGACTATCTAGGAGCTCTGCTTGCGCATGAGAATACGAACTGTTTTTACTCGCTTTTTGTAAACCTAGTTCACGAATCGTGCCATGTCTTTCCTGAACATGGAGCCGCAGGCCTCACTTCAGGTTGTCGTGCTTGTCCAGCCCCAACCAGATCCTCAGGGGCTGGCTGGCTGTCCTGGAGTAAGTGGAACCGATGAGTCAGTCACCTCATGGAAGAAGAAAAGGCCCAACTGTAAGCGCAGATGTCGACAATGGAAACTTCGAGTCCTCGACTGTAGGAACAAAACGAACGCCATCCTGAAGCCCAAAGAAACTGTATTTACTCCATTCACTTTTATTTTACCCTTTCTTTTATCTGATTTATTTCTGTCGACATCTTTTTATTTGTTCTTTTTTGCTTGATTTCTTGCTTTCCTTTCGAGTTCGGCGTTTTTGGCCAGAGAGGGTGGGAGTCGGGAGTCGCGCAGTTCAGGTTTTGCCAACACATCACCAATTCCATGGCCGCCTTTTCATGCACGCCTTCATTATGCATTGTTCAATTCTTCCAATCACCGCTAACACCACATCGCTTCTGCGCATCAAGGCAACTTCAGGGGTTCCGCCAACAAGCGCTTCCCGTCCCCAAGCTCAGCTCCCGTGAGACAAAGATTCGCTCCACCGCCCATTCCAGTTGAGGAATCTGATTGGTTCCCGCCGCGCGACGCCATGAAGACGCGAACCGGACTCGAAAAGTCGCGGCGCGCGTCCTCGGCGCGGGGTTCCCCAGCAACCAATTTGATTGGCCTGCAAGCACTCAAAGCCGCCCATTCCAACCAACACTCAAACCCCGAACCAACAATTGTCCCGCGCGCCCCTCGGTGTCCCGCTCCCTCCGCGAGCCGACCTCGACCAAATCGCCTCATGCATCCCACACTCAGCTCATCTGTCGTACACTCGGTATTCAATCCCTGGTGCTGCTCGACCCCTGCCGTACCACCCAACTGGGTTCCGCCTCAAAGCAACGAAGGAAAAGCAGTCGTAAACAAAGGGAAATCGCCAATCCGGGCTCGCGAGCCCAATGGCATTGCTCGCCCATACAAAATTTTAAAGTGATATCGTGCACTGCTGCTGACAGGCAGAGGTGATATGATATCGGTGACAGTCTCGGGGTGGGATTAGTGAATAGGAGTGAACCACCATAACCGGAACGCCGATGCTCCCAATTGTAGGACGTAAACAAAGATAAATGAAAAGTTGCAAAAGAGCCGGGATGTCGGCCAAAAAAGGTATCAGAAGGTATAGCGCAAGACAGCCGAGTGCCTCATTGTAGTCGAAAGTAGGCGAAAAGTGATAGGAAGATGGTTGGGGTAGAGCGGACAGGAAACTCCAAGGGAAGCCAACTTCACAACATAACAACCAATGGCCCTCAGGATGGTATGTCGTCAAATGTGAGGCGCCTCCTCGCCACGCTGCGCGGCGTTTTGCCTGCAAGAGGCGTCTTCCACGGCTTTTGCGCTGGGCTGGGGGTCATGTGAAGGAACTCGGCAAAGTCGAAGCCAAGCCCGGGAGTGGCCGGATAGGGGTTGCCGCCGCCGGGGGTCGTCATCATCGACGATGGTAGCGCTAGCTTGTTCTTCGGTGGTGGTGTCGACGGGGGGTCCATCCTGTTCCTCGGCGGGTTTGCGGGTGACGGTGACGCTGCCAGATACAAGAGCAGATCCGCGCCTTCCTCGCCGGTTTTCGACTCGCTCGCTGCTGGCTGCCTGTCCCTCGGCTTCTTCATCAAGGTCCGGCTCCGCATTGGTGGTGTCCTGGGCGGCGACACCCGAACATGGCTGGTGTGAAACGAGTGAGTGGGCAGATCGTCCTCGTCGTCCGAATTGGCCGCATAATTCGTGGTAGTAAGGACGTCACTGATCTGCCTCGACCCCGAGTAGAACGACAGGTCAGGACCCGTTGATGTAGTGAAGTGTTGCTGCCGCCTTGGTTTTATTGGCGATGACTGGATAAAGGGGTGGTGGCTCGAAAAAGACCTGTGTGCCGTCGGAGACTGGCGGAACCGCTTGCTCGGACTCGAAAACGCATTGTCGTCAAAAGATGCCAGATAAGTACGCTTCCTATGCCCGGTGCTTCCGTTGCTGGACCCAATGGCATCCGAAAATAGCGGTGCTTTGAGCGGCGAGCTCATGAGCGTCCGGGAGGGGTATGGGAGGTCGGAGGCGCTCGAGGAAGAGTCGGACAAGATATCGCCATCCTGCAACCGTCGGCGGCGCATCTCCTGTTCGAACTTGGGCTCAATCATATCCAGTGTCTCGTTCACTAGGTTGTGTTTCGTCTTGAACTGGGCAAGGGCGAGACGGTTCTGTAACCTCCGGGCCATCTGAGGCAAAAATGAGTGCTTGTCAGCTTCACACCCCTGCCAAGGGAGGCAGAAACCATACCTTGCTGATTTCGGCTCTCTTGAGCACCCTATCCGCCACAACCTCGGGCTGTTTCTTCAACGGCGACGACATCATCTTGCCGATAATATGACTTTGCAGGCATGCAAAAAGTCGACACCGGTTTGGTGGTGGGAGGCGCAAGTTCGGAGTAGGAGAGAGTGAGGCCTGGGGGTGATTGGATGGTTGCAGCGCTGGGCGCCTAAAACCGCCGTGAACGAGGAGGACTGGTCGAGATGCCGTCGAGAGGTTTGGTTGCCGGCCACAGGCGATTGTGTGGTGCCAAAACGTCAGGCTGGTTCCTGGCTGGTCACTTTATTCGGTACACAGCCGCCGGCGCTTCAGCACGGGAAGAGATGGAGTTGCGCAGGAGTTGAGGTTGGAAAGCCCGGACAGGAACAGGAGCAAATTCACATTCCTGTGGAAACCGGCAGATTACCCAGCTGAGCACTGGCCCACTGGCTGCAGCTGCGGCACAGGGCGAATTGCGGGAGCTTGCTAGGCTGCCAGGGGGTCTTTTTGGCAAGCAAATTTGTTGGTTGCATTGTGCATTCCCAGCATCTGCATTCAAACTGCCCTGGTCCCCACCGGCAAACAACGAACAGAGCTCTTCCCCTGGTCCGATGTCAACAACTCCACTGTGAAACGGTGACAATGGAGCCTCGAGCTGGATAGTTAGGTTCGGCAAACATTGAATGCCCCGAATATCTGTGGGACATTCCTAGGCTCTCCGGGAACAGCCACAACATAAACCGTGCGAGACTTGCCGTGCCGTTTGTTAGGATTCCGGCGGTGACCGGGGCTACGACACCATAGCTCTCTCGATATAGCTGGGTCAGGGGCTCCACAACCGCCAAGGCAGGTAACAATCTGGAAGGATGTGCTTTTCTTGTTTCAGTTACAAGTACTGCTCGGTGGGTCGTTTTGGGGTCGTCATCGAGGGTTTTCGGGAGGCTTTGAATGGGTGACTGCTATCAGAGCGAGGGGGATGCGAATCATGGAAGGCAGAATGATACCTTCCACGTGTGGTTCAAACTTTCGCTCCTTCCAAACGCTCGCCGCAACAGATCAGATCGCCATGCCGCTAGCGCCCTTCCGACGGCTCGCCTCGTATTTTCCGTTTTCGGCCAACGAGCACACGCTTTTATCCCACGATGCATCCTCTCGGATGGCATCATTCATCCCACTTTCTTTGCTTTGCGATTGCCTCTAAAATACCGAATTACTACTCGAGGTGGATCATGTCTGCGGTTGGCAAGCACCCTTGGGAAACGCGACTTTTTGCAGCGATGGAGACTTCACTCCCGTCTGCACCCAGCAAGGAGATCAAAAGAGGAAAGTGCTCCTCAAATCAACACACCCATAGCTCCTGACGACATCGTATTCATCAGCCCCGCGCGCTGATTACTGCTTCCTCTTTTGGTGGAGATAGCAAGAGGGCCGGGAAGTGAGGTTTTCTGTTGGTACTGTGTGGTCGGTAAGATCATCGAGGTAAAAACCTCCACATGCCCCGGAGCCATGAATATCGAACTTTTCCTATCCCCTTTCCATTTCTTCAAACTCACCACAATTCTCTTCCTACGTTCTCCACACGTTCTTTCACCAGCCGTCGTGGGGTTGTGCTGCAGTTTTCCATTGCCTTGTTTCGACTGAGCCTCTTCCCGGTTCCAACATTCCAAGTTCCCTGCTCGCCGCCAAACATACGATTTTCCATGCGGTCTGGAAGAAAAATCGAAAAATCGAGGAATCAGCACTCTCAATCGCCGGGGCCGTGGGTCCTTGCCGTTGCCCTGGTTCCCTTCCACCCAGTCGCTGTGATCGACGGACCAGTTGTCCGGCTCCATCGCCCGGCTCCATCGGAGGCTCCATTGTTCAGCTCCATCCCGATCGCTTCGGCGCAACCTCCGAGTACTCGGCGGAGCGCGCCTACAAGGGCGAGACTGGCAACCTTGCATTGCCATACTTGGAACACGGCAGCTGAGCCCCTGGAACGTTATCCTACAAGTATCGCTCAACGGCCAGCCGCCTGCTTAATGGCAGGGTGTAACTCGGTAGGAACCAATTGAACAAACTTACATACGTCATCCATCGCTCAAACACACATTGCCCGCGTTGCTCGACAGTGGGAGGCGTGGGGAGAAAGACCGCTTTTTTTCCACCTCGGGAAACTCTCTGTGACACTGCCTTCGTGCGTGTGCCTGAACTACCACCATTTGTTCCTCCCGTTTCACACCGCAAAGTGTTGATCACGACTATCTCTGCCCGTTGGCTCGAGGCGCTTCCAGGGTCCATATATGCGACACCCCAGTCGCCTAGTTTCTTCCACGTTCGTTCTCCCAGCCTGAAGACAAGGCGTGGCTACCCGCTGTCATCGCCAACAATGGCCCCTTCCTTTTTAAACTTCAAGGAATTGCGAAAGAGGTCGAGGGCGAGCTTCAGAACCGAGCGGTCGACCGACGAATCGAGCGAAGCTGGGAACAACACCACTCCCACCAGCGGCTCATTGACACCCCCTTCGATTGGAGCACAGTCAGACCCAGCTTTGAATCTGCAACTCAAAGACCAACCGCTGCCTCCTCCAGATGCCGCTATCCCGAGGCCGCAGTCTCAGCTTTACGCCAATGGCGGCAATAATCGATATAGCGTCTCGGGCATGATCGGTTTGGGGTCCCCGGTCCCGGGCGGACGAGGACCGAGTTTGCCCGTTTCACAATACTCTCCTCGAATCACCAACGTGGCAGACAGTTCGTGGGTGAGAGTGACCCGGCCCCCCAGGTCTCTCAGATCGCGCCCCAGTACGTGGTTATTAACGGGCAGCAGGTATACCAAAAGGTTCTACTCATCCACGGCACCATTGGCGAACCATTTCACCAATCCCTAGACGGCACGGTTACCGTGAGCCGTCCCGACGACAGCTTCCCCCCAATATCATGGCCAGTGCACAACTCTTGCTTCAAGGCACTAGTGTACCTGATGCCTGGCGCCAACCGCTTGCGGTTTGACTTTTCTAGCCCAAAGCTTGCCAACAGCGGATCTTCCAACCCTATCCATTCCTCCCACCTAACAGTTCACATGATACCGCCTGTCGGCGCCCCTCCACTACAACTAGCGATCATGTTGGCAAAAGACTCCCCTGGCACCTTCGATGCCGTGCCAGCGCGGACGGAGAGGGAGGGGAATGGGCTGGAGACTGCAGTCCGCAAGTTCCGCATGTCTGCTTACCTATGGCAGGCGTTCACAGCTGAGCAGATGTCGCGCAACAAGCTTGGCCGGCGCGCTTTTAGGTTTGAAGAGGAATGGACCACGGGCGCGGCAAACCACCGAGACAGGGAGAACGGTTTCCTTCGATCCGAAGCACGGGTGCATATTATTCGGACTGAGAAGACGGTGGCTGAGCTTCGGAGTCTCAACCTGGCACAGCAAAACTCGAAGGCCGCAGACGCAGGGGGTCTTTACGGTATCACGGCAGATGCCGTGCGTGAATACTTCAAGCCACTCCCAGGCCAGAAGTTGTACGTGTCGGTTTTGCTCCTGGACGCGCACTGGGACACGCAAGCCAAAACTATCGTCGGACACGCCGCACTCGGGGGGCGGGCCGGCGATCTGCATCTGGGCATCTTTGGGTCGCACTGCCTCCAGAGCTACCCAACGTGCTTCGAGGAGATAGTGCCGGCCTTCACAGACTGTACGCCGACCGACACCAGCCACGTTGGCAACGACTGCAACGACGCCGGAAGCTCTTGGGAGGCAGCCAACATTGGGATCGGTGCCCATTTGCACGAGACAGGCCATCTCTTCGGCCTACCCCATCGAGAAAGTGGCGTCATGCTCAGAGACTATGTCACCCTCCACCGAACCTTCCTCACCCGTGAAGCGTATTCCACCCGAACTCACTCAAAAGGCGGCCCTGTCTCCCAAGGAGACGAGTGCACTTGGCATCGCCTTGACTGCCTTCACTTCCGCAGCCACCCCTGCTTCCGCCTTCCGAATGACCCTGTCTTGAACCCAGACGACAGCGTCCAGGGTTGGCCAACGGAGGGAGGCGCACTCACCGTAACGGCCGCCACGGGGGTAGCCTACGTCGAGCTGTATGGCGAAGGTGACGACGTATGCCACGCATGGATTGAGTACCAGCCCGAGAACGGCGGGTCAGTCCAACGGTCCATCTCCCTAAACGAGCAGGACTTGCGCGGGAGACTGCCAGAGGCGAAGAGGAAAGGCCGGTTGCGGGTCACAGTCAAGTCCTACGGGGGTGGCGTGCTGGAGGTGGATGACTTTAACAAGCTCTGTTCCAAGGAGGCCGCCTGCGTGCGAATGCCTAGCGCTATGCCCGGCTTGCCCAAGGCGGCGTTCAGGGGTAAAAAGTTGGGCTTGTCGCAGATGGAGGGGTCCGAGGGGCACGAGGTCGTGTTCACGAGCGCATTGAAGCAGGATCGGGTGCTGTCGAGGGTGTTAATTTACCATGGACTGGCCGTGGACGGGATGGAGTTTGTTTATGATGACGACTCGAGGCAGTTATTTGGGAAGAAGGGTGGAAAAGCGGGCGGGGACGTGTTTGATATGGGTACGCACCGTTGTCATGCTACCTGTGAGAGAGACCAGTTGCTGACCTGGGTGAACAGATATCCGGCGTGGCGAGTACATCACGGGCTTTTTCGTCCGCTCCGGCTTTTGGATTGACGGCATCCAAGTATTGACCAGCTTGGGCAGAAGGAGCCCGCTGTTTGGGAACGCGCATGGCGGGGACCCGTATGTTCCTCTTCCGTTGTCATTGGGATCTTCACTAACAGGTGTCCAGACACACCTTAATACCCCCGAGAGGCTACAACATATGCGGTGTCACAGGCAGCTGCGGCCCTTGGCTTGATGGTTTCTCCGTTATCATCACAAAATGAAGCGCGCTGTCTCAGAACGGCGGCAGGTAATACGTCTAATGTCATATTTGCATCCAATTGGGCACTATCGGAGATGGCTGGCGGCGCCGGGGGTGGTACTTCGTCCTACGGGCTCTTACTTGGGTTACTTATACCACGATGACGACAGACTTGCCACAGGATCTCGGTCACGAAAATGGGTGGTGCCTGCGGTGGCGTGCTGGTTTTTTTTTTGTTCTCGAGCATACAACCTAATAACTTTCGGCATGCATGGGGGACACCAAATGGGTAATGGGTTGGGGAGAATACACATACAGATACAGGGTGCCCGTTAAAAACATAAGAGAACTTCGGGCCGTTTAACTATACCTCTGTGACGCAGGGTCTGCCGCCAAGCGATACTGTCCTACTCCAACTGTCTCCCTTTGACATGTTCGCCACTCTTCGCTTGGTTCTAGCTCCTACACACCATCGCCCACTGATCGCACGATTCCCACGGTTCGGAGGCATTCTTAATTATGGGTGATGGCATTGACCTCGGGCCGTGTTGGGCCCAGTTGTATATTCTCGAGGAACGACTTGTAATAATTGCTCGACTCTCGCAGGAAGATTAAAAAAATAGTCATTCAAACCCACAGAAGGTGTCAGAGGATAAATGAGCCCAGCCACAGACTATCATGTCCCCCTAACTTAGACCGAGCCAAACGCCCGCTTTTTCCCTCCGCCAACTCCGAAATGCCAGTAACGGTGAAGCAAACAGATGCTCCTCCTCCCGAACGGTAAAACCGCGACCAAGGAGATCCCACAATGCCAACTGGGAGTCTGGGACTCGGGACTGCGTGAATACCGGTCCCAGACCACCTAGCAAAGCAACAAGCGACAAAAAGGGGTATGTTAAAGTGTTACAACCGATACCATCCCAACCGCAACTTCCCACTCGCTAGTAGTAATTATTCAGCTCTGACCCGCCGCCACCGGGACCACCGCCGCCGGAGTGGTTATTCCCCGGCCGACCAAACTGCTGCTGCTGCTGCTGGCCACCGCCGCCGCCGCCGCCGCCGCCGCCGCCGCCATAGAACCCCGGGTTCCCCGGATTCGAGGGCCCCTTGGGGATGTTCTGGTTCTGGAACCGGCCGTGCGGCTCGTCCTCGTACATCTGGGCGAACCCGCCCTGGCTGTCACGCCCACCGACGTCGTCCAGCGATTTGTAGTGGTGCCCGCCGCCGCCGTGTCCGCCACGGCCGCCGCGGCCCTTGGTGACGCCTCCGCGCTGGCCCTTGTTTCCGCGGTTCGCGCCGCCGCCGCCGCGGAAGTTGCCTCTCCCGGCGCCCCCGCGGCCACCACCACCACCACCGCCGCCACCGCCGCCACCGCCGGAAAAGTTACCCTGGTGGTGGAACTGTCGGTGCTGTTGCTGCTGCTGCGGTTGCTGCTGCTGGACAACGCCCGACGGCCGCGCGCGGAAGTCGTCTTGGGCAGCGGTGTGCTTCCGCTTGCCAAGCGCCCTGCCGGCGGGGCCGTGATGGGACGGGCCGTCGCTTTCGATGCGCAGAAGGATCTTCTCGCCCACTGTGGTCTCGAAGCGGAAGGCCTTGTCCGGCGTCACGGGTTGCCACTTTTGGATCTTACCTGCCTCGGCGTGGCGCGCGCCTTTGCGCAAGGCTAGCACGACGAGCGGGACCGGGTCGCCCGTGTGGAATTTGGCCGTGGCAGGCACGGGCTTGACGCACACCGCCCAGATGGAGTTCTCGAGGCTGGCTGTGCCAGTCACCTCCCAGGTCATCCTGTTCCCCATGCCGCCGACCTTTTCCAGGATGGCGGGTGGGCAGGGCCGAGGGCAAATCATGATGTTGTTAGCATGAAACTTGATGTCGCCTTCGGACACGTTCTGTGGAGTCTGCGCGAGAGTGAGTAGCCGTTGTGTGTCAGTGTTGTTGATCATGTATCCTGTGTAGAAGACTGTTTTTCTGATGGCGAAGCGTTCGCCTTTGCCGCCGCGCCGCCGCTTAGACAGAGTGGCGTTGTGGTCGGTGATGATTTGTTGTACTTCGGCCACCTCGACAATAGGGTCGAGGAACGTGGCCATGTCCACTACCTGGATGACCTCGCCATTGATGGTCCCTCGGCTTGCCGGGCCTTCCATCCCGTTCAGCTTCCTGATGTTGTACTCGTCCAAAAAGTCGCGGAAGGCTTTGACGTGCTTTATCCGGTCCTCGTAGATTCGAATCTCTTCAGCGTGCTTGTATGTCTCCATCAGCGCCTCCAGAAACAACTGCTTGAAGACCATGGTATTGGTGATGCGCTCGTTGTTGGGCCCAACGGTGGGCTTTAAGGAAATCAAGTCGAAGTCGAGGCCCTTGCTCTTCGCCATGCGCTTGATCAGTTCGCCAAAACCCGACTCAGAGCGCCCCGTGAGCAGGACGCAGAGCGCATCCTTCTGCTTGTTGCTCAAGTGAATCAGCTCGACAATTTTCTCGTTCCACCACCCGTCCCACGCGCGGGGCTCTTCCTTAGCAAGGCCTTCGCCTGTTGCAGCGAGGATGCGTGAATCGTGCCACCACCCGCCGTTGACAAAGGCATCGGGATTCGATAGCATTCCGATCGTCGGTCCGTTCCAGAGCTTGGGGTTCGGGAGAGGGGTCTTGAAGACTGTGGGCGTGGTACAAATGGGTCAGTTTACGCCAGAACCACACAGCCACCGAATTTTAGAAGGATCATACGCGTGTTGTCAAAATCATAGACGTGGATCGCTCTGATTCTATCGGCGGGCGGCAGCTGTTTGTCAAGGACTGACCATCTGCTCATTGCTGTCACGGTGCGCGCGCTGCCGGCATTGGCAGCGCCATTGTTGTACGCCGCGTATGCTGTTGAGCCCATGACTTGTCGTGCCCAGTTCCGGATGCGCGAGAACCAAGTTGCAAAAACCATCAAGAGGCCATCGCGACCGCGGACAACTTTAAGGCAGGTGCGCTCCGCGACACTGACAGGGGTGGCGGGAGCCAAGTGGACCCCACAAGTCAGGGAACCTTGAACCAATACGACGCTGCCGCTTTCTTACAACTCCCCGATTTTACAATTCCTAGCATTTTATGAATAACGGGGGATTAATCAGGACACCGATTTCAGGACACCGGAAGTTCGTCGCGGTGGTCGTTACATTATAGTTGAAGACGAGAAAGACGAAAAATAAAAGACGAAAAATAAAAGACGAAAAATAAAAGACGAAAAGTAAAAGACGAAAAGTAAAAGACGAAAAGTAAAAGACTAAAATAAAAGTAAAAGAAGAAAAAGACGAAAACGTGAAGAAGTAACTCAGGTAGCGCCGAAAACATATTAACTTTGTGAAGGTGAATGACTGAGTGCGCGTTTAGACTTGAGAGTTGAGAGAGGTTGTATATCACCCAAATACGGAGATTTCATCCCATAATTGAACTGACCGATACGCTGGGTAAGCTGCTACCTAGTTTCCTTTCGGAAACTCTGGAATCAAAAGCCTCTGCTCGAGGGACATGAAAGAAACAAGAGCAACTTTTCCATCTCCTACCCCCTGACGCCATATGCCTAACCTGCCACCCGAACGCCTTTGCCATACGAATCCACCTCTAGATGTCTCATGACGGGAGCCACATGCCCGTCTTTCTGGTGATAGTGCGCTCACGACATTTCGATCTCCTGAGATTTTGTCTTCTCAGGGCCGTTGTCCGTCCTGTAGTTCACGGCAGCAGCCGCCTCCTCGTGGGTGTAAGGCCCCTCACGCAACTGCTTGAGCCTGTGATGATGAGTTAGAAGAGTCACAGTAACCAAGATGTGGTGGTATACGGACCTCCTCTTGTGAGGCTTGCCCTTCCTGTGAAGAACCAGACTCGAGTCGGTCTCGAACCACTTGGCGCATTCGACGCAATAATTGCGGCCAAACCCGGGCAGATCCTCGGCCGCCTTGGTCTCCTTGTAGAGCTGGAGGTGCCTTGGGGACGTGAGGTCGGCCTTGATCTGGTCAACATCACTGGAAAGCGGCGTCAGTCTCATGTTGCAAAATCTGATAAGGTCCGTGCATCGGAACTCACCGAAGCCGTCTCCGTGTTTTTGTCAGTGTTCGCTTTGCAAAAACCCCCATGGTTACTGTAAGATGATCCGGCTCCTGGATTTCAAAACTTTGATTGAAGGAGCTCAGCCGGGATACTCTGAATCTCCTTTGGTGGTGGTGTTGAGTGTGGTGGTCGCTGCTTTTAGTGGGGTAAATTTTCCGCCAGCAATTTTTGGTCCCTCCTGTCACGGCCGGCGGCCAGCCCGAACACCTACAATTGGAAGGCCGAAGTTTATGCGAGGGCCTCGCACATGTGAACGCACAAGCAGAATTACAGCTGCAGGACCGATATCAACCATCAAATTTTTGGGCAGCTCGGTTTTACCATCCCATCTCGCCGACATCCTCACCAGCTGCTCATGTTTGTCGCCGGAGGAAGGCCACCGTTCAACGGCCAGTCTGAGCCGGAGGTACGTCGTTATCGCCCTCGGATCTCCAGTTCCGACCGAGCTTCAAGGCGCCGAGCCGGGGCCCTGCCGAGATACGGCCCCACTCCAGGGGTCTCCAGGCCAGCAGAAATTTCCAGGTTCCTTGTGTCCGATGCTTCACGAACGGGTCGAGGACCCGCAGTGGTTCTCCAAGTCAGACGGATCCGTCTCGGATGCGATCGAGAACCGACTTCAACACCACGCGGGATGGTGAGAATTGAGGCGGCTCGGAGATGTAGGCCGGGTTCGCCGCCGGCTTGGAGTTTTTCAACAGTTGAATCCGAGATTCGTAGCGATCGTCAACCAGTTGCGTCACAATTCAGCCCTGCAGGTTGCGCGTGGTTCGACTCCTCCAATATGCACAACGGCCTGGCACACTAACCCCGCGGTGTGAACGCATGTCCCACATATGCTATCTGGTTGGTGATGTCAATCATCGAACGCATCACGCCAGGAGGCCAGCAACTTTTCCGATGCTGGTGACGGTTGGCCTCCTGAATCGCCATGACGGCTTTCCAACATTTGCGAGATACCTAAATATAGTGTATAGTGAGCCATGCACGTCGGGCAAAAAAAAGCCGGACTCCAAGGGGAGGTGTCGACCAACGTCGACTGTAGGAACGAAAGGAAAACTATCCAAAAGCCCAAAGAGTCTGAACTACCTTAGTTTTACTTTTCATTTTACTCGATACATTTTTAGTTCATTTATTTTCCCGAGTTCTTTCACTTAATTCTTCTTGCTTGGTTTCTTGTCTCCTTTGGAGTTCGGCTTTTTTTGGCTAGAGGGTGCCATGGAGAGTTGAAGCTCATCAAGCCGGTTTCCAGACGAATTGGCACCCCATGTGCTTGAAACGGCTTGGTGGGATGCAACGTGGGAGTTGCCGGCGGCAAACGAGGAGCAAGGGAATATTTCGAGGGAGATTTGTGTGCCAAATTCATCATATCTTTCCCAACCTCTGTAAAGACCGATGAAGACAGAACATTTTAGATAACTAGGCACGCGTCAGTCCCCATCTCTCAACGTTTGTTTGCCTAGAGTGTTTGGCACCGCTGGGGCTTGGGAGGCACATGAAGCACATGCCATCAGCAACCGACATCCCACCCCGGCCAGACTCTCATACCCTCAGGGTATCCAGCCCCGCGCTAAAACCCTTGTGTCGCATGCCGTGGGAGAAAAGACGCAAAACCACATCAGACCCTCCCCCATTCTCAAAGAAGGCCAGCAGCTCGGTGGACACCAAAGAGGGAACCAGTGCTGCCTCGGCTCTTCGTGCCTCTCGGGCCTATCGCGATATACCCCTGTCTGCATTGTCTGAGAACCAACAAACCCACCTCAGACGTACTGTGTAGCTGCTGGGCATGGACAAGCCAAGGGGTCCGATTAGCAAAGCTTTAACATTGCTTGACGCAGAGTCCCCGGGCTGCTTGCTGACGAACGACGGGTATACCGGATCGAGGCGGCCTCGGCAGCCAGGCGCGCAGGTGAGAGAGAGGCTGAGGTGAGGAGAGACATGGAAACGCTGCGCAGTTGCGGCTTTGATCGGGAATGCGACGTTCGAACGGAAGCCATTGAAACAGGCTAGCCTGATTCGGGCTGGCAGCGATGTCATGGTTTGCAACCCAGGTCTCCCCCACAATGCGGGCAGAATATAATCGGCGACTCTCTGATTGGCCAGTCGGCCGTCTCCATCCGGGCGAGGTACTTTCTCGGCTATGACGGTGGCAGGAAGCTCGCAAGCAACAGGTGCCCGGCCTCTCGTTGCCACTGTGATGTAAAATCCCGCCTGCCACTCCTCCAAACTTCAAAACTCTCCACCTTTTTTCCCTTTCCTTTTTCCCCTCGTAGCAGTCACCCGTCTGCAAACTTCACAGTCATCCTTTCCTCGTTGTTGTTGCGAGGCTGTTTGGGTGACAATTCTCCCCTCTAATTGACTTGCTGTTTGTGCTCGTGCCGAGTTGAACCGTCACGACGACCACCACCACCACCATGTTGGCTTCTCGTCAGCTCCTGGGCGTTGCCCGGAGCCGCGCTGTCGGTAGCGCGAGCCTAGGCCTCCGGCGCATGGCGACCGTGTCCGACTCTCCCCTGGACAAGAAGGTGGGTTTCCAATTGGTGACATGGAGGGGTACTCGCGCAACGGTTGGCTGATCGTGTGCTTGGTTTCTGTATTCTAGGTCCGGCAAAACAACTGGGAGGAGGGCAATTTCATCAACTACAAGAAGATGTCAGAGAACCTCTCGATCGTGAGGTCAAGGCTGAACAACCGCCCCCTCACCTTCGCCGAGAAGATCCTCTACTCCCACTTGGACGACCCGCACGGCCAAGACATCGAGCGCGGGGTCTCCTACCTCAAGCTGCGGCCGGATCGCGTCGCCTGCCAGGATGCCACCGCCCAGATGGCCATTCTGCAGTTTATCAGTGCTGGCCTGCCCCAGGTTGCCAACCCCACCACTGTGCACTGTGACCACTTGATCGAGGCCCAGATCGGCGGTGCCAAGGATCTCGAGCGCGCTGTGGGCATCAACAAGGAGGTCTACGACTTCCTCGCCAGCGCCTGCGCCAAGTACAACATCGGTTTCTGGAAGCCCGGCTCTGGTATCATTCACCAGATCCTGCTCGAGAACTACGCTTTCCCCGGTGGTCTTCTTATCGGCAGTATGTTCAACCCCAGACTCCTTAACCCCGGCAGGAATAGAAGGGCCAAGGCTGACATTATCTAGCTGATTCCCACACCGTAAACGGAGGTGGCCTCGGCATGGCTGCCATTGGCGTGGGCGGGTAAGTTTTGCTGAGCTCCTCCTCGACCTTCTTGGAACCGACTAACATTGACGATTAGTGCCGACGCCGTGGACGTCATGGCCAACCTCCCCTGGGAGCTCAAGGCCCCCAAGGTTATTGGTGTCAAGCTGACCGGGCAAATGTCCGGCTGGACTGCCCCCAAGGATATCATTCTTAAGGTCGCCGGTATTCTCACTGTCAAGGGTGGTACTGGCGCCATCGTTGAGTACCACGGCCCTGGTGTTGACAGCATCTCTGCCACTGGCATGGGTAAGTCCTATTGGCGCCTTGACGCATTTTCCTACCCCCAGCGAAGCTAAAGAACGGAGGAAGAAGGGGGGAGGGGGGTGGAATGGGCGGGATGGCAAGGCATTGGGCTTGAGGGTGGAAAGTCAAAACATGCTAACATGCTCATTTTAAAGCTACCGTCGCGAACATGGGCGCCGAGATCGGCGCGACGACCTCAGTTTTCCCCTTCAACGACCGCATGTACGACTACCTGGCCGCGACCAAGCGCAAGGAGATCGGCGACTTCGCCCGCTCCTACGCCAAGGAGTTGCGCGAGGATGAAGGTGCCGAGTACGACCAGCTCATCGAAATCAACCTCTCTGAGCTCGAGCCCCACATCAACGGCCCCTTCACCCCCGATCTTGCGACCCCGATCTCCAAGTTCACCGAGGCCGTCAAGACCAACGGATGGCCCGAGGAGTTGAAGGTCGGCCTGATCGGCTCGTGCACCAACTCTTCATACGAGGACATGTCGCGCGCTTCCGCGATCGCTCGTGATGCGCTCAACCATGGTCTCAAGACCAAGTCGGAGTTCTTCGTCACCCCGTAAGTGCCTTTACCAATTTCTGGAACGACAACCGGCTGACACGTTGTGCAGGGGTTCTGAGCAGATTCGTGCGACCATTGCGCGCGATGGCCAGCTCAAGACGTTCGAGGAATTTGGTGGTGTCGTCCTGGCCAACGCCTGCGGCCCTTGCATCGGCCAATGGGACCGCCGCGACGTCAAGAAGGGCGAAGCCAACTCCATCATCTCGTCGTACAACCGCAACTTCACCGGCCGCAACGATGGCAACCCTGCTACCCACTCTTTCGTCACCTCCCCTGACCTGGTCGTAGCTATGTCGATTGCTGGCACTCTCAGCTTCAACCCCCTGACCGACAAGCTCAAGGACAAGGACGGCAACGAGTTCATGCTCGCCGCTCCTACCGGTGCTTCTCTGCCTGCCAACGGCTACGACCCCGGCCAGGATACCTACCAGGCCCCCCCCAAGGACCGCAATGTCGTCAGCGTCCAGGTCTCGCCGAGCTCTGACCGTCTGCAGATCCTCTCCCCCTTCAGCGCCTGGGACGGCAAGGACGCGACAGACTGCCAGATCCTGATCAAGGCCCATGGCAAGACCACGACTGATCACATTTCGATGGCTGGCCCCTGGTTGAAGTACCGTGGTCACCTCGACAACATCAGCAACAACTTGCTGATCGGTGCCATCAACGCCGCCAACGGCGAGGCCAACAAGGTCAAGAACCAGACTACCGGCGCCTTCGACGCCGTCCCGGCTGTTGCCCGTGACTACAAGTCCAAGGGCATCAAGTGGGTTGTTGTAGGAGACTGGAACTACGGCGAGGGCTCTTCTCGTGAGCACGCCGCTCTGGAGCCCCGTCACCTCGGCGGTCTCGCCATCATCACCCGGTCGTTCGCCCGTATCCACGAGACCAACCTGAAGAAGCAGGGTATGCTTCCCCTTACCTTCTCGGACCCCGCAGACTACGACAAGATCCAGCCCGACGACAAAATCGACATCCTCTGCACTGAGCTCGCCGTCGGCAAGCCCATCACCATGCGCGTGCACCCCAACAACGGCTCGGCGTTCGACATCAAGTTGTCGCACACCTTCAACGAGGGCCAGCTCGAGTGGTTCAAGAACGGCAGCGCGCTGAACACCATGGCTAAGAACGCCAAGAAATAAAACATATACCAGAGTAGATTGTGACGCAAGGAGCCGGAGGATGGAAGACGTAGCGGCATACAGGGATTTGTGGGTTGGCGGGTTCAGGGGATCACCGGAATTGGCGTAATCCGCAGCACTGTTTCTCATTTGTATGTATAGTCATGGGCCTTGCATTTGAATGTATTGTTTGTGAAGAACCTGTCTCAACGTTCTGCTATAGGCTGTGAGCTGTGGGCTGCGTGCAGTCTGTCAGGGCATGTCACTCGGTAGTTATGACATCACATAGGAACGAAGATATGATACCATTGTTGCGTATATTGTATATATGCATAAAGTTCACATGCCATTGTCCGCGGGGTCACTCTTGCTCCCCCTGCGAAACGTATGCAGTAACCGGGACTTCTAGATCCTCCACACAACTTTTCCGCGGGCGACCCGATAAGGCAAGCGTAGGGTAACGGCGTTGTGGATGCTGTTGGTTGAACTTTGCAGTCGCATGTCAGCTCAGTCAACGACTTTTTACTTTTTTAACTTCTGCGTTGGAGCGGGAATGCCTCTGCGCGACCCGATTTTTGACTTCTATACCCTTTGATGCGTTCTTTCCCTCCCACTGACGAATTGACGATCGAGACGAATGAGATACGTTAGTTATGCTATCGTAGTCCACGCGAAGAGCCTCCCTACCTACCCCTTGCCGTTTTGCCGAGCGGGCCGGCCAGGCCGAGTCCTCGCGTTCCCGATCCGCCTCCGACGCGTTTTTCTACCTGGTACCACGGGAAGCCTGGGAGTTAGCATCGAAGGAAAAGGACACTGGGAAACAAGGGGCTGGAAACACAGAGAGTCAAGATGCCGAACAACCCGACGCACATGCTCAAGCTCGGCTTGCAGCGGATCACAGCCTACATCGACAAGCTGCCGATTTTTACGAAGGCTATAATGAGTTTGATGATCGTCCTTGAAGCTGCCAGCCTTTTGCCGTGGTGGAATATTAAGGCTTGGGGTTGGCTAGAGCCGGATCTTATCAACCTGTCGACATGTGGGTTCCTGCCATCCCCTCGCCTCGCCCCGACGCCCTCGCAATGACGGCATGGCCTGGGTCTGGGAAAGAAGACGAAGCTGACTCTAGTCGGTGGGCAGTGTATCGAACCAATACCTTCCCGCTCATCCACAGGAACGTGTTTCACCTCGCCATTAATTTCTTGGGCGTCGTCCCGCTTCTGGAGCGATTCGAGATGGAACATGGCTCGCTCCCGTCGGTAGCGCTGTTCTTTGGTCGTGAGTGACGGCGCTGTCCCCGGATCGGTTGAGGGACGGAATGGCTGACGGGGCCGCTTTAGCATTATCGACGATACCTGCGCTGATATATGTCCTGATTGAGCGGGTTTTGCTGCGGGCCAACACCCCAATCATGGGTTCCAGGTGAGCAACACTGCAAGAGGGGATCGACTGTGTTTGGCTGGACGAGTTACCGTGTGCTAACTAACGACTGGGTGTGCCTACAGTATCTGGGGTTTCCTTCTATACGGAGCCGAAGCCATCCGCGCGAATAAGACCGCGCCGTACTTGGTCATCAGGGGACAGCCTACCATACCCACCTGGACGGCACCAATTGCTGTGCTGCTGGTTGCCATACTAGTGACACCCGGTTCTAGCGCCCTTGGGCACGCTTGCGGATTGGGCGTGGGCTATGTTTGTATGCAGCCATTTTTTATTCTTTTTTCCCCTCCTCGAGGCAACGCAGACGCTAACAGACGGCCACATTTAGTCGGGTTGGGATACCTCAAATTCCTCGTACCGCCGGATAAAGTTATGCGGTTTATCGAAACGAGGCTCAAACTGCGGTCATGGTCTTCATACTACGTGAGCGTGGACCAGAAGACCTATGGCCGGGAGGGCGTGATCCCATTGACTACCTTGGTTCCGGTTGTTGGCCCTGGCTTGACGGGTAGCAACCAGAGGTTGGGGCCGACACCCGTGTAACGGGTGCCCCGTCAGTGCTTGGAATATTGATGAGTGACGCATGTATGTAATTAGACGGGGTAGCGGTTTGGGTTACGGGTATGTGTTGTAATGGCGACTTTAGTTCTGCTTCGTTATTTGCGACCTTCAGCTTCAAGTTCTCGAATTGCTGTTATCCGTTTATGTACAATACCCCTCCACAGTTCATAAAGGGGCTTTCGCCAGTTATGCGCTTGACCAGAAACGGCTAGCTCTCCCGCGTCTTGTGCATTTACCAACGCGCCACGAGTCCCTGGCACTCAAGTTATCGCGTGCGCCTTCCCCTGACGATTAGCTCATCCGCTTAGAACAGCCCATACAGCTGGTGTTCCCCAAGTTGCACGACTCGCAGCGCTCAAGCGTTCCCGGGACTGCAACAAAGATGCCGCGATTACTAGGTAAGCATCTTTCCAATTCAATTTCCGCAGTATTGGAGAAAAATAACTAATGTGATGGCAGCCAGCGCATTGCAGCTGCGGCGCGATCCGCGCATCCTGAAGCTCCCGCCCTACGTGTCGCTGCTCTGCATACTCGTCGGTGTCGCCTGGCTCTTCCTGCTTCCTCTCGACCGGTACTCGCGCAAGACGTACATATCCGAAAATGCCCTCCTTCCCGGCCAGGTGCACACATATTTCGGCGGCAGTGACCAGAACGTGTTCCGAGCGTATAAGCACGAGGTGAACGAGCTGGTGGGCAAGAGCAATATTGAAATCAACGACAAGCTCGAACCTATTGTCAAGGGCCTTGGCCTGAAGACGGCTCGGCAAAACTTCACATACCACGCCGCTGGGCACACCTTTGCGGGTGAGAACCTTTATGCCATCCTACAGGCACCGCGGGGTGATGCTACCGAGGCCATCGTTCTGGTGGCCGCATGGGAAAATGTCAGGCACGAGATCAACAAAAACGGAATACCCCTCGCCCTGACGCTGCTGCGTTATTTCAAGCGCTGGTCGCTGTGGTCAAAGGACATCATCCTGGTGCTCACACCAGACAGCATTGCCGGCCCGCAGGCGTGGGTCGATGCCTACCATGACGCCCACGATCCCTCCCACGTCTCCAGCCTGCCGCTCAAGTCCGGGTTATTACAGGGTGCCATTGCTCTCGACTACGCCCAGGAGGGTCGCTTCGAAAGCGTGCACGTTGTATATGATGGCGTCAACGGCCAGCTGCCGAATTTGGATTTGATCAACTCGATTGTCAATATCGCCGGCGGCCAGATGGGTATCAACATCGCGTTACAGGAGATGTGGCGCCATAAGGGCGGATACCCGGACCGGCTGCGCACCATGCTGCGCGGCATGCTGAAGCAGGGCCTCGGTCTCGCCAGCGGCGCCCACAGCAGCTTCATCCCCTACCACGTCGACGCCGTGACACTACAACCGTTCGGTGAGGGCTGGCAAGACGAGATGGCTATGGGCCGCGTAGTCGAGGGCTCCTTTCGCAGTCTCAACAACTTGCTTGAACATCTGCACCAGAGCTTCTTCTTCTATCTGCTCATGCGGACCGAACGCTTCGTCAGCATCGGCACTTACCTGCCCAGCGCGATGCTGGTTGCCGCCAACTTCACAATCATGGCTATTGCGCTGTGGGTAAAGAGCGGCCAGCCGCCAGCGGGCGCGACACCGCCAAAGAACAAGACCGAAACACCCGACACCACAACCGCCCCTACCGCCGCCGAGCGCGACTTGTTTCTCCCGCTCGGCGTCGTAACCCTCATCCAATCACTCTCCGTAATCCCCCTCTATCTCTTCAACCACGCCCCAGAAAGCGTAAGCCCTGCCACCCACCCAACCCCTTCCCAAACAAACCCCGCTAACCAGCTCCAGGCCCTCACCCCTCTCTTCGCAACCTTCGCCGTCCTCAACACCCTCCTCCCGCCAGCCCTCTCCCACCTCCTCACCACCCTCCCCGCCACACCCACCACACCGCACCAGTACAACCTGATCAAGTCCTTCTCGCTCCTGCTGCTGGGCATGTTCCTGTCGACGCTCGCGACGCTCAACTTCTCGCTGGCCATGATCACGGGCCTGCTGGCCGCCCCGCTGTCCTTCGTCCGCCCCTGCCGGTCCGCCGCCGCCAAGGCCGCCGCGTCCGCGCTGCTGACCGCCGTCAGCCCGGCCGTCGTGCTGCTCGCGGCCGCCCTGTACTGGGGCGTCGACGTCACGACCGTGCTGCGCGAGGCCTCGGTCGCCTGGCACGTCTGCGGCACCTACTCGCCCGTCGTGGTGTGGTGTGTCTGGTGGCCCGCGTGGGTTGCCGGGAGTGTTGTTGTTCTTGGGGGGAGGCGGGAGGAGGCGGTCAAGGAGAAGACTACGTGAGTTGTGTTGTGTTGTGTTGTGGGGGGATGGGGGGTGTTGAATGGATGGGATGAGAGGAAAGTGGGTTTTTGGAGGGAGGAATGTTTTAAAAGGGGATGAGATACCCATACAGAGAGCATAGCGTTAAAACACACACAGAGACGAGTACCGAATTACGATGGGCGGTCTTAGCACGCCTCATGGTTTGTCATTTAGACGTGGCGAGTCTATCATCATACAAGGCATGTCATCATGTATGTGTCCGTGGCCGTAATATTTTGTCCCATTCTCACCCCTCCCCTATCTATGCCGCCCACACGTCCTGCCCCACGGTCTCGATCCAGTTGCCCAGCTGGTTGACGCTCGAGTCCCACTCCTTTAGCCGCCCGCGCATGTTTTCGATCTGCTTCATGTCCAGCACCTTGGGCTGCACCCAGTTGATGTGCGCCACCTCGTCGACCTGGTCGATGGTGCCGCGCAGCAGGCCCAGGCTGAGCGCCTTCATGATCAGGTGCTCGATCTCGTCGGGCCGCACCTTGGTCTCGGCCGCGATGGTGGCAAAGGTCATGGCGCGGTCGTGCGGCGGGCGCCGGAACACGGCCTCGGTCAGCGCCGCCAGGTAAATCTTCTCGCGCAGCTGCCGCGCGTGCTGGGCCAGGAGCGCGTTCGACTTGATGTGGTTCGCCAGCACGTCGTATGCCGCCAGGTCGCCGCGGTTGAACGCGAAGAGCAGCTCGCGCAGCCACTTGTCTTCCTCGCGCTCCGAGAGTGCGTCCAGGATCGGGTGCAGCAGCAGCTCGCCGAAGTTGTAGATGCTGCTGCTGACCAGCGCGGCGATCGACAGGTCGTACGCGCGGCTGCGCCGCTCGGCGGGGGAGAGGGACTTGATGTCGATGCAGGCGAGGTAGAGGAGCGCGTTGCGGTAGTAGGAGCCGAAGTCGGCCTTGGCTTGGTAGTAGTCGGCGTTGGCGCCGTAGAAGGCCGCGTGCACGATCGTCTCGACCGAGTCGAAGCTCTCGAGGACCCGCTCTGCCCGGTCCAAGTCTTTCCTCGCGCCGTCGAGGTCCTCGAGGTCGAGCCTCACGCGGGCCACCGCAATCGTGGCGAACACCAGGGCGTCCTGTGACTCTTCGTTGTCCACCTTCTTGACGACCGCTTCCATGAAGGAGAGCCGCTCCTGGTTGTCTGTTTGTGTGCTTGGGTCAGAAAACGCCTTGCGACGTCCCGCAGCAGGACCGCATACCTCTACATTGTGTGGCCGCCTTCAACGCAAGGTCGACGAGCTTGAGTTGGTTGATTTTATCAGCAAACTTGAGGACGAAGACCTTGTAGAACTGTAAGCGCTGCGGTGCGCTGCCCGGGTTGTTGAAGAACTCGATCAGTTGGTTGGTGAGCTGATGCCATAGCTTGCGTTCCCATAGTGTCTCAAACTCGAGAATGAGGGGTTGCAGCTCATCGGGGGCGCTGTCCCGCTGCTCGCCGAGGAAGTCGGAGATGGTGTCGACGTTCATGTTCGACCACCGATGACTGGGAAATTCGTGGGAGGGGTTCGGAGTGGGGGTTGGATATTTCCGCAGCTTTGACTCAGGCCGTTCGTTTTTGAAGTCGAGTGTCTGGGTGGTGGTGACAAACGCTGGGTATCTGGTGGGAATCGTGGGGCTGATGATGTTGGGAGTTGGCGGTAGTGGAAGGCACGAGCTGCAGCCCGCCCGCCATCCTCCCACTTGACGCGGCAGGGAGCAGCCTATTGGTAACGGTACGTACCTTGGCTATGTGGTCCGTGCTTCAAGCTGCCTTGCGGATGTTATTGCCTCTTATTGGCCAATCACCCAGACGTTTTATCCTGCCTGGACGGGTTCGTGTGGGTCGGAGCTTGGAGCCGGCGGGCAGCATCGATTGCTTGGGCGAATTGCATGAAGCTCGTCGCCTCAGTTGTCAACGTCAATTGACTGCGACGCCGCCCACCTTGGGATTCCACATCCACCACCAGCCACCATGGCCTCCCTGCCGACTCTCGTGCGGGCGACGGCCCCCAAGATTGCGAGAAGCGCACTGCAGCGCCGGGCCATTCATTCCGACGTGCACATCACGCGCACCGGCAAGCCTATTCTCCGGACCGCCGGCGGCCGGTTCGTGGCTTCCTTTCCTTGTCCGGAACCTCGCTGACGGAACCCGCCTCCAGCTCCTCCCTCGGTGGGCACACCGCTACCGTCTTCGGCGCCACCGGCCAGCTCGGTCGTTACATCGTCAACCGGCTAGGTTCGACCACCCGCCCCGAGGCAATTTCACCCCTCAACTAACTAGAGATACCGCAGCGAGACAAGGATGCACCGTCGTTGTGCCGTATCGGGAGGAGATGGCCAAGCGCCATCTCAAGGTGACCGGCGATTTGGGCCGTGTTGTGTTCATGGTGAGGGACCCGGAGCCGCAGAGGGGAAGGCCAATCGCTGAATGAAAGCCAGGAATACGACCTCCATAACACCCAGTCGATCGAGGAGAGCGTGAGGCACTCGGACGTCGTCTACAACTTGATCGGCCGAAACTATCCCACCAAGTGAGTGCAGCGTGCTGGGGTAGCAAGCGCAAACGGAAGGGCTGACGGAACTAGGAACTTCTCCCTCGCGGACGTGCACATCGAGGGTACCGAGCGCATCGCAGAAGCCGTTGCTAAGTACAACGTTGACCGGTTCATCCATGTCTCGTCGTACAATGCCAACCCCCAGTCGGCTTCCGAGTTCTATGCGACCAAGGTAACGACTTACTTCTTCGGTCTTATTGAAGTACCAGCCGCGATTCTGACCCCGCCTACAGGGCTACGGTGAGAAGATGGCGCGGGATATCTTCCCCGAAACCACGATTGTCAGGCCGGCCCCGATGTTCGGCTTTGAGGACAAGCTGCTGCTCAGGCTGGCCAGCATCACGAACCTTTTCACGGCAAACAACATGCAGGAGACGTACTGGCCCGTGCACGTACGTATACAACAGTCAAACATGCATGCCGACCGATTTCTAACGGGCTGCAGGTCATCGACGTCGGGGAGGCGCTGGAGAAGATAATGTTTGACGACAACACGGCGTCCCAGACCTTCGAGCTGTATGGCCCGCGGCAATACTCGACCGCCGAGATTGCCGAGTTGGTCGACCGCGAAATCTACAAGAAGCGCCGACATATCAACATGCCCAAGGCGCTCCTGAAGCCGGCGGCGGGGTTGTTGAACCGCTTCATCTGGTGGGATATCATGTCCGCCGACGAGGTTGAGCGCGAGTTCCACGATCAAGTCATCGACGAGACGGCCAAAACGTTCAAGGACCTCGGCATGGAGCCCAGCGACATCAGCAAGTGGACTTATCATTATCTGGTACGTCACCTTTACTACTATTGTGCATCGCATGTGGCTGACCCCCCACACAGAAGGGCTTCCGTTCGTCGGCATACTACGATCTGCCGCCCGCGACCGAGAGGGAAATGCGGGAGGAGAAGAAGTACATCCACGTGCTTGACGACCAGTAAAAAGGGGCAGCTGGGCGGGTTAAGGTCGAGGCGGCAGGCTGAACACCGTAGAGTGTATATACACGTCGTAACTAGACGTTATTCCCTTTAGTTCGAGAGTCCATGAGAATGGTTTGAAAGTCGCGCGCACGTCGTCGTGGTTGCGGCCGCCTTGTCTTCCCGAGTGTGCACGAGCTTTCTGCTTATTCCTGGCGCCTTCATCGGTGAGAAGACCTGCGTCATGGCGAAAACAGTCATAGAGAAGGCCATGCCGTAATGGAATCTGCAAAATCCAGCCCAATTTGCAACCCAAATGCAAATGGTTTGTCGAATCCCCCACTCAAATTAAAACTCTGTTTCTTGGCCCCCCTCACAGAAATGCCAACTTCGCCATCTCCATCTTCAACCCCAGCAGCCGCCAAGGCAGAGTTAGATTCGTCCAAAATGACCATGAATGAAAGTGACGACGACGGCCTGTAAGTTGCACTCTCGACAGAACGAAACGACGATACTAATTAATCCACGCAGAGCGCTCCCCGCTTCCACCCTCGATGCCCTGAAAGAGTTCTACGCCGAGCGCGATGCCCGCGCAGACGAGTTCAACAAACTCAAGGTGCAGGCCGAGGCGATCCACGCAGCCATCGATAAGGATGAAATGAAGCCTTTGTCCATGGATGCGTTCACGGAGGACTGGAATGAGAGTCAGTTCTGGGTACGGTTCCTACGATCCAAGCCTTCCCCGTTTGCTTACCCCGTCCATCCAACTTTCATCGGGGAAGGGGGCCGGGATGGTATTAATTGATGATTGATACAGTATGCTGATGAAACCGCCGAGCTGTACACGAAGCTCATGCTCGAGGGAGCCACGTCGGACATGACGGTGGCGGTTGTCTCGACGCCGAGTGTGTTTGTGGCACTAAAGAATGCCTTGGTACGTTGCTGTTTCCCCGATGCCTTCCAAGGAGGACGGGATTGCTGACGGCCACGGACAGAACGCTGCTCCTCCAGAACAGCCCAAGCCCAAGCTCATCCTGCTCGAGCACGACAAGCGCTTCAACGTCTTCCCGGAATTCGTCTACTACGACTTTGCCCAGCCGCTGAAGTTGCCAGGTTTGTCGCCCTCTTGCTTTCCCTGCCACGCTCGACTCGGCCAGAATGTTATACTAATCATCCGCTGCCCAAAAGACCACCTCAAAGGTACCTGCGACCGCATCATCTGCGACCCGCCATTCCTGAGCGAAGATTGCCAGACCAAAGGTACCTACCTATTATCCCCATTATATCCCCCCCCTTTCCCCACCGTCAACCCCCAAGATCAAGAAGCCGAATCGCTAACCCTCAACCCCGTAACTACCCAGCGGCGCTCACAGTCCGGTGGCTCGCACGGCCGCTCTCACCCGACACCGAGCAGCAGCAGCCGCGGCTGATCGTGTGCACGGGCGAGCGGATGAAGGACCTGGTGACGCGGGTGTACCGGGCGTTTGGGCTGCGCACGACCGACTACGATCCCGTGCACGCGCGGCAGCTGGGCAACGAGTTCTACTGCTATGCCAACTTCGAGTCGCCCAGCTGGCGATGGCGGGAGGGGGCATAGAGGGGCTGTGAGCCTCTGCGTTCGCAACGGGCCTGTTTAGGGGGGGGGGGGCGGGACTAGATTGGATTTTACAGGATTATTCATAGACAAATAAATAAATAAAAAAGAAGATCTAATACATTACTTTGATGGCTGGTTGTTGAATGAATGGATTCAATCGAATTGATGGACCTGGCTGAGAAAAGGGGCGCCTGTTAGGGTTGGAATTATATATAGCGGAAGGCGTCGGCGCACTTCAAAACTACGAGTCCCAAACGGCAGTCTCTTTTTCAGAATAATAATAGGTAGTGTGCTATTATATAAAAATTGATATCACATTGAAATGGCCCCTTTTAAACACCAGAACTTTGCACCTAGAATTGTCACAAATAACATTTTCGAGCTGGAAAATCTCGACTCTGCCTGCTGCAGTAAAGGTTGTCCCATGCTTTCCCAAGCCAAACCAAACCTCCCTCGACGCCATAACACCTCAAGTTTCTATCGAGTGGTAGAAACAAACCCCGTGCGCGGCATGACCCTATGCTATGCGCCGGGCAAGAAATGAAAACCACCCGGGATCTATTAAATTACAAAAGCAGCCCCCAAGAAGGAAAAGACCCAACCGGAACGCCTGGCCAGCAGCATGCCCCCTCTCTCGCCTGCCGTCTCACGCTGGGCTCACGACAAGGACCGCACGACGTAAAAGAGCAGATACGGCTTGGCGTTGAGTACGTCCGACTTCTGCGCCAGCTCTACGCGGTGGTCGTTGAAGGCAAACCACTGTCCCATTTGTTGGCCTCTTGGTTCGACAGAGATGGGGATATCATCGGGGTCGGGAGGGGAGATGGAGGAGGACGGCGGATCAGGGGCAGTAGGGCGGGTACTCACTTGGTCGCCGACCCGGCAGTACGACACGTAGTGGCCCGTGTCGATCTCGCCGACGTGCACGACCACGCTGACCAGGTCGTACGTGCAGGAGCGGGCGAGCTCGTAGTTCTCCTTGCCGGCATCCGGGCCGCCGCCGGAGCGGCCGCGGTTGGTGTACGGTAGCATGTTGAGCTCGAGCGGGAACTGCACGGGCGTGTCGATCTTTGCGGCCCGCTCGTTGCGGCCCTGCTTATACTCGAACCGCTGCGTGACGGTTAGCTTCTTTCATCCATCTCCAAAAGGGTGTCGGCGGAGGCCTGTTTTACCTTGAGCTGGATCGACAAGACATTAGGTAACCGCTTGATGCTGGTCTGCCGGCGGGCTTGCTGCATCGAGCTGCAGTTGTGGCAGCGGTATTCACACTTGTCCGACTTGATGTACTCCTCGTCGAGACATTCCTGCAGTGTCAGCAACCCTCTTGACGCGGACTTCTTGCCCTTCTTGTGTGATAGGTTCTCCAGCGGTAGGCTGAGATCCAGGAAGCTCTGCACCTGGTGCGTCACGCCGCTGCAGTTTTGGCAGGTTGTTGTGCTCTGCAACTTGCCGTAGAAGGTTTGGTGAATGATGCAATTGCAGCTGTGTTCGCTGCCGATCTCTGGCCTCTTGCCGTCCCCATTGCGTTCGTGCAGCTCCTCGGCCAGGAACTGGAAGAACTCATGGGCATCTTGCTCCTTGGTTGCCACCAGAATCTCAAAGGCCTTCTTCTGGTTGTACCAGAACGCCGACAGGATGCTGGCTGCCGTATACCCGTTTGTGTTTTCGAGCGAGTAAAAATCTTGGAACATGTCGTCAATGGCGCAGCTCAAGCAGTAGTCCACGTTGCAGGTGCTGCTAGAATGGCCGTCGCTGAGGTAAAAGTTCCTGAGGATCGGGTTGTGGAGAAAACTCTGGAGGACGACATTTTGGTAGCATGTGGCACCGGCATTGTAGATGCCCCGCAGCCCGTTCGACTTGCACGAGGCCGTCGTTGTGTTGGTCGAGATGTATGCCGGGTTGTCCCGAACAGGATCTGACGTTTCGAACAGCTCCTCATGTTTGCGTTTCCGCACTTTAAGAATGTCAGTGGACTGCGGCGGCGACAACCATTCGCATTAGCTCACGGCCAACGTACTTGAGAAGGTGCCTGTGCCGATCTTCTTCAAACGGAGCTCCTCGAACGTAGGGTCCCAGACAATATCGTCACACATTTGGCAGTACAGAGCACCGCTCCTGGAGTCGACATCTGCGGCCAAGTTAGTGAGCCGTGGATACCCGACCAACACTACCAACCACGGGGGACGCCAACATACAGAACCTGTGCGACTTCTTGTTGCCATGTTTTGTCCGGTCGTCTTCCGTGAGGGTCGAGGGGCATTGGAGGCAGAGATATGTAGGAGTGAGCGAGGTCACGATCTGACCATCGATGGCCTTGGCAGTCTGCGGGATCAGGGGGTTCGTATCGAAGATGCTACGGAGAATTGCCCTGTAGTGTTGGATCGACGTGTTTGTTGTTGCTTGGTCTTGATTAAAGAGCCTCTGCAAATGTTCTATAGCTGTTGTTAGAAGGGAACCACAAGGTGGGAGACGGGCATAGCTTACCGCAACCGTACATGGGCTGCCCTGGTTGGGGTGCTCTGACTTTGTGGTTTTTGGGCGACGCCGGTGTCGCGGGCCTTGCCGACATGTTGAAACTTGTTTCGTATGTTGAATCGGAGAAGGTCGGGGAAATGGAGTTGTTCGTGGGAGTGTTGTTTTTCAGAACGCCTTCTCGGTGTTGCTCGGGTCGCGGGTGTTTGCGATTGCACTATCGATTGTTCTCGAGACCCGACGGCGCGTGGAAAGAGATCGAGTCGTACAATTGACGGAATAGGTTTTGAAAACACCGCTGGGTAATTGGGCACGTTGTGCTTCAAGAGTGGTGGACGGTGTTTATAGAGTAAAGCGTCGAGATACCCGAGTTGTAGGTACGTGGGTTGGAGGCAAGGAAGCCCGCACGCGAGGGTTTGCCAGGTGCAGGTCGGTAACGTAGTTGCGCGTGGATGGACAATAGTCAGGAGCCTGCTCACCCGGTCAGAGCACATTCACATGCAAATTGCAGAAAGGCGACAATAGGCAACTCGATACTTACTTCAATCGGTTTGCACCATGACAATATCAAAGTTTATTGTTCGCCTCTTGTTCAAGTCGATTACGCCTGCATCCCGTCGTCGAAATGATGTCCAACTGCCCCTGACCGAGGCGGCTTCGGCTGGCTGGAAATTGCTTATCGAGCCCACTGCCAAGGCTTATCGGTGGGCGTTGCGTGCCTCAGCTCGGGCGCTAAATGGGTGCCGCGACGTGGGGACATGGGGGACAAGGAGCGCGTTGACAGGGGGTTTCAGCCCGCTCAAACAAGCCTCGGGACTGGCCGAATAATTCCGTGCTCTTCGGCTTCTGTCCAGCTGCAGCTCGTGACGTCAAGTTTGATGGCACTTGCAGCTCAGGTTTTGAAGTGTCACTTTGTATTTCTGTTCACGCCGTTGTGATTCAGCCCCTGTCGATCATTCTCCTCTTCCCGGATATTCGTGGATATTCATGGATACCTATCGTCGGTGTCCCGATGCTAAGAACTAAACCGAACCTTTTTTGCATCCTAAGCGAAGTTCTAGACGATAGAATCATTGCGAAGTAGAGCACGTAGGACATGCCAAAGCAAAGTTACACCCACAGTTCTGCAAACCGAAGCAACAAAAAGCTCTCACACAGTAGAGCACATGCCACAGATGAGCCAAGATCCCTAAGCTCGGCAACATGACATGTACCCCGCAGCTGGCCGGGACACCACAACCCCGCGTCAGCCCTCGTCCGAAGTGCAAGTACCACCCTTCTCCCCCATAACCGAGAAGACCTGACAGCCAGCCACCAATGCGCCTGCACCCGGCCGGCCCGCTCCTGCAGCCACTCCTGAGACTCAAGCCCCTCAAGCCCCTCAACAAGATGAGCAGCAGCAGCAGCAGCACCCAACCACCACCCCAACTCCCACCCCTCCCCGAAGTCGAGCGGCTCGCGCCGGGCTGCATCCGCATCCTGGGCGGCAACCCGGGCAAGTTCACGCTGCAGGGCACCAACACCTACCTCGTCGGCACGGGCGCATCACGCCTCTTAATCGACACGGGCGAGGGCCGCGCCTCGTGGCTGGCGGCGCTGCGGCGGGTGCTGCGGGCGGAGGGGGCGACGGTCGCGGCGGCGCTGCTCACGCACTGGCACCACGACCACACGGGCGGCGTGGCCGACCTGCTGGCCGCGTGGCCGGGCACCCCGGTCCACAAGCACCAGCCCCAGCCCCAGCCGGAGCAGGAGTCGGAGGAGGAGGACGCGGCGGGCTGGGCGGGGCTGGCGGACGGGCAGACCTTCCGCGTGGAGGGCGCCACGCTGACGGCCGCGCACACCCCCGGCCACACGGCCGATCACGTGGTGCTGTTCTGGGCCGAGCGGGGCGCGCTGTTCACGGGCGACAACGTGCTCGGCCACGGCACGAGCGTGTTTGAGGACCTGGCGGCCTATGTTGCCAGTCTGGAGCGCATGCGCCGCCTGTATGACGGGGACGGCCGGGAGGCGGGTGGGCAGCAGCAGCAGCAGCAGCAGCAGGCGACGGCGTACCCGGGCCACGGCGCCGTGGTGCTCGATGGGCCCGGGAAGATCGCCGAGTATATCCGCCACCGCGGCCAGCGTGAGGAGCAGGTTGTGCAGACGCTGCGTTCGGCTTTGGGCAACGGGGAGGTGGCCGCGGCGGAGGAGGGGAGTGGGAAGGGGACTGGGAACTGGAGTGGGGGGGATGGGTGGACGGTGATGGAGCTGGTCCGGAGCATCTACCGGGATGTGCCCGAGACCTTGCACCCGGCGGCGGCCGGTGGGGTCGCGCAGATTTTACAGAAATTGCAGAAAGAAGGGAGAGTTGTGGAGGTAGACGACGGGGAGCGGTGGAGGCTTGCTTCGGGGTCGGGCCGGTCTGCTTTGTGAGACTTCGGCGGCGCGAGCTTGTATTGGTAGTGGATGTATGTATGTACAATACCAACGGAGTGCCACAACATAAAATGCAACTGGCTAACTCGGTAACTATACACAAGTACAATCATGTACAAAAGTCATTGCGCCACCCCTGGTTGACATCCACAGCACCAAACATCCCCGCCGGTCGGTACGGATAACGATAGGAGAGCTGGGGTTTCAGAGTCGTTCAGCCCTACGACTCCAATCTCTGGCAACCATGTGGGATGACGTCAATTTCAAGATCTTCAAACATGATCTCGCATCGCGGCGAGGTTGTGCGCCCGAGATCTTCAAACATCCTCGCGTCACTGTATTCGCGATCTGGCGAGCTGATGAGCCGCTTGAGCCGCGCACTTAACAAACAGAAGCAGTTGTGGTGATCCGTCGCGCGACCCTGATGGGTGGTGGGATCCTTGACAAGCACACAGTGTGAGTTTGGAGAAAAAAGAAAAGAAAGAGAGGCGAACCCTTGTCAGCGCCCGCGGGCAATATCGGGCCCGCTCGGCGAGAGCTTCTCATTCTTCTTATTCTTTTTTTCAGATCGTTATAGCACCCCACCTGAATGGAGCTGCTTCTGGTCTGCTGCCGAAATATCATGTCCGTCTTGTCTCCGTTTTATCTCTGGTCACTTTCTCGGCGCATACTGTGAAAGTGTCTGCATGTCCACGTCGAAGTGCTGTGTGACTCTGAGAGGACAGCCCCGGCGAAGACGGCAAGATCTTCATACGCCGAGTATGCAACCCCCTCACAGCTTGCTCGTCTCCAACCAGACTTGTTGTTCGGTTCCCGCTGAGGTTGGATCTCCCGCTGCCGGCATCAGCGACAGCTTGCTGCACTCCTGCAATCGGGAAGGGCAGACTGGGGTGCAACAGAGCAAGGGTCCACGCGGAAACATCGCGAAATGGTGGGGTCACATTTTCCAACGGCAGAGGGAAGCTGGCAAATCCAACGGACGTTCCCACGGCTGACGATGGCCGGGAAGGATGGGACGGAGATAACCTCGATGCCTTACTGTGTACTGTTTGTTGTGTCAGGCACATACGACCGGGCGTATATCCCATTATTCAGCATGGAGCCAAACGCTGGCTGTTGCTGCTTATTTTGGTTACGGAGATGGTGTAAGCCAGGGACAACGCCGCAAGGCCGTGAGCAGGAGCTTGCGAGCGTTGGGCAGCGAAGGCCAACAAAGTGATCCAAGTGATCCGTCAAAGTGATCCGTCAACGCCCGATGCTGAGAGCACACATCCAGTTGACCTCGTTTGCTCCGCGTCTCGGGCTCTGTCGCAAGTCCGACTCCGCCGACTGCCGCCAAGATGCGACGAGATGTCCAGGAAGGGCGGTTGCTGCGGGATGGAAGTCTTGGCCGCGTCTCGGTACTGTGCGGCAGGGAGGGTGGTATCGGGTTTGTGGGCGGAACTGACTGATACAACTTGAATCATTTTTTGATCATTTCTCGGCGTCCGAGGGATTCAGGACGCTTCCCCCAGCCTCCAACTGCCGCCGAGGCTGTACAGAGCCTGTGAGCGTCAAAGTCGCAGGATCATCAACTGGGCCATGACCACGCGGCCGAGACGTAATCTTTCTGGTTGTACGCACGGTAGAAAGAGAGATGAGCTCAGGTGCATACCTAGAGAACGACGACAAATGGGGGGGGTGACTCAACGGGTTCTTAAAAGCCCCGCATCATAGGGAATGAATGGCCCGTGGTGTTTCCGGCCTTCCGTCCTTTGCTGTTTTAGTGTAGGTCATGGAAGCTCGCCGATGAAGCTCACGTAACTCCGGGCCCACCTCCAACAAGACGCCATCACCATGAAGTTTTGAGCGAATGGCATTTGGTCTCCGTTCCACGACCGCCGGTGTGTCGGGCGAACCCTCACACCGCCGCTACTCTGTAGATGGGGTTGACATGTGATGGCAGGCTTCACCCCAAGCTGACCCGACTGTCACTAACCACCATTGGCCAAGTTGAAGCTGTTGATGCGTATTTGTGGCTTGCTGGAGTGTGGTTGTAACCTGCATAGTCAGCAAACGGGCTCAGTTGATGGGCGATCGACCCTTCATTCCCCGCACAGTATGCGACACACGGTGGACCTGGATTCCCACCTGACACCTCCCCGCCGCCGCCTTTCAAGAGTTTCGGATGTCCCGGAGTTGGTGAGGCGCAAAACATGAAGGCATCGCCAAAACTGGGCACCAAACAGGAACGGCCGGGTGGCCTGACTCCTGCCTAGGCCCTGGGCATCTTGGTTGCGAATTACCAATCAGCAACCGGGACAGGAGAAGCGAACTGTTCCGTTGACATGACCGTTATTTGTTTTATTAATCGGAGCTGTCACAGGCCAGCGTTTAGTTTATTCTCTTGCCCGCCGTTTCCGGCGCGCGACGAGCGTTCTCTCTCTGTCGGGGTTGAAATACTAAGGTCGCCCTCTCTTCGGTTCTTTGTTTCCTGCTGTCTGACCAGTGACCTATCCCTCGTCTGAACAAGCCGAGGCCAAACCCACACATCATCAGACGCCGTCGGCCGTGCATCAACCGATAGCTACTCAGCAGCACCGACGCCAACTCACTAAAACTAACAAGGGTATCGACGGCACTCACTACCGAGCCGATATTAAACAACGAGCGCCACCGCGGTAGGGCGGGTTGGGATTATACCAGCCGAACCCATTCGAGCTTGGAGTTCGTTCAGACGAAGCTTGGGGACTTTGGTGACCAGACCGGGAGCTGTTAGCCATGAAGGCACCCGTGACTTCACTTTTGCCCGTTCTCGCGAGCGCTGCGATCCTGGGTCTCGTCCCGGTCGCTCTTGCAAACGCCGATGGTGGCCACAGCCATGGGGATGACGGCATGGGCGGGATGGGGATGACAGACGCCGATAAACCCTTGCCCGAGGACCAATACCCCCCCACGTACTTTGCCCACCCTGATCACAGAGCGGCCATCTACGGGCATATCGCCTTGATGGTCCTGGGATGGGTTTTCGCGTTGCCTGCTGGTAAGATCCACACTTTGTAGAACAACCAGGGACGAGTTGCTGAGAGCAGGGTCTTCTAGCCGTCATGTTGTCGCTCGCCCGTTCACGTTACACGCTCTTCGTGCAGTTCGCCTTCCTCGCCATCAACGCGGGGGGGTTGCTGCTGGGTGTCATCTACAATGCTAGCACACCCGATCTATACCCGAACAACGCACACCACAAGCTCGGCTGGATCGTGACGTCTATCGTGGGCGCGCAGGTGGTAATTGGTGTTTTGGCACGTGTTGCGGGTATGTTGAAAAGGGAGAAGTTCAAGCTACCAAGCCGGGCCGAGGAGCGCCAAGGCTTTATCCCCGTCTCAACTGCCGCCATGGCCGAACACGAGTCCCGGTATTCTCTCTCCGGGCCGTACGGCCGCTTCTCCAACGACAGTGGTCAAGGCACTGAGCCAAAGACGGAGTCACTTCGCAGCCATTCGCTTTCGTCCGGTGCCGAATCCCCGCCGAGTCCCATCCGCGATGCGCATCGGGAATACCACCATGACGATGACACCGACGAGGACATCGAGGCGCGTTTGCCCATGTTCTCCAAGTCGACCAAGGCTCATTCGATCGTAGCCAAGGTTGCAGGAAAGATTTCAGACCGGTTCTGGAAGGTCTTGCTTTTTGCTTACAACTTTATCGACCGGACAATTCTGATCCTCAGCTTCATTGCTCTGTGCACGGGTATTATCACCTTTGGCCGCTTTTTTGTGAGTATTTTACCCGGCTCGAAAGAAAAAGAGGCATATTACATTGAGTTCATGCTAACAAAGTATTAGGAGGGCCATGGTATTTTCAGCGGGCTGGCGCACTGGATCAAGGGTGGTGTTTTTGTCTGGCTCGGCATCTTCACTCTCGGTCGATGGGCAGGTAGTTTCGGTGATCTCGGATGGGCCTGGAACATACGCCCCAGGAGGGCGGGCCAGAAATGGCGCCCCTCAGCCGAGTTCGTCGAGAGCGCCGTCATCTTCTTCTACGGCTCTACCAACATCTTCCTCGAACACCTCGGCAACTGGGGTGGTGAGTGGAGCGCCACCGACCTAGAGCACATGTCCATCACCGTCCTGTTCATCGGCGGCGGCCTGGTAAGCAAGCCACTCTCACCATCTACCCGCCCGCTGTTTCCATAATATTAATATCTCCTGCAGTGTGGCATGCTCATCGAGTCCACCAAAATCCGCAACCTCCTCAACTACACCGTCACCGAGGCCATCCAAACCGCTCCCCACTCCCCCACCACCATCAACAACAACCACCACACCTACACCATCCCCCACGGCAACGACCCCGAACGCAACCCCCCCCACCACCACCGCAGCCACCACCACAACGCCCAACCCCAACCCGACGAGCACTCCGAGCCCGAAAGCTACGGCTTCTCGACCAACCCGATCCCCGCCCTCGTCATCGTGCTGCTGGGCATCATGATGAGCTCGCACACGCAGGGCAGCATGGTGTCGGGCATGGTGCACAAGCAGTGGGGCAACCTGCTGACGGGGGCGTCGCTGGCGCGGGCGCTGACCTACGCGCTGGTGTGGCTGCGCCCGCCGCGCTCGGTGCTGCCCTCGCGCCCGCCGACCGAGTTGTTGGCGGCGTTTGGCATGACGGCGGGGGGGGTTGTTTTTATGGCGAGTGTGCGTATATTCTTTGTTTTCTTTTCTTTTTTTTTCTTTTGCTTTGTGGAATTGGGGTGGTTTTGTGGGTTGTTTGGCTGACTGACTGATTATGATACAGGCGGGTGATACTATTGATGGCATGATTCACTACCAGCTAGACGCCATGTTCATGTACACGGTCACCATGGGCTTGGTCGGTCTGCTTATGGCGTGGGTCATCGTCCTGATTGCCCTCAAGGGCTGGGCTGCGAGGCGCGAAGCTGGCCGGGCTTGATCGGCTTTCGCTGAGCCTGCTGCTGCCCTTACCGGGTAGCTTCGCTTGAGTGATGGATTGGAGTGTGATGACTTCGTGTGAGGGTTGGGTGGCTAGTACCGAGATGGGGGTGCATTTCAACACGTCCCCTTGAAAAAAGTGGACCGTGTTGGTTAATCAGGGGAATGGGAGGTGGTTTGAGGTGGACATGGCTGCGGCGTGCTTCGATTCTTGTCGTCCTGAGATACCCCCTTTTTTTATTTTTTGAATGACACGATGGGATGATGCTGGGATGAAAGGGTGGGGGATTACATGTCAACGGGGTTTGAGCGAGCATGAAGAGAAGGTAATGTGTGACTACTTCGCTTCCCGCGCCGTCCGGGAACTGTAGCATGATCGGGGTAATGAAATTGGGAATGATAAAGCCCTTACACAACACGCTTCACTCTTTTAAATTGAGGGGGTTGATTACGGGAGTTGCCCGGTATTCTTATGCCCGCGATTCAACTCGGCTATAGCGGTCATGTTCCGACCTGCCTGCGCCGTAGATAACCCCCTCCATTACGCCCCGTGGTCTAATGGCATTCCTTCCTGTGGCGATGGTGTGGGACGGGCCAATATATATTACTTTGCATTGAAAAGTCGTCAAAGATAACGAGCAACATAGCGTTCTCATCACTCCAGCCACTCCATCAGTCGTCAGGGTAGTATTCCTTGAGATTCGACACGAATGTGCAAGTCTCTGGGTCAAATCGCAGAAAGAACTTGCCCGCCACGAACATGAGATCGTCCGAGACAAGGCTAGGGTCAGAGACGATAACTACGTTATCTTGGGCCACTCGCAACCGGTCAACGGTAGTCTTCCTGGGTGAACTCAGGGTTTGTCAGTCTAGTGGCATGGTTTGAAATTGGAAGCGCAGAACCCACAGGCAAGTGTAATACGTCCTTTGCGGCCCCAGCCTGGTCGAGTGCACCGACTCGGTCGGATCAAACACGTCGCCTTCCTCCTCGGCCTCGGCGGCATCGAGATAATGCGGCATCGGCAGGCTCGCGCTGCCCATGGCCGCCCAGCCGTTAATGACGCCGATGAAACCGTATCGGCGATGACGGAAAACCTGCCCGATCTTATAGCGGACACGTGTGGTTATGTCCTCCGTGTACCGCCGGCTAACTTCTGGTACCCTCTTGTCAAGGTTCTCGAGCATGCCGAGGGCTTCGTGCACGTTGTGCCAGGGGTTCCGCTGCCGGCGGTGTGGTTGCGAAATCACGAACTTGTCGTATAGAGGAACGAGGTACTTTTTGACTATCCAGACATCTTCGCTCCAAGATAGGGCAAACTTTTGAAGGAAAGCGTCTAGGTTCGAATCCCAGTGGAAGCTAGATGTTTGCTTCATCAAAAGCTCTGCCCACATCGAGGCGTACCTGGCCGCATCCATGTTCAAACCAGGGTGACCGCTTCGCAAGCGCCTCATCTCAGACCCTAAGGCATCGTTGTCTGCGAGATTGTGGGCAGCGTCGTAGGTGGACTTGATATTCTGCGCCGTCCGCTGCACGATAATCGGAACGGGTGACGGTGTAAGGAATGCTTCGGTCCCCTGAGTCCAGCCAAACTCGACAAGCCTAATCCGTAAGTCGCTGAGGGTAACCTCGTGGTCAGATCCGTACGGGTCCAAGCACATCCGCTTCGTCTCCCCATTTGATTCGTCTGTTTCATCACCGTCTAGATCCTTCCCGGCTGGGGCGTACACCGCTGCGTGGACGTGGTTGGGGAAGCCGAGACAAAAAGCGGTCAACCCTAAGCGTTCCGCAATACAGGTGAAGATGGCGCTCGAAATTATAGGGAGGGAAGGGTGGTCCTCTTCAGACAGGGCATGGCCGATGAAGCAGTTCCTGAGGTTGCGGTAGTTGATGTCAGAGCGGTCCATACCGGTGAGATTATTTGCTCTCAGCCAGCGGACTAGGGACAGGGCTTTCTCTCTGGTGGATAGGTCTTCGAATGTCGGGTGCTCGGTCCTGAATCGCTCAGCGAGTGTATCGAGTGTCCGTACCACCTAGGGAGGCATCAGCTACGGGGTTCGTGGGCGGTTGTTTCGCACGTGGACATACGTAATCGAGGTCCTCTTCTCGGTCGTGCAGCACAAACATATCAAACGCGCCCAGCGCGGTGTCGAGACCCTCAGAGCTCAATGCTCGGCCCTGATACCTAGACCACAATTCCACCGCCGCGCCCCTGTGTATGCTGTCTAATGCCGAGTTCGCGTAGTACCTGCATGGGGCTTAGCCATGGTTGGAGCTAAAGGGTCCGGAATTTGAAAATATCTATCGTACCTCCTAGCCAGGACATCTTCCGTATCATCGTCAACGTGACACTGCTCCAGTAGGTAGTCCTTCACATCGTAGCCCAGCTCGCAAATGCCCTGCATCCGTTTTAGCTGGCCGAGCTTTGTCGCGATTACGCCGTCTAGTAACCGTGCCGCCTTGTCGTTCCTATGCTTTCTTGTGATCCATAACCCCCTCCAGTCTACCGCAGACGCGAGCGTCGCAAGCTTCTCCGAGAGCTTGTGCTCAGGTTGCCAGAAGCGAAACGAGCTTTGGCAGTGCCATCGCCACAGAAGGGCCTCGTTTGAAAGGTGATGATATCGGCGGGAGACTAACTGGAAGCTCGCAATCGTGTGCTCGGGTGGTACATAGAGTAGGATATGGCGGATGATCTCGTCGGGGACGTCCTCGAGCGACGAGCGCATTGCGTAATTCCAGCGCCACAGAAGCGCCCTGCTTGGCGAGGTTGCTTGGGATAGTTTTGGGCGTTGAGGAGGTTTGGTCTAAAGCGGGAGGTAGCGGGAGGGGCTGCTTATAGCATGTATGTGGAAGGGTCGTAGGGCGGGCCGACGAGGAGGGGGGCGGGAACCCTGGGAGAGACGAATATGAACGTCGAGGCCGATTCGATGTTCTCGTCCCTGGATAATTCACCCCCACCACCAATTACTTCTCAGCGGTACAATGTAACGATGTGGCCCGAGCTTTTAGCCCGGCTTGGCCGCTATGACATGCGCTGATCCCTGGCCGGGTGTCCCTTATCGATCGCGGGGTAGTGCGCCGTTCCATAACAAATTTACCGTTCGGCTCGAACCCCTCCACAGCCCACATTGCCTGGTACTTCTCCCGTCGTCTGAAGTGACTCACGGTCGGGTTTCAGGGGTTGCAAAAACCTGCATTTCGATTGCTTGCTACCGAATTTCAACAATCCGAGTCCGATTCGCAAAGTCACAATGGAGAAGGTCACCGAAGCCTTGCAAAAGGCCGCCATTGGCGGCGGCGAGAAGAAGCCGAAAAAGGAGAAGAAGGGCGCGGCCGCGGCACCGGCCGCCGACACGGGTCCTCTCGAGATGCAGCCAGCCCCGGGCTTTCTGCAAGAGCGTCTTGATCTGTTCGATCAATTGTACAAGGAGCAGCAAGAAGAACTGGCCAAGAAGCCCCGCGATGAGATCCTGATTACCATGCCCGACGGCACCGTCAAGCCCGGCAAAGCGTACGAGACCACACCGGCCGAGATCGCCAAGGGCATCTCCAACAGCCTGTACAAACGTACTGTGGTCGCGAGGATTGACGGGGAGCACCTATGGGATCTCGACCGCCCGATTGAGAAGAGCTGCAAGCTGGAACTGCTCGACTTCAACGACGACCAGGGCAAATTTGTCTTCTGTGAGGGATCCTAAGGAGAGGATAATGGCCAGGGAGGTGGCTAACATATGGTGTTCTAGGGCATTCCAGCGCCCATATCCTCGGCGAGGCCTGCGAGCGGAGGTTCGGTTGCTCGCTGTGCATCGGTCCCCGTACGTTCAACCCAGGTCCCGAAGATTCTTACCACCCTTCTAACCCCTGACGATACAGCGGTTGATAATGGATTCTACTACGAGATGGCTCTGCCAGGCGGCGCCGCCGTGCAGTCTACCGATTGGGCACCCCTCGAGAGCATCGTCACCAAGATTGTGAAGGAGAAGCAGCCCTTCCAGAGACTGGTATGTTCAGGGGAGGGGACTGCCCTCAAAAAGTGGCTCCGTCTTTCTGCACACACAGTTGAGTCCACTACGACTTACACGCAAAATAGGAAATGAGCAAGGAGAACCTGCTCAAGATGTTCGCCTACAACCCCTACAAGGTTCACATTATCAAGGACAAGATTGCGGACGGCACAAGAACCACCGTTTACAGAAACGGCCCCTTGATGTGAGTCAAGCTGGTGCACCACCCGACCTCTGGCAAGTGCTGACGCAGTTATAATAGCGATTTGTGCCGTGGACCCCGTAAGCTAGCCCACCTCTGACCGGCCTCAATCCGTGCTCTCGCTTCCCCGTGGCGGGAATGTGTTTCCAGACGAAGCTGACCCCGCCCAGATGTGCCTGATACCAGCAGGATTGAGGCCTTTGCTATCATGAAGAACTCCTCCTCGTAGTATGTGTTACATTTCTGCTAGACAAGAGTCTTGTATTCGGCCCCTTTTCTATGGGATCAAACTAACCATGCCGAAGCTTCCTTGGCGATGCCAACAACGACTCCCTGCAGCGAATCTACGGCGTGTCATTTCCGGACAAAAAGCAGATGGCTGCCCACAAGAAGTTCCTTGAGGAAGCTGCCAAGCGCGATCATCGTCTGATCGGAAAACAGCAAGAACTCTTTTACTTCGAGGAGTCGTCACCAGGTTCTGCGATGTGGCTGCCACACGGCATGCGCATCAACAACGCTATCATGGACTACATCCGTGAGGAGTACTGGAAGCGGGACTATGACGAGGTCATGACCCCCAACATGTTCAATCTGTCCCTCTGGGAGCAATCGGGTCACTTGGCTCACTACAAAGAGGACATGTTCCTGCTTGATATGGATAAGGAACAATTTGGCCTCAAGCCGATGAACTGCCCTGGTATGTCGTTGCTTACACTCTAATCTGGCGCTTACTAACAAGTTTATAGCCCATGCAATGATGTTCCGTCACAGGGTAAGTAGGCCGTCTTCGTGGCAGTATCGAGAGTTACTGATCGTCCACGATAGGAACGGAGTCACAAGGAGCTACCACTGCGCCTTGCCGACTTTGGCGTCCTGCATCGGAACGAGGCTAGCGGCGCGCTGAGCGGCCTCACAAGAGTGAGGCGGTTCCAGCAAGACGATGCCCATATCTGTACGGTTTCCCTTTGTATCGTTGATTCCTGCTTCCTAACTAGCCCTAGTCTGCCGCGAGGATCAAATCAAAGAGGAGGTCGCCGATCTATTCGACTTCATGAGTTCTTTCTATGGCATGCTGGGTCTTAGCTTCAAGCTCAAGCTGTCCACGCGCCCAGACAAGTTCATGGGCGAGATTGCTACCTGGGACAGCGCCGAGTCCCGCCTCAAGGAAGCCCTTGATGAGTTTGCTGCTGCGAATGCCGGTGTCACTTGGGATCTCAACCCTGGCGACGGCGCCTTTTATGGGCCGAAGGTCGACATCGCTGTTTTGGTGTGTATTTCCCCGAAGCTCTGATGATAAAAATGGCAGATACTAACCAGACATTGATAGGATTGCCTCAACGTATGGTTACTTTGCTCGTGTTCTCTTAGCCAACTACTAACACATTTGACAGAGGCAATGGCAATGCGCCACCATTCAGCTCGACTTCCAGCAACCTATCAACTTCTCTCTCGAGTACCAGACTGCTGAGAGTGTGCAGAAGGACAAGAAGGACGCAGCAGCGCCCAATGCGGCTCCGGCGCCGGCTCCTGCTCCGGCTCCTGCCCCAGCACCCGACGCCACCGCCGACGAGAAGAAGGATGGCAAGGAGAAGAAGAAGCCTCTCCTCATCAAGAAGCCGCTTGCACCTGGTTGCGCGCGACCCGTCATGATTCACCGCGCCATGGCTGGCAGCATCGAGCGTTTCACCGCTATTCTGGCCGAGCATTTCGCTGGCAAGTGGCCGTACTGGATGTCTCCGCGGCAAGTCATTGTCATCCCCGTCGGCATGGGCTTCCTAGGCTATGCTAAGGAGGTGGCTGCACTTCTGAAGAAGGAGCGCTTCCACGTTGGTATGTGCTTTGTTTCGTCCTACTGGTTTCGCTCGCTGTGGCTGACTGACGTTATGTAGATGTCGATAGCAGCGGCAACACCCTCCAGAAGAAGATCCGCAATGGCCAGCTGGCTCAATGTGAGTGACTATCGACTATCTCTCTGCCACCTCGCTTGAAACCCGGAAGCGCTAACTCTTTCAGACAACTTCTGCTTCGTGGTTGGTGACGACGAGATGCGCAACCGCAAGGTCAACATCCGCTACCGCGATGACACCTCGACACAGGCGAGAGACGTGCCCGTGGACCTGGAGGACGCGGTCGAGAAGCTGCGCAAGCTCAAGGCTGACCGCGGGATGTACAACCCCTTCCCTCACAAGAAGGAGGACGAAGCGAAGAAGGCTTAGGTGTAATCTAGCATGGGGTAGTAGGGGGGATTTTGTAAAATGGCGCTTTGCACCGTCCGCAATCCGCCTCGGACATACACAAATGTGCTGGTCATTCTCCCGTTCACTTCGTTTACCACGTTCTTGGGAAGCAGCATGCTCTGCATCACACCTCAATGGTGGAGTGAACCCCAGCTGCACACCGCGTTACTGAGAATTGACGGAATATTGAACCAAAACCATACATAGGTAGTTACCTACGCATGCAAACAAGTGATCAAACCACGAACAACCCGCAATCCCCATCCAATCAACCGCATTTCTTTCCGCTATATGAGTTTTAAGATATCGTATGCTCGCTCGTTCTAAACCGTCCAACCCGCTCCGTCAACCCCCACCCCGAATTCCCAAAACCAACATCAACTCAAATCCCAAGACCTCCATACATGTTTCTGTGTATACAACCTCCTCGCACCTACGGCTTCGGGATATGGATAGTCCTGCTGGTCATCAGGCAGCCGTGGACCATGAAGAGCAGGACGACGGGGTGGAGCTCGAGGGCGGAGCCGGCGAACCAGACGCCGCCGGGGAGGGCGTCGTGGATCCAGCCGTTGGACACCCACCAGGCCATCAGGGCGTCGAGCCCCAGCGTCGTCGGGATCGGCGTGCCCTCGAAGTAGCGCGCCTTGCCCGTCGCGTCCTTGGGGATCGCCGCCGCCGTCACGTTGAACCGCGCCAGCCGCGTCAGCCCGCACAGCACGAAGAACCCCAGGCACAGGTGGTCGACCGGCGTGCGGACCCCGATCGCGAACGCCACCGCCGCGGGGGAGACGCCGAAGGAGATCTGTTTGTTTGGGGGGGGGTTCGTTGGTTAGTGACCTGGGCGGTGCAATACAATAGGGAGGTTGTGGGGGAGGAGTGTATGTACCAGGTCGGCGAGGGAATCGAGTTCCTGTCCCATCATGCTGCTCTTTTTCCTCCACCGCGCGACTTTGCCGTCGAGAAAGTCGAAGAAGAGCCCGAACGGGAGGAGGGAGAGCGCGGCCCAGAGGTTGCCGTGCTCCGACGGGTCGCCAATGCAATAGCGCATCGAGGAGAAGAGAGAGAGGATGCCGCAGAGACCTGCCAGAGGGGGTATCTTGGTCAGCTGCGGCCCATTGTTCATGTCGCTCCCAATGTGTGTGTTCGTGGGAAGCCGTGGGGGGGTCACTCACCGTTCATCTCGGTGATGAGATCTGCTAGGTGCAGCGCGCGGATGAGCGAGAAGTGTCCGGCATCGGTCTCGAGCAGAATCTTCTGCTTGTCTGACGCTGCGGTGTGCGTTAGCTACCGGGTTGTCTATCTCGCTCCCACAGTCTATCCTCCGGATGCGCCAGGAATATGACAGATGAACGTACTCGGCAGATCAACCCGGCCGCCCTCTTTCGAGGCGCCACCATTTGCGGCGGACGCGCTGGTTCTTTTGGACATGTCGTCGGCGGTGGTTGTCGACCGCTACTTGGTTGGTGTTTCTGAGAACTTCGATTTCGATTTGTTTCCGGGGCGACAAGGAGAGGGAAAGGGTGATAGTTTGTTGCGCCGGTCAAAACTCTAGTCGAAGGCAGGGCCGCAATCCCAACCTTTAAGGCCTGCAGAACTGTTGACGTCGGAGGTGTCTTGTGTCGCCGAGCCTGTTGCCGTTGGTTGGTTTTGGAGACCCCCCGCTAGCGCGGTAACTTTGCCGGCAGCAGCAGGGGTCCGTCCAATTAATGCCGTCATTTTCCTGCTAAGCAAGGCCCAGACCGCCTACCCAAGTGGTCGTGTTTCGTTTGGTAATTACGTCATTGGAAACTTCATGATGGCACGACGATAAACAACACACCAAGTATACATAGTCTCATAGTGTAGTACAACCCGAACAGGCAGCTCTTCTGTCTGCAAGATTCTATACATCAACCGATATCGGTTGTATCGCCACGTTGTTTATGTAGGATACGCCGAAAAAAACACACAGCCACGTTTCCAACAGCGTTTCAGAGCGCCTGTCATCAACTGCTTGGACGTGGCCTCTAATGACCCGTGGCCTCTCCCAAGCTGGTTCAGAGAAGGCCAATTCCCCCATATTCCCACGCCACAACGCCTTGTCATAAACCTTGAATAACCCTCGACGTCCGTCAAGCCATTAGACCACAATCCAGCCATTTCCGGGCAACCACGACGAAACATCATCTCCGTCTCTTCTCACAACTCAAAAACCTCCATTCTAATCCCGAACCTCCCCATGCAGCCGTCTCAACGCCCCATGGCTAGCCAGCTTTCCAACCCACTCGTGAATGGCCGCAGTGTAGTCCTTAGTGCGACCGAGTATGGCGGTCGGCTCCTGGCCGGCCATCGTAGCCTCGTTGTTGTATTCTACCAGAATATGCTTCTGCTCGGTCACGAGCTCTGACCAAAGTTTTGAGGTCGCTTCCATCGCCTCATGATCACCCTCGGCGGTGACTGATGAGGCAGGGGAAGATGGGGAGGGGGAAGATGGCGAGAGGGGAGAAGCGGAGGAGACAGGGATGGAAGATTCCTGCGGTTTGGGGGGCGCTTTTTTAAGCTCGCTCTCGGGCACGGCTTGGATATCCTCCTCGTCCAGTTGGTAGGATGAGAGGCGGTCGTCGGTAGGGCTGTGGATAACATCTTGGGTGGTTATTAATTTCGAGTCAGGGCCGTGATGGTGGCCTCGGAACATTGTCTCGAGCTCCGCCAGGCTGCGGATGTTGGCGGCGAGCTTTTGTCGGACATGATCGAGATTGTCGCCGCAGAGCGCGAGGAGACTGAAGGAGAGCCGCTCGGTCTCGTACCGCATCATTCGCTCCTGCAAGACGGGGCGCATGACTGAGGTCCAGTGCTGGTCCTGTTCGTATTCACCTGCAAGTAGTGTCATGTTAGAGGCGTCGGGATGGGGACACAGGGAGGGTGCTTCGCGACGTACCTATGCAGACGGGCGTCGAGGTAAGACCATCCAGCTGCCATACCTGCTGCCCGACCGGGACAAAGGCGATGAAATGATAGCCCACGGAACCATCGCCGGACTTGTCGGCTCTGGCCTTCGCCCGTTGTTGGTTCCTTTTCTTCTGCCTCGCGGCCGCCACCCTAGCCCGCTTCTTCTTCTCGGCATCCACGTCGTTTTGGAGACTGAGGGCGGCGTCGAGGAGGTCTAACCGGCTGCGGCATGTCAGTCGAGGGCTTTTCTTTTAATATCGGTTTGTTGACTAACCGAGCAAACGAGTTATGAGCTACCCGTATCCAAGCGCTGTTGTTGATCATGTTCCCTCGGAGTGGCGGAGACAGGTCCTTGGATTCTTCTTTCAACTCGCGGAGCCTCTTACCGAGGCCTAAACCTTCCGCATTCATGATGATGTTCAACAAGGCAATAGTGGCGCATGCGTTGTGTGTAGTCTATGCTAGCTGTGAGCGACATACAATATCACCGTGGGAATTAAAGCGGTTCACCTGATTCGCGAACCACACCTCGCGGCTCGTCTCTGTGGCCTCGGCGCTTTCCTCTGAGACGTACTCGTAAAGAAATACTAGGCCGTGGACCGGAGAACTGGGAGAAGTCAGTTGAATCTTCCTTCCTATGATTGGGATCGATAGGTACAACTGACGGCAGAGTGGCCAAAGTGTCTTCGTCGACCGAGAGCACCTCCTCTATTTTTGCTCCCTTGACGCCAATGCGACCCAGGATAGCCGTGAAGAAAGCCTGTATATTGTCAGTGGCTGTTAAGATAGACTAGGAATAAACCAAAACGAACCGGATCGGACTCTAATTCGATCCAGCTAGCCCACTCGGCCTGCTCATCCTCCTTCCACGGCCCTAGAGATGTCTCGAGGAGGTTGTCGGGCAAGTCAAACGCCTCCGGGGCTGCCCGTCGTTTGGGGTTCCGCCGGGTGTCGGCCGACGGAGGCAAGGTGACTGGTAGCTCCTTGCTGTAGTCGACGTCCTCGTTATGGTCGGATGGCCTCTTGCGTGCGCGACCGGACCGCCGAAGGGGAAGGGGGTCCGCGTCGCCGTTCCTCCCGGGAGCCGCCACCTCGTTGAGGGTATTCTCAACTTGATCTTCCATACTAAGGAATTGGTAAAGGAAACTCCACGCACGAAAGATGCGAGTGAAGATGATGCGCTCTGATCCCAATGTCTCGAGGAGGTTGTAGAGACGCGGTTGAACAAATGCTGGATATTAATTCGGTTGGAAATGACGCGCCGCGCGCTTTCTTTCGTGCTTTGATACTCAGCGCGTTCCCACTCCGCGCATCTTGTTAAAGATGGCGAAATTGAAAAGGTGTAAAGATGTGGTCAGGTACGACCATGAGGCGCTTTCGCGTTTGTTCGGAAGCCCCCTCACAAGCTATCCTTTTAATTTCTGGTCACTTGTGAAAAGCAGGACAACCAGAAAATTTTCTCTCTTGTTCAGAATTAGTTCAAAGATTTGACATGACCGGACTGGAAGGAGTGTTGACTCACCACAGTAAAGTGTGTGGTACTGGTATACTATGGACTGCGGGTTGGGTTGGTGGTGGGCAGATGAGTGTGAGCGAGGAAGCGCAGTTTCGAGCCAATATGATACGATAGAATTCAACGTCGGGACTCGAGTTATTATTTTAGAGTCAGAGTCGGTGAATAATATTCCAATCTCTTTATGTGCTCTTGCTGGGATATCAGGGGTTGTATTAGGTGTTGAAGAATCTCGAATTGGAATTACATTGTATTGAAGCACAATACCCCGCTGATTCGAGATATTTGCAATTAATAGCCTGGCTTTTGTGTCAACGACGTCGATTTACATAAGTGCTACGATAGTATCATACATGGAAAGTTGCTGCGAAGCACGGTTTCGGCATGGACACAGCCAATGTTTCCACATTTCAAGGAAAGGGGACTATCTATCTTCTTGATACTGACGATGCTGTTAGTCCACGGCACACAGCAACACTTGTAGGTGGGTGTCACCCTCTGGCCAAAAAAAGCCGAACTCCAAAGGAAAATAAGAAACGAAACAAAACGAATTAAGCAAAGGAAATCGGGAAAATAAATCAACTAAAAAAAATCAAGTAAAATAAAAGGTAAATTAAGCTAATGCAGCTTCTTTAGACCTTTGGGTACCTTTCGTTTCGTTTACAGTCGACGTCTTTACACTTAAGAGTTCGGCTTTTTTGCCAATGGAGTCGGTGGGTGGGTGTTCGTCTTTCAGCAGCTCCAACTTAAAAGCGCCCCACTATTCTGGAGCTCTGGACGCAAAACAACCAATCACAACCAATACAGGCTGTTCATCGGGAGCTGGCCCCTGCCTCGTTGCCGCAACAAACCACAGCGCGGCGCAGGCTGGAGCGCGTCTTGACACGGGTGCAGCGATAACAAGGCGAGTGTAAATTTTGGCGACTCTAGCAGAATGCAACAAGTGGAAGCGAAAGCTGTACCACGACGACAACATCGAACACCGACGAATTAATAATACCTACCCAGCCACTGCTTCAGTCCTTGGCCTTGCGCTCTTGCCTTGTACTGACTAGGTAGCTTCTTTTGTTCTTCTCGACGAGCTCGAACCTGGGGCGGCGGAACCACACCCATCTTGACGAACGAACAAACGAGCAAACGAACAAACGAAAGAGCAACATATTCTTCTTGCTCGGCGAATCCCTAACATTTTTCGGAGACACAATCGAGAGCACCCCCCAACTCGGCATGCCATGAGCGGCGAATCCCCCATCGGCGCCTTTCCACAGACGCCCCAGGCAACCTCAAAAAGAGGTCCTGCGAGGGCACCGGTTTCCTCGACAAATCGCACGAACTCTCTACCAGTTGCCCCCCAACAAGGGCCGTCAACAGCAGCGAATTCTGCGCCTGCAATCCCGCTACACATCCTCGATGCCCCGACACAGCGTCTCTACGCCTTTGGCTTCTATGCCGCCCTTTTTGCCTGGAAGTTCTACGACTGGGCACAGTTGGTTGAGGAGGACACCGAGTCATTCTGGCTCTTTTTAAAATGGATCGCAATAGATTGCGCCTTTCTCTTCGGGCTACCGGAGCTGAGGATACCATGGCTTGAGCTGTCACAGTCGTTCGTGATCGTGGCATTCTTTTTCCATGCCCTCTTCGACTGGCTGCTCATGTTTAATATCGGGGTATGAAGTTCCCGAAAAGCCTCTGGCATCCTGGAGGCCAAAAGTGCTAACAGCTGTGAAGTTCCCCTGGCAAGTATGGATGCTCGGCTTTGTCAAGGTCTTCTACGACCGCGAGCTCGCCATCTCGGAGCACAATGTGAAGATGTCCAACATTTTACACAATTCTTCGCTGATTATGGGCCGCCAAGTCATTAATATTCTCCCCGAAGGGTAAGAAAAGCTCTTCGGTCCTTGCTGGCTAGACGCTGACCATATTTAGTTCCGCTGTGCTTAACCCCGAACTTCACCCCTTCTGCTTGGGCGGCGACCATAAGACGGTACCATTGCCCATATTTTTCAACGCCACCATTCCGGTCGAGGTCGAGCTTATCCGCACCGATCTGGAAACGAACCAGCAGGAGACCATCAAGTTGTCGAGGGTGCAAATCCGGGACATCGAGCGCAAAGCGAAGCGGGAAAGCCAGGAGGGGGTTCAAAGCGTCGTCCAGTTCGATTATCTGGTGAAGAAGCCTGGCGTGTACCAGCTAGGACGAGTCCTCGACGAGTACAAGCTGGAGGTCCAGCGGAAAAACCCTCAAACATTTGTCGTGCCTTGCCCAAAGGCCTGGGTCGGTTCAGTCGCCCAAGGACGTTGCGTGGGCGATCTTTCAGATCTCTCCCTTCGGGTCGAGGGAACGCCACCGCTGAAGATCAAGTACAGCCGCACGATCAACGGAAAGGACCACAGCTTCCACTTCCAGAGCCTGCAGCCAGAGGGCTTCACGTCCCCTCTCGGCGCCTTGCGTTCGGCAAGCATGATAGGTCTGGATGACGAGGATATCTCTTGGGCCCGGCCACAGCGAGTCCCTGTCGGCCTCAACGAATCCATGCACGCCAGCGGAGAGTGGCAATACTCGGTAGACGAGGTCCAAGACGGATTTGGGAATCTTGTCAAATATGAGTCCCCCGTCGACGACCCGGAAGGAAAGCCCAAGCCCAAGCATCTCGTGCAAAACTTTGTTGTCAAGGAGCGCCCACAGGTGCGGCTCGAGGGCTGCGACTTGAGGAGACCGCTCAAGGTCGCCAAGGGCGAATCCAAGGAGCTGCCCGTCCGCTTCAAGATCGCCGGCCAGACCCCCGACGTCACAGCGCATACGCTAGCCTGGACTTTCTCGCCCATCGATACCCTCACCGAAAGCGGCGACCACGGCGATGTGGTTACTACGGGTTCGTACAACGCGAAGAATGCCCGCGATAGACCCTTCATCTCCGCTCCCGGTCTATACACTCTGAAGTCGGTGTCTGCTAGCTCATGTGAGGGCGAGGTTCAAGAGCCCTCTTCGTGCCTCTTACTTAACCCCCTCGAGCCCAAGGTCACACTACGCACCGAGGAGATTCCCGACACGTGTGCTGGTAACTCGATCGGTCTGCGCGTGGACATGGACCTGATCGGAACACCCCCATTCATCCTTCGATACGACGTTATCTCTAACGGCGAGCGTCGGTCTGAAAGGATAAACATCCCCGGTCTGCGATACCAGATGGATCTGATCCCCCGCGTTGCCGGACACCACAAGTACATGTTCACCCACATCGGCGACGACATTTATAACAGGGGCCGGAGACTCACCGGGTCTGAGTATGTCCTGGAACAGGACGTCAAGCCCGCAGCATCGGCTCTCATTCAGCACGGCTCGGGTAAAGTGAGCTCATGCTTGGGTGACGAGGTCACGACTGATATCCTGCTCCTCGGCGACGCCCCATTCACGCTTGAGTGGGAGATCATCCACGACGGTAAGAGGAAGCAACACAAAGCCACCAACATCCAGGAAGCTTCGTATCAAATCAAGACGAAACCCCTCACGCAAGGCGGCGAGTACACCTTGGGCTTGACGAGTGTCCAGGATAGAAGGGGCTGCAGGAACTTCCTGCAGGAGGAGCTCAAGATTTCCGTGAGGCGCCAGAGCCCGCGCGCTGCTTTCGGCCAGGTCGAGGGCAAGCGAAAGATGCTAGCTGTGGAGGGTTCAACGGCGAAGCTCCCGGTCCGCCTTACTGGGGAAGGGCCGTGGAGGGTCTTCTACGCGAACCTCGACGACGGGCCGGCAGACAACCCGAGGATCTTGGAGCGGACGGTCGTAAACGACAACGGGTTCATCGGCGTCGATACCCGTGGCGTTTACACAATCACGGATGTCTGGGATAAACAGTGTCACGGTGTCGTTGACGCTAAAGCGTCCAGGTTTGAGCTCGACTGGTTCCCTCGGCCTGAGATGGCCGTGTCGCTATCACACGGCGTCACCCAGACCGACAGCGGCTTTGTGGTAGAAGACGTTTGCGAGGGTGATGTGTCGGGATTCGAAGTCTCTCTACAAGGTCAGTCATTCGACACCACGAAAGCTCGAGTAGCGACATATGGATGGATCTAACATGCGTAGGAACACCCCCGTACACGGTGGAATACGAGGTCCGCCATCAGCCTCTCCAAGGGTCTAGCGCGCGGAGCAGGAGGAAATTCGACGCCACCCTTGGGAAGGAGACTATCCAGGCGGATACGTCCAAGGCAGGCATGTACTCGTACAAATTCACCGCTCTGGAGGACAACCTGTATAGCAGCGACCGCCACTTCAAGCCGCTGGTGGTTAAGCAGAAAGTCAACCGCAAGCCGTCGGCGTCCTTCGTCAAGCCCGGGCAGACGTTCAAATACTGCAAGTCAGAGCAGGACGACGAAGACGGCATCCCGGTCGCGCTGACGGGTGTCCCTCCCTTCGCGCTGGAGATCGAGGTCAAGCACCAGAGCGCCGCGGTGCCTGAGATCTACCGCACGCCGGCCATCAACTCAAACACGTACGAAATCCGCATCCCGCGTCACCAGCTCCGACTCGGCACACAGCAAATCCGCATCCGCGACGTCAAGGACGGCAGCGGCTGCCACTCGATGGCGGAGCTCGCCGGGCCCGCAGTGCAGGTCCAGATGTTTGAGGCGCCCACCATCTACCCGCTCGAGACACGCACCGACTACTGCGTGGGCGAGCGCATCTCGTACACGCTCTCGGGCACGCCGCCGTTCGAGGTGTGGTACACGTTCGACGGCGTCGAGCGCAAGGCGCGGTCGCCGACGACCAACTTCCGGCGGGTGGCGGAGTCGCCGGGGGAGTTCGCCATCACGACCATCGCGGACAAGGCGAGCGAGTGCCGGGCGCCGGTGCGCATCGCCAAGGCGATCCACCCGATGCCGGCGGTGCGCATCAGCCAGGGCCGCAACGCGCGCGTCGACATCCACGAGGGCGGCGAGGTCGAGATCCTCTTCGAGTTCTGGGGCACCCCGCCCTTCGAGTTCACCTACACGCGCAGCACCAACGCCCGCAAGGGCCAGAAGAGCCAGGTGCTCGAGACCCGCCACGACGTGAGCCACGAGCACAGCAAGGTCGTCCGCGCCAGCCAGGAGGGCACGTACGAGGTCGTCGCCATCAAGGATAAGTACTGCGCCTTCTCGACGCAGGGGGCCGAGGTCGGCAAGGAGAAGGTTAAGGGGCAGAAGGTTCTCGGGTATTAAGATTTTGTTTGGAGGAATAAGTGGCTGGGGGCGGAAGGTGGATGGATGAGCATGAAAAAATAGGTATCAAGATTGGGTTTTGCTTTTTGAGGTGGTGATGTTCAGTCTCTTTTGGGTTGCCGTAGGTTTTGTATCGTTGTACGTAAAGGCGGGAGGGAGAGAGAGGATCACCATAGCACGGCGTTTTGTGGGCAATGCAATGACTGGTTTAGAAGTCATCTACATAATAGTTATTAAGGGTTATGTGCTTGTTTACAACAACAGTCAGTAACAACAACGTTTCGGTCTCACGAGGCGATATCAGACCGTGTATGTACATGTGAACGGCTGAGACTTGAGTTGCGGAGTTGTTGTCCGCTTCCGACTCTTGTCTCGGGATACCCATATTACATACAGATTACCTTGAGCAAGTATCTATTCTTAGCTAAACTCGCCAAACTCCCGCCTTCGGCCTTTTTTTTTTTACAAGTAACAAGGCTGGCACGGCTGGATGCCCAGTCACCCAGTCGAGATCCACAAAGAAAACCGTGGCCTGCGGTAAGGGGAAGGGCTCGCTCCGATCTGTCGGTGTACCGGAACCCGGCAAGGCAAGGAGTCCTTCCACTCTACAAGTCTTGGCGGCTTGGGAAACGGACCAGAAGGCTGAAAATCTGTGGATTGAAAGCATGCCGATCCCTGCTGCGTTCGGTGGCAGCACGGGTTGCCTTTTCTGGCCGCAGAGCCCTCTCCCACCAACGCCCGGCATGGTCGGGTATCGGCACGGGTTTGTGGTGAGGGAGGCGAGTGTTTGTTGGTCAGGTGAGCTTTTGGTTGCGCTGAAGACTGTTACCATGGTGTTACCATGGCGAGCATGGCAAGGAAGAGGCCTCGTCTGGTTGTACAACCAACCAATATTGTTTATGTCTTCCACAACAGGTGGGAAGAGTCGGGTGGCCATTTCAATCCGGAGATGCCAATTATTCGATGCTGGGTTTGAGTCAGCGACTGCTTGAGAGTTACACAGTAGTTGGTCAGAGAATAACATAGTTATTGCTCATACGGAAAGATGACGAGTTGAAGAAACGAGCGAAGGAAGATAAACAGCATTGTGGTCCGAGTCTTGAAGAGTTGCCGAGCGTTATTTCCACCACGAACGGGGTTTTTGCTTGTTAGGTTATCGTCAACTCAGGCGTGTGGGTTGATGAATCATGCACTTGTCTCATCATGTTCTTCCCACATTTCCATCACTGCCTGCTTCAAGTGTCCCCGTCACTGGCATGCTCAACTTGGGATGGAAAGTCGAGAACGGGCTTTGTTCGGTGTCGGTCTCGGCTCCCCAGACCCCTGTCGACAGCCCGAGTCCCAGTACAACCAATCATGAACAGTGCGCTAAACGCCCAGAGTCCAGGATCTGTCAGGCTCCAGGGGTCCCACCCTGCTTGTGCAGCTCAACCCAAGAACGACGACGCCACCGCGTCGGGATTGATTTGGGGGAACATGGAAACCGCTTTTGCGATTTTACAATCTGGGAATCACCCAAAACGCGTGCGGGATTCAAGGCCGGAGTGGGAGGTCCGCCATCGAAGGTCCGTAAGGCGTCATTCCGGGGAGAATCTAGTCAACCTAGGTAACAGAACACTTCAAAACACTTGAACTGATAACAACGTCCACGGGTACAGCCCGAGGCAGTCTTGGTGATCACCGCCAATTCCTACTGTGTATATTTCCGGGCTCAGGCTGTCTGCACCCGTTGACGTTCGAACCCGCGGCTCCTGCAACACCCCGCTCTGTCTCCCACGTCTCTCTACTCACCTGTCAACTATGGCGTCTGCAACCTCAACTCTATACACAGTACGAAGATAGGTTGTGCATTTTTATCCCATTTCCATTCAACTCTTTGGACGATTCTCACTCACCGGGGACACCCTGCATTCCGCCCCGGAAGGTGCTGTGGGAGGTGACCTCATCCTTGGTTACGTCCAAATTCGCCGTTTCTTCCCCAGGCAATCCCTGGACGCTTTTGTCCGTCGCCCCGCTGCTCCAAGTCAAACTCACCTCTCGGCTTCGGTTCAGCTCCCGCAGCGCTAAAACGGCTCCCCCACACCCGCTGTGACTGCCCGTGGTCTGGATAACTCGTGTCATGAACGCAAAGCCAGCCCGTAACTACCACAACTTGCATCACATCAGATAATATTCCTCCACGAACAGGACAGCAACACGCTTCGGCAAAAGAGAAACCCAACCGTTAGCGGGTCTCGATTCCGCCCCGTGTGCGTTACGTCGCGAAGCGGGCCGTTACTTGGACCAAGTGCAGCCGAGCCTATGGTGCGCCACCTGGACGGAAAAGTGGGAACCCGCTCGCAGCTCGGACCAGGGAAGCCGCATTCCTCCCTCGTGGGGATGAGAACCTGGAAGGGACCAATCTTCAAACCGTCCACCTCCAGAATTGTTTCCCATCTGATTCCGGCCTCTTCCTGCGCTTATCTCGTTATCTGTGCCCATCGGCTGCCGTTGTTTGTTATCGTGATTCCGACTGCATTGACGGATTAACTACACCGCAGCGTCCACGCTGTCGTCGACGGGGTTGTGTGGCAGCTCGAGGTCCGCGTTCAGACCATTCCCTCGGCCGCGATCATGCCGCCCGCCGATGGCGACGCGGCCACCACGCCGGCTGGAAACAACTCCAGCGACTTTGTGAGAACCGCCCCGCCGCCTGCGCGCATTGTCATCGCATCACTTGAACTAACATGTCGTCTCCGCCCCCTAGGTGCGCAAACTCTACAAGTACGAGGAATCCTTCGCACCAACATCCCCCGGCCGCCCCTTTGACCGACACGTACTCACCCATGACGTCGCAGGATGCTCGAGGACCCCTCGTACAATTCGGTAGTACGATGGAATGCCGAGGGTGATAGCTTTGTGGTTTTGGAGGTACGCTTGTGGCCCGGACGCACGGCGTCCCATCTGGGGGAGCGCTCAGACTGATGATTGTCGGTGGCAGAACGAAAAATTCACCAAGACCATCCTCCCGAAACACTTCAAGCACAGCAACTTCGCCAGCTTCGTCCGCCAATTAAACAAGTACGACTTCCATAAAGTCCGGCACAACGAGGAGAGTGGCGAATCACCCTACGGGCGGGATGTAGGTTGCCCTGCCGACCCCTGGCGAGAGGCCCGTGTGCTGACAGTTTGGATGAAAGGCATGGGAGTTCCGGCACCCCGAGTTTAGGGCGGACAGGAAAGATAATCTGGATAACATTCGGAGGAAGGCCCCGGCTCAGAGGAAAGTCGCCCCGCCGGCCGACGATGCATTCCCAGCATCGCAGCAGATCGTGGTCCTGGGCGAGTCGCTCTCGGCGTCCCAGCATCAGATTCAGGCTTTACAACAACAGTACTATGAACTCGAAAAGACAAATAAGCTGCTTGTTAGCGAGGTTCTGAGTTTGCAAAAGATTGCTCGGGCCCAGAGCCAGGCATCAAACGAGCTGATCACGCATCTGAACAATGTCGAGGACCGCCGACGGAACAGCCGTCACTCGGCCCAGTCTAGCCACTCGACCCAGACAGGCCAGAACTTCCACGCGGGGGCGATGGGTTTCTTGCCGGATGGGGCGGACGAGCCGGCACCCGAGTTGCGGCGAGCCAGGGAGATTCTCAACGGCGTGTCCCCGGACGTCCAAGCGGATAGGGAACTGGAGAGGCTCTCCATGGCATACAACCAAAACGGATCGCCGGCCGATTCGGCCGGGTCGTCCTCTGTCATGTTTGCCCACCCTGGCCCGAGTATGCCGCTCGTCGACCCCTTAAACGACCCGCGGCACATGGTGTACCCGGTTGGGCAGACGACGGGCATTGACCCCTTCCACGCGGACCATATTCACAACATCCCCTACAGCCGGCCCTTGAGCAACCCCAACATCCAGGCGGAAGCTCCGTCACAAATGGGCTCATCGCTGAAAGAACAGCTGGGGACCCTGTGGCGCGGCAAGAAGCCGCATATCCTGCTCGTCGAGGATGATAAAACGTGCGCTAGGATAGGGTCCAAGTTCCTAACCAACATGGACTGCAGCGTCGACACTGCCGTAAGTAAGGGTGGCGGTTTGAGAGTGGAACATGGTTAGCTAACGTGTCTCGTAGGCCGACGGTCTCCTCGCCGTCGAGAGCGTCAACCAAGACGCCGAGCGGTTCGATCTCATCTTCATGGACATTATCATGCCCAACCTCGACGGCGTGTCCGCTACAGCCATGATTCGAGTTGTCGCCCCGCACGTCCCCATCGTGGCTATGACGTCGAACATCCGACAAGAAGACATCGCGACCTACTTCCAGTTCGGTAAGTCCTACGGCTCAGCGAACAACTCACCTTTTCCCGTCGCCCTCTAACAACCCCACAGGTATGAACGACGTCCTCGCGAAACCCTTCACCCGCGAAGGCATGGTTCGTATTCTCCGTAAGCACCTTACCCGTATGCTCAAAGACCCGCAATCCGGCGGCCTCGTCGGAGGCGACGACCTCGGCCAAACCGGCTCCGGTGGACACGGCGGCCCTCCTCACCCGGGGGGCTACGGCCCCGCCGCGATGGGGGGTATGCCCCAGGTCAAGTTCGAGCACACACCGATCCAGTCGCCCTCTACCGCCTCGTCGTGGCACTCCCCGAGCCAGATGCACCAGACCTCGCCCAACCTCGACGGCACGACCGGCGGACCCGGCGGCGGATACATGGGCGCTGTCGGCGGCGGGCCCGGCGGCATGGTGCTCACCCCGGGCGGCTCGCAGCGCCCGCCCTCCCAGACACAGCATCACCCCCACAGCCAGCACCAGCACCAGCACCAGCACCAGCAGGGCGGCTATGGCGGGTATATGACGCCGCAGCAGGCGGCGCAAGCGCAGGCGGCACAGGCACAGGCCCAGGCCCAGGCGATGCGCGGAATGGCGGAGAACGCCCGCATGGCGGGCATGCAGGTCGCCGGCAGCTCCACCGAGGACCGGCCCGAGAAGCGGCAGCGGTTATACGGACCCGTGCCGGGGCAGGGCGGCGGCGGCGGGTATGTGCAATAAGCGACAGTTTGACCGGTGGTTGTTCCTCCGCATCGGGCGGGGTGGTGACGTTGCGTGGTGACATTTTGACATATTCAGGGTGGTGGGCACTGAAAAGGGCGGTGCGACAAGTGCGAGCCTCGATCGGTCGGCGGGGGGGTTCGGATCTGGTCTTTGAATCTGGTCTTTTGGATACCGTTTTCGGATCTAGGATGGGAAAGGCTCGGATCGAATCGGACAGGAAGGAGTGAGAGCGGGCGTGCGGGGGAGGGCGAGCGAAAGAAAGTTGACAGTTGTGTGGTGATATCTTGGGTTGCGGGGTGATATCTTGGATCGGCGGCGTTGGGTGTCTCTCGTCGAAAGCGTATCATAGCATACCGCGTATCGTGCCTTGGATCGGGCCAGGCTAGCAGGGTCTCGGATTGAACGGAACTAAACAGAGCTGGGCTGTGTCCTATATACGTATTTTTAGTGTTGACCACGGAAGCACTAAATAGTGAGTAGGGCGTATGTATTTGTAAGTCGGCTGCTGGTCTGTGATCCGTTTTGTTCTTCGTTTGGCCGTAGCGTCGGGCAACGCGGCCTGAGGCTGCGTGTTCGAAGTTCGAGACGTCCTTGAGGGGAGGCTGGTGAGATCGGTAGGTGAATTATTCGCGGCGGCCGATAGCTGGCAAGTTGGCGTCGATCTGGGTATGACCATGGGAAGTCTTCGTCGGCCCCCCTCCCTTGCAACCGTATGGCTCGACGCTGCTTGGTGGGTGGGAAGTGAGGTCTTGGAATAAAACACGGCTGGGTCGGTCGGTGCGGTGAGGAAGAGTGAGACGAGAGACCGGTGACACACTCATGCTTGCCGTGCTTGACCAACAGGCGGGATCAAACGGAAGAAAGAAGGGAGAACCAAGCCGCTCGTCGCTGTGGTGACGGCTGGGGTCGCCGGAGCGCCTCGAAGGGAAGAGGCGGACTCGCGAACATCCCAGCCGAACGGGAAGGGAAGGGAAGGGAAGGAAGACAAAAAGGAGAAACGGCGGGCCCTGGATGGGAATATGTGTGAATCCCATCTGCTGCAGCCCGGTCCACTCACACATCCTCCTTCGAACCCTTTCCCTCGCATCCCTACCCCAGGCCAGGCCAGCATACACAGCCCCGACCCCAGTCCCCAGTCCCCAGTCACTGACCACGCCTGCGGGAAGGGCGGGAACACCGACATGGGATGAGCAGGGCAGCGGTTGCAAGGTGAAACAGGGTCCGGGGTCTCGAACAGATCTCTCCGGTTTGGGGGGGGCTCACGGAAGCTGAATGAATGGTCTGGGCGGGAAGTTGTTCCTTATTCGTAGCTCGCCGTGAGCAAACTGCGTCGGCAACGCAACCACGATAAGCTTTGCCGCCGGTTGGCGGCGGGGGAGGCCGGCGGGCTGTTAGTTATTTGTATTCGTACACTACACAGTCTGCCCTCTGAAACCAAGTGCCGGCCCCCGGACTGGGCCAGTTCGTGTGCGGGAACTTCCTCCACTAGTGCTACTCGAAGGGGGCCGCTGCTTAGCGTGGCCGGACTGGAGTCTGGAGTGGTCCAGCCCTACCTAGCGCCGTGTGTACAGATCTGTAGTTGGCTCGGTGGGCAGCGGGCGTTTCCTCGCCGGCTCGCCCTCGTCAGCCGTCTTGTCTCTGCTCTGCCGTTGGCTCGTTCGGCCGGTGGCTGCGTTAGTCTCGCGATCTCGTGAGGAAGCGACAGTCACTCGGGCAGATGGCCGATGGGTGTATTTGCTGATCAAGGGACAAGAACTTTCTGTGGGTAGACAGGGGGTCTTTCTCTTCTTCTTCTTCTTCTTCTTCTTCTTCTTCCTTCCCCCCCCCAAGCTCACGTTGTATCAGCCCTGTCCCTGTCCGTCATATTCCAGAGATGCCTGCTACGAAACGCCAAAAACTCCAGATCCGTACGTGCTGCACGGAATTCGAGCCCCCGTGCTACAGCGCTACGTAAGCTCGGCCGGAAATCATGCAGGTTTCTCCCATTTTCCATGGGGCCTGGCTCGTTCTGGACGCTCGGCGCTGGGGCTGGGCCGGGCTGGGCCGCCGCGCCGTTGCAGTCAAGCAACAAGGGCTCTCGAAATCGAGTGGTTGCAAGACAGTGAGTCCATGATTGTGTCGAAGGGATCACAGTGAGATGGATGAGGTCCATGTGAAACGGTGCGACACTTGTCGTCGTGCTCTGCTGCGGTAAGTCTGTAGTCCCATGTCTTTGGCTGTCTAGCAGCGCAAGAGTCAAACAGTGAGCGACAACCTTCAACGCCGTCTCAGGGCGGGAAAGTCGGGGCGGAACCGGGGGCCCGCTGCGAGGACAAGGGACGATCTAACAAACCATGTGGGTTGCTGAGATTCCCTTTTTTTAAAAAACCATCACTACAAATTACAGAGTAGTTATTTCGTCCATCCACGTGAACATTTCGCTTCTGCTGTCTCCTGCACGGTAAATCTAGACGATGAGGTCATCCGACCCAGAGGAAACTGCTGTGTCGCAGTTGGCGTGTTGATTCTCATCCCCCCAGTTTTGGACTTCAGATTGACGCATTGGGAAGGTGCCAAAAAAAGTGGTGTGTTGATTTTCATGTGAGGAATGTTCTGGGCCGGCCTTTCAGGGCGCCGCAATCTCGGACCTTGGGTTTCGGCTCGTCCAGAACGGCAGGCTGCATGCCCGTTAAAACCTTGATTGGCAGGTTCCAACTGCGTTGGCAGCGTCCCCGGGTTCCTGTGGGTACGTGGGCCTGACGCTTTGGCCGGTTTTCGTCGTCGCACTGAGTCGCTTTGATGATGGAACAATGGCATCCCAAAAAGAAGCTTTTGAGGCCTTGCAGTATCTCATACTTAATGCGAGATCGCGATGATACGGTTGAAACCTTCCTCAGAAGTTGTACATAGGTTGTCTAGTTCAGTGACGAGTGAGGTACCTACCTCGCTACATGTTGTTAAGAGATCCCGTCCTCTTCCGTACAGGAGTTGTCGTCACAGCATAAAGGAAGAGAAAAAAGAGTGGATAAAATACAGAACGTAAAAGTCGGACCAAAGCTGCACTTTACCATTTTAATTTTAAACACGTCTCTTGACAATCAATATCAGCCGCAGGTTCCCGAGGCAACTTGCAGGTCGCGAACAAACGGCGGCTTGGAAATGGGGCTGTCGTCAATCTCCTAACCCTGGCCTGAAATCCGCTCTGCGCCTCGTCTCTCAGCCTTGCAGCCACAAACCAACCCCGCACCCCACCATTGAACTTTTGGAACTCGAATTGGCCGGCCTTTGACTCATACGTGACTGCCGTTTGGGTTTGTTCATAGCACCCTTGCACTCAGAAAGCTGTAATTGGCACCAGGCATAGTACCCGACTCTGTACTGCGAAACAAGCTCTCAGCAAACAAACGAGACCCCAAACAGAGCACCCAATGTCCAAGCAAGGAGGCAAGGGCGGGGCTGCCGCGGGCAAGGCAAAGAAGCCCGCCAAGGCCGGTACCGACGAGAAGAGGGAGGATGTGCTCCAGGCGGTCATTCTGGCCGACTCGTTCCAGGACAGGTTCAAGCCATTCACATTGGAGACTCCGAGGGTATGGGTTAACCCCGTTCAGGCTTTCCTTTTCCGTTTTGTAACAGAGCTAACCCACGGACCCTAGTGCCTCCTGCCGCTGGTAAACGTCCCGGTGATCGAGTACACCCTCGAGTTCCTAGCCTCCAACGGCGTCCAAGAGGTCTTTATTTACTGCGGCACCCATTCGGAAAATATCGAGAACTATATCCACGAGTCTTCGCGATGGAACCCCGGCAGCGTTATCTCGCCCTTCTCCTCCCTCGAGTTCATCCGTGTTTCGGATGCGAATTCCATCGGCGACTTCCTACGTGACTTGGACAAGCGGAGCATAATCGGGGGCGACTTCATTCTTGTCCATGGCGACGTGGTGTCGAATATCCAGCTGGATGCCGCCCTAGCGAAGCACCGCGCGAGGAGGGAAGCAAACCGCGATGCCTGCATGACGGTGGTACTGCGCTCTGTTGGGGAACAACCCCATCGGGCAGCAAAGGCGAGGGGGATCACGCCTGTATTCGTCGTTGACCCGACAACGGGGCGGTGCTTGCAGTACGAGGAGACACATCCGCTTCAGAGCGGGCGCTACCTCAACCTAGACCCGGCTGTGTTCTCCCATGGCCAGTTCGAGGTCCGGACCGATCTTGTGGACTGTGGTATCGATATCTGCACCCCGGATGTGTTGGCGCTATGGTCAGAGAGCTTCGACTACGAACTACCAAGGAAAAACTTTCTTCACGGCGTGCTGAAGGACTGGGAGCTTAACGGAAAGATGCTCTACGCTGAGGTCCTAGATGACGGATATGCGGCGCGTGCGACCAACCTTCAAATGTACGATTGTATCAGCCGGGATGTCCTTGAGCGGTGGACCTTGCCGTTCGTGCCGGACAGCAATCTCATCCATGGCCAAACTTACAGGAGAATAAAAGGCGGAAGTTATGTCGAGGACCATGTCGTGGCAGAGAGGGGCACTAAAGTAACGCAGTCGGCAGTTGGGCGGGGGACAACGATCAAAACCGGAAGCACCGTTTGGGGGAGCACTATCGGGAGGCGGTGCAAAATTGGGAAAAACGTCAAGATCGAGAACAGTTACATTTGGGACGATGCCGTGATAGAGGATGGCGCCTCCGTGGTCCACTCGATATTAGGAGGCTCGGTCGTTATCGGAGCGGACTGCCATATCCCGGAGGGGACGCTCATCTCATACCACGCTCACATTGCCAGCGGTGTCCAGCTACCATCAAAACCACCGGCCCGCATTTCGGTACTATCAGACAACAAGCAGCTCGCCGACACCGATGTCTCATTGGTAGGCAAGGGCGGCAAGGGCGCCTCGTACACAGTCATCGCCGACGATGAGGATTCGGACGATGAGGATGGTGCGGACCGGGACCCCGCAGTCCTTCAAAGCTCCCTCCTTTACTCCCTCGAAGGCCTCAACCTCTCCACCTCGTCCATCTCCACCCTCGCCTCGGATGACGAGTACGACTCGGACGACGACATCTCGCTGGCCGGGTCCCTACACGCAGGCGACTTCGGGCATGCGCGCGACCGGCTTTCGTCGTTCGCCTCGGACGACGCCGCCAAGCCGGACGGCTTCCACAACGACGCGGTCCACGGCCTGGTCGACGCCCTCCGCGCCGACGACAGCGACGACTTCGACGGCGCCAAGCTCGAGTTCATGGGCCTGCGGCTCGCCAACAACGCCTCGGACGGCGCCATGCGCCGCGCCATCGCCGTCGCCTTCGTCCGCCGCGCCGCCGAGCTGCTCGCCCCGGAGCACGGCGCCCTCGAGCCCACCAAGGCCGCCGCCGAGGCCCTCACCGCCAAGAAGGGCGCCGCCAAGTTCGTCAAGGAGGTCGGCGTCGGCGGGGAGGGCGTCCCCCAGCAGGCCGAGTTCGCCCTCGCCCTGCAGAGGGCCCTCGGCGCCGTCAAGGGCCTGGAGCCCGCTAGGGCTGGCGCCCTGCTCGCCGCGCTGCTGCAGCAGCTGTACAGTCTGGATGTGCTCGAGGAGGAAGGCATTCTGGCGTGGTGGGCGGATAAGCGGGCCGCGGAGAATGAGGACATGGATGCTCTGAGGGAGAAGTGTCGTGTGTTGGTGGAGTGGTTGGAGAATGCGGATGAGGAGGAGAGTAGTGAGGAGGAGGATGATGATGATGAGGATTAGAGTGATTGATCTGTGTGTGTGGTGGGGGGGTTTAGGTAGTCAACTATGTTGTGGTTGTGGTAGCTCTGGTTTGCTGAATGGGGTCATGCCATGTGGTTCTATAAAGACGGTTTTGGGGTGCTTTCGAGCCTCACTGTATGCTTGCTAGCTGGTAGAGGGGACGGAAAAGGAAAAGCAACTGTTGTTGAACTCATATCGTATCTTATCTATTCGCACTCGAGAGCTCAACACCAAGACCGGTCCGCTTGAGTGTGATACTGAGAGGGGAGTAGGCCGTGTGAGCACTGGGGACTGAAAGGTGGGGAAGAAAAGAAAGAGCTATCCTGCTCGTGCTATCTATCCATGGATGATGGTCTAAGTGTGGTCGTGAGTTGCGTCGCTTGTCCCTCCGTTGGTTCCTCATCAAACCTAGATGTATTCGGTTCGTTTTCCATCAGATCCTTCAAGCAGGACTCGTTGACTGTTTCCCCCCCGACGGCATGCTAAGCATTTGGACGTAATGCACAGCTACCCACCTACGTATCACTGACTAGTCGGCCGGGGGGAATAGATAAATAATCGGAGTTGTCTCGTAAACTAGTCAAGTCCGAAAGACCACCAGGAGGGATGCAGGAGGAGGGAGACAGGAAATAGTATTTTACGTGCGGACGCTCCTTGTATTTACCTCAGGGGCTTACAGTGTTTAAGTGGGTTGGTTGGGCTTTGCAATATAAGGTATTGCGTTAATACTCTTGCAGCACGACAAGTAAGAGTGTTTCTAGTGCAATGGGAGCCAGAGGCGGAAGTTTAAGGGGATTCGGGTAAGTGCATGTTTCTAGAATCTAAGGATTAATTCCGTCTTCTCCGCATACTTGGAATCCAGTGCATTAGGGATCAGCTAGGAAACCTGTAAACGCCAGTGGGCCGACATCTGTTGCTGATATTACATACTTCCTAACACCTTGTTTACGTATGCCCTTCGAAGTTTGGTTCATGGTGAGGAGCCCCTGGCAAGTACATGCATGGTAGTTGTTTATATCAGTCGAAATACAAGGCAGCGACAGAAACAATACTTGCAGTCACACGATGATAAGAGTTGATGACTTTATTGAGCTACCTAGGTAGGTAGTAACGGGACTTAAAGTGGTGTCTCGATGTGACTGGGAGCTTAAATGGAAAATCCGAATGCATTGTTGGGTGTAAAAAGGGGTAGAAGGGGGCAAAAGAGAATCGACAACTACAAGATTCGAACTTGTGAGGGCGAACCCAACAGATACCGTGAACGAGGAAATTCAAGTCTGTCGCCTTAACCACTCGGCCAAGTTGTCTGATTACGTGATTGCGGAGGGCATCGGGAATCGTGACTCATGAGAGGTTCGTTGTTGGTTGCCGTCTCGAAGAATCTGTCAGAGGATCATGCAGCGAGGGGGTGGCGAGGCGGCTGTGTGGCGGTGCAACGCCGTGGCTTGACAGGAAGGTTCCAACAGGCATGTTTGGGGCTTGGGAACGTTTTGATATTTTGACCCTGCTTACGCCGGGTTTGCATTTTTTGAGTCCCAGCGCCCTGCTAGTTTGCTTGCTCGTTTGTTTTGAAGGACTGATAAAACGGGCTCAGCCTTGCAAACCGGAATTGGGCTTATCCTTGCCGCGCTGATGTCGTGCTGTGCACAGTGTTGCTTGTGACCTTGCCTTCGTCTCTGGCGTCGGAGGGTAGGCGTACCATCATCTGCCCTTCTTTTGCCCTAGGGTGCGGGTTATTTTCGGGGCGACAAGTTCGCGAGGGGTCCCAGCTTTACGGGCATGACATGCGATGGAGCTCGAGATTCCCAGGTTACCGGGTCTCTAGGATCCGGAAACTGACGAGCCACCCCAACCCGCGCCTCAGGGCTTGCTTCCTGGGCGGGTCGTGGCAGTGATGATCCTCTTCTGCTCTTCAGGGGAGAACAGAGCTGTCCCCTGCTGCAACGCGCTCACGAGAATTGGAAGGGCATCGTTCTTGAAGTCGTCGGCGGCGCGCACCTTGTCGAGGTCCTCGGCGAACTCTTTCGTAGCGCGCTGAAGGTAGTACGACGTGAACTCGGATGCGATTTCTTGGTCGGGCTTTTGCGGAGGCGCCATTTTATGGGACTTCGGGGCTTGTGTATTTTGGCGAAAAGAAGACGTGCCGGCAATTGTTTAACTAGTGTCGTCCCGTGCGAGTTGGGAGCTCAAGAAGTTTTAATTTGAGTTTGAGATGGAAATGGGCGAGTGAGAAACATGTCCAGGCCTTGGCACCTGCGCCCACCTCAGGGTTGGGGTCCCACGTGGCTCCTTCTGGCATCTGATGTTCAACAACAATCTGTACGAATACACGAACTTAACAGACACTGGCATGTTTGCCCAAACCTTCTGGAACTGGGACCGAACTGGGCTCACAAACACATATTTCAAATGTTTAAAATTGGCAGTGGTCAACCGGGCCGTTGATACCCCAGCCGATGCGGTCTTCGAGGGTCGGGCAATATTCATTCGTATTCCGTACATGCGCACGCCATGACGGGTCAAGCCACAGACAAGTTGAACATGTCATGTCCGTCCCGAACCGAAGCTTGGCAGCATCCAACCCGAGCAGTACGATACAGAAATCATGTGTCTGTGCTTTTTGATTGCGCCTTGCCGTCAAGTCACATCGACAGGTCCCCTTTCGTTCCAGCAACCGCCAGTTCATTGGATGCGCCATCATCCCCACCGCGGTTTGACCGTTGCATCGTATCGAATAGCGGAATGCGATTGGGCAGCCCTGCGGCTGCGGCGCGGCTGGTTGATCGACCCACATGTATTGATCGCGAAATACGGCTGGACTCGAGGCTCGGGGAGACTGGTTATAAGTCATGGACGTGTGCTCGAAGATGGAGTTCTCGAGAGAGATGGTAGACTCGCGCCTCTGTTCCGGTGTACTCAACAATATCGCAAACTCTAGGTTGCCCGACTGACACGCCACAACCACTACCACGAGACAAGAACCCATAGTTATCCAAGGACTTGGTCCACTCAACAACTTCCAAGATGGAGACGGGAGAATATGGTAATGAACATCTTGTTGGTCTTTGACTTGGATAGTCAACTGACAGGACGCAGTCGAGGGTAGCGTATACTTCTACGCCCCTAACAAAGGCGCCCCGGTGTTCTTCGCCGTCGCCTTTGCGGCCTCCGGGGCCTTACACACTTGGAAGTGCATGTAAGTGCCATCGATCCGTCTACGATACACAGCACACGTAACTGACACAAGCCAGACAATACAAGAGCTGGCGTCTGACCGGCCTCTATGTCTTTTGCGCCCTGCTTTTCACCGTTGGCTTCGTCATCCGCGAGATAGGCGCCTTCGACTACGATGACTTGATCAAGTTCATCGCCAGCACCTGTCTGATCTACGCAGCACCGTACGTATCCCCCCCTTCCCTGCCATAACCCTCCCTCAACACCACGCTAACCCACCCATTCCCTTCCAGCCCCCTCCTCGAGCTAGCCAACTACAACGTGCTCGGCCGGATCCTCTACTACGCCCCCTACCACTCGCCCATCCACCCGGGGCGGGTCATCTCGACCTTCGCCTTCGTCTCCATCGTGATCGAGATCCTCAACGGCAACGGCGTGGCCTACAGCGTCAACCAGTCCCTCACCCCCTCCCAGCAAGACATGGGCCGCTCGCTCCTCAAAGCCGCCCTGGCGATGCAGCTCGGCGTGCTGGCCCTCTTCCTCCTGCTCGCGGGCACCTTCCACTACCGATGCATCCGTGCGGGGCTGCGCAACCCCAACCTGCTCAACGCGCTGTACACGCTCTACGCCTCCACGGCGCTCCTGCTAGTCCGCACCATCTTCCGCGTGGCCGAGTACTGGACCATCTCGGAGCACGACTTCTGGCGCGACGACATCGACCCCAGCACGCTCAGCCCGGCGATCCGCTACGAGTGGTTCTTCTGGGTCTTTGAGGCCACGCTCATGCTGCTGAACCATGTGCTCATGAATGTGCGCCACCCGCGTAAGTATCTGCCGCAGAGTACGAAGACGTACCTGGCGCTGGACGGGGTGACGGAGGTGACGGGGCCGGGGTATAAGGATGGGCGGTCGTTTTTGGTTACTATCATTGATCCGTTTAATCTGTGGGGGTTGGTGAAGGGGAAGGATAAGGAGACGCGGTTTTGGGAGGCGGGGGAGGGGAAGCCGCCCGCGACGAGGGATGTTGAGGCGCAGGCGCAGGCGTGAGGTTGGGTTTGTTTGGATGGGATGGGGGAGAGGAAGGGGAGGTGGTTCTCTGTTTGTTTTGTTTTGTTTTGTTTTGTGTGGCTGGATTCAATCTTGGGAGTTTGGGGTAGGGCTTTTTGCGGGATACCCCCGGATACATACGTGGTAGAGTTGGGGTTTAATCAATACCTTCTTGAAGTTGGGGAAGTATGCATCTTCGTTGCTTCGAGAACCCAGGAGAAGACAACATGCCTGACGATCTGCCTGATGATCTGCTGGATGATCTGCTGCTGGTTATTTTTGGGGCACAAGATCTCGTGTTTGTCTGCACGGTTCTTCCTAACGGGAAGCCAAAAGCATCTCTCCCTCCGGCGGATCAGCCGACAGACGCAGCCGTCTTCGCGATTCTTTGTTTTGAAACCCGGGTGCCTGACGCGCGTGGGCCATGGAAGCGTCCATGGAAGGAATGGAAGGCTTCGAAGCTAAAATGTTTAAGGTTTGGCAGAGAACCCGCAATGGTGGCTGATGCCCAATCCCCTGCCTAGCTGGGGGCTTGGGGTGGCCGGGTCCCGCATCCGCCGATCTCGTTCGCATCCTTCGGGGAGATCCGAAGAGGAGGAATGCGAGGGTCTTGTGCGTTGTCACTTCTTCGCGAGCTTCTTGTGGGTTCTTCCTCCCTTCTTTTTTTCTTGGGCCCCCACCTTGAGGATTCAGTAGGATCGCGGACTGGATACCGGCTTCACGAGAAGGTTTAAAATGACAGGAGCGGTGAGCCAAACTCTCGGTAGTTGGGGTTCGTGTCAATCGGCATCGTGTTAATGTCGTTGCCTTTGAATGCAAGGTCATTCCTTCTGCCTGTTTGATTTCGCTTGCTGCTCCTGATGCGCGTCGAGGTCGCGATGGTGGTGGATCTCAGTCCGCGTTTTCGAGCAACCCCCAGGTTCGGGAGAGCCGTTGACCGCTCATGGCACGAAGTGTCGAAAACATAAACATAGGTATTCATTGAGTGCCTGCGAGGCGATAGGAAGTCAGCTAATTCAAAGCAAACTTGAAACCGAGGCACCGAAGATGGCATAGAGGGAGGCTACAGCAAGAAAGACCCTAGTACGGCAGCCGTGTCAATATTGATGTGGCAGGTAAACATCAGCCCTGCCTGGAAGGACGAGGCGACGGTTTTCAACGCAGCGATGCCCGTCTGTGCCCTTTTTACCTCTTTGGGAAACGCATAGGTCCGGCAAAGCTGTCTAAGTGGCGGACAGGCCCGGCCGGCGTGGCTCCGTGGCAGCTGCGGCTCCATCACCACGGCCCGGGTGTCCGAAGTGTCTGGTTGAGTATCATCTCAACTTTTCGTTTGAAAAGGTCGATTCTGCTCTGGGTAGAAGCGGTCATTACTTGGTAGATGCATACCTACCTGAGGTATCTCCATGTGTAGGCCAAGAGGTGCATGAACGTCGGTTGGACTGCATTCCGAACGACCCAGTAGTGAGTGTGATGGCGGTATGGAGCTTGAAGGGCTGGACAAGAACAATTCACGACAATTGCCTATCCGCACAAAATCGCAGATCCTTTGTCTGTCTCAACTTCCCTTCGAGCCTGAAGCTTTTCATAGGGTTGACAAGGGCCAGAAGTGGCACGGCAAACAAAGTAATCAACCACGTGCGAACCCCGCTCTTCGAACCAAGAACATCCCGTCTCAGCCAACCGCACAAAGAGACCAAACTCTTGCGCTCGCGCTGAATTGCTGTCCGTTCACCCGTCTGGTGCCCACTTGTCCGGTCCCAACTTCGGTGCTTGTCCCACTCCTCCCGCAACGACTCTTGCCCGTATGGAGGTGACGACGCGGTGCGCGTCGCTCCTTCGCGCGTTCCTCCCCACAGCTCGACACCAAGAATAGGCTCCGGAAATGAATCGTGGCGCCAAGATCCAAGGGAAGTATGCGAGTTTCGGCATGCAAAAAGAAAGTTGCGAATTCATCTGTTTTTTCCCTCTCGTTTCGGTTCCGAATTTGTCTATCGAGAGACTCTCTCATCTGGAGCCTAACGGTTCTACTCCACAGCTCGCATTGCATGGATCCGTTTTATCGCTTTTTCTTTGTCGGCTGAACTTGAGGTGTTGGGAGCGGTCAGTTGGGACAGTCAGGCGTTCATTGTTGGGTGCCAGCACTGCCTCGAGGATTAGCTTCCTCCAGGCCCGCCGAACCCAGGCGGCCCCGAAAAGCCGAGCTTACCGTCGCCGAGGACCTCGTCTTCACCGGGAAAGCCGAAGCTGTGAGGCCTTCGAAGCCGTAAAAACCAGAAAACTAGTGTGTTTGAGAAGCTTGGAATGAGCAGCGTCATAGGCTGGCTGTCAAACTCCACACTACCTAAGCTGTTGGTTGCATGTTGTTGCATCATGCTCTCGCAGAAACATGGCCGGGAGAGCCACAGAGCGGAATGCGGCCGATCCCCGCACCCCTGCAGTGCTGTCGCGCAGGGACTTTTGCCCCCTTCTGCATTTGGCTTACGGGCGCCGAGGCGCCCCAACTTGACGGACCGGCGGGAGATTAGCTAATTGCACAGGGGACCGACATCGCCAGGCTGCCGCTTTTCCACCAAACCAAAATAATCCCCGCCCGGCGGCAGTGCACCCACCGCAGCATCACAAGCAACACACCCTGGTCCGTTCCTTTTCTTGTCACTCACCCCACCCCCTCCGCACCCCTGACCACCCGCGTTCGAACCGGGACCTTAAACATCAGATTGGCCCCCCTCAAAGGTTCGCCTCTCCTAAGAGCGGGCATGGGCTGAATTGCCGACAATTTGATTCGAGAGAGAGCGGCTCTGCTCAGCTCAGCTCATCATCACTTCATCGGTCCCCGCCATCAGTTCGGCATCAATCAGTAACAGGAATCCGGATTAGTTTCTTGCCACTCGCCCATTTAGCTCTAAGCGTCTGAGGGCTTTGAGAACTTCACCCACCACAAACAGCACACCCAGCACCCAGCACACACATACTCATTCCCCGGCATTGGCGCCTCCAACAAGATGACGGCGCCCACCATGGACCACCACCCGATCCGAGCACAGACTCAACCCCAACCAAAGAGCGAGCGATGGGCTCCCGAAATCTACGTCCACTTGGAGTTCAGGGTCTCATGGGGCGGCAAGAAACAACAGCAACAGCCCTCCAAGAACCACCAGATCACCTTCAGATCCCGCGGCCCACGCGAAAGGTCACCGGCATTCCCGCGTCAAGTCCCCGCACCCAACACCAATTACCTCGCCGCCATCCACAACTTCGACCAGAGGCAAGCCAGAGTTCGCGAAACCCGCCAGAACAACCCACACAGGCATCACCAGATGCAGGAGTATTACCAGGGAGAGCAACTACGGGAACAGCAACGGCAACAACAACGACAACAATCACGGCAGCCACCACGACAGCAACCACCCACGCATCTTCAAGTACCCATCATCCGGGAACCAGAACGGCCAACAAGGGCCGACACCCGCTCATCATCACACGAGCGAGGCCGCTCGGCCCCGCCTCCCATCGGTGAGAACCCATGGGATGTGAACATCCCCCACCTCCAGGCAAGGAATTCGGAGATGACCCCTTCGGACCGCCCGACGGAAATCAGGCGGAAACCACTGCCGGCCCCTCCATCACAGTTCCGCCTCGGCGATGGAGGACAACCATGGTCGACATGGTCCCTACCAGACGGCTACGACCCAGACACCCACCCGAAGGACGAGGAGGACTACGGAGACTACGACACCTACGAGGACATCCCGGTCATCTCGGAGCCGGGCGACCGAAACTCGACGACATACGCCACGAATCCCACCATGGTCTCCACCTTCTCGCCCGAGCCCACCACCTTCATGACCGAGCCCACCATCACCGTCTCGCAGGAACCAGAACCCCGCGCGGCGGCGGCGGCGGCGCCCGTGCGGGCCCGCGACGTGGAGACGGGCCGGGCCAAGGAGCTCGGCGCCCTGTCGGCGGCCATGATGACGGTCGACAACGGCTTCGAGACCCAGTGGTGGAACCAGGGCCAGCGCGACACCGTCTTCAGCGGCACCACCGACGACCCCACCACCCCGGACGAGAGCCCCATCCACCGCTGGTCCACGGGGCCCATGTCCATGTCGTCCACCGCCAGCCCCGTCGAGGCCCGCCTCCCCGCGGGCGTCGTCTCGCCCCTGACCGATGCGGCCTTCAGCCCCGCGCAGGTGCCGGCGTCGCTGCTGCAGCGCACGCTGTCGACGCGGTCCGAGGAGCTGTGGTTTCGTGAGGGGAATCATTAGTTGGTGGGGGTTGGTTGTCTGCTTGTCTTTTTTTACGGTTATTACCTATGGGTGGCGTTGGGTGGAAAATGGCCTGGGGTTCTTTAAATCTACGACGTTTACGAGAGAAGCGATGGCTGGGCTTGGTGCCGGCCATGGCGGTTGTACGAATATCGCGGTTCCAAAGGCATCTCAGCGGGGTTTTGGTTTGGTATTTTTGAGCGCTTTTTTCGGAGTTGGATATCGGTCGGGCATGTTCCAGCGCGGAGGATATTCCCAAAAAAGCTTACCATGTTTTTTTTTATTGTCTTTTCTCGTATTTCCGCGCCCTGGTTTCAGGACGCGTGGAAGGCGTCTCTTGCCAGCGCCTAATCTACTACCTAATGAATGATAGCAACTTCTGCTGCTATGGTTACATGTTCAACATCATCATCTCTGCATCTGAACGTGAAAATATGTTTCAGTGTGCTGGGATCTGGTTACTCTACTCCATCTCATTCCGGCGATGGTTACCCATCATTTACGAACTGTTTTCCTAAACCGGATCCAGAAAATCAGGCAGCGAGAATCAAGCAACCCCCCCCTGACCAGACCTACGATGCGGCCACTCGGCTTGGGATGGACATCACTCGATCGATGATAGCCCCCGAGCTCCATGCCCTGCCAGCAAATCCAATTCGGAATATTTACAATAAGGTTGGGAGATACCCTCCCGAGACTGCCGGCACTAGAAGCACCCCCTGAAAGCTGAAAGGCTCTTCAGAAAGCGCCCCCCGCCCCCTGGCTAGTTTGAGGTGCCGGTTCGGTGTGGGGAGTGGTACTCGGCCCGGCTTCGGCGTGGGTCAGGCTGATGGCTGATGACTGATGATGGATGGTTGATGATGCTGATGCTGATGGCAGGCGCAAGAAAATATACGCTGCAACGCCGGGGAGGGCGTATTCGTGCCACATACACAGCACCGTGTGGCGGACATCTCGGCTCAGGTCAGTGTCGGGGTGCCGGAAGCCGGAAGCTGGAGAGGGGCTCATTCATCCTCGGCAGGCACTCATTACATACTTGATGCTGCGCGCGCGTGGTAAGTCCGGTTTCGTGCTCCTGAAGTGGCGCACACGGGCTGGGCCACTTGGAGGCTTACCCCCTCCCTCGTCGTGTGGGGATCGGGGCGCTACGGCTGTTCGAGTCAGTCGGTAGCCGCCGCTGCTTTCGTCCTGTCGGGCTTATGGGTCCCCATAACAACCGCCAGAACTACAGTTGATGCCCGTGGGTGATGTGCCCCTCCCGGCGGCTACGGGGAGTGGTTAAAGGCGGTCTCCTCCGAGTGGGGATGCGCCAGTGCCAGCGGGTAGTTCGTTAACAAGAGGGCACTGGAGTGACTGGGCGATATCCCCCGCCGCTTTGAGCCGTGCCCTTGGAGAACCGCCTCTGCTACTATCGCGGGGCGCTGTTTAGCGGCCGCAAACAACGTCTACCGAGTATGTGTGTATCCTTCCAAGAACGGGATGAAGCCAAAGACGACGCCGCCATTAATCTCCGGCCATGCACGAACATCACAAGTCCCAAGGCGCTTCCGCGGGGCTGAGAAGTCGACGACGAAACGGGGCCAACCGGCTCAATCTCCGCGTCGTAGGCTTCCATATTCGAGACAGTAGTCGAGCTATCTGGAGCGGAGAACAGTAGACGGGACCAGCTTCCGGGTGGGGGCTGACTTTCCGGGGCCCATCACACCTCTTGGAGGCTTGGGTTGTGTTTCATGGCAGCACTACATACACTACTTTGTTTGGGCGAGACGTTCACCGGTTCCGTGTGTTCCAACACAGGCGTGGCTGGCTCTGCCGTGGCCGCTTACTCAAGTATGTGAGTGGTATTGTGGCAGATTTGCGCCTGAGGCCAGGCAGCGAGAAGCCGTGCCTTGGTTGGATGTGTAGGACAGAGTAACGAGGGGTGGTCAGGCCCGGTGGAGATGGGTGGTTTATGGTTAGGGCATCCGTTCTATGTTACTTACGATGTGGGAGAAAGTGGGGGAGCCGTTGGACTGTTGTTCAGTTGGCTGTTGATCACTTAACCGTCATGTCGGGCGGCGGCGAGTTGGTGGATTAGTGATGGCAAGGACTAACTAACACCTTCCTCACACCGCCGGCTGCTCGCGGATCATCATCCACTGACCGCTCGTACTCGAATCCCGCTGCCTAACACCAGAGGTTACGATACGGTGTAGTTTCCTCCACAACACAGTGAGTTGAATGGGGGGGGATGACATCCGGAGAAGCTCACAGGCTGGATCAGGGGTTCGTGTATCGCCAGTTGTCCCAAACTGGATGCTGTTCAGATCTCTGCCGGCCAAACCCGCAGTCCTTCCATCGCCAAGCAGCAGGCATCTGATGGGCCAGGCCCGGGTCCCCACGGCGCTCAAAGCCGAGACTCCGCACTCGTCCTGTCTCCGGAGTTGGCAATCCAGATCGGAATCAAGATGTGGATGGCATCGGACGGACGGCGGCGATGGTTGGTTGATGCCTTACAGATCACCTCGTCTCTCGGAAGCTAATGGGGCACTTGCTAGGCGACGGGGGGCCGTCGGTCGACAGAATGGTCGAGCCCGGTGGTCATCCTGGATCCTTCTCATTTTGCTGGAAGCTTCTTGCTTGCTTTGCTGGCTCTGTCCCACCTCTCGGCGGTACTGTGTAGTATTAACCAACTTCGGCATGTGGGCGCAGGCCAGTTGGCGTTACAGCGGCGTGGCTTGTAAGTGATCGTGATCGGGCCGGAGAGTGGGAGATTGTGGATGTTTCCGCAGATCATGACAGAAGCGTAACGTTGTTTGCTGCTGGACATGTTTCGAAACGGGGTTTTGCTGTCAGCTCGGCCATGTCCAATGGCGAGGCAAGGCACTCAGTAAGTGATGTTTCGAGATATGGAAACCAGAGAACCAGGGAAACCATCATTCAGCCTCCTCCCCCGTGTACCTGCAGGACGGGACTCCTTCCTGAGCCGATGTAGTATCACGCGCAGTGCCTCAAGCTGCCAGAGGTTTCAGCGCATCGAGGCTCAGTTCTCGAAGACGGGCCGGAAAGGGGTAGCTCGGGTTTGACAGAAGGGTCAACAGACGGGACCGGGCCCGTTCCCCGCCAGATCTGGGGGTCCATTCCATGTTGTGTTGTCACTGTGTGTTGGATGGCAATGGATGGACCCCCCAAGACCAGGCAACAACTTACGGGCCTTGGGGATTGGGAGACGGAGCCTGCCGGCTGGGCCCTCCCCCCTGGTCTGTTTAAGGGGGGAGGCAAGCGAGCCGCCTCGGGTCTTGGGGATAGCCTCGCTTGGAGACAAAGCCCAGCCTTGATCTCCCAGGCGCGTGGCGAGCCGGTCCAGAACGAGATTGTGGTTAGTGGGAGTGTAGGCCGTCCCATCCCGTAGCAGGCCGTCGGCGTGTCGACCACGAGGGGTGCTTCACGAGCCGCTGGACACCACCCAGCCCCATCACAGACCATCACGAACCCTCTGCCGGCAGGGAGCATGGCCTCCTGACATAGCCTCGCTCGCCCGTCTCATTCTGATCACGTCACAGGCGTGCATGCTGCATGTCCACACCCCCTTTGGGCGTTGGAAGATGAGGTAGGATTTAAGCTCAGAAAGAATTCTGCTGCCTGGCTGCAAGCACCCCTGCTAGACACCCAATCATCACTGGCGTACTTGGTAGGATTCTGGATTTTGCCAATGCCAATACACCCCAAGATGCGATTGATGGATTCGATCACTGGTAACTATCCAATGGGAAAGACAGAGTAGTCTCGTCTTGACTTTGAGGTTCGTCAGCAGAAGGAAGCTTGTGATAGAGGAAGGGCACAAGGAGCAACTGACATATCACGATGGATGGATCACCTCTCAAGCCGCTGAAGGAAGCCAGTCTTTCCACAAAAGGAAACATATGCTCAGACAACAAAGATACATAACGAATTACCATGTTGACACATGCAGGCAACTCACTCATCCATCCATCAGCCCATCCCCGGCCGCCGGTCTCATCTCTCAACTCCCAACTCCCAAGCCCGTAGCCGGCACCGGGACCAACGCCGTCCCCACCCCCCGTTGGTTGATCGCAAAGTTCCCATCTCGAAGTCCGAATCCCATCGAGGCTTAGCCAACTCCCCCGCGGCAATCTGCAATGTCCGTCCGTCCTTCCCGCGGCAACATCTCCGCCCCCGGTCTGTGCGTGTTTCATGCTGCCCCCTGTCTTCCCGAACCGGCGGGTCTCGACGACACAAGTGACAACTGCTTGACAAAACACAATCCCTCCCTTGTTCAAAACGACGAACACGGAACACCGCGTTTTCTTCGCGTCGCCTCGCGGTTGTCCCAATGGGGTAAGGGTAAGTCAGGTAAAGGTGTCTGGGGTGTTTCCGCTGCCCCCTCTTTACTTGTAAGTCTTCCTTTCTCCGGAGATGAACCACAGGGGTACGAATAGTTACAGGGAGTTGGGGGCCAACACCCAACAACACCCCTTGGGGAGGCAGCAGCCGTGACTTCCCCGGACGCAATGCATGGATGATGTCAGCGCAAAAAGAGAAAACACGCCCGGCGAGGATCGGAGATACGCTTATCAAGCCGCGGGGCACACTGTTCGTATGTATGCACGAAGTACGAGGAAGCCAAAGATGAGAAACGCACTGGGAAACAGTCATGTTTGCAAAAAAAAGGATCGCAGCTCGCCGCTGACAATCCTTCACTCCTCTGCTTTTTCGTATTTCATCATCATGATGGGTATAACCAACGCACAGTGACACACTTTCCCATCCCAATCCTGGCCCGACTGATTGATGTTTTCCCCGAGTGTGAGAGCTCGGCCCTTGATGTGTCCCGCCCCAAGGTCCAGCCGTCCAGTTGCCCGCGCGCCAATCTAGATATCCCGATAGATGACCCAATAGATGACCCGATATGATGTGTCCTGATAAACGTCCCGATAGATGTCCTGCGCCGAACAACCGAATCATCCCATCGTACAGAACGGTATGCGGACCTTGTTTGAAGAGAGGAAATAAAGTGGTACACTGGAAGGGAGATGCCATGGCTCCCGGGGCACGACAGCCGGCCAGCCAACGGTCCGCAAGAAAGGGAAAAGAAGAAAATAGCCAGCCCGGTGGCAGCCAGTGAGCGAATGTTGCTGGCAGAAAGGAACATCCGCACCCGATAACCCAAGATAAAGAAGTGATCCTGCGCCGTTACTCCTCTTTAATAGACACCATCCCCATACCGTTACCGCCGCTGCCGCTGCTGCCACTACTGCCACTGCCGCTTCCATCGCCGAAACTGACAACGCTCCCGTCATCGGCTGACACCTCTCTTCGCAAAGGTGATGCTCCGGCGGGAGAGGCTGTGCTTGCCGTGCTGGTGCTCGCTCGCTTGTTGCTAGCGCCGGCATCGCTACTGCCGCGGGAGGCATTTCTCGGCGAGACCTTGCCCGTCTTGTTTTCGTTAGTAACCATGACCTGCAGAGGAAGAGTTGAAGCAAGGGGGGGGTAATAAATAAATACCTGTTTCGCCCACCGCAGCCCACAGGAATTGCACAGGTCCCTATTCCCGCTCGGCCCCCTCCTCCACTCGGGCGTATCGCGCTTGTGACAGTTCGCGCAGTCCCTCACGACATTCGTCCCGTTCCCTCCCGTGCCGTACCCGGTGCCGCCGCCCTTTCTCCGCTTCCGCTTCTTCTTGTTGGCCATCAGCTGCGTGAGCTCCTCCGCCAGCAGCCGATTGACCTTCTCCATCTGCCTGAGCTCGTACTGCCAGGACGTGCACCGCGTGGTCTTGAGCTCGGCAAAGATGTCGCCCTCGTCATCGTCCTCGTCCGTCGACGAGTCCGGATACGCCCCCGTCGGTACCGGCGCCGGCAGGTTGCCCATCGTCACACCCGTCATCGCATCCTCGCCACCACTACCAGCACCACCCAACGTTAGAATACCACTGCTACCGCCCTTCCCCGCGGCAATAACCCTCCCGGCCCCCTTCAAGAGCCTCGTCTGCGCGATCAAAAAGCTCGGCCCGCCTTCCGTGGGCACGCCCACTCCACCGCCCCCGGGGTAGAAGACGGTTTGGGCAGTGACAAGCTGGCCCCTCTTATGGAGCACTTCATGCCTAAGGCTGGTGATGGCGCCCTTCCTAGCTTTTTCGATGGCCCTTCCAAACTCGGCGCGGCACTCCTTGCGAATGAGCTCCTGCATGCTGGTGCCCTCGAGGTCGCGCGGCAGGAGGTCGAGCAGTGACTTGGCGCTGGACGAGACGTACAGGAACATGCCCGAGGTGGAGATCTTGGACCAGATCTCGCTGTCGCCGCCCGTGCCGATGGGCGAGTGGAGGGCGACGTCGCGCCGGCGAAGCGAGAAGACGGGCCGCTTGCGGCCCGCGAGGATAAGGTATTTTCGCGCCTTGGCCTGCGGCTCGCAGAAGAGCGTGCCGTGGCTCTCGAACCAGGTGTAGCCCGAGTGTTTGCGGCGGATGCGGAAGGCGATGTTGACCGACGTGTTCGGTTGGGCGTCTTTGAGTTCGCGCATGACGGGCACGATGTCGGACGGGTGGCAGATGGAGGAGAGGGAGGTGCCGACCAGGTCGGAGGGGTCGTACTCGAGCGTCTTCTTGCAGGCCGGCGAGAGGTAGAGGAAAAGGCCCTTGAGGGAGAGCACGTGAATCACGTCGTCGGTGTTTTCCAGCAGCATCTTGTCCCAGGACTGCTTGTGCCATTCCGAGGCAATGGCCTTGGGCTTGTATTGTTGGATAAGGGAAGAGACGTCGTCAACGCCGAGGGTCTGGCCGCTTTCCGCCTCCCATTGGGATGTGCTCGGAGGCGCCCAACAGTATTGGCCGATGTCGCTGTGTTGGTAGTTGACTTGCATGCAGTCGGGGTCCCCGGAGATGGCCTGGGGACACTCGACCAGGTCGATCTGAAAGCCGATGTAGTACTTGATCTCCTCGGTATCCCACGGAATAGGGATCATGGTCAGCAAATTCAGGAACGGCCTGCCGCCTTTGCGGTAATTGATCAAGCTCTGCTGTATCTCCTTCCCTTCCGCGACGGCATTCTTGAGCTTCAAGACGGCATCGTTCGCCACGAACTCACGTTTTGACCCCGCCTCGACAATACCGTCCGGGCTCTGCAGAAACCGGCAGTTCTTGCCGACGATCTCGTGCCTGTTGTACCCGGTGAGGTTCTGGAAATTGTCCGACACGTAGATGATGGGGCAGTCGTTGAGCGTCACGTCCGTGACGACAAAGGCGCACGACAAGTCGACGGCGCCGATCTCAATCGTGGGGTTTTTCCTCTTCGCGACGTAGAACAGGGCTCGCATCATGTCGAACCCACTTTTCGAGTAGACGTCCTTTTTAGGATCGCGTGATCCGACGCCCGCGGGGCGGACCGGACCGGAGTTGGTTCGCACGGTCGAAGCTGGTGTGAGGGGAATGCTCGGCTGGGCGGCACTGGAGTGGGACATGGCCCGAGACGTGCCTGATGCTGGCGAGTGGAATGTTGAGGGGACTGATGCTTCGCGCGGTTTGGGACATGGCGGGTTGGGCTGGAGCTGGCCCATTTGCGGAGCCGTGAGGAGGTTGGAGGTTTCCTGAGGGACGGACGTGGTGTCGAACGTCTCACCGGCGTCATGCATCATGGAGCCGTTTCCCCCCAGAGAGAACCCGGTCATCGGGTTGACGCTGGGCGCGCTGATAGCGGTATTCTCAATGCCCATGTCCATGGCAAAGTCCGGATTGATAGCGCCGAGAGTGCCAGGCGGGTACTGAGGGCTTAGATCAGACGGGTCGAACATGTTCAGGGTATTTTGGTTCGCGCCCATTGATCCCATATCCATATTGGAGAAGGTGTCCATGGAGATCGAGTTCGGGGAGAGGGTGCCAAATCCTGTCTGGCTAGACATCCCCATGAGCCCCGGCTGCGGGAATTGCCCAGAGCTATTCGGTAGGGTCGCGCTGTTGGGATAGGCGAATGAGAACTCCGGGATACTATCGCCGGGGTTGCTGAAATCCATCATCGATAGGCGGCGGTCGACCTCGTGCGGCGATAGCTGGCTCGGGAATGGATGGGGCATGCTCCGCCTCCGCTGAAACTCCCGATTATTCTGACTGACAATGTCGTCCAGCGACTCGCCTGCCGACATGGGCAAGCCTTCCATGGTCGTCGACAGAGGGCTCGTTGGGCCCATACCTCCGAAATTCCCCGTATTGACGGCCATCACACTCTGGCCATGATCTCGACTTCGTTGTGGTCCATTCTGTTGCATCGCCAGCTGCCGCTGAGCTTCTTCCGGCGACAGTGGGGGGATATAAAAGCTATCATTCATCCCGTCGTCATCCGTTTTCGTCCGAGGAGCGATCGAGACAGCTGCTAGTTGTGTCGTTTAGCAAGGAGGACTTAGGTCACCATCGTTGGGAACGAGGACAAGTTGGCTCGTTGTCTCGTTGTTTTGTGATGTTTGTGGTGGAATGACTCGCATCAGTAACAGTAGCTCATGGGGAAATGGCGAGAACAGCCGGCGCAAAACTGCCGGGGCACGGCTTTGTGCCAGCTATTCGATGGATCGGGGCGATCGAGACCTGGAGAACCTGAATTGCATTTGCCTGAGCAAAACGGGTTCTTTGGCTGTGTGTGCGGGTCTCTGGCACCCCAATTCGTCAGTAGTTCTTCCCCGATTGGAGCCGGAGCAATTGCCACGAGAGAAAGAAACGGGGCATTCGCAAAAGGGCGGCTTCAAGCTGGGGTTGCACCACATGCACATGAATTATCGGGATGGGCGGGGGGGGACTTAGGTAATTATGGCGAACTGCGATAACGGCGGGGAAGAAGGTGGGAGAGCGGCATGGGATTGTGACGAAACCTCACCGAGTTTTACTTTTTTTCCCATCCAGCAATGGGCCTGGGCGCTGAGATTTAGCGGGGCACCCTTCCAATATCTTCCCGGTCATCAGAGCGGGATGCACAAGATCGTCGTGGCTTGAGTGGCTGGCCACCACCTGGCATCACATCACACAAACGGACCGACCCAATTATTCGAAAATCACCGCGTTTCTGATCCGAGATGCCGGGCCGTGGACACGAACGCACGTATTTTAGAAACGCCATGGAAACGCCATGCGTGCATACCTACATATGTATACAACGGTATGCGAGAAGATCGCCAACCGAGGTGACGATGGAAGAAAAGATATGGCAGGATCGACATAAACCTCTCCACCTCCTCCCGACCTCGAGCGGGGCAACGGTCGCTCGGCGTGGTCTAGACCCCGTTAGACCCTGCTGTCAGGCCGTGAGGGTACCAGAGCGACACTGTGTGCTGAGAGGAGGTCTGCGAGACAGACACCTAGGTAGGTAGGGTCAAACACGACGAAAATATCTACATGCCTTACCTACGTGCATGATGCCTACCTACACTCACTAACACAACACACACGGTCCTTCGTATGTGGTGGACATGTAAAAACAAATTTCCATTATTGAACCAATCGAACGAAGAATGGTTGGCAACCTGTGGGGATGATGCCCTGCCCTTCCCTGCCCTCGTTTTCGGCGGATGAGTACGGAGCAAGGTACGGACTCTGGCTTTGCTTTCTCTTGGTAGGTAGGTAGCTATGATGAGAACAACCTGGAAGGCTTCCATCGAATTGAGCACGGCCACGAGTTTTGTCCTTGACCGTTCTATTGTCGGCATACAATTCTTCCTCCTCATCCTTCTCCGGTTCTTACTCTGCAAAACAAATGAGGGCAATTCCACTTTCAATACGAGGCATTGCCGGGTCTGCTGCTTCCTTCCATCAGGTACTAGATGGTATCGTCCACCTCCCACACTCCGGACCACCTGCTCGCCCACGCGGTGGCGGCCCGAATTAACCACTAAACACGTCGCCGACCGTCGCCAAGTACGCCTGCCGCTTTGCCTGCTGTGCGGTTTTCCATATCCTAAGGTTCACCAATTCCGACCGGCGCTCACAGTGTCCTCCGCCGTGCCGAATCTAGACGAAGTACGCCCGGATGACGCCTTGAGCCTCCGGCGAGAATTGTTGCAACAACGGCGAGACGTCGGTGCCCGTCCCTTCCACAAGAAGCTTAGTTCCTGCCACAACGCGGGCGGCATTCTGCCCACTGAGGGCCTCGGCCTCCAGCGCCTGCGCAACAAACACGAATATCCGCGGGGCTTGTGACATGACCGCCGGGTGTTGCCTGGATTCGGTCAGCTGGCTTACGAACAACCAAGAGGGTATTAAAGCAAAACTTACTTGCTGATGAGCTCCGCCAGGTAGAGATAGGCGTACGGCGCTGCCTCCTCGTCGTTGGTGATTGGCAGCGTATTGATCCACTCGTTAACAACCTGGTCGGGCTGCTGGACGGCCGAGGCATTGAAGTGGAGGATTTTTGCAATGGCAGCGCACGCGTTCTCCGTCGCATACACGTTGTCCTCATCACGCGCATTCGGAACACGCATGATCTCGAATAGGAAGGGGACAGCTCCGCCCAAGAACGCCGACCACGCATCTCCGCCGTGGCGTGCGGCCACACCAATTCCGTACGCAGCGGCCTGACGGATGGCGGGAGACGGGTCCTGACAGCCTTGTAACAGGGGCTGGGTGATGTAGTTGGCATACTGGCTGCTCTGAGGGCCGCAGTATTCCAGGACATCATCCATGATGCACAATCCCCACTGCCGCTGCGTCGGATCGCCCGACTTGAGGAATCCCTGGTAGGTCTGGAGCAGGTGCTCCCAGTGGCGCAGGAAGCTAGCGCCGTGGTACTTGAACACGCAGTGGAACGCTTTGTTCATGTCTGAGAGCAGAGTCTGGTCATCCTCAATGGCCATAAGCAACTCTTCTTGCTCGTCTTCCGCATCCTCGGCCGCGACGCCCCGCCTCTCCTCCTCCCGCTTCGCGACACGGTCTTTGTAGTCCTCGAGAGTAGAGTTGACCCCCTCGATGAAGCGGGCGAGGTGCCCGTCGCTGAGGCACGGCCGACCGATAACCTCGACCGACTCGTAAAAGCACTGATACATCTCGGCGAGGGTATCAACGGCCGGTTCGGCTGTGAGCACTTCGAGGAGCTTCTCAACCGTCTTGCCCCAGAGACTTGCGAGCTGCTCCGATTGGGGTCCGTATGCTTTCTTAACACAGCTGAGAAGTTGGGGCACGAGCTTAGCGGACACGAACCGGACGGGGTCGTGGAAGAAAAAGGCGAGGCCGGGCAGGGCGATCTTCTCCATAATCTCGTCCGCATGCGGGGCAAAGTCCTCCTCGAGCACCTGGGCGTACACTACCAGCAGCTCGATGGCCATGTGCTTGTCGTCCATCACGCTCGTCTTGATGCCGATAGTCTTGCCGCGGATTGGCACCAGCTCCCAGCCGTCTTCTTGCTGGAATTTCTCGATCTGCTCGTCATCGTCGAGAAGCTGAATGTCGGCCTTGGCGCTCGCCAGCTCCAGGAGGGGTGGCATGACCTTGGCCAGGTAGGGAAGGAAAGCCTTGCCCATAACGCGGCACATTCTGCCCCAGCAGTGCATCAAGTACTGGGCCTGCGGGTCATCCGGGTCTTGGACGGAATCTTGGATGCTCCCTAGCAACTGGACCAACATGGCGGCGTCGGTAGAGAGTTGCTGAGCACCAACCGCGAGGGCGATCAGGGTTGCGCATTCCATCGCTTTCGCCCGGAGCAGCCGGTACTCCTTGTCGTTCTCCCGCCTAAGGACACCCACGAGAATGGGCATCAGGGTATCGTAGTACCGAGAGAAGGCCTGCTCTGCCGCATCAGCGATGGTGGCAATCGTGGACAAGGCTTGCTCTTGAACGTATCGCTTTTCGTTCTGGAGAAGCTGGTAGAGAGCGGTCAACAGCCCGTCAAGGTATGGCTCAAGCACGCTCTTCTCAGCCTCCTCGCAGAAGTTGACGAGGGCGGCAGCCGCGTGGGACTTGACACGGGCTTCTGGGGAATCGAGAACCGGGACAATGGCGGAGAGGACGGTATCATAGTACTCCTTCTGCATCGTGGGCGCAAAGTCGGTGCTCATCTGGCCCAGCGCATTGCAGCCGGCCCAACGGACACGAGGGTGGGGGTCCTTTAACGCAGGAACGACGAGCTCGAGAACCTGCTTGAGTTCACCAATCATCTGGTCCCGGCATCCCTCAGATATAGCGGATATCGCCATGAGAGCAGCATGACGATCCCTCCAAGCAGGAGACGACAGCATCCGGGGCAGCCAGTTGAAGGTCGGCTGCAGGACGACCAGGCCGCCAAGCTTGTTGGCGAGACGGTCCATGCAGTGCTCACCAGCAACATGGTTTTGGTCGCTCTCGGGGTCATCGAGGTCGTCCGCCGCAAGCCACTCGGCGGCGTCGTCATCGTCCTCGCCCAGGTCGGTCATCAAGCTGAGGCACTGTGTGATCATGTCGTTGGTGTAGTTGGGGTCCTTCTTGCACATCGACGGCGCATAATCGGCGAATGTGGCCATTAGTTCCAAGGCGTTCTGGCGGCAGAGATCGTTAAGCTCCTTGTCCTGGATCACCGAGATGCTGAACTGGACTAGGACATTAAAGATTTGCTTGAACATCCGGGGCGCCCCCTCGGCGAGGTCAATAAGAGCGACGAGAGCCTTGCTGAGATCCTCCGAGTCTTGAGAGTCCTTGATAGGAGGGAGGATGTTGAGCACCTCGGGGAGTAGGACGTGGTACTTCATCTGGTTCTTCTTGTTGAGGCTGCGGAAGAAAGCGGCGAAAGCTTCCATTGTAGCGAGGCGAACCTGGTTGGAGTCAGTATCAGTCCAATAGTGCTCACACAATCGTTTTCATAAGAGCCATCATCGTACCGCCACCGAGTCGTCTTTGAAGGCCTGGGCAAATGCCTGGGCCACTGCATCTTCATGCTGCCTCTCGATGATACCTGGGGTCGTAGTGAAGACACGGAATGCGGTCTCTCGCTTGCCCGCATCGGGCGCCTGACTGAGAGTGAAGAGAACCTGGAGCAGTTCTGGCCACGAATCGTCTGCGACAATGTCAGCGTCTAGGTTCGAGCCGTTGAGGTGCAGCTGGCGGACGTACTATTGTCGTAATATTGCCTCGCGAGCTCAGCCACGGCATCGCTGATCTTATTTCGGACAGCCTTGTCGGTCTCTGTCACTAGGGTTTCCAGTAGCTTTCCCCTGATAGCCGTGCCGTGTTCCTTGTCGAGCGATATAAACATATCGACATTTTCTGAGTTGCCGATCTTTCGGGTCTTGGAGGCTATCCGGCGAAAGATGACTGCTGCGAAGGAGCGCAACTGGTGAGCGGAAGGGTTAGTATCCCGGTCTGCGCTGGGGTGGGTGGGGTCGAGCGACGCACCGATGAACCGGGAGAGGTCCCAATCTGTTCGGCCAGGCCCATCAACAACCATTCGGGTCGTTGGCTAGTCCACTGATTTTGCAGCACGTCCTCGGCCTGCGAGCGGATATTGTTGTCGGGCGACTGGAGCTGCTGAAGCAGCTGAGCCAGCTGGGCATTGACCTCAGCCGGCAAGACCGACATGTTGACCAGAGGTTGTTGTCGAAAAGGTAGTTCGGGGAAGTGAAACGGGTTCGGGATGTCCGATCGCTGGGCGCGACGAGGCAACGGAAACTAAAAGGTTCCAGTGCCGTCAAGCTGTATGTACCGCCTGGGGGAATGGCCTGTCAGCCCTTGCTACCCGAGCCAGGTGGGAGCAAGCTTCGGGCAGCAGCGGTGGGTGGCGCGAGTAATAATTCGACAAAGTCACGTTGGGAAACCGCGGTGGTGTCTCGCGGCGTAATTTAAGAGTCAGACAACGCGTCGAGTGCCGGGGGGCGCGAGGAAAAAAATTCCCGGTGGGCGGCGTGTTGAGAAACGGGAACGAGTCGCAGGAGGGGGAACATTTGGCGTGTGGAAGGAGGGGAGCGAAAATGGCCATTCTTGTCATTTGATTGGTTTGGTCACCTGGCGGGGGAGGGGCAGGTCTTCAAGCACCGTGCGCATGTTCAAAGGGCCGCAGATTTCTGCGCCGGAGGGACCCGAAGGAGGGACTCGATCTTCACTGCCCGTGTTCCAGGGGTCGGGTTTCACGAGTTAGACATCCGAAGAAGGGAAGCGGCGGATATGATGATGCTCATGATTTATTTGAGGGATGATGCATGAATAGCATATGGAAGTTCGTGCAGTAGCTCTGACTCGGCACAGTGTGTGAGACCAATCGTTACTCGATGCAAATGCCAGTCAACAAAGATGCCAAACAAACATTCTTTTTCGGTCTCCAGGGCAAAACGAGAGGTGATTTCGGCTTCCACCGAGTTCTGTCCGGAAACCCGTGCTTAGCTATAGTCATCTGCACCTAAGATACACTTCTTCCTCGCTTGGAATTGGAATCCGAAGGGTCGCTCGCCTCATGTTGGTAGCTTGGTCTGGTTTCCTCGTATATCTTCCCATTTTAAGACCTCCGGGAAACAACCAACCGTCGGTAAGGGGTAAAATGAGGCTGTCACCAATCAAGCCTCATGTTGTGTCTTGTGCTGTCAACAGGCGAGTGCGCGATAGGAAAGGAGTCGGAAAGTGGGGTGGAGCCCTGTCGATCGAGCACTTTTGGCCAAAAAAAGCCGAACTCGAAGACGAAGGAATGAAGCAAAAAGAACGAATAAAAACGCAATTGAGCAAATAAAAGTCAAGGAAAATAAATGGGGTAAAAGAGAAGGGTAAATGGAGTCAATCCAGTTTCTTGGGCTTCGGAATGGCTTTCGTTTCGTTCCTACAGTCGAGGACTCAAGGTCTCCACGGGCGACATCTGCACTTGGAGTACGGCTTTTTTTGCATTGGGGGTGCGTGGCTCCTCAAACAGACCTTCAGACTCGGCCTACACGATCCGGGCATCTTCGAAATGAGCATGTGGGTTGAATCGATAGGCTGTTGCACTCGAACGCCAAACCATGGTCCGATGTTTACGGGTGTAATTCCCACACGCCATCACATCTGATCGAAAACTGTTAGTTATGGCCTGAGCATCCACCCCCTCAGCGAAGCTCGATAGTTAAGACCTGGGAACCCCGCATTAACTACACCGACCGACTTACCTAGCTCCGTCATTGCTCATCCCTGTCACCTAACGAGAGCGTCGACGGTGTAGACTTACCTTTCGCCTTGCCCTTTTTCGATCCGAGTTCTTTATCGTGGAAGCACCGATTTCCCAGTAGGCCATCACTTGGGAATTTAGTCTAGGCGAATTCAATCAATTAGTTACTACACCCTCACCGTCGCGGTTATCTACGTTGCGTTGCAATGGACACCGACTCGGCTGCCAAAGGTGTGGCGAGCGCGGCGAGCAACTCGTCTAGCTCGCTAAGCGCAGCGGTCTCGCCCCCCATGGAGAGGACTAATTCCCAGTCGAGCATTCACAAGCCCAGCCATATTGCTGCCCATCGACAGAGCTTCGCCGAGAACCAGAGACACCCCCCTCCGTCACCGCGCAACCATCGCCACCCGTCCTTGACGCAGCAGGCACTTCTAGACCTCATGAACCACCCTCCAACCAACAAACACCCGAATCCCCGTTATGCTGGGAGAGACTGGCGAGATATTACCGTCGGAGAACTTGCGGTGCCCGAGGACGTTAGGTGGGCCGACCTGGGCCTCAGCGTTCAAGATGCTACCATGGTACGCTCACAAGTCTCTTGCATGTTGCTCGATAAGCCCAGTAACTAACTAGTAAACTTTATGATTAGCTGCTCCTCAAGCAGAACCCGACCAACGTTGTCCTGGTGCGCGAGACGCCCTCGTCCCAGGCAGCCATCACTACATTCGACTACTCCGACCTGAATGCATACTTGCTAGTGGTTGTCGGCCTCGCGAACCCAGACGAGGAACACGTCGCTTTGTATGACGAGATTTCAAAAAAAGCTCAAGCGCAGGAAGACATACCCCTACGGGATATTCAGTCTCTTTCACGGAAGGAGGAACTGGTGACAGTATCAGCAGATGACTACCTGGACAGGGCGATGGAGGCGTTCGGGAGTGGGATTCACCGGATCCTGATCACCACACAAGCCGGCGAAGTTATCGGTGTTCTTAGCCAGCTACGCCTCGTCGAGTTCTTCTGGAACGAAGCGGTCAACTTCCCCGCGATCGAGCGGCTGTATGGGAGCCTTCTCCGGGACCTCCAGATCGGTACACAACAGACCATTGCCATCAAGTGCGTAGCCATCCTTGATTTCGAATTGGCCTATAGCTAACACCATTTCGCAGTCTCGACCGCCCTTTAACTGATGCTCTCTTATTAATGCACAACGAAGGGCTGACATCGGTGGCCGTGGTCGATCAAGGCCTGAATGTCGTCGGTAACATTTCAACCGTCGACGTCAGGCATCTCACAAACGCAGCCAGCCTGCCGCTCCTCAAGAGCTCATGCATGAACTTCATCAGCGTGATCCTCTCCGAGCGCGGCATGGAGCACGGCCGCGACTCGTTCCCCGTCTTCCACGTCAACCCATACTCGACCCTCGGCCACACTGTAGCCAAACTCGTCGCCACCAAGTCCCACCGCATGTGGGTTGTCGAGTCCGCCTCGCCGTCACCAAGCGCGCCGGCAACACCGCTGCTCCAGCCGAGCCAGCCGGCGGGGCCATTGGCTGCGGACAGCCCCTCTCCGTCAAACAACGTGGTCATCCCGCCGTCGCCGGCCAACGCGCCGACACCGCCATCCCCGCTCCCCAACCAGACCTTCGCGACGACCGTGATACCGAGCGGGCTGCCCGGCGCGCGGCTGTCCGGCCGGCTGACGGGTGTCGTGTCCATGACCGATATCTTGAATCTCTTTGCCAAGTCGAGCGGCCTCCGTCCGCTAGACCCGGCGGAGCAGCGGGCCAGGAGGCGCCGGAGCTCGAGTTCGTCGGTGCGGCCGAGCCTGGATAGTGCGAGAGCCAGCATCGACTTTAGGAGGTGAGTGCGGGCGGTGGTGTTAGGTCCAAGCGGGTGTGTCGTGGGAAGGGGGGTTGTTGGGAGAATGCGCATTCTTATCTCGTTTTCCGCCTCGCATTTGGCGGCCGGGGATCTTCGTAGCGTTGCCCCCAGCCAAGATGGGATGATAACCAAGAAGAAATAACTAGCGGATTGATCTAGATTGCTAGTCGAACATATTTGGCGAGTTTGAGAGGTCGGGTTTGGTTGGTTCTGGGACTTTGATAAATAGCAAGACAGCTAGCTACATACTGACGGCAATGTGCCAAATTCGACTGCCTCATTGAAGGCTTCCATTCAAAGGTCAAGCATGACACTGCATACCAGCACTCGACGGTAGGTGAATTGCGATGGTCGCCAATAACAGCACCAGTCAATATGGTGCCGAACATTCAACTCGATGTCTTGATATATTCGTGTTGTTCGGGATAATATTCTGCCCTATCTCCCTCTCATTTGTATTTTTCCATTTGCGAGCGACATACCAAACGTGCAACCGTAACCCGACCTCCAGAGTCCGCGGTATCTCCAGCGTCCTCCCTCGGCATACGTATTTATCATCGCGTCAATAAGATCCCGCAAAATCCCAAGCACCAGACGTTGCTGTTGACAAACACGCCTGCCTCAGCCGCATAGGCAATCCCCCCTCCAGTCCCCCATCCCCGACCAGATGCCCGTGCCCCTCGTTGCCAGTAGGCATACAAATACAGTACAAAAATACACAGACTCACAATAGTCATACAATCGTAAACATACACACAGCTCACCACCCCTTCCCCATCCATCCTCCCATCTGAGCCGCAGCAGACATCACTCATAGCATGCCAACAGCTAGCCACAGCACCAACACCGCAAGGAAAAAGAACAGGCTCGTCCGGGGGTCGGTCGGCAAGGTCGGCGGCCAGAGGACGGCGAGAGGTCGGCCAGCGCGGGGCGGGGCGGCAGACACCTAATCGACGCCCGATTCCGAGTCCGACTCCTTCGCCGGCGGTTTCCCACCCCCCTTCCCACCACCACCACCAGTAGCGGCCCCTTGTTCCGCCCTAGCCCTCTGGGAAGCCACGCTTCCTCTCTTCCTCCCCGGCGACGCCAACACCGACCTATCCAACGGCCCAACCCCCCCCTCATCATCATCATCATCATCATCACCATCCTCGTCCTCACTATCCGGAAACGCCCCCACCATCTTGGCCCCCCCGCGGCCCGTCCGCCCCCTCAACCAGAAATCATCTCCCACCCCTCGCTGCTCCCGCTGCTGCTGTCCCCCTCCCCCGCCATACTCATCATCACTCCAATCCCACGTGACACTCACCCGCTCCCCGCCCTCCCCCCACCCAAACACCAAGCCGCGCCACTCGCCCGCGATGATCCGCGCCGCCACCTTGAGCATCAGCCTGAGGAGGTAGGAGGGCGGGCCCAGGAGCATGGCGCACGTCTTCTGGAGGACGGTCATGGGCAGGCGGCGCACGGCGGCCAGGGCGCCCTGCATGCCGGGGTGGGAGGGCAGCGGCGGCGGCGGCGACTGTGGTGGTAGAGGTGGTGGTGGTAGTAGGAGTTGTGGTTGGCGGCGGGTGGTGAGTAGGTTGGCGGCGGGCGGTAGGGGGGAGAGGGCTTGGCGCGGGGAGGGGGAGGAGAAGGAGAGGCTGGAGGAGGTTGTTGTTGCGCGGCGGAGGGCCGGGCGGCGGGTGGGTGTGGAGGGAGAGGGGGAGGGGGAGGTTGGGACTGGGGTGGAGGAGGCGGTTTTGAAGGGGGTTTCGGGACCGGTGGAGGTTGGGGTGGCTGTTGGTTGGGGGGTGTCAACGGGTTGCCGTTGCGGTTCCGTACTGACTGGGGGCCGGCGTGGGGTGTGGATGGAGGATGGTGCTGTTGTGGTGGTAGTGCGTTCGGATTCGGGGAGGGAGTTGGCTGTGACGACTTTCTGGGTCTTTGAGGGTTCGGAGGTTACGGGTTGATCCACTGCGTTTCGAGGGGTGTCGGCTACTGCTGGCACATGTGGTGTCTGAAGCTGTTGGGACGAGCTCCGCGGCGATCCGGGCGTTGATAGGGGAGGGGATGGCGGGAGGGGAGTCGGCAGCCATGACTCCCGGCCGCGGATCGACTCTAATGACTCAGTAGGCGAGGTGAAGCGGGGTGCGTTAGCTGTCACATCGGCTGGAGGAGCTGCCTCTCTAATTTTTGGGAGGGAGCCGCCGGTGAAAAAGGGGCGCTGTGGAGGTACCGCTGAGACGCTCCGCGGTCTCTCAACGCGAGCTGGAAACAGGCTGGATGGAGTGCGGCTATTGCTTTGTCCATTCACAGCTTGGTCGCTTTCTGTTGTCGCCCATTCCTGTTTACGGGGGAACAACGACCTTGCGTGTTCATCCAATGCCCTCCTCGTTTCCCCCACCGTCCTTAGATCTCCTATGCATATCGACCCCCTTGGAGTTCCGTCGTGCAGGCGGGCGATCTCGGGCGTGACGGACGCCAGGGATAGCGATTCGCTAGATCTCCGAGGAGTCCAAGGGCGCCTTCTAGCCGGCGTGTCCGGGCGGTCCGGGAGCTCGACGGTAAAGGGTCGGCTGAACGGACACTCGGTCTTTTCAAATTGCAGGATCGCGTCGAAGACCTCTCGTAGTTGCTGCGCTAAGCGCGCCTCCTCATCATCTCCCACAGGAACCTCTATCCGCCAGTACTGGGGCCGCCGTATTTGTAGGACAAACTTGCTCGATTCTTCGTCGACGCACCACACCTGGCTCTTCGGGAGGATCGGTTGAAGCGCGGAACCGCAGCTGAGAAAGGCCACTGACCCAGGCGCACGGTAAATCCTAAAGGGGCCTATTGTGGCAGTCGTTAGTTAGAGCTCATGTTCAGTCAGCGCACGCCATCCGCGAGAACGTACCGACTGCAATTGTCCGCTCCAGTTGCGAGGACCAGGACAGTGATCCCGGCTCGATGTCTGATCCAGCGCCTGTTCGCTGGCCGACGAAGAGAGAGTTGGCTCCTGCGGTAAAGGAAATGATCTTGACATTTGGGTGATCGTAGAGCGTGTCGACCAAGCCGTCGGCAGCTTGCGGAGATGCGGCGGGCTGCGGGGCCGGAGGGGGCACCGGGGCCGTGAAGACACGGCGCGGGGCCAAATACCCGGAGCTTCGTGGTCTGGCGGGCTCCATGTTGTAGGATTTACTCTAGGTTGTGGTGAAGCATTGCTGACGGATGGAGAGGAGCGATCGCGGGGAAGGGCGACAAAGTGATCCGCGGAGGGGCAAAACTGAAGGACAAAGGCGGCTGGCTGGCTGTAACGGTACGGTTCGGCAGGTCTGGCCGGTTTCTGGCTGTTCGTCTCAGCGTGGTACGATGCGCGAGCTGATCAGCGGATTCACAGGCCAAATGCGCCAGGTCGAAACAGCACAAGCTGAGTTTACCAGAACAGAAAGAAGGGATTCCACGGAACAACCGTCAGTTTTGCAAACGAAAAGCGAGTGGTTGGCGACGAGGTTGGTGAGATATTCCGTGTCAAACGAGAGGAGCGAGAGAAGCCAGATGCTCACGCTGAAAGTTGAAATCCTCAACCCTGTTCGCGAGTGGCCCTCGCCCTTGCTGCGCGAACGCGCATCCCACTTCCAGCGGGTAGGAATGCCCCACTGCGATCTGCGAGCACTGGCGCCATCGTTCCATTGGCGCTGGTTCTCCCTGGGCACGAGACCTTGTTCAAGGGTCAAGACCAAACGGAGCACTTCGTCGTTGTTGCTCTTCCTCGCCGTCTGCTATGGAAATCTTTCATACCGGATACCGACGGGGATGCAGAGTAGCGACGTCGGGGCCTGTTTTAGTTTCCATCTTCGAATCTGTATCTCTCGCTAACTAGGCCTGCAGGCCATCAATGCGATGCACTCCCGTCTGCTGCGATGCACGGGCGGGATTTTCTCGAGGCGAGGCCCCGGGCTGCCGCGTGGCTACCCGGGTATCTGCAGGCATTCTGTGCACCCGGCCCTAGCCGTTTGTTAGAACGGATTCTTGACGGCCGCCCTGGCTTTGCGAGGTTAACGAAAGGAGAGAATGGAGGAAAGATCAAGGCATGGCCTTACTTACGGCATCTGGCATCCGCTCATGATATGTATCCTTTTTGGCACGATGTATTCCATCAGGTACCTTAGCTTGAACCTCGCACTTCGTCAGGTCCGTGAGCTCCCAGGTACGACATTCCCAAGGTGGATCTCTGCCAAGGCGACTTGCCGCCCTTTGGGCTAGTGTCAGTGACGGGATGGCATTGACATCATCGGCCGATTGCCAGGCCCGAGATTCCACTCAAGCTTCAAAGCTCCCGTCCCGGTCTCGACCCTCCCGAGCATCCAAGCACCCAACCCGCCGATACAACCGTCGACGCACCAGCAAAATGTCGGCCGATAAACGGCTGCCCCTTGACAAGGACAAGCTAAAAAAGAAGTTTGATGTGTCCCATTTCGACATCAATGCCATCATCCGGGGCATCCAGCTGACGCTGGTCGGCGGTGAGAACCCAATTCAATTCATCCATTCTTTGGTAGCGACGAAGTACTTCGTAGTAGTTACTGCGACTTGACATGTAGATATCCTTGATCCGTTGGCACTAACACAGCTGCAGCTCATCGAGCTCTCCAGAATCCCCAAATGTTCACCTCGCAGCACTACAAACAAGCCGCCATTGCCGTCGGTGTGGGCATTGCCATCCGCCTTTTGATTGCTTTCCCCGTTTGTTTCTTCCTCCCCGAACCCGTTGCCCCAACCCCGCCACTGACCCTCAAGTCCAGATTTTTGGCATCAAAGCGCTGCTATGGTTCCTCTCCCTTATCTTCCCCCTCGACCGGGTGTCCTGGGACGACTCGCTTGTCAATGGCCTCAGTTTCATCGAAGAACACGTCCTCCAAGCCCCGCTCTTCTTCATGAGTCTCATGCGCTACATCACCCCGACACTTGATGACCTGTGCGTTCTCCCCCACCCCTACCCCCCTCAACCTCCCTTATCTCTTCCCTCATCACTAACCACCACCCCCCAGCTTCATGACCTCACTCCGCTGGGTCGACCAGACGTACGCGCAGAAACACAAGCACGAGGACCCGTCCCGGCTGCGGGCCATGTACTACCCGCAGATGCGGCTGTACCGGGCGACCGACGGCCGCACCCACTCGACCAGCGCCGCCGAGTCGGTCACGCTGTTCCTGTACCGCTTCGCCCGCCGGAGCGCCCTGTCGCTCGCCATCTTCGCTGCCTCCTACATCCCCTACGTCGGCCGCCTCGTGCTGCCCGCCGCCAGCTTCTGGACCTTCAACAGGGCGGTCGGTCTCGGCCCGGCGAGCGTCATCTTTGGGACTGGCGTGTTCTTGCCCAGGCGGTATCTGGTTATCTTTTTGCAGAGTTATTTCTCGTCGAGGAGCCTGATGCGCGAGTTGCTGGAGCCGTATTTTGCGAGGATTAAGTTTACGTCCGAGGAGAAGAGGAAATGGTTCCGGAGTCGGGAGGGGTTGCTGTTTGGGTTTGGGATCGGGTTTTATGTGCTGTTGCGGGTTCCCCTGTTGGGCGTGCTCATTTATGGTGTTGCCGAGGCGGTGGGTTCTCCCTTCACTTTCCTTCCCCGGCCGGGGTGTGCGAAGTACCTATCCATGCTGACGATTGATAGAGCACTGCCTACCTCATCACCAAGGTGTCCGACCCGCCGCCGCCGCCGTCTCAGAGTGAGGGGTTCGCCCAGAGCCAGACCGAGTGGAGGAACAAGCAGAAGTTTCTCAGTCTCTCGCTCGCCAACCTCGACGCGCTTCACGATAAGCCGCCGCCGTATGCAGAGGTTGACCCGCATCCTACGGCCGCTCAGCAGTGAAATGCTGTAGCTTGAGAAAATCGTTTCCGAAGAGTACTAGCGGACAGAGGGCATGGCATGGTTGAAGAGGTGTAGTTTCTAAGAAGCTTCCTTTGCATTCGAACAAAAAGAATACTGGAAATCGAGTGGCCCGGGCTCTGTTTAATTCCGATGCTTCCAAGACCCGTTCCGCGGACATACACCGTTTATGTTACCTAACCTTTCCCCCCCGATCATCCCCTCCCCGGAGATCGCAAGAAACAAAAACTCTATCATGACCACAACGAAGCAAGCATCTCCGCTGGGCGTCCTTATCAGTCAGCCAGTTCCCGCTCTATAACCGTTTCAGCGGAGATGCTCTTTGTGGGGGGCGCTCGCCAAACCCCAACCAGGCCCCCCCTGTCCGTCTTATCAATGGGGACCCGGCCTATGATAAGCACCTCCAGTCCAGACCGTGTAAGCCGAACCCCCTGCCGCGCACAACAGCATCTCCGATTGATAATGTCGGCGCACTCCTGGACTTGTCGATTACGTCTTGGCTCGACCGATTGGGCTGCGAACATGCATGCTGTGCTTCCTTCCCGGCGGCGGGCCGGCTATGCGGGGTACGTCGGTTGGTCTCGGATGGTTTGTTGCAGGGAAGGGGGAGGGAGGCAGTGGGAGGGTTGGGATGCATTGATCGGATGGGCAGGTGGAACGCCGTTGGGGAGGTTCCTATAAGAGGGCGGTTCCCGGTTTGGAGATTAGGGATGGAAGGTTGGACTTGGAAGTTGTCGTATGTAATATATTGTTCTTGTAGTTGGCTTGGATCTTCTTCGACTTGCACACACACGAGACATAATGGGCAGGACTGGAATCAGAACTGTTTGCAAGGTCGACTTTGACAGGCCTGCTGCGGAACAGCCATATCTTCATGTGAGTAGCTTGTTCTAAGGATTATTATCCATAATAGCATTGGGCTAATTGTAGCCAGAACAGATGGCATCCTGATAGTGTGTATTGTACACACCATTGACCATTAACATGGCAACTAACTGTTGACAGTCCCCTTCGCGGGTAGTATCAGGGATGGCGAGACAGTCAAAATTGAGTGCCTCGACTGGTATGCTTATCCATTCACGGACGAATCGAATACTTTGACTGATGAATAACAGGACCGGTGGGCAGATCAAGAACAATGACTCGGCGGACGACGTAAAAAACGTCGACCTCACTCAGGTCCATTATCTTTCCGGGCCATTCGAGATTGAAAATGCGGAGCCAGGGGATCTACTTCTCGTCGAGATTATGGACGTTCAGCCGTTTGAGGACCAGCCGTGGGGATTCACGGGGATATTCGATCGGCGTAATGGTGTACGTTTTTCCTAACCAAGGCTGTAGCTCCTGAGTAGGTATTCAGTTTTGGAGTGGATGCTAACTACAAGTACAGGGCGGGTTCTTGGACGAGATATATCCTTCAGCGTATGGCCCACTCCTGAGGTTGTTCAGGTCTATTCGCTAACCCTTGCGCAGCGCCAAAGCCATCTGGGACTTCGAGGGCATATATTGCACAAGCAGACACATCCCCCACGTCAAGTTCGCCGGGCTCATCCATCCGGGTATTCTCGGATGTGCCCCGTCCGCCGAGGTGCTCGACAGGTGGAATACACGCGAGGCTGCACTGATTGCGGCCAATAAACTAGACCGCGAGGTCGCCCATCCGTCGGTTCCCCTGATATCACTCGTTTGGGCCCAGAGCCGCTAACTGAACATTCATTTCCACAGACCACAACCTCTCAGCGTGCATGCGGGTAGCGCCAACAACGGGTTGAAGCAAAAGGTCGGCCGCGAAGGCGCGAGGACGATACCAGGGCGCCCAGAGCACGGAGGTGAGTACAATTGCTTGACCCCCCTCCCTCTTAGCCGTCCATACTAATTGACTCTCCCCCTTTGCAGGAAATTGCGACATCAAAAACCTCTCCCGTGTACGATTCCCTCCCTGCCAACCCCTCCCCCTCAACCTTCCTAACCCATTTATGCAGGGCTCAAAAGTATACCTCCCCGTTCACGTCCCCGGTGCCAAGTTCTCGGTCGGCGATCTGCACTTCTCTCAGGGCGATGGCGAGATCTCCTTCTGCGGGGCCATCGAGATGGCCGGCGTCATCACCATCAACTTCAGCGTCATCAAAAAGGGGGTGACCAACCTCGGCCTGAAGAGCCCCATTTACATCCCCGGGCCCGTCGAGCCGCAGTTTGGGCCCGGGCGGTACATCTACTTTGAGGGTTTCAGCGTGGACGAGAGCGGGCGGCAGCGTATGTTTCCTTTTCACCCCACCCCCCTTTAGCCCTTTCCCCCTTACCCTTCTCCGGGATCCCACAACGGCAATGACTAACCCACCCCCCCCCCCCCCCCAATACACAGACTACATGGACGTCACAGTCGCCTACCGCCAAACCACCCTGCGATGCATCGAGTACCTGCGGCGGTTCGGCTACTCGGACTACCAGATCTACCTGCTGCTGTCGTGCGCGCCGGTGCAGGGCCACGTCGCCGGCATCGTCGACATCCCCAACGCATGCACCACCCTGGGCCTGCCCATGGACATCTTCGACTTTGACATCTCGCCGTCGTCGGCGGCGGCGGCGGTCGTCGGCCCGCGGGATATGGGCCGCTGCGCGTTTGAGACGGGCAGGACGGCCGGGGAGGTGCGCCGGTATGGCGGTGGGGGGAATGATGGCCCGGTTAGTTTTGGTGGGGGGTTGACGTATAGATAAGTTGGTGCTTGGGTAAGATAGGTGGTGGGGTTGACATCCTCCGTCGGACCTCCTCGGATGTTGTTGGGCGTTGGTGGTCTTGTATATTGTAGTGGTAATACGGCGGTTGCTGATGTAACAAAACGAATTGGCTAACATGAGGGTATCAAGCTTGAGGAAAGTCAACGCCATTCCAACATTCGTGACCATTTGCTTTTCCTTAATTTCTAGAATGTTCGCAAAAGATTGTATTGACCGCTATGCACCGTCAACCATCCCGTTATTATTCATAGCCCGCTTTCTATTCTTGAATCAGTCAGTGATCTGCATCTCCCCGAACTGACTATGCCCCGTCTCTCTCTCATGCTTGACCGCGTCCTTTGTCCCCTGGCCGATCCACGAGCACAGCCCACACTTGATGACGAAGTCCGTTGTGTCGGTGTAGTAGTGCATGCTCTGCAGCCGTTGCGCGAGCTGGCGTGCCTTGTCGAGGACCTCATCGTCGTCGGTCGACCACCGTGTGACGTCCACCTCGACCGGGTAGCTCAGATCCATACAGAATGCTATCCTGTCGTAGTGGATGCCCGAGTACATGATGATGACCCGGTTGGCTTTGCCTTCGCCGAAGCGGTCCACCCGGAGGGACTGACGGCGTTATTAGTACCCAGAGTCCGGAGTCACCCAAGAAGAGGGCATACCTTGACATCAACCGAGCTGATTTCGAGGTTGTAAATGTCGGAAAGGATCGAGAGTTCGATAGCACCGCCCCACGTGTCCATTTGTCGCATTCGAGAGATGTAACGTTCGGGCTTCTCGCCGAGGATAGCCTCGTGGTACTCGTTAGGGTGGCTGATGATGTAGTCGGCTACCTGGCCTCTGAGGGTCTTGGAGGGGTTCTCTAGGCCGATCGCGCCGCCGAATGCTGTGACTGCGGAGAGTATTAATATTTGCCGGGGGTTGCACATAAGGAGGTGACCTACACATGCAGCTATTGTCATCTGGCATAACGCGGAGCACTGCGGGCTGTATTAGCTGCGGCTTTTGCACCCATGTGTCTGCAAGTCTTACCGATGTGCCCGCCTCTTTCCGGCCACTCTAGCGATGTCTCATCCGGCTCTATCCCCTTTGGCGTGAACGGTTTCGGCTCGGCTTTGGCGGACGCAGGCTGTGAAACTGGAGCTGGTGGTGTGGTGTCGACAGGGGCGACAACAATTGTCTCACCCCTGAGCTTCAGGTCTCTTATGCTCGTGTCCCGCAATTCTGGGCTGATGTCAAGAGGCTTCAAGGGGTAGCCATATTTGAGGGTGAAGTTGCTAATCTCGGTCTTGGCTTTGATGAGCTCAACCAGCTCCCTCAAGGTGGCATCATCATCGATTTGGGCCCGCGACTGCCCATTTGGCGAGCGAAGGCTAATTTGGATGAGCATCTTGTACCAGCTTATGCTTATCGGCGATGAAAGTGAAACCGGCGAGAGACGTTGAGAATACTTCGTAGAATGATAAGATCCCTGTTACAACACTCAGCAAGCTAGATAATGTAGCAAATAATTATAGGAGAGTGTAACTATACCGAGACGTAATAATAAAATGCGAAGTTGGAGGATGAAGGAGCCAAGAGAACCAATATCTAGCAAGCCATCAGTCAAGGCGTCTTATTTTTGTACATTTCTGGGTTGTGGGTTTTGACCGGCACCTAATGTATGACAAAGGACGACCAACCTCGAATAGTATGACTCCTGTGACAACTTGTACCTCTGCTGCAGCTAAGAAGCAAACCGCTGGAAGGTCACAGAAGCTCTCGGACAAGAGGCGACCCCTGGCCACTTAAAGTCCACCTGAGAGCTGCAAGCCGAGGTCGCTTGTTCGGGTGGGAATTACTCAATCTGGAATTCTGCACCCTTAGGTCGATCAGCAAGTCCGACGTCACTGGGCGTGTTAAACGAGGACTTTGATGATGAGGAGTGCTGCAGTTGGTTTGGGTTGCCTATGAGAGGTGTAGTGGTAGATTTGTGGAGAGCGAACAAATATTTATCGGCCGGTGGCAAGGGGACTTATGAGTTCCTCCAACTTCTTGAACCGGAAATGGAACCGCTGGACTTCAGATGGAGTTGAACCTGGGAAGTGATCACCTGGAGTGCTTCTGGAAGGCGCTGTGAGCCAGGTTTCAGGTTGCCAACTAACACCCCTCCCGTTTGGATGAATCTCCACACTGCTGTTGGGACCTCGCACCTCATGGACAAAAAAAGCCGAACTCCAAGTGCAGATGTCGGCAATGGAAACTTCGAGTCCTCGGCTGGAGGAATATAACGAAAGTCATCCTGAAGCCCAAAGAAACTCTATTTACTCCATTTCCTTTTCTTTTACCCTCTTTCTTTTTACTTGACTTAATTTTCTCAATCTCTTTTCATTTGTTCTTTTTGCTTGATTTCTTGCTTTCCTTTCGAGTTCGGCGTTTTTTGGCCAGAGGGTGCCCTCGCACGGGCGCTTTGACCACCATCACTCTTGGATCGGCAGCTAGGGAGGCTGGGAGACGCTAAGTAGTTATCGAGGCCTTAACGCGTTACCGAAAACAAGTGGTGCCGTTCTCCAATCGCGCTCAACACGGCAGACCATCACTGTGTGCACGTCTCTCGCTTGTGGAGATTTCCGAGTCGCAACTGACTCGGTCGGTTGGTTGAGGTGCCCTCTTCGTGTCAACAGTTTTGGAAACCCTGCCTCCTGTGCCGCGATGCCCACCCTTCGCGAACGGCCCAGTCGAGGCGAGATGTCGCCTACCAAAAGGGCCTCTCAGAATTCTCCGACCGCGACGAGATCGACTCCTCGAAAACGGCGAAACAGCATGGCCAACGACGCGATCGAGGTGCAAGAGTCCATTGAGGCCAAGGGCGACGTCGACGACGATATCGAGATGGAGGATGCCGACAGTCCCGCGCACAGGGAGGACGAGGAGATGGACGTCGATGCCGAGGGTGACCCTGACGGCGATGACGATGCGGATGCGGATGCGGATGCGGATGCCGACGCAGATGCAGACGGCGAACTCGATGATATGGATGAGGAGACCCGACAGGAAGAGGAGTGGCGCAACCTGCTGCAACTTATCAAAGACACGTCTGAGTACTTGTGTCGCTACACAATCAAAGTCGACGGAGAGTAAGTTTTTCGCCCCCCTTTCACATGTCGCTATGCGATGCGACGGGATGCTGATTGGTTCCTCAGGGACCACGAGATCGCCTCGGGCTTCCAGCGTCTTGTCAACAAGCGCAGTCTCCCAGACTATTTTGACGTGATTAAGGAGCCAATGGCTTTTAGCACCATTCGGGTAAGTTGAGTGACCCAATTGATGCCCAGGGCAAACCGGCTGACCGGAATCGCGTGCAGGCAAAACTCGGCAAGAAAACGTATACTCGGTTCAACGAGTTTGTGCACGATGTTACCCGCATATGCCACAATGCGCAGGTATACAACAGGCCCTCTGCACCCATCTTCTCGGATGCTGGCCGCCTGCTGGAAGTCTTTAAGGAGAAGCTTGCCGAGATGGTCAAAGAGGGGGCCATTTCTGCCGAAGATGCTGCGCTTCCGGACCTCGGGCCTTTGCCCGAATTCGAGGACTCGCCGGCCCCCGAAGACGACGAGGAAGAAGTAGAAGAGGAGGACGAGGAAGAGGAAGAAGACGAAGAGGACGATGATTCCGATGACGAGGGCGGCCGCCGTCGGTCGGGAAGGCGCCGCCGGCAGTCAGGGGGTAGGAAAGGCGGGGAGGACGGCGATAACGCGCAGAAGAGGCGCGGCAGACCGCCCAAGGTCTTTACGCCCCTGGAAGCCCGTATTCAGGCCATCTTGAAGGGTCTGCGCCGGTTCAAGAACGAGAGCGGCCAACTGCGCATCCTCCACTTCGAGAGGCTCCCTGACAAGGCCGAGTTGCCAGACTACTACGACGCCATCCGCAATCCCATTGCACTGGACACCATCAAGAAGAAACACAAGCGCAAAAAGTACCAGTCCGTCGACCAGGCACTTTTGGACCTCCAGCTTATGTTCGAGAACGCCATACACTTCAACGAGGAGGGGAGCGAGGTTTATCAGGATGCTGTGGAGCTGGCAAACCAGGCTCGTCTGCTCGCCGAAGAGGAGAAGGCCAAGCCTGATGAAGTCTTCCGAGACGAAGACGGGAGGCTGCCCATGGATAGTATCGAGCATCGCGGGGAGATCTGGAAAGTGGGTGAGTACATGATGCCCATAAAACACTCCCTTGGAGAACCAGGCGGGATGACTGACTTGACGCAGGCGATTGGGTCCACATTCGAAACCCGAATGATCTGTCGAAGCCCATTGTCGCCCAGATCTACCGGACTTGGTCTGACGCGGCAGGCCAGAAGTGGGTAAATGCGTGCTGGTACTACCGCCCCGAGCAGACAGTCCATCGGTTTGACAAACACTTTTACGAAAATGAGGTGGTCAAGACGGGCCAATACCGCGACCACCGCATCGACGATGTTGAGGACCGCTGCTTCGTCATGTTCATCACCCGCTACCCTAGAGGCCGGCCGCGCGGGCTGCCGCTGGATAAGTCGGTGTATGTGTGCAAGGCCCGATACAACGAGGAGAAGTTCAAGTTCAACGAGATCAAGACTTGGACGAGCTGCTTGCCGGACGAGGTGCGTGATAAGGATTACGAGATGGACCTGTTCGATATTCCGCGGAACCTGCGAAAGGTCCCGAGTCCAATCAAGCATCTGCTCCAGGCCGATGCCAAAGAGACCGATGACCTTCCGAAGCCGACCTGGAGAAGCCCGAACGCGCCGCCCCTGATTGGAGCGGTGCATCGTCGTCCTCGAGACCCGAATGTGAGTTCAAGCCCCTGTTTTCTTACCTCTTTCTTTGCTGTGTCGAGGGACCTACGTGCTGCTCGCGGTTGCCCAATCTCTTGGATGTCGCCCCTTGTAGTCTGTGTCATCTGGCGCTTGTTCTTTTGTTTTACGTGGGGTGGCTTCTGGGCTGGCTGGTGGTGGCTTGGGGGCTCTTCCTTCCTTTCAACTCTCTCTCTTGCATTCCCCCGTTTGTTTTATGCAACTTTGACACCCACCCATCCCATTGGCATCCTGGATATTTCGTTGGTTCTCCGAGGAATGCATAAGCTGACCAAGTTGAAGGCATCGCCTCCTCCAGAGCCGAATCCACTGCCCGCTGCCGTTGCACCTGTGCCGCTCGCAATTGCGCCCACTCAGGTCCCGATCAAAGCCAACGTCGGTATGGCAGGAACACCAACCTATCACCATCCCGTCGCCGCGGCCCCTGCACCTGCTCCGTCACCATCTCATTTCCAGATGCAGCACTTTCAACCGCGACCTGTTCCACAGCCTGCTCCTCACCAAACACCAGTTCATCTCCAACCGCAGCCACAGATGGCCATGCACGTGCCGCAACATCCTGGCATGGGACAAATGCAGCCAAGCCCACACTTCCCACCACCCCAGGCGTACCCACCTCAATATGGAGGGCAGCCCCAAATGGCTCCACAGCAGATGCAATACCAGACACCGGCCCACATCGCGCCGGCTTTCGACCAGCATCACCGACCGGTGCATCCCGCACCTCAAGCCATGACTCCATCTCGCCAGCCCATGGCGCCCGCGCCCAACATGGCAACCATGCCGCACGCCAACCCCGGCCACGTCTACAACGTCCCGCGCGCGCCCGAGGTGTACACACTCGCTGACCCCGTCGACGCGGCGATCCCCGCCGACGTCCGCGCGCAGTTTCAGCGCGACGAGCAAGGGCGCGTCCTCTTCTTCACGGCGCCGCCCCTCGACCGCCCGACCAACGGCGTCGCCGAGCAGCACGCCGGGCTCGGCCACAGCGTCCGCCACCTGGCCTCCATCAGCGAGCTCCGCGCCGAGCGTGCGCGCAAGCGCAAGGAGCGCGACGAGGCCCTCGCCCGCGAGCAGGAGGCCGACAAGAAGCTCGCCGCGCTCCGCGAGCGGGAGGCGCAGCACCGCGCCGAGGCCGAAGAGAAGAGCCAGGCCGACTTGCTCGAGAAAGTTCTGGTCGCCTGGGCCGCCGAGATTGATCGCGGCACCAAGGTTATCGACGATTCCCTGGGAGGGATCGAGAACTGGGATCGCATGATGGCGGAGGGCAGGGAGACTGCCAAGAACATGACCAAGGAGGAGCGGCGCGTCAAGAACCTGGAGTGGTACCGTGACTGGTGCCGGGAGAGCGGCGCCATGACCGAGGAGGATGCGAAGAAGTTTGACGACTTGATTCAGCGGAAGGGGTGGAAGGAGGAGTGGAAGAGGGAGGTGGAGAAGAGACGGGAAGCGTTGTGAACGTGTGGTAGTTTCCGTCTTCTACTCATGTTCTTTTTTTCTTTCTTTATTGGCTCGTTGGCTCACTTGGAACGGATAGCGCTGGCATGGGCTTGGCTGGGCTACGGCGTTGATAACTACCTATTGCTGTTGACTTGGTGTTGGGGCTGGGAGGAAAATGTGCTCAGGAATCCGGAACAGGGATATACCCCCTCTGCGCGGGCTGTTTCCAGGAGAAGGCCTACAACAGTCAAGAAAGAAACCTTTTGCTTGACAGGTTGGCACTTGTGTTAGGGGTGGGGGTATGTACGATTGCTGTAGGAATGAGGATTGCAATTTATGGATAATTATCAGTTGGCGGTCGCCATTGCCATGTCCCTGCTGAGAGGTCTACCACTGGGGTAACACCGCAACACGATGCTGCCCGGGTTACGAGTCCACTGTCGAAACATTTGCCATGGATGTGCAACATCTTGCCGTACTGACATCAAGTAGTCGAGCTCAACTCAGCTGTATTAAGCTTTACTGTGTATATTCCTCGAATGATCCAAGCCATGCAAAAAATAAATAAAAAAGAACACGGTCCATACCGGTGGGAATGTCTAAACCGGTCAACACATCTCACCCTTTCTCACTCACCTTCCCTCACCTCACCTCACTTCACCTTGCTGTGGCGGTGAGGGCGGTCAGAGAAGCCCCGGCCAACTGCCCCATTCTTTTTTCTGCTTCCCTGGCAACCGCCCGACATCCGGGGACCCGCACAAAATCCCCCCCAGCACGCCATGCGATCCACGAACAAAACGGAGACACCGTCTCCGGACTCCCAACTCTTCACGAGTTCCACTCGCGTCAGTGGTTTAGTGGTAAAATCCATCGTTGCCATCGATGGGCCCCGCGTTCGATTCGCGGCTGACGCATTTTTTGACCGTGTGCGAGGTTACGTTTTGGTGATGTGATTCCGAGGGGGAAAGGCGTCGCATTGCGATCGGGCATGAGGGAGTGGGTTGTGTTTTGTTGGTGGGCGGTGGGTGGCGTTGGGTGATTGATTGCCCGGCGGGATGGGAGGTTGGGATGGAATGTTGGGGGAAGAAACGGCGCAAGGGGAGCATCGATCAATGCAGGCGGGCCTCATCGACCGGGGCGCCAGTGGTGACCGTGACAATTAGTGGGGGACAACGGCCGCACCTATTGTTGCGAGTTATCTTCCCCCATTTCAATCAGGGACAGGTGAGCCCGAAGGTTGGGCATGTGTCACTTGCCACGATTATATTGGTGAGACGCAATGCTCGGTTTGTGGGCGGAATGCGTTGGAACATGCGGAAACACGGCCATCTGCGCCCCTACCCAGAAATGCAGAACAATGGCTTTGCTGTATTCGTTGAATAGACGCGTTGCAGACGTGGCAATTCAGTTGAGGCAACAGCTCTTCATGCCAAGAATGAGAGACTCTCGAACTGAGAGGAGAGAGAAGCGCAGGGGTTCTGCGGCTCTGCAGGTTTCCCCAGGATTGGGCAGCCTGTCACACCGAAATGCCCCCACTTCGGCCAAGTCATCAACCTCCCTGGCAGCTTTCCCGACTCTTTGCTTCTGAACCCCCAAAACAACCATTCGGGTTCTTGCCCACCACGCAGGCATAACCGCCAGACCTCGCACCCTTGGCATTCCCGACTTAATAAACTCACAACTAAAAAGCCGAACATGCTTTTGCGCGAGTTAAACCCCCACAACCCCGCCTCGCGAACCTGAACTTCTCCCCGTTTCCTCTCTCTCCCCGCCCAATCGCCCAACCATAAACCGACCGACCGGCGATAGGGCAAAACCATCTTCCTCCCGACTTTCCCGTTACGACCATACTCTTCGCATCACACGCACCCCCCCGGCTTCAATTCCCACCAAATCCACTGCGCTCGCGGTTTTCGCGCCGAGTCGCCCTTCCCCGGTTTCCAGCTTCCCACTCTTCGTCTCCAGCAACTATTCGATTATTTTCGCGATCCGATGTTGCCATTTGGCGACCCAAGCCACCGTTTCCGCGATCCGAATCAAGAACCGACAATTCCCGATATTTCCGTCCCCGCTTCTTCAATTGATGATAGAAACACGATGGCTTCAAAGACCTACTTCGGCCGTGCCGAGCACGAAGGCCGCCGCCTCGGTGCGGATTTCGACCTCCTTGCCAAGTGGTCTCGTGCCTGTTCCCTTGACCACCCGATTCACTCGTACTACCTGACACAGCTCTCCGGCGAGGATCGATCACAGCTGTTTACTGGCCCCGCCCAGGAGTTTCGCCTAGAGGAGGGCCCAAATGACACGGTCAAGCTCGAAACTATTCAAGACGAAGTCGATCGCCTCGAACCCGACGTGATTGAGATGATGCGGTCGACCAACTATCAGCGATCCGAGGCGCGACGTTTCGAGATGCTGAACGAGATCGAGGACATGCATGACAAGGCAGATGGCGCAGCCGCTTTGGCCCTGTCTGGCGCGCTTCTTCGGGGCATGGACGGCCCGCCCGCTGAGAAGCTTGCGAAGCAGGTTTCCGACAATATTCTCGACTCTGCAGGCGCCAAAGTCGTGGCGCGTTGGAAAGCTGCCAGGGACGAGCGTTTGATGGGCATCAACAACCAGATTCCTAGCTCGCCGAAGCAGACCAGTGGTGGGGACGAGGACCGGCCTGGCTACGACTCGATGGATGAGACAGCAACGAGTGACACGGGTTATTCCACCACCACCAGCCAGAACATCGCCAGGAGAAAGCGAGTGCAAGGCGTATCCCTCAATACCTCGTTCTCTCACCGGTTTGCTGATGCTGCGCCGGCAAGCGAACCGTTCATCAAGACAGTTTCTCAGGCCTATGATTCCCACTCCAGCGAGTTTGAAGATGACCACACTACTCCGCAGCAAAAGCTTGCTACCAGGTTCATGTCTCCCAGCAGCTCCGCTCCGGACTACGGAAGCGAAACCTCGACAGACTCCGCTCACTGGAATAGCCCGAGCTCGGCTGGTGAAAGCCCATCATCTCCGGATCTCGACTCCGAGATCGGCTTTTTGGACGAGGCAGATGGCGGTGTCGCGCTACTTCCCACCTGCCTCGCTGAAGAGCTGGGACTCAAGGATGAATCCGATATGGCGACCCCAACCCCTGGTTCTTGTTTAAGCCACCCTGAGACTTTTGCAAGCCACCTTGGCGCTGGCTTGAGCCGAGCCTTCTTCACTGTTCCTACTGGCTTGAATGGCATGTTGGCTAACAACAACACTTATGTTAACACGTTCAACCCGTCTCCTACGTTCGGTTCGTTTGATACACACGTTGCCGACAACGCTGTCAGCCAAGAGACCAAGTCAAGAGCCTCGCCTGGTCCGTTCTCGCCGCAATCCGAGACTAGCGACTACCCGCTGGCTGAAGAGCAGCCCTGGAAAGGATTCACCTGCTACGAAGTTGCTGCTAAGTTCGGCAATGACCAGCTGGTTCCCAAGTACTGGACCACCACGCGCGGGAAGGAGCGTTATGTTCGTCATAAGATTGGTGACTTGAAGCTGGACGATGCCAAGCTGCGCTCTGATCGCTTCTCGGGTTCTGTCGCGCGCAACCCCGTTCATATCTTCGTTGATCTCTCCAACATCATCATCGGTTTCTATGACAGCATGAAAGAGAGCCGGGGCATCTCCGTCAACAAACGTGTCATGGCCCCGGCATTCTCGTTCAAGAACTTCGACACCATCCTCACTCGCGACCGAAATGTCGCCAAGAGGATCGTCGCAGGCTCCTTGGCCAACTCGTACAGCAAGCGGCGGCCTGGATACATGGTCCAAGCCCAAGATCTGAAGTACGAGATGAACATTCTGGAACGCGTTCCGAAGCCTGCGTCGCCTGTGCGCAAGCGCAAGCCGAAAGCCGGAGCCCGCGACTTGGACGCGCCCACGTCTGGGGCTGACACTTCAGGCGACGATTGCTTTGTGGGACCGATGAAGCATGGAGAGCAGGGTGTGGACGAGTTGCTCCACCTCAAGATTCTCCAGAGTGTTATCGACAGCAAGCCTGCGACCATGGTGCTCGCTACGGGCGATGCTGCGACTGCGCAGTACTCGGATGGCTTCAAGAAGAATATCGAGCGAGTACTTGCCTACGGCTGGAACATTGAACTGTACGGCTGGAGCCGCAACATCTCGTCCGCCTGGCGCGAGCCTGAGTTTGCCGAGCAATGGGGACACCAATTCAAGATCGTTGAGCTCGATGGGTTCTGCGAGGAGCTTTTTGACATGACGATTGAGTCATTGGAGCAGTAAGCTCTCTCCTCAGCAGCATCGCAGCACATGTTCTGGGTTGTCACCTCAGCTTTCGGCATCTGTCATACTTTGGCGGCGGCGATGTCACGACGCGCACCCCAACACATTTATTTCTACTTCTTCGGGGTCGGATGCAGCTGTCTGGACGGGCTTTCGCCTCGTCCACCATTGGCACGCAATCTCGACCAACAAACCGACTCTTTTTGATTTGACTTTTCGGCACATTTTCGAGTTCATGCACATTTTCTTCTTATTCATTTTAACGTATTCAGCGCCAACACACCGGCACACTTTGGCACACCGCCATCAAACTCGCTTGCTCCGAGAGCTTCGATCAATATGTTCCCTCGACGGTTCCTTCGACACATTTTGATCTACTCTCGACACTCGCTCTCAACAGACAATTTCGGGGCATTTCAAACCGAAGCAATGAGCCACCCGGCACTTTTGGCTGCTCTTGCTCCCCGACCACATTCGTCCGACCGCTTCGCGGACGACGCAAGATGAGACGTTGACTCAGCAAACCCAATGACACCCAGTTGTCCGCTTTCTCGCGACAACATCGAAACACAACTCGCAATACCAAAAAGGCACAAAAAAAAAACTTTACGACGATAATGAGTGATGACGACCACAGCATTCCATAAACCGATGGTGCAGCTGGGAAGCGATCTTGAAGTGGCACATGCGATGCACGGCGTTGATGACGACACTTACTTTTCTGTTCCTCACCGATCCATTGGCTTCTCGGTTTTCCTCTCTCTGTGTTTCTTACACATGGTCGGAATACGAGGCGGGAGTGCAGAACGGAACGTTGACCATGACCATGCATGCGAAGGGCGGCATGGGCAAGGGGGCAGGCATCCAGTGGGGTAATGCATCAGGTGGGAGGGCGCGGCATTTGGCGTGACTCGGTTTGGGAGATACCCCTGCATATCTGGGTTTTTGTTCTTCTCTTTTCCCCTTTTTTTCTTTTTTCTCCTTTTCACGCATCTGGTTGGGATGGGATGCCTCGTCACGACGGGGTGTGGTTGGGCTGGAGAATCTTTGTTTCTCTTGTTGCGGCCTTGGTTGCACCTCTCCCTGTTTGGAGCGGCGGAGGGACTACATTGGGCGTGGCAAGGCACTCGGATGGATACAGCGGCATACTTCTCCTGTGCGTGGTAGAACAGGAAGGATAGGCGTTATGGTTTTCTTTCACCATAGGGCGGTTTCTCGGTCTTCTTCGTTCTGCACTGCTCAGCGGGAATGGGCCTTACCCTTGGGCATAGTTGCCTGGGTATGATATGGGAGGGGAAGCAACTTTGTCGATAGGTTACCGCCTTGGGAGCCGACGTTGGTGCGTGTCTGTCTTGTTGACACGGCGGACGGCGGACGGGTCTGCTTGTGGATAGGGACGCTCCCCCTTTATCACCTTGGTTGGGGTATGATCCCGCTTGGACGTGGCAGGCTCGGGCGAACTTGAGGTGCGCCTGGGGCTTTGGCGAAGCCGTCATTGGTCTGGACCAGTGGTAATCCTGCTCGAGGGTGGTGGTAATGCGTGGCCATCTCCGACGTCGTGGCAGGCTACGTGCATAATGGCATACTTAGAGGACATAGCATCCAAGAATGGTACACAAAATGGGTCGTGGATATCGTTTTCGTCTCTGTGATGTTGGTAGTGAGTTTGTTTTCAACCCTAGCCAACATCATTCGTAACTGCCTGCCTGCCTAGTCTCAGGCATGTCTTTAACCTGTTGGAACCAAAACCACAAATGATGGTAAACATGGGGATTGGGTGTCCCGTATGGGGGTATTGCTCCATAGTCAGATCTATGTTGATCACTCACCCCCGTTCCCAAAAAGCAGAGTACCTCCATCCCCGGGTATCCAATGCATCCGCCCAACACCGCCGCCCCCCCCCCCCCCTCCCCAACCCAAAAACCCCATCTACACAGCCATAGCCCCCACCTCCTGGCCCTCCCGCGCGTCTCTCCTCCCCTGACCCAACTCCGCCATAACCCACTCATACACCGCCCACTGCACAGCATTCACAATAAACGCCCGCACGCTGCACACCCCTAGACCCCTGAAGAACGGCCGCATCCCACCCTCCCGGTACGTCTGCCGCGCAACCTCCCACGCCCCGAGCGGTCTCCCGCCGTCCCCACCACGACCGCCACCACCGCCGCCGGCAGCACCAAGAAGGGGCGCCCTCTCCCCCGCAACAACCCTGTCATTACCACCACCGCCGCCCAAAACCTGCGTCTGCACCCGCGTCTTGACCACATCCAACGGAAAAATGCTCGCCCACGTGATGATGCCCGCCAGCCCGCCGCAGAGCAGCACGCGCGCCGCTTCCATGCCGGCGCTACTACTACTACTGCTGCCGTCCCCCAGAGTGGTAGTAGTAGTAGTAGCGGTGGTGGTGGAGATGGAGGTGGTGGGTGGCGGGAAGAGGTGGCGCATGCCGCGGGAGCAGAGCTCGTAGCCCCAGAAGTAGAAGCCGTAGCCGACGGTGTCGCGCAGGGCGGTGACGGCGCCGCCGGCGTAGAGGCCGCGCGGGCCGTGGGTTTGGAGGAGGGTTTTGGTGATGTGCCAGGAAGAGGTGGTGAAAGGGGAAGAGGAAGGGGAGGGGGAGGGGGTTAAACCATGGATGCTGCCGGTTGCGTGCGTGAGACTCGGTGTTGCGGGGGGTGCTGGTGACGCCGGGATTTGCAGCTGGGCGCGGCACTTGACGAGCTCGGTCGGTGTCGAGACTACCCAGGTGGCGAGGCCGCCGACGGCGCCCGCGAGCCAGGTCGTGAGCAGGTTGGTGCCGCGCGCCTGGCCCCCCTGTGGTGCACCGCCTCCTGTGTCGCAGCCCGAGAGCTGGTTGAGGAAGGCCTCGGTGCGGTTGTAGGACACGAAGAGCAGCGCGTTGAGGGCGCCGTAGCCTAGGACGGGGGCGGCCGTGCCCAGGAGAAAGGGACGGGCATAGCTGTAGCTGAGGGGTGTTGATAGCGTGGCGGAGGGAGGTGTGATGGGGAAAGAAGGGGTCGCGGTGGTGATGCCGGCTTGGAGGCGGACTTTGAGCACGTCGAGCGGATTGCCGAGGATGATGCCGGCCGCACCGGAGATGTAACCGGCCCAAAAGTCGGCCGACATTTACTACTATTAGTCTGGAAAGTGAAATATACGGAAAACGGGCCTGCGGAGGAGTAATGAAGCAGAAGGTGCGGAGTCCGGAGACGGCGCCGAGCTGTGGGGGGGGTACAGCCGAGAGAATGCCGAGGTTCCCCGGGATGTCTGTTTCCGGCATTAAAGCTGCGGAGGGGAACTTGGCGAGGTTAACTTATTCACCAGAGAGTTGAAACAGATGGCCAGGCACAAACAAAAAGAGTCAAGAGGTTCAAGACGCCACTATCTACACAAGACAATTACTCGGCAGGGCCCAAACGCCGCTTGGCATGGTGGGCTGGAGCCCCGCCGAGCACCTTTCCGGCGGTGGAGTGAGACTGATGAGAGCGTTGAGAGAATTCTACAGAATTACTTTGGAGTGGTGGGGTGGTGGGGTTGCCGGGAGCTTGGTGTGTACCGTGCACGTGCGGGGTGACGCCCTGCCAAGACTCGGCTGCAGGAAAGCAGAGGCACGTGAAGAGGGAGTGACACTCCCAATCCCTGAAAGTTTGTTCGCCCACTTCAAGACCGGGGTCCTTGCCAAAGTTTCCAACTCAATGACACCAACTCAATGACACAACGGCGCATTTTTTAACAAAAAAACGTCTTGATTGGAATCGGCTTTACGAATTATCCTGAGTATTGCATTTTCTTTCATTTTAAACGGTTGTTGGGCTGTCGGGGTAGGGGCTATCAACTTTTGAACCCGGGCCCCTGTCAAAAGCGCTGCGCAAACTCACAAACAAGAGCTGGACAGACTGTCATGCAAGGATCGGCAGCTATGTAGGTACGAGCGTCTCATTGCTTACCTCAACGTCCTGTGATTCCAACCGCCAGCAACACCAAACATTTGGTTCAGCTCAGTTCTTCTTCGCAGCCTGAGGAATCCCAAGCATGTCATGAAAAAAGAGTACACAATTAAAAGAGTAAAGAAAGAAGAGAAGAAGAAAAAAAAAAGACGAACAACATGGCCAGAACACAAGTGTGTCAGTGAATTGGTTGGGACTTGGGAGGCGAAGAGGAGCTTTGGCAGAACTCGGACAGGACCATACGTCTACAACCAGTACACACTTGAGGATTGTTTCTCGGGGGTCCCGAGGCCCCCGATCACCAACACCCCGTCATATGTAGATTAGACGGGCGGCCTGCATGCCGCGTCAGTGCAGTGCGGCGAAAAGCATGGCCGCCTCCCCCGTTACAATGAGCCCCGGGCCGAGGGGTCGGGTACAGGCCCGGACAGTTCGGTGGCTGCCTTTCTAGCGAGATTAACCTTTCAGGCAACCAGCGCGTGCGGGCCCGAATCCGGGATGCCCCGGGGGTGGAGGTCCGCGGCTTGGGTGCTGAAGTCAAGGGACCAAAAGAATGGTACGGGTAACACTCTACTAAGTGTGAGGTACAGCTGAACATACCAACGCGGCACAACACAGCGCCCGTGACGATGTATGCATGTATGTATGTCTGCATCTGTAGGTATGTATGTACACGCCGCCGCGCTCGCGCTCGCACAAGCGCGGCCAGCCGCTGGAAAAGCTGGCCTTGTGTGTGCGTGTTCCATCCCCGACTCGGTCTCGACGCGCGCGCTGGGCGGGCTGTCGTGCTTCGGGGCATGGCGCGCCGTTCGAGCCCCCTACCGAGGAGTAGGGTGGTGGCAAGGATTGGCTTCGTTCGGCGCGGTGCCCGGGGCTTAGGGGGTGATCGGGGATCGGGACTCGCGATGTGGCTTGGCGGGGGGGGGGGGGGGGGGGGGGGGGGGGGGCGTCGGCTGGGGATATAGAGGATGTGTTGCGTTCCGGGCGCTGAAAGATGTGTGTGGAGTAGTTGTGTCGAGACGGAGGAGCTTGAACTTGGGGCGGGGGTTCGTCTGGGTTCTGGAGGAGGTAGACGGGACGTCATGGGCTAAGTTTGAGATCGGAGGCACCGCGGAATCGTTAAGGGATTGAGGCAGCTGCTGTTACAGGCATCGTCAGCAATGAAGACAGACGGAGAGATTCGGTACCTAGGCAGAACGAGTATTCCGTACCTACTAAATAATGGCTGCTCCGCCGCTACCAACCGGAAATCCAGCCTGGCAGCCAACCGAATAACTATCGCCATCAGCTCGGCGCATTGGAAACATCTCATTGACAACGGGATGCAACACAGTAGCTCACGCGCGCCGGATTAGCTGTCGTCAGGGGTCGGCTAAATGTTAGTCACCCATGAAGCCCGAAGTACAGAGGGTACCCTCTCGGCAAGAAAACAAACGAACTCCCCGCGTCGCAGATGTCGACCAAACCTCCACGGTGAAACGAAACAAAAAACTGTCTAATCCATATTTTTTCTTACTTGATGCCAGTTATTGGACCCCTTTTGTTAGGTTTCTTTTGCTTGGTTTCTTCCTCAATCCCGTTTGTCTTCAGACTCTTTTCGCACGTCCCCCGTCGTGCCCTCCCACGTGCCCCGCCCTGCAAGCGGGTTGGGTGTTTCAGCCTTACTACCAGGTATTTTTAGGCACGAGACAGATTTGACCGCAGTTTGAACTCCATTATTCTGCTCCAGTAAAAAGTAAAGCGATAACGTCACGTCATAAATCACTTCGGATTATTCCACTTAACGACATTGGAAAACCGCGACGATCATTTGCGTTGAAGATAGACGAGGTACCTAGGTAGTCAGGCGTGTCAGGTACCAAGGCTTCTGGCACTTTCAAAAATGCCTTTTCCCTGCAAGGCTGCGTGCGTGAACAGATCGATCGCTTTTAAGCTTCGCTTGGCATCTTGGCGAGCAGGGTCTTGAAACTCGCCCCTCTCACTTCTGTCTCTTCTCTTCCCATGGATGTTCTTCAAGAACAGGAGTGGAACAGGAGGTGTGAGAGGCAAACAAAAAGTTGGATAAACAACCGCCGCTAGACCCTGATTGAATCGGGGCTCGATGCCAACCTAGGTAATCGTTAACGAACAAATTGAACACGTTGCGAAAGAAGAAAACAGGCGTGAGATCGGTGGCCTGGGAGGGCCCGGTGATCCTGATTATCTCCGACAGCATACCGGGGGTGTGGTGCGGCTTCCCGAACAGCCCCACACACACTTTTCCTTCCCATCCATTGACACGAAGAGCTGGCCCGACATCCATATCTTTGAGTTACGAATTCAAGCGCTTCAAAACTCGTTATTCCCTTCCAAATGCTAGAACATTCGAAACCATGTCAATCCAAAGCCGCATAAAGCGATTCTTATAGTTGTTTAGTTCTTGCACAACAAGAAAAGGTGGTGAAGGTGCGACTGCCTGACTGCAAACGAGCCGACCCCCGGGTCACACCGCCTGTTGTGCGTGAACTGCCGTTGAGGCTGGTGTGGCGGCTGGTGCAGCGGCAGAGTGCATTCTGAAGAGCCCAGCCCCTGTCGCTGCATAGCTTGGCAAACCCAGCAAATCTGTCAAATCGAACGGGCAACCCTGCAAACCAAGTGGAAGCATCTTGTTTGGTTGCGTGGGAAGCCGATTTACGTTGGATTTACGTTGGATTTACGTTGGATTTGTGTTGGATTTGCGTTGGAGTTGCGTTGAATTTGCGCCGGACTTGAGTGAAATTGGGTTGATGAGATCTTGCTGCGATGGGTTCTGTGGAGAGCGCCGGTTTGCGACTTCACTGTCGCCGATGATGGCACGGTGGCAACTCCACAGTATGTACCTATTGGGAAGGGCGATCCCAGCCTGTCGGGCACCTTGCGACGGGTTCAACGGTCGGGCCGGTTCAGGGGGACAGGGGATTGGGCACAATCCCATCAGGAAGCTCGATGTAGAACCCCGCCGAACTCAACCCCGCCAAACTCAACACCACCACCACACACACGCATCGGCGACGCGCCGACGGCCTTAAGTGGTGCCATCGCCATTCGCGTCTGCTCGGCCTGGTATATATAACCCGATTACTGACTGTCCCTTATCAAGTTTCGCCCACTCTCCGCACCTCAAGACCCCGACTCCGGCTCCGAGCTTGGGGCTGGCGAAAATGGATGAACACGCCGAGTTGCGAGCGTGCAGTGACGGACGTCCTGTGACGATCCCCCTCAGCACCCCCTCCCGCTCTGCCGGCAGCCGGTCCAGCCCCCAGAGGAATTCTACAGTCTCCACTTGATGCTATCCCCTGCTGTTGATGGTTGTGTGCATATGTATGTGCAGAAAGGTATGATTGGGCCGCCCGTGCTGCAAACACACTCTGGACTGACGACAAACGCCGCCTGGCCGGCCGCCCCTGTATCTCCTGGTGCCTTTGCGCGCGGCTTCCACAGAGCGATGGAACAACATCCAGCCCTCGCTTGTCTCTGACCTCGTTATGGATGTTTGGGAGAACACTGTAGCAACCTTTTCCCGTGGTTTGCTTCGCCTCAAAGGTAAACAACAATACGAAAGAACCCCCTGGGGATGTTGTGCTCGTTCTAGACCACTCTCAACAGCGGCTGATGAGGTGGCTGTCTCAGGTATCTTTGTCTCTCACGGGTAGCCGCAAAACCGAAATGTGACAGCGCCCATCCGCCTGGAGGACATGCCCCTTGTCCCGCTGCTGCCGTTCTGCTCAGCACACTCTCTCCCAACCTTCTGCTGCAGTCATATCCAGCACACTCTTCTCCGACCTCTTGCCGCCGTCTCATCCAGCGCATTCTTCTCCGACCTCCTGCTACCGTCTCATCCAGCACACTCTTCTCCGACCTCCTGCTGCCGTCTCATCCAACACACTCTTCTCCCAACCTTCTGCTGCAGTCATATCCAGCGCACTCTTCGCCGACCTCCTGCTGCCGTCTCAGCCAGCACACTCCCTCCCGACCTTCTACTACCGTGCTATCCAGCGCACTCTCTCCCAACTTCCCGGCCGTCGTTGCACCCCTACCAACATTATCCTATCATCCCATCACAAAACAAACACCAACAACATGAATGCTCACGGGACAAACGGGGCTCCCCCGGTCGGCAGCAGCACGCACCCCCTAGTGTACTACGCTGTTGTCCGCCGTGACGGTAATTTACGCTACGCCATCTATGTGGAAACCGACCCTTTGCCGCTGTCAAGGGGCCACTCGTGGGGCACCCTGCTCCAAATCAACGGCAGCTTATCCATCCCCGCCGGGTTGACCTTCCACTCACGGGCCTGCTCCACCCCGCTCCACGCGGTAGATGGGATCTGCTTGCGGCCCGTTGGCCGGGCGCCCCGCCGCGCCGTCTCGGGGATCATCAAGGAATGCGCCAAGATCCCGCTGGCCACGGCGCCGGGTGGCGGTCCGGTACTGCTGCCTGCCCAGCCGCCTCGCAACTCCTTGGAGTGGACCAACACGGCCATCGACACACTCGCCGCGGCCCGCCTCCTCCTGCCGCTGAACGACTCCGACCCTCGCGCGGTCATTTTCCGTCCCGGCCGGAACGCAGGCGCCGTCCCCGGGCTTACATTGTGGCAAGGGGAGCATGGTGGGGCGCCTGCGCCGGTCGTTCACCCGGGTCCGCGTGCGCCAGTCGTGGTCCCGGGTCAGGTCGGTGGGGCGCCTGCGCCGGTCGTTAACCCGGGCCCGCAAGTGCCAGTCGTGGTCCCGGGTCAGGCCGGTGGGGCGCCTGCGCCGGTCATTCACCCAGGCCCGCATGCGCCAGTCGCGGTCCCGGGTCAGGCCGGTGGGGTGCATGTGCCGGTGGTGGTCCCTTGGGAACATCGGTTGTGGCTAGTTGTCCTCTCCTCTTTGTTTCTCGTCGCTCTTTCTGCAGAGGGTGGGTGGATGGAGGCAGTCTCTTACCTTCTGTTCATCCTCCTTCTGATTCGCTAAAGGACGCACCGGCGGGCGGTTGCCAGGGAGGATGGCTGTGGGTGGGAGATGGTTCTTTCCTTCTTCATGTTCAGCTTTCTCCTTGGCTCGGTACTGGGGGGTTGGTCGCTGAGACGGTGGGCATGGGTGGAGTGATGAGTCTTTCCTTTTTCATGTTCGGTTCTTTCTTTGGTTCGCTAATGAGGGTTGGGGGAGTTGGTCGCGAGGTGGGTGGGCATGGGTGGAGTGATGATTCTTTCCTTCTTCATGATCAGCTTTCTCTTTGGTTCGCTAATGAGGGTTGGGGGAGTTGGTCGCGAGGTGGGTGGGCATGGGTGGAGTAATGATTCTTTCCTTCTTCATGATCAGCTTTCTCTTTGGCTTGGTATTGGGGTTTGGGGGAGTTGGTCGCGAGGTGGGTGGGCATTGGTGGAGTGATGATTCTTTCCTTCTTCATGTTTAGTCTCTCTTTGTCTCGCCAGTGATAGGGGTTGGGATGGGCCGTTGCGAGGGAGGTAGGTGTTGCTAATTTCCATCCGTCCCCCTCCAGAGTGTATGTTCCGGGGCGGGCTGGGGGGAGATGGCCGGGTTCTTTGAGCATGTATTGTCCGTCGCATTGGTCTCCTTTTCAGATATCAATAAACGTCATGTGGTGTAACAAGAGGTCGTGTTCAGCGATATGTGCATCCAACATCTCATCCACCCACGCCTCCCAACCGTGGTGGGGGAGCCGCGGGCGGTCGCCTATGCGACTGCAACAGTATTCCCAATAGGTTGGATACCATCCGGCGTTCTGCCAATTGACGATCACAACGGTCCCATCTTCACGTAGAATGAGATTGCGCCCGTATAAATGGGAGTGTGTGAAGACGGACCCATTATGCCCGTTAAACACTTTCCGGTAAGCATCAGCATACGGTATTGCCTGGCGCTCGGTTGGGCGCGTGTTAACAATATCCGTATCGAGGTAACGTAGCATGGCTTCGGTCCACTCCTCTTCAGTCTCGTGGGGCCCCGAGATAGCCTTGTCCGGATGTGGTCGGTGTGAGACTCGGTCGGTTATAAAGTGGCAATCTCGTATAGGTTGTCTCCGGATACCACCGTAGTAGCCCGGGGAAGGGATACTACGTAACTCGTCCATATTGCGGCGTATCTGCAAGGCAATAGCTTGCCTTTGAGCTCTATCGAGACCGTTCCATATCTCTCCCAGCTGATGTCCCGGGATAAATTCTTGGACAATGAAGTTCAGTCCGGTTTCCTCGTCGTGGAACATTGCATAGAGTTTTGGGATAGGTATATTCGTCGATTCTTGAACAAAGAGCATATTCTCGCCCTCGTGGAAGGAGATATGGAACCCTAACTCATCACAACTCCCGTACTTGACGGCGAAGTGCTTACCGACACGGTAAATCGGGGCCCCGGTGTCCGTGCTGACGCGCTGTCTGGGCGTAGCAAGGATCTCCTCCACGGTGGGCAGCTCGACTCCGTCTGGGAGGCTCCCACGGTAAAAGTATCGTAGTTTGGGCGGAGCAAGGATCCCCTCCACGGTGGGCAGCTCGACTCCGTCTGGGAGGCTCTCAATGTCCAAGTATGGTAAGTCATGTTGTGTAGCGACCGTGGTAACCTTTTCGAGGGCGGAGAGGCGTGCGGTTGAAGCAATAATATCCTCCGCGGTTGGCAGGGTCACTGGGAGGGATTTAGCCATGATGGATATGTTGGGCTTCCTACCTATGCTTGTACGACGAGACCCGAAGGTTAACTTAGAACTCAGCCTTGCGAATGAACCTTTAGTCTTGTTCTGTGTTTGACTAAGGGATGTGGAGGTTGAGTCAGAACTTGGTTTAGGATTGAATGGCGCTCCGTATTTATATTATATTATTCTTGGCCTTTTGCAAAGAACCTGTTCCACCTGCCGGGCTTTGAAGTCAGACAAAAGCCCACGAGCGGCCGCCGAGGGCGCAACGTTGGCCCTGTTTACTCGTGACTCTTTTGAGATTGGGCCTCATGTTTGGTCATATAAAGCAAGCGAGATCAGAGTCTAAGTGACCACCGTACCTAGGTAGGTGTTGAATGATGATGATTGATGAACAGGACGAAGGTTGAGTTCAAAGTGAACACCCTGTTGGCGGGGGCCAAGCTGAGACCCACACCACTGTGCGGAGTGATTCGAACATCTTGTTTATACTGTATTAGTTTACACTCACTTTCAGGCGGCCACAGAAGGTCCCTACTGGTCACGGGCATTGAGAAATGGCCCTGTTAGAACTTTCAAGGGGTCTGAGCAAGCTGATAGCGACTCAAGGTATATAAAATTAACACCGTTAAAATGCGCTAGATCTGGAAAACCCAACTACGATTGAGTCTATTCGACTAAACGTAATCCTCCAATGCTGGGGGGGTCCGGCCGGTGGGAGGTGGTTTACAGTGGCTACAGCGGCCGGCGCGGGGGGCGTTGGGCGATCCCTACTGAGCTGTGGGCTTGGCACAACAGCCCGGGATTCACTTTTGAACTCAACCTATTACTGATTCGAGTTTTGCATTCAAAGATCAAGGGGTGAGTAGTAGTACTAGAGTGTGAATGTCTGGGGAGCGAGCGGTTTTACTGGCATGCCACGCTCGAAGTGAAAACAGAGAAACCCATCCCAATTCGCAATATTCATAATATCCAAGTTTATTCAAGCGGTCAAGTGGGCTGCCCGGATCGCCATGGGCATTGAAGTTTGGCTGTCGTCCGGATCCAAATCGGGAAATGCGTGTCCCACCAATCTGTATCTCTCTCATGCTCCCGACATGAAAGTGGGCTTGGCGTGGCGGTCATCTGACACCGCGGGGAAGGCGCGTGTCTGCTGAACTGAACGCGTCCATGGTCCCGTCAACACAGCCGCGCCCGCTCCTTCCGGTTGCTGCGTCAGAGCGTCAAATTTATTTATTTGGCTTCGGAAGGCCATCAAATCTCTTGGAATTACCTCTAATACTTCCTTATCAGGCATTGGACGGTAGCTCAATACCCGTGTGCCACCATGTAAACTCATTCGACCCACCGCGCCTGTGTATCCAACTGTGACTGACTCCAATAGGACGGCCTCAACGCCAGCCACGCCCGCCGCGAACAAGGAGAATGCCGTGCCCCGTAGCCGCTTCCCAACACCGCAGTCTGTCGACCGCCTACATAGACCGTTCAAATGCCCCGGTTCTGCCACACGCACCGTCGCGACCGACCGCCCGGCTCGGAAGCGGAGAAGGGTCGATTACGGGGGTGCCGACGGGGAGGCAGATGCTGACAAGCCCTACACCAATGCGGACCGTCTTGCTCTCGCGAACCGAGATGCCAACCGGTTTCCTGTGTTCCAAGCCAAGGATAAGGATAAGATCTTTCGCAAGGCCTTTTCCGTTCCCTTTGTCAACAAGGACAATGCCGCATACAATCCGAACCGCCCCCCTCCAACCTTGGGATTGAGACAGGGTGCAGTCTTCATCGCCAAGCCCCTGCACGATCCATGTGGCGAGTTTGCTATTGTGCTCCACGACCCGACAGTCGACGACAGGCCCAAAGAGACGGCCAAGCTCGAAGAAAAACAACAGGAAGTCGAACCGGCATCAAAGATTGATGCGCCGCTGATGCACAAGAGTCTCGCCGAGATTCTCGGGATCAAGAAGAAGGTTGAGGGCGAGCATCCAAGGGTCCCAGTTGTCATCGACCCAAGGCTTGCCAAGGTGCTCCGACCCCATCAGATCGAGGGTGTCAAGTTCATGTACCGATGCGTGACGGGCATGATCGATGAAAAGGCAAACGGGTGCATCATGGCGGACGAAATGGGTCTCGGAAAGACGCTACAATGTATCACCCTTCTCTGGACCCTGCTGAAGCAGTCTCCCGATGCCGGCAAGTCCACGATCCAGAAGGCTATCGTTGCCTGCCCTTCGAGTTTGGTGCGGAACTGGGCGAACGAGCTGGTCAAGTGGTTGGGGGCTGACGCCATCACGCCTTTCGCTATTGACGGCAAGGCGTCGAAGGAGGAACTCACCCGCCAGCTTCGCCAATGGGCCATTTCCACTGGTCGTTCCGTCACCCGCCCGGTCATAATCGTGTCATACGAAACCCTTCGTCTTAATGTCGAAGAGCTCAAGAATACGCCCATCGGCTTGATGCTTTGTGACGAGGGCCATCGTCTAAAAAACGGAGACAGCCAGACTTTCGGTGCCTTGAACAACCTGAATGTCTCACGACGCGTCATTCTGTCTGGTACCCCGATCCAGAACGATTTGTCCGAGTACTTCGCCCTCATCAGCTTTGCAAATCCGGATCTTCTAGGGACCCGGTTGGAATTTCGCAAGCGCTTTGAGCTTCCTATTCTACGTGGACGTGACGCCGATGCCTCCGAGGCCGATCGAAAACGCGGCGACGAATGCCTTGTTGAGCTACTCGCCATTGTCAACAAGTTTATCATCCGCCGCACCAACGACATCCTGTCCAAGTACCTTCCAGTCAAGTACGAGCACGTGGTGTTCTGCAATCTGGCACCCTTTCAACTGGCGCTCTATAACTACTTCATCACCTCCCCCGATATCCAGGCACTCCTCCGAGGCAAGGGTTCCCAGCCGCTCAAGGCCATCGGCATGCTCAAAAAGCTCTGCAACCACCCCGACCTCTTGGACCTTGTGGCCGACCTCCCGGGTTGCGAGAAGTACTGGCCGGCCGACTACGTCCCTAAAGAAGCCCGCGGTCGCGACCGTGACATCAAACCGTGGTACTCGGGCAAAATGCAGGTCCTTGCCCGCATGCTTGCCCGCATCCGCGCCGACACCAACGACAAGATTGTGCTCATCAGCAATTACACTTCTACCCTCGACCTGTTCGAGCGCCTCTGCCGATCTAACAACTACGGCTGTTTGCGCCTCGATGGCACAATGAACGTCAACAAGCGCCAGAAGCTTGTGGACAAGTTCAATGACCCGGACGGTCCCGAGTTCGTTTTTCTGCTCTCCTCAAAGGCGGGCGGCTGCGGCCTCAACTTGATCGGCGCCAACCGTCTCGTCCTCTTCGACCCTGATTGGAACCCGGCCGCCGACCAGCAGGCGCTCGCCCGTGTGTGGCGTGACGGCCAGAAGAAGGACTGCTTTGTCTATCGCTTCATCGCCACGGGCACGATCGAGGAGAAGATCTTCCAGCGGCAGAGCCACAAGCAGAGCCTGAGCTCCTGCGTCGTCGACTCGGCCGAGGACGTGGAACGCCATTTCAGCTTGGACAGCCTGCGCGAGCTGTTCCAGTACCGGGCCGACACCAGGAGCGACACGCACGACACCTTCAAGTGCAAGCGCTGCCGCCCGGACGGCAAGCAGCACATCAAGGCCCAGGCCATGCTCTATGGCGATACCAGCACGTGGAATCACTTTATCAACGAGGGGCTCAAGGTGATCCAGGACCATTTGCTTAAGCAGGAGTGTGGGGCGGAGGAGGTCAGCGCCGTGTTTCAGTACATTTCCCACTGAGCACTTAATGTAGCGTTATTGATGCAAGTTGGCGTTTGGTGTGTTTTTGGGTGTATTGTTGCTGTTGTGGGGTTTGCTTCGGGGATTGAACGTTGTTGGTGTGCCGCTGCGGGAAAACGCATTCGGGTTCCAGCCAAAAATGATAGATGACAAGATGATCACAGCAAGCGAGTTTTGCGAAATTGAGACTTGCACCTTGTTTGCTCAGGAAGCTCTCTCTACTCATTGCTACCTACCCAATGATCGACCATCCTGTTACGATTTACAACTCGTCCTTTCCACTCGCCGTCCCGGTCACAATCTCTTCCTCGAACCGTCTGCTCTTGGGATTCCTCTCCACCTCGGCCTCCTGCTCCTCCTTGCGCCGCCTCGCCAGCGCGGCGATCTCCTCGTCGTACTCGGTCCACTCCGGCACCTGCCGCCGCGCCCGGTCCAGCTTGGGCTCCTTGGTCTGCGGGTTGTTGCACAGGTCGATGGTGCGGGCCTCCTTGAGGGTCTCGTCGCTGCACCACGTCTCGCACCACAGCCACTCCTGCGGCAGGCTGTGGATGGGGATCTGGAACTGCATGTGGTTGGGCAGGTCCTGGTCGAGGTTGGCGAGCGAGTTGGGGTCGGCCGAGAGGGCGTGGTACTGCTGGCGCAGGCGGTCGCCGGCGGCGAGCTCGCGGAAGCGGCGCAGGTCGACGGCGTAGAGGGCGCTGATGTGGTAGGGGTGGCCCTTGAGGTAGTTGGCCCAGTAGCCCGTCTTCCAGAACCGGAAGCCCTCCATCTCGGTGCGCGAGTCGCACATGGGCGCGAAGCCGTACGGCGCCCCCTCGAGGTCCAGCGTCGCCAGCTCGCGCATGTCCGCCCGCACCACCTGGTCCGCGTCCACAAAGATCACCTTGTCCAGCGACAGCGGGAACAGCACGTCCAGGAAGAGGATCTTGTACCCCCAGATCTCGCGCTGCTTCTCTTTCTGCTGGCGCAGCCAGTGCGGCCACTTGTACGTTACCATCTCGTACGAGAAGTTGTATTCGGCGGCGAGGTGCGGGATGAAGTCCTTGAAGGAGGGGGACAGGAACTGCTCGATGAACCAGAACTTGACCGTGTGGTTGGTGTGCCGCATGACCGAGACCATCATGATGTTGAGCATGCGCTCGTAGAGGTGGCCGCTGGCGACCGAGAAGATGTTGATCTCGGCGTGTTGCGTGGCGGAGAGCGACTTGGTTTCCTCGGCGGGCTTGGCACGGCCGAGGAGGCCTTCAGCGAACTTGAGGCCTTTGGAAACAAACTCCATGGCGGCGTTGCCGGTGCCGGCGGCCCCGTCGGGGTTGGTTTCTTCGAGCACGTCTTCCTCCATCATGCCGGGCTTGCGCTTCAGGCGGGGGTAGAGTGTTGTGCCCTGGAAGTTCATGAGTGCGATTTCGGCCGAGTCGTCGCCGGGAACAGGCGTCCAACCCTCGGCGCCGAGGCTTTCCATGGTGAAGATGTCGGAGCTCCGGCCTTCCTTCAGCCGGAGGCTGTAAACACCCGGGTTGGCCTTGAACTGGAAGAAACCGAGGTTGGCCATGATGATGGTGTCGGCAAAGTGCGAGTCCTTCTCAGTACCTAGGACGAGCTGCACGCCCCGAGGAGGCTGGCCTGCCGGCATCTCGCGCGAGTGCCCTTCAATCAGGATGTTCTCCAGCTGGTAAACCGCCTCGATGTGCTCTGTGCCCCTTTTGGCCTTGATGTCCTTGATGCGGAGGTTGTCCAGGTCATCGACCGAGACCTTGGACGTAACGAGCCAGGCGGGCGGCACGTCCATGCCCGCGACCAGGAGTGTGTCTTGGGGGACCCCCGCAAAGTTGGCCGACAGTGCCTTGACCTTCCCGCTGTCGTCAAAACTGGGCGATGACTCGAGAACGTACCGGTAAAATCGCTTGATGGGAAGCTCTCCGAGCTCGTCAGCAGGGTTGAGGAAGACTTGGAGATGGACACCCTCAAGTTCTGAGAGCACCTTCAGCACGGCAGCCCACTTCTGGCCCACCTCGCTGGCGGGGTTGATGACAGCGACGAAAAAGATGGTTGCCGTGGAGGCATCGCCGACCTGGAACGAGGTATGAGCCGACTTCAATTCATTGAAAGCAGCCGTCCTGGCCGAGGACGCCGAGTCAAAAATGCCCTGCGGGAGATCTGAGATGCCAGAGAGGGCAGTGACAGAAGTCAGCTTAGCAGCATCCAATGGGCCCGAGATCCTGTCTCCGAGCCCCAGGTCCTCGACGGCCTTGTAGACTGGTAGGATCCGGCTGGCGCGTTCGGCTTCAAGAAACTGTTCGAAATCCTCCTTCTTGAAGTCTTCAGCCGACACGATGGGGCTAGCCACACGACCGTTCAGTATTAGCGCGTTGTCGCCCTCCTTGAGACTGACATCGGCCAGAAAGCTAGTTAGCGCAGCATCGTAGGCGGGATCAGCCTCTGCCTTGCCACTCTCGAGAATTGTCTCAAGGTCAAGAAGCTGGGTAGCTGACGCCAAATCGGCCTCACGGGCCTTGATGCGTTGGGTGAGCTGCGAGGGAGAGCGAGCGGTGTCCTTCGGGTTATGCACAATGTCGAGGCGGATGCCAGAGAGTTCGCTACGGAACTGAAGCGCAAATAAGAGCAGCTTTTGACCCTCAAGGCTGTCCAGGTCCGCAATGACCGTCAGGGCGGCCCAATCTTCCTTGGTCGATTGTTCATTGGCCTCAACGACTGGCACCTTGTTGAATACAATGTGGTGATCGGTGTACAGTTTGTTCACATTGAGCACTTTGACATCTTTCGCGTCCTCGGGGAAGATGAGCGTGTTGCGCCTCGTGATGGCGTTCTCTAGGAAGCGGCCGGGGATCCAGGTATCGTCATTGACCTGTCCAAAGTACGCGGCCTGTTGAAGAGCTTGCAGATCGCCCATGAGCTTTTGATTCATGGCTCGAAGCCAATTCTCGTCCCGGGGAATTGCGAAGCCGTCCATGAAGACGGAAGGGACCTCGCCACCAGCACGCAGACGCTCCACCCAGTGCTTAGCCAGATGGATTTGCTTCTCGTGGCCCTCAGATGTAAAAATGTCCTTGAACGACAGCACGGAAGCCTCTGGCCGTAGGGGCCGGTCTTTGGTGGCTTCGTTGAAGATACTCTCGTCAGGCTTAGCAGTTTTCTGGTTTTCGAGCGACTTCTCGAGATAGGAGGCTGCTGCTGAGAGGCCGTGAGTTTCCAAGAGGTAGTAGACAACCTTGGCCTGGTCAATGGCCTCTCCCGTGGGAGTAAGTGGGACCAAGCCAAACCGGATTGGAACCAGCCGCTTCATGAAGGACAAGAGCTGCGTCGTGACCATCTTGACATCCTCGGGCTTGGTGAAGTCCACAGGGACGATTAGGTTGAAAATATCCTTCCGGATTTGGGGCAAGCCTTGGCCAAAGTGCTGAATCAAGGCCCAGATGCTGGGGGCGAATTCCTGGTACCGCTTGTCCTTCTCGAGGTTGTTCAGCCAAACAATAACTCGGCCATCTTCAATCTCGTCGCGCCAGTCGAAACGGCGCGGCTCCTCGCCCCCCGATTTTGCCTGGGCCACCTCTGTGTGTCCCAACAAGGAGATGGCTTGCTGTCCGGTAAGGCCAAGGTCAAGAACACCATTGATCAGCCTGCGCTCCCGTGTGAGCAAGTCGACGAGCCCGAATGGTTGGATTTGGCGTTCGATCAGCTGAATGCCGTTCATCCACAACACGTTCATACCCTCGGGGACTAGGACCTTCCGGTTATCCTCGTGCTCGGCTTTGAACTCAGCAGAGACGTTATGGGCTCCGAGAGAAGTCGAGTACTTGGGGAAGTCTTGGGTGAGCTTTAGCAGAGTCTCGAATGGCGACTCGCTTTGCATAATGAAGGACGCTGCCTTCATGCCCAGGGATGCAAGCTCGGATTTCTCCAGCGGCTTGATATCTGTGACCTCCTCATCGTCGAGCACGACTTCGGAGGACCCGATAGGCTTCTGAGCCTCGCCCCCCGGTGACTTGGCGGCACCAGTGTCTCGGTCGTCGATGACGATGTAGTCCGTCCGCTTAAGAGTGAGTTCCACTCCGTAGCCATTGACGGAGAGCGCCTCGGTTGGGTGGGCTGGGCTTCTCCTGTACCTGACTCGGTACGCGCCCTCCCCACTCTGGGCTAATTTCATGGCGATTTCATGATAGGTACCAAAGTCCGGCGCCGTTATATCGGCGTAGAGAATGACATCGCGGGAGCCAGTCCCAAACTTGCGGTCAAATGGCAGGGGCCGTCCCTGGTTGTTCTCCTGTACTTCGCTGTGTGCCTCGTCAAGCGCAGGTGTGCAGTACTGCTTCCCGTCCACGAAGAACCATTGCCCACACCCAACCTGGTCTCCGGACAGAGACGGTTCTACCGCAGTTGTGTAGTATTGATAGTGCGCCTCCACTCGGGGTGCTGCCGTCCGCATCGAGAGGGCCAACTTGAATGTCGACAGTGCCTCCCCATCCACATGCCCATCATCACGCAGAACTTGGACGAACTTTTCATATAACGCCTTGTCGGTCTTGGCTTCGACAAAATGCCCTTTCGCAATTCGGTCGAGGAGGGCAAAGTAGGTAGTCGCGTTCTCGGAAGCTGCTGTTTCCCTTGGAGTATGTGAGCTGTGATTCTAATTAATAGCAACGGAGAGCAAGCAACCTACAGCAGCTCCACAAGGTAAGGAGGCGAAGGGAATGCTGCTTTCAGCGCAACATTGACCGAGGGCGAGGCAGAAACGTGTGTCGAGGGAAGCCAGGATGTAGCGAGGAGGACCGCAATGCCCCATGGGAGCTGCGAGAGTCGGAGCATGGCGCCTGCAGCTGCCCACGGGCAGTATCACAAAAGTTCGAGTCTTGCTTGTTGTACGTTGCAAGGAGTAGAGGAATTCGTAAAGACAAAGCCCCGTTCCCCGAGTGAATCCCTCCCTCAGAAGAGATGCGCCGGAGTTTTGTTGCCACGTTGGCAGTTGTCGGAAATGTGTTGTGATTAAGCTGCTTTTACGCCATCGAACGTCGAAACCTGCAACTTAAGAGTGTAAATGCCGAAAAATGGTAGATTTAGTTGGCACAAATGGCCTCCAAAGTTTTCTGTTATTCTCGCCCGCTCTTTTGTGGAATATTTCTGTACAAATAGGTACATCTACTCTGCATCCATCTTAGAGCACTGGCAGGTTGGCGGGGCGTCTGGTGGAAGCTGCGTTTCCATGTGCTGCTAAGCTTCTGGACACATTGAAGGGAACAACAGCTCGGCCAATAATCTCGATGCTTGGAGCTTCGAGTCCCGAGCGTCAGAGGCCCGTGCTGGTCCCCTTGTCGTCCTGGTCCCGTCTCACCGCGGAAGGTTCCTGCCATGCCTGCCCAGGGTCCCGTCTCATCCTCAGGAGCTCAAGTGGGCCCGGAAAATTAAATGTGCGTTTGGGCGCCTGAGGCTCGCCGGCCATTGAACCCACATCTCGCAGTGAGATGCCACGGTTCAGGTTCCCTACGATTTGATTGACGGCGGATAAGGACCACCAGCAGCCGGCCCCGACTCCTCGAACCACCATCCACCCCGCTAACATACCCGGCTGCTGCTCGACCTCGGAGCATATTCCGCGACTCGAGCCACGGCATCTACACTCGCCGACAATTCTGCACGCCCTGCCTCGATCCCCAGTTGATGCTGGGAGCCTACCAGGCCTCGGGTCCCCTTAGCCAAGATGCAGGCCTCCTCGGGAATGCTCACAAAGGTGCGTCTCTTTGCGATAAGTTTCGTGTTGTTGCGCCATGCGCTTGTGCTGCCCACTGCACCGAAACTGCTGCTGACTTGTGCTGCAGTTTGAGTCCAAGTCGTCGCGCGCAAAGGGCATCGCATTCCACCCTAAACGGTCCGCAACCCCCCCACCTCCACATCTCCACGAGCTTCCCCCCCCGCCAGTTGCACCACCAGACTAATACTCATATTCCAGACCATGGATCCTCGTCTCCCTCCATTCGTCCACCATCCAACTGTGGGATTACCGAATGGGCACCCTGATTGACCGATTCGAAGAACACGATGGCCCAGTCCGCGGCGTTGATTTTCACAAGACACAGGTGAGGGTGCTCGGGAAAGGAAGATACGAGGCGACGGCTTGACTGACGCTATGGTAGCCCCTCTTCGTCTCGGGCGGTGATGACTACAAGATCAAGGTCTGGTCGTACCAGACCCGTAGGTGTCTGTTCACCCTGAACGGGCACCTGGACTATGTCCGCACCGTCTTCTTCCACCACGAGCTCCCCTGGATTGTCAGCGCCAGTGACGACCAGACTATTCGGATATGGAATTGGCAGAACCGCTCCCTGCTATGCACCATGACGGGCCACAACCACTACGCCATGTGCGCCCAGTTTCACCCCAAGGATGATCTCGTCGTCTCGGCCTCGCTCGATCAGTCGGTCCGGGTTTGGGATAGTATGTGGCTGCCCCCCCGCTTCTCGCCTACTCGACACGGCACTGACAGAACCGCACAGTTTCCGGTCTCCGTAAGAAGCACTCCGCCCCGACGTCCATGTCCTTCGAGGACCAAGTGTCCCGCGCCAATGCGAACCAAACCGACATGTTCGGTAACACCGATGCCGTCGTCAAGTTCGTGCTCGAGGGTCACGACAGGGGCGTGAATTGGGTGGCTTTCCATCCTACCATGCCGTTGATTGTCTCAGCGGGAGACGATCGTTTGATCAAGCTGTGGCGTATGAGCGAGACCAAGGCGGTACGTACCGCTAGCCCTACCCTGTCTTCAAGTCGACCGTCTTATACTAACATTGAATAGTGGGAGGTCGATACCTGCAGAGGGCACTTTCAGAATGCTAGTGGCTGTTTGTTCCATCCTCACCAGGACCTCATCTTGTCCGCGGGCGAGGACAAGACCATCCGGGTTTGGGATCTGAATAAGCGGACCGCCGTTCACACTTTTAAGCGCGAGAACGACCGGTTTTGGGTCATTGCAGCCCACCCAGAAATCAATCTTTTTGCCGCTGGACACGATAAGTATGTGAAGCCCATCTGCTAGCCCGGCAACACAAATGCTAACTAGAGAAATAGTGGTGTGATGGTGTTCAAGCTTGAGCGTGAGAGACCAGCATCGGCCGTTTACCAGAACTCGCTGTTCTACATCACGAAGGACAAGTGTGTCAAGTCCTACGACTTCCAGAAGAATGTCGAGTCGCCTACGCTCCTCTCGCTCAAGAAGCTCGGCAGCCCTTGGGTACCACCCCGCACCGTGTCTTACAACCCCGCCGAGCGCTCGGTTTTGGTCACATCTCCGGCTGACGGCGGCACCTACGAGCTCGTCAACCTGCCGCGCGACGGCTCTGGTGCCATCGAGCCCGCAGAGTCCAAGCGTGGCCAAGGCAATTCGGCTATTTTCGTTGCTCGCAACCGGTTTGCCGTTCTGAACACATCCACACAGACGGTGGATATTAAGGACTTGACCAACAACACGACGAGGTCTTTCAAGCCCCCCGTTGGGACAAGTGATATTTACTTCGGTGGTACCGGTAGCCTACTCATCATCACCCCGACCGCCGTCCACCTCTACGATATTCAACAGAAGAAGACGACGGCGGAGCTCGCCGTCAACGGTGTGAAGTACGTTGTCTGGTCCAACGATGGCCTCTATGCTGCCTTGCTTAGCAAACACAACGTCACAATTGTGACCAAAACGCTGGAGCAGGTCAGCACCCTTCACGAGACGATCCGGATCAAGAGTGCCACCTGGGACGATGCTGGCGTGCTCTTGTACTCGACCCTGAATCACGTCAAGTACACCCTGCTCAACGGTGACAATGGTATCGTCCGGACCCTCGACCAGACTGTATACCTGGTCCGTGTCAAGGGCCGCAACGTTTACTGCCTCGACCGTGCCGCGAAACCGAGGATCCTCCAAATCGATCCCACCGAGTACCGCTTCAAGCTTGCGCTCGTGAAGAGGAATTACGAGGAAATGCTCAACATCATCCAAAACTCGAGTTTGGTTGGTCAGTCGATCATCTCGTACCTACAGAAGAAGGGCTATCCCGAAATCGCGCTCCAGTTCGTGCAGGATCCCGCTACCCGGTTTGAGCTTGCGATCGAGTGCGGGAATCTCGAGGTTGCGGTCGAAGTGGCAAAGCAACTGGATCGCCCTAAGCTGTGGACGAGGCTGAGCGCAGAGGCGCTTGCACATGGCAACCATTCGGTTGTCGAGATGTGCTACCAGAAGCTCAAGCACTTCGACAAGCTTTCGTTCCTGTACCTCACAACCGGCGACAATGCCAAGCTGTCCAGGATGGCGAAGATCGCTGAGCATCGCGGAGACTTCACCTCTAGGTTCCAAAACGCCCTGTACCTGGGCGAGGCCGAGGACCGCATCCAGATGTTCAAGGAAATTGATTTGTGTACGTATGCTCGCTCTTGTGCAATGAGCCCTGGCTGACATCCCTAGATCCCCTGGCGTACATGACTGCCAAGGCCCACGGCCTAGAAGAGGAGTGCCAGTCCATCCTCGAGGCGACTGGTCTCACAGAAGACCAGCTCAATCTTCCCACCTTCGGCGAACCGCTTGCCCCACCAAAGCCCGTGGTACCCACGCACCAGGCCAACTGGCCTACCAAGGCGACTTCCCAGTCTTTCTTCGAGAAGGCTCTACTTGGCCAGTTCGAGGGTTTGTCATTAGAAAACGAGCCGGCCGCGGCAAACGGGCTCGGCGACGCGGAAGATGATGCTGCCGGCGCGAGGGATACCCTCGCCGAAGCCGAGGAGGACGAGGATGCCGCCGGCTGGGACATGGGCGAAGACATCGTCGCCGAGGTGGAGGAAGGCTTCGTTAACGTCGAGAGTGCCGAGGCTGGCGGTGCAGGCAGCAGTGAAGCGGATTTGTGGGCACGCAACTCTCCGTTAGCTGTGGACCACGTTGCCGGCGGCTCGTTCGAGACGGCCATGCAGTTGCTCAACCGCCAGGTCGGCGCCGTCAACTTTGCGCCTCTTAAGCCCCGGTTTTTGGAGGTCTACCAAGCGTCCAAAACCTACCTGCCGGCGTCGGCTGGCCTGCCGCCGCTGGTCAACTACGTCCGTCGGACGGTCGAGGAGTCAGACCCCAGGAAGGTTCTTCCCATCATCCCTAGAGATTTGGAATACCTGGCTTCCAACGACCTGCAGCGTGGTTATGACTCTATGAAGGCAAACAGACTGGAGGACGGTCTGCGGATCTTCAAGGGTATTCTGCACTCGGTGCTCATTAACGCCGTGGGCAGCGACAGCGAGGTGACTGAGGCCAGGAAGTTGATCAGCTCGGCCGGCGAGTACGCCGTCGCCATGTCGATCGAGCTCGCGCGGAGAACGCTCGGCACGCCCGACGCAGTCAGCCAGAACCCTCAGTTACTGAAGCGGAGTCTGGAGCTGTCGGGGTACTTCACAATCCCCAAGATCGAGGTTCCGCATCGCCAGCTTGCGCTGCTCAACGCTATGAATCTGGCAATGCGCAGCAAGAATTACAACACCGCACTGAGCTTCGCCAACAGGATGCTGGCGAATGGAGGAGCGAGCAGGATTCTGGAAAGTGTAGGTTTACTGTGACCCTTGAAACAACACCCTTCACAGAGCTAACAGAAGTACAGGCACGCAAAACCAAGGCCCAGTGCGAGCGCAACCCGAATGACGCCGTCGAGATCGAGTTTGACCAGTTTGCCGAATTCGAAATCTGTGCGGCCAGCCACACGCCCATCTACAGCGGCACCGCGCACGAGGTGTGCGCGTTTGACGGGTCCAAGTACCACACCAAGTACAAGGGCACCGTCTGCGTCGTGTGCGAGGTTTGCGAAGTGGGCAAGCACGGGAGCGGCCTTAAGTTGTTCGCTTGAAGCTCCCAAGAGGAGGATGAGGTCTAATGGGTCTAACGAGTGGCTCTTGATGAAACTGGCCGACGAACTAGGCGGGGGGCTCTACGGGGCGGAAAAAGTCTGGCGGTTTAGAAGAGCTGATTATGGCGAGGCGGGCATATGTTTGGTATGTGGAGTATGGGTCTAGTTGTTGTAGCAAAGCAGAAGAAGCATCCGATCAAGATTCCGTTGTTGTCTCCGAGCCCGCAACGCCGTTATCATTATCGAATGCATGAGTTTCCCTCCCGCGTTCTGACTCTATGACGGATCATATGCATATCAATACATGATAGAACCCGCTAGACGATAGTCTCTAGCTGGCGGGCATAGCCCAAGGTATTCTCGATCACCATCTGGCTCATCTCCTTCTCTTGCTCTTCCTCACCCGTCTCTTGCGCCGAGGGGAAGAAAATCTGCCCGTCCTTAACGGTCCAGCCACGGCTGCGCGCGAACTCGACGACGGCGCCCTCCGACTCGAGGAACAGAAGCGACTTGGTCGACGACAGCGGGAGCGAGGGGTAGGCGCGCTCGCTGGATGAGGCGATCTCGGAGCGGATCTGGGAGGTGAGAATCTAGAACACCACCAACATCGTTAGCATCATTCCCCCAGAGGTGTTGGAGAGACGGAAGGTGAAGAAAGACAAACCTCGGAGAAGACGCCGAACTCCTCGCACGGCACCTCGCCCTTCTTCATCGCCTTCCACACCCGGTCGTAGCTCCCCTCCATCAGCCACCGCTCCAGCCGCACCGGATACCCCAGGTAGCGATCCCCCTCCACATCCACCCCGCCGCCGCCCGCCGACAGCGCCTCCAGCTCGCTGTGGAACTCCCCGTACAGGCCCTGCGTCAGCAGCAGCAGCAGGTACAGGCCGGTGACCTTGTTGCGCTCGCCGGCCTCGGCACCCGCGCCCGCACCCGCACCCGCACCCGCACCGGCATCGCCGCCGGACTGGAGGAGCTCGTAAAAGGGCCGCAGCTGGGCGACGTAGCGGGTGAAGGCGTCCGGGTCCTTGGCGCGGATCGACGCGAGCGCGCCCTGCTCGTACGTGTCGCGCGCGAGCGCCAGCAGCGCCGGCGCCGTGGGCCCCGCGGCGGCCGTCGGCGTCAGCGCGTTCAGCTGCAGCAGCAGCAGCTTGGCCCGCGACAGCAGCGCGGCCGTCTCCGCGTAGGGCGCCGTCGCGGGGGCGGCCTTGAGCCGCGCGAGGAGCTGGGTTAGCTCGCGGTCGGCCATTGCTTTGGCTTTGTTTTTGTGTTTGTTTTGTTGTGTGGTGTGTGGTGTGTGGTGTGTGATGGTTTTGGGGGGGAGGGGGGTTGGTTGGATGGGGACGAGCTCGGTTCGGGGGTGGTGGGTGTGGTCGGCGTCGGGTGTGGTTGTTGGGTAGGTGAGTTGTCAGAAAGCTGCGGACGATACTGGAATAATGGCGTTGGTGGGGGTTGATTGATGGGGAATTTGTCGTGGTCGGTGATCGCTGGTCGGATCGGGAGCGATGTTGGAAATGCGGGTGAGGCTGTCAGGCCTGGAGCTGTCGGCAGGCTGAAAGGCTGACGTGCGGTTGGGCTTGGCGGGTTGCCGTGGTCTCGGTTCGCGGCGATGCCAGCTGGTTGCCACTTGACACCTGTGGAATTGTCGACCTGGCCACGCCAACCCGACCGGCGCGCTCTCCCCCATACATAATCTGCATGAACATACACATCGCAATCCTTTTGCGGTCAGACTACACAACCAAAGGGTCCGGTCCGGTCTTTCCCTCATATTGTCTTATCCACTTTGAGCAGCAATATCGAAACACAACACTTACAGTGGCAGCTTGGTTTGTAAACTGGTCGTCACAGTAGCCGCCACCATCTATCTATTTAGAAAACCTCGCTTTGCTTATAAAATAGAAATATCCTCTTCACCACTCCACAACCACCACCAAAAAAGGGAACAAAGTTTCCAAGCCACCGGGCCCCAAATGCGTGGGAGACTGTTTGCAACAGCAGCCCCTATCACCCCATCTTTCGCAGGCCGCGGGCTGAGCCCGCTCTCGATAACGTGACAAGGTGGAAGCCCGCGCCCCTGCGGCCGGTGTGCGTAATGCTGATGGGTCGTTCTCCCGAGTACGGTCATTTGTAGGCACATAGTTAAATGAAGCTGAGCGCAAGGCGTTCTCTGCGGTTCGGCTCGATCAACCGCCACATCGGAAAACGTGTTGCTCCCAATGGTCCCAGGCGGGAATTGTGGCTGTGGCAACCCCCAGTACCTACACAGTACACCACAGTCAGCCTGGAACTCGCAGCGAATTCTCTCTTGACCTATTGTGGGTCGTCCCATTGCGTGGCTTCTGGAAACAGACACAGAGGTACGAATGTCCCATCAATCCTTCCTTCCCGACATCAACTCAACCCCGGGATTTTGTTCCCTTATTTTGATCAAGTAGCATCCAGGTCGCCCCCGCCATCGTTTTGGTTGCAGCCGGGCCTGATAGCGCCGTCGGACGGAGCGAGAGAGAATAATTTTGCCCCGCCCGAGTCTGTGAACCCGCAAGTCGTTTTTCCCCACCAGAGCTGCTGCGTGTCAACCTGACCCCACTAAGACCGTTGTATGCACATACAAATAACTCCACTAACTAAATCACGGCGCCCTGCAACGACGCTGCATATCGGGACTGGTCCCTATTCTGAGTCGGCGATACAGCCACAAACTAATCCCGGTCTTCGCAATTACCGGCCTGGCCGGCGGAACGACACTATTTAACCAGGTAACTCTGGCATAGGAGTGAAATGCGCATGCAACTCGGCGCTCGATCGGTGCGCTGGTGGGGCTGTTCTATTTCTGGAATTACAGAGTGACCTCCACAGAAGAAGCCATGAAGAAGAGCAAGGGGAACTCGCGCAGCAGGGTGCGTCAGGGACGGCCGCCAAGGAGCAAGGGGCGAGGAGGGCCGGGCAGTGCATGTCCCATCGAAATCACCCGGGACCAGTGCAGATCACAAATTCCTCAGTTGGCTCAGATCCGCGACATAAAAAACCGAGAGTGCTCTGTCAGAAAGGAGCCAAGCTCCTCTCTCCCTTGATAATATGATAACGAGACCATTGAGAGATCGTCAGGGCAATAACGTTAAATCAGCAAACGGGACCACGAGTGACAGGCGGCAGCATCCTGGGAGCTCTCTCGGCACAACTTGCAGCGACTTCTGACACACCTTGGAGTCTGCTTGCACATCTCCAAATATTGTTGGCCCTTGCCTCTCTGCCCACCCCGGTGACAGCCACAACGGACGGCCCACTCTTCAAAAAGGAAGGAATGCGTCTCGCATTTATCTCGCTGCTCCGGCCCGTCTGATGAACTCGCGCCCCCTCCGATTTCGATCGACAACTGGTGAAAGCAGCGACGGTTATTTCGTACTTCTTGGTACTTCGTACCCGACTGCAGAAGCGGACCGCCGGATGACACAGCGGACACCTGCGCTTGGCGCCCCTCCCTGCATCTCTGCCCTGTTGGCTCCTGCCTGTGCCTGCTTCTCCGGTCCCCGCCATCGCTGCATCCTCGCCGCTGTAACTGGTTGAAGCGGGGGAACTGGAAGACGGCCGACTGTTCTTTTTTTCGCGGGGTTTGGCCGTATCGGGACATTACCTTCGCTAACTCCTTTGCTCATTACTTTTTAATGCAGGCCTGGGTCTGCAGCCCACCGACGATTCTTTCGCCATGTCGCAGTTTGGCGCAACCTTCGTCCCAGGGGGTTACGATGACTATTCCATGCCCGAGGTCTTCGCCCCCGCCCCTCAGAGGTGAGTCTCAAATACAGATTACATCTGATCAAGACAACCCCCCCCCTTCCCCCCACCCCCCCTGGCATGGAATAACTCTGGCGACTGCCCGCACCTTGTCGGGATCGGAAGCCTCTGCCGATCCATCTGCGCGGCACCGCTACCGAAGCGGAGCTATTGGATGAGACTCGGTCTAGACGCACCAGGCGAGGCTGCACGGAAAGCCGGAGGCTGACACCGGTCGGGTCCGCTTCAGGGTAATGCCCGAGGTGCCCCAAAACATGCAGGAAGATATCCAGCGCATGGAACTCGAAGCTCGCGACACTGAACCAAACCGAGACGGCAAGCCAACCGCCCAGATCGAGGAGGCCAAGTCGTAAGTGCCCCTCCCCTCCCGCGGCCACAGCCAACGGCCTCCCCCCAAACCATAACGTGATTGGACCCATTTTCGGGGTGGATCAGGTTGGCTAACTGCGGTATCCTTTGGACAGCTTCAAACCCTTCCAGACCAGCGCCGCCGACGCCGCAGCCATGGACGCCCCCTCGTTTTCCCCGTTCCCCAAGGTGAAGGGCGAAAACATCCCGCCCAGCGACGAGGAGAAGGAGCAGATCCTATGGCAGGCGCGCAACCTAGTGCTCCACTCCAACAATGTTTCGATGCAGGTGACCTGGGCGCGCGACACGCTCATCTGGGTCGAGATCTGCCAGGACGCGCTGGCCAGGGACTGGAAGCGGGACGGCAAGGACAAGGAGCGACCGGCGACCCCCAAGGCCGAGCACGAACTGCGCGTAGATGCTGTGAACATCCTCGACTACCTATCCCAGCAGGACCACCCCGAAGCGACCTTTATGAAAGGGAAATGGCTCGAGTTTGGCAAGTTTGGGTTCCGCGAGAACAAGCGGGAGGCATACTCCTTCTACAAGAAGGCCGCTGAGATGGGATACGGCCGAGCTGAATACCGGATGGGCATGCTGTACGAAAACTCCAACGACATCCCGAATGCCCTCAAGCACTACTCGCTCGGCGTCCAGCTGGGCGATTCCGCGTCCAACTACCGCCTCGGCATGATGCACCTCATGGGACAGCACGGGTACCAGAAAGATTTCCTACAGGGACTGGAAATGATCCAACACGCCGCCGACACAGCTGATGAGGATGCACCCCAAGGGGCCTACGTTTACGGCATGCTCATCGCCCGGGAGCTGCCCGACATCACTATGCCCGAGCACGTCCTCCCTTGCGATTTTGCAGTTGCCCGGCAGTACATCGAGAAAGCGGCCTATCTCAGCTTCGCCAAGGCGCAGCTAAAGATGGGCCAGGCATATGAGCTGAGCCAGCTCGGCTGCGACTTTAACCCGGCATACTCGCTCCATTACTACGGCCTCGCGGCGCGCCAAGGCCAGGCGGAGGCGTCTCTCGGTGTTAGTCGGTGGTTTCTCTTTGGATATGAGGACCTATTTCCCAAAAACGAGCAGCTGGCTTTCAAGTACGCCACCGAGGCGGCCCAGTCAGGGCTGGCAACCGGCGAGTTCGCGATGGGGTATTACCACGAAATCGGCATCCATGTCCCGAAGGACGTACGAGAGGCGCGGAAGTGGTACGAGATGGCGGCCGACCACGGGAACAAGGACGCGAAAGACCGGCTAGAGTCACTAAGCCAGTCCAGAACGCTGACGAAGGCGGACCACGAGACGACGACCCTCACCCGTATCAAGTCGCAGCACGGTTCGCAACGTGGGAAGCGTCCTGACCGGTTTGCGAAGCAGAACAGCGTATTGCCAACACTGAGCGAGGGCGATCAGAATGCTGCCACTCGTAAGTCTCCCACTCGCTCTAGTATAGCAACAGCAGCTGACGAAATTGCAGCCGGGATCCAGTTTCCGGACCCATCACCGAGGCCGCCCGCTTTTACCGTGAACCTCGACAATAACAACCTCGCGATGCGGCCCAAGTCCGCGGCACCTTATCCTCACGAAGACCAACCGATGCCGCTCAACGCCAGGCCGAAATCCACCGCACCATATCCCGAAGGTGACATGCGGGGCCCACACCTCAACCCAGCGACTCGTGTCCCTGTCGCCGCTGGTCCGCATGCCGACCGTCCGGGGAGCGCCTTCGGCATTCGCCCGCTATCGCCCGGGAGCGGGTCACCCGCTGGCCCTGGGCGCGGCCGTCCCGTGTCGAGTCAGCCTTCGATGGGAAGCTGGGACTCTCAGGCACCCGCCGGCTACAGGAAACCGAGCCCCGGCCCCGGTGGTCAGTGGCAGCAGCCGCCCCCACCGCAACACGACCCGCGGTATGGAGCCGGTGGGCCCGGCATCGTTCCCGCCGGTATGCCTGTCGGCGACCCCACTCGCACTCGACTCCAGAAGCCCAACCCCAACCTCCAACCAACACCCCAGGGGCCCCCCGCAGGCCAACACCGGATGGGTGGAGGTTATCCCGGCGGTCCCGGTGGCCCTGGTGGTCAACCAGGGCGGGACTACGGGCGACCGGGCGCCAACAACCGCCCTGTCAGCGACGGCTACGGACCAGCAGGCGGTGGCAGCCCACACCCACCGGCGGCAGCCGGCCGCGTGCCCGTCCCTGCGGCAAGCAACCCCAATCTCCGGCCCCAACACGGCGTGGCCGCGGGTTCGGGCGGCCGGCCGATGTCGCACGTCGACGCCGGCCTGGCCGGGCGCACCAGCGCGCCGCAAACCGGACAGAACGCCAGACCGGGCCCGAGCCCGGCCGGTGCGACATCAAGTCCCGGTCCAGCTACAGCAGGGCAACGGCCTCCGCCTGCCAGCTCTGGTGCCGGCGGTGCCGGCGGGAAACCAGCGGCGGGGAATATCAGCCATCCCGATGGGAAGACTATTGGTCAGGGGCCTGCTACCTTTGAGGAGATGGGTATCCCGCAGGGAAAGACAGAGGGTGATTGCGTATGTTCCACTGTTCCCACCCCCAACATTACCGGCTGCTTGATCGGTCTCGGTGCTAACTAGGTGATAGGTGGTGATGTAACCGACCAACAAACAGATCGAATTTCAACTCAAACATGCCGGGTCTGGTTGGCCTAGGATGGTTGAGAGTGGTAGTTTCGCATTGCCCTAGATATGGACCCAAATATAAACCTCACATTACCTCGTATGCATTTACTCGTTGGGCATTTGGACTTGTACATTTTCGATTGCAGGACTGGCTCAAAATATTTTCTCCTCTATATCCCTCGTCTCCTTTTCATCGGATTTGTTTTTACCTCAGGTCTTTTATTTGTTTCCTTTTGCTTAGACTTCTTATTTGTGTCCAGCCGTCCCCAGCGCGCACAAGATAAGATAAGCCTCCGCCACCCCCCAAACCCTCTACCCGTGCCACGCCCCACATTGACTGGCCCTCGCAAATCACTCGCACCAGTAAACTGGTGCTCACGTGCCATTTAACCAGCCCACCCATATGACCACTTTTTCGACTCCCTGACTTCAATCTTCTACTTTCTTAACAAAACAACAATTTTTTCAGCTTTTTAAGATGGAATCGCGTATCTAAGAGGCCCTCCAATATTTAGAACAAAATCCAACTGCAAAAGTGGCTACAATTGCCCGTACATTCGAGATTCCCCGCAGCCGCCTCCGCAATCGCCTTAACGGAATGGGACCTATGGCCGGCCGCCCTGCAACCTACAGCCGTCTATCTGGCCCAGAGGAGGTTGTATTGTGCCGGTATATCGACCGGTTTGATAGAATCAATTTTGCAGTTCGAACTGGCTTTGTTACCGACGCGGCTAACTATATACTAGCTCAGAGGTGTTCCTGCGCTGAACAGCCAAATCCCCCTGTTGTTGGTGCCAACTAGACCAGCCGCTTCTTGAAACGCCACAGCTACCGAAAGTACCTGTAAAAGAGGCTCTAAGCCGACCGTTAAGATGCAGAGGACCCTGTTCGTATTGCAGAATACTTCCAGAAGCTCCACCAAGTTGTTTCCGACAATGGGATCCCCCCGGCTAATATCTGGAATATGGATGAGACCGGTTTTCGCATTGGCGTAGGTAAGGATTAACTTATTATTACCAAACGTAAGCGGGTATACTACTTTGGGGTCCTAGAAAATAGGGAATCGGCTATAGTAATTGAAGCTATCTCGGCCGGTAAACAGGTAGTTCCAGCGTTTTTAATCCTGGCAGGCCAGATATATATAGCCTCCTATGTGACGAACCTGTCTCTGGACCCGTCCTGTTAGGGTTCAGTATCGGTCGAAGGTATTCTCTCAAGGGTGCTTAGGTTCGGTGCAGCCAAAGGGTGCACAACAAAGACTTGTCTCAACAGTAGGCTCTCGAGCTTGTAGCGAACTGTAGTTGTGATTGCTAACTGGAGAACTCCCAGAGCTCTCCAGAACGAGTGACTATATACTGTCTAATTTCTGGGTGCTTAGTCTGCTCAGTTGCTGAGCACACTGAGCACACTGCTCACCCTGCTCAGTTGCTGAGCACACTGAGCACACTGCTCACCCTGCTCAGTCGCTGAGCGCACTGAGCACACTGCTCATTGGTTATGTTAATGATTGGTCCGGGGCGCCCCGCGCCCCACTCCTGTGCTTCCAGCTCAGTGGTCGTGACACGATGCCCCCTCTCCGTGGCTGACGTCTCGGCGGCCTAACCTGCTACTTTTCTTTTTTTTTCGGCAACGCTGGTCCATTCTTCCCTTAGTGAGTATTCTCCTCGTCCCTCGTCGCCCACCATGTCTAACCGAGTGGTTAAGAGTTCGAAACGTGATTCCTCCAGTACTCAACGCCGCAAGGACCTTGCTCGCGACATCTCGTTCTTTGGCATCGACATGCTTCCTTGTTCTTATTGTGAGGCCAACGATCTTAAAGACTGCCGAGCCCTGGATCGTTCCGTCAAGTGCAACAATTGCCTTGAGCTTGGTCGTCCCGATTGCGACGTCCATGGTCTCACGCGCACCTTATCCGCCTCCTTTCGCCGCCAGAAAGAGAAACTGGACAAGGAGGAAGAAGAGGCGAACGCCGTGATTCTCCAGGCCGCTTCTAAGTTAGCGCGCCTTCGGACTCAGCGTCTTGCTCTGTCGGAGCGCTTCCACAAGGCGGCCGTCCGCGAGGAGCGCATCATCGAGGACCAGGAGCGGGAAGAGGCATTGGCCACTCTTGCCCCGCAGTCTGCCGATCCGTCTGGGGCCCAAGAGTCTGTCGTCCTTTCCTTGATATCGTTCCCCGACTGATTGTCCTCTAGGCCTTCCTTCGACGATTGGCTCGCCGGGGTCGATCCTTCTTTGGTGTTTCCTGTGGCCGGTCAGGGTTCCTCTGGTGGAACTCCTGAAGTTTCTCGGGGCAGTTGAGATTTGTAGCTGGTTGCCATGAATTGTCTTCTGGGCCGAAGTCCAGCCACTTGACCAAATACTCCAACTGTCCTTTCATGATGCGTGAATCTAGGACTTCCTCAACGTCCCATTCCTCCTCTTCGTCTTCTGCCTCGGCGTCCTTGTCGAGTCGCGCGTCCTTGGGTGCTGGTTCCAGAAGCGAAATGTGGAAAACGTTGGTCCGTAGTCGCATTGTTGAGGGTAACGCGAGTGCGTAATTGTTCTCCGAAATCCTTTTGTCGATTTTGAACGGTCCGATTTTGCGAAAATCGAGTTTCCTGCTTGGTCGCTTCGTGCGAAGATTTCGAGAAACGAGGTAAACTTTGCCCCCCTCTTCTAGGCGAGGTCCCTCGAGCCTGTTTCTGTCGTAGAACCTCTTCATCCTGGTTCGTACGAACTCGAGTTCTTCCTTGAGCATCGCATGCAGCGAGCTCATTTTGTCGGCTTTGACTGCCGCTCGGGGCACCGAGACATCGGGCCCCTGTCGCAAATCTGCTTCGTAGCCGTAATTCGCGAAGAATGGCGTGACCTTCGTGGTCTCCGTGACGGTGGTGTTGTAGGCGAGTTGTGCTGCTGGCAACAGCTCGACCCAATCGTCCTGCTGGAAGTTGACGTACAACCGTAGATATTGCTCGACGACCTGGTTGAGTCGTTCCGTCTGTCCGTCCGTCTGTGGGTGGTAAGCAGTCGAGAGCTTACTCTTCGTACCCAGCTTCGTCATCAGAGCTTGCCAAAACTTTGATGCGAACTTTGTATCTCTGTCCGTAATCCATTCCTCCGGCCATCCGTGGACCGAGGTGACGCTGCGATAGATCACGTCTGCAAGTTGTTCTGCTGACCATGTTTCCTTGTAAGGGAGGAAGTAGCTCCACTTGGTGAGTCTGTCCACCATCGTGAGGATGCTGTCGTATTCCACTCCCGTTACTGAGTCCTTGGATAGTGGCAGTTTGGTGATGAAGTCCATCGTCACCGAACTCCATGGTCGTTCCGCGACTGGCAATGGTTGCAACAGCCCGTATGGCTTGTGTCGTGGCGGTTTGCTTCGTCCGCAGAGGTCGCACTCTGCCAGGACTTCTTCCGTCGCTTGCTTGATTCCTGGGAAGTCGTAGTTCTGCTTGACTTTTGCAATTGTCTTGCTGATTCCCATGTGTCCTCCGAGTTTCGACTCGTGAATTTTCCGAATGAGCTCCTTTTGGTCGCCGGGCCTGACGTAGGCCTTGTCGTGGTACCAGAGTCTCGTTCCTTCAAGTCGCAATCCCGCGATCTTGGATTCCGGCTCTTCTTGCCATGCATCGCGTGCGTCGTCCGCGATGATTCCTTGGAAGTCTCGTTCCAATCGTTGTTCCCTGAAGGCTGCACAACATTCTACAAACTGTTGCAGAGGCCTGGCATTGGGATCTTCCTGCTGTCGCTGAAGTGCTGCGATCTCGTAGTCTTCAGTCGGTTGGGAAGCGTGCCGTAGCGATCCGTCTGTCTGTTGATGTAGCAATGGTGGTGAGGCTTCAGATGTGTTGTCATGATGATCCGCTCTCCTACTCAAGGCGTCCGCTCGTGCGTTCTCTGACCCTTTCTTGTAGTGGATCGTGAAGTTGAATTCGGACAGGAACTCTGCCCATCGAGTTTGTCGTCCGTTCAGCACCTTCGTGGTGGTGAAGTAGCGTAAGTTCTTGTGGTCCGTGTACACCTGAACTTCGTGTGTCGTGCCGCTGAGGTATGGTCTCCATTCCTGGAAGGCTTCGATGATTGCGAGAAGCTCCTTGTCGTGGATCGGGTAGTTGAGCCTTGGTCCCTCGAGTTTCTTGGAGAAGAACGCAACTGGGTGAAGCTTGCCGTCCTTGTCCCTCTGACCAAGTTGTCCTCCGATCGCGAAGTCCGATGCGTCAGCTTCGACTTCGAAAGGTGTGTTTGGGTCAGGCAGCATGAGCACTGGATCGGCGATAATCGCGTTGCGGATCCGTTGGAAAGCTTGCTCGTGCTCCTGCTTCCACTGGAATGTGGCATCCTTCTTGGTAAGTTCGTGTAGGGGTCTCGCGATGTCGCCGAAGTTCTTGATGAACATCCTGACAAAGTTGGCGAATCCGATGAATCCTCTGACCTCTGTGGCGTTCGTTGGTGTCGGCCACGTCCTGACAGCTTCCAGTTTCTCGGGTTCGATCTTGACCCATCCTGGGGAGATCTCGTAACCCAGGAATACTGTCTTCTTGACATGAAACTCGCTTTTGTCCTTGTTGACTGACAACTTGTGCTCATGCAGTGCATCCAGCACCTGCTGCACATGCTTCTTGTGTTCTTCGAGTGTCTTGGAGTAGATGAGAATGTCATCCAAATAGCAGACTGCAAATTTATCGAGGCAATGTCGAATTGCGTGGTCGATAGCGGCTTGAAATGTCGCTGGTGCGTTGGTCAACCCGAACGGCATGACGCGGTACTCGTAGTGCCCGTAGGGTGTCCGAAAAGCCGTCTTCCATTCGTCTCCTTCCTTGATGCGGATGTGGGCGTACGCTGTCGGAAGGTCGAGACGCGTGAAGTATTGTGCCCCTGACAGCTGGTCTCGAAGCCTTGAGATCAGTGGCAGTGGGTAGCGGTTCTTCACCGTTTCGCCGTTCAACTGTCGGTAGTCCACACACATCCTGAGTTTCCCATCCTTCTTTGGAACGAAGAGGACTGGGTAGCCCGCTGGAGATGTCGATGGTCTGATGTGTCCTATCTCGAGGTTCTTTTCGAGATAGCTCCTCAACTCTGCATCTTGCTTCTCGTTGGTGTGGTACACCTTGAAAAACTTCAACTGGGCTCCTTCCTTGAGTTTGATCTCGTGATCCCAAGGTCCGTGGTCTGGTAGCCCTGCAAGATGTTTTGCCGTGAACGCCGGGTGCCCCTTGTAGTCGTCTGGGATCTGCCCCGTCTTTGCGCTCTTCGCCGTACCTTCGTAGTACGCGAACTTGTTGTTCCCAGGCTCGATGCTTGCTGCTTCGAGTTCCCTGACTTCCTCTGCTGCCAGCTCGATGCTTGCCGCTTCGAGCTGATTGACCCATTGTTCGTGTTTGAGCATTCCGTGCTCGTCGACTGAGACGACGGCGATGGTTCGTTCCTCCCGTGTCTGCTTCTTTCGTCGTGTGCCGCTTCTTCCGGACTCCAGAGTGCGTGGTTCTGCACTGGCTGCTTCCTGCGGTGGGCCCGTAGAGGGGGTTCGTTCTGACCCGCTGCTCTCCCGTGGCTCCTGTTCTGCGCGTTCTCCCATCGAGTTGGTCGGATGCTCCCGCTGTTCCCGCGGTCGCAGATGGCCATCTCCCTTCCAACTGATGTCTGGGTCGTAATCCTCATGCCATGGGCGTCCGAGAATCATGTCTTTCTCTGGTCCCATGTTCACGATGTCAAATACCACTTGGGTGGTTTTTCCCTCCACCTCGATGTCGAGTGGTTCTGTTTCTCGTCGTACCCATTGCGTGTCGAATGGTCCTTTGACGACGTGTGGTTGCTTCTTGATCCTCCATGGGATTCTGAGTTGATTCACAAATGCGGGCGAGATGAGATCCATCTGCGCTCCTCCATCCACTAACGCGAGGGCTTCGATCTTCCCCCATCGCGCTGTGATCCAGAGCCTGTTGTCTGGCTTGGTGCTTCGTACAGCAGCTACTTCGTGTTCGTCTGCTGGGAGGTCGTTGTAAGGCTTCTGCTTGCGCCAGTTCTTCCTGTACTGCGCAGCCTGTCTTCGTTGTTGTGGAGTTAAAGATTTCCGGGCCCCTCGGAGGGCCCTGAGCCGTTTCCCAAGCTCTCGTGGTGTTTCAAGGCGTCCCTGTCCGCACCTTGGCTTGCGGCGTCAATCGTCTGGTGTTCTTGGAGCCATTGGGCCGCCCATGCCTCAACTGGGCGCCTCTCGTTCCTTCGGGACGTTCTCGTCCTCTGGTGTGGCTTCCTCTGGGATTGC